GATAGTCCACTGGTCCTGATAGTCCACTGGTCCTGATAGTCCACTGGTCCTGATAGTCCACTGGTCCTGTCAGATGGTCTCTCATGGGCGCTTTGCGTCAAGACACCTGTCACGTATATTCGGTCCATACTCTCGATTCGCCTGGCGTCGGATGTCCTCTATGTTGGTGCTTGATGGGTCCGCATGCTCCCACGGCTTCCTTGGAGGAGCTGGTGCCATGATCTCGGGATATTACTCAGACTTGGTTCCTGGGGCATGGATGGATCAAGAGGGGCRACGAACCAGCCGGAATATCGTGGCGTGCGAGAGTGTCCGGTCCATGTTGACTGCTCTCCGTAGATAGGTACGCTTTGGGACCTGGAAATTGTCGAATTTGAAGCCGCCAAGCATACCTGCTCTGTGATACAATACCTCTCCCACATATCATAGATGTGCTCGACCATAGGCCGAGCACCATTTTCTCCCTGATGTGATCTCGAATTTTGATTAGATGAGGAACAGCACCAAATGAATCCTGTTCACGGTAACGACTGCAGGATTGGCCTGAAGACTCCAATGCTGAGTTCGTCGCCGCCGCTGGGCTATTGCCATTCAAAGACATCGCAAAGGTGATTGATCAGTGGATAAGGTAAGCACGAAATTCGTGTTGACGCTCGGTCCTGCCAGTGCTTTGGATGAGCCACAAACACTTGCAACTGAACGCCTCACCCGCCAACAGCACGGGCCAAGGTCGGGTGCATCTGCAAAAAGATGACGTGACGTGAGGGACCTCCATCAATAGTCGATTGCACATATGTCTGGTATTGAATTATGCATTGAATATGCTACAATAGTTACATGCTATCTACGTCGACCGGTCCTCTAGCGCCACTTTCCACTGGTTTCTTCAAAGAGGCCTCATCTTCGCCGCTTCTGAGCCTGGCGATCAGTTCTTCGACATCAAAGTCAGTTCCGATGGGATTCTCCGCGAAAGCTGGAGTGGCCATGAACGCATTCGCCTCTTCGGTGGTATCGAAATTGTCCACTTGCGTTTCAATCATATTTCCGTCGGGATCTCGGTAGTAGAGACTGGTCGTCACCCCATGGTTTACGGTCCAGAAAGGCTCGATCCCGCGACCTTTGCGCTGTCGATATGCGAGCAGAAGATCGCGAAGTGTTGGAAACGTAAAAGCGACGTGCCTCAATCCGCTGCTTTTCGGTTCTCTTGGTCCGGTGTCGGGCAACGTCACAATTGCGACACGATGGTGTTCTTCATCGTATGTTATAAAAGTTATGAATTGATTACCATGGGTGACATGGCCGCCGAGGAAGGTCAGGTAGAAGTCGACCATTGGCTGGTAGTTGGCTGTGCGGAAGACGACGTGTGCAAGCGCCGAAGGGCTGATGACCTTGCTGCTAGGTTTATCAAATTCGTCTTCCGTAGAGGTAGCCATGTTGCTCTTGGAACGGCGGTGAGAAAGCAGAAAGATGAGTGATCAGATGAGCTGAGGTTTTTGGAGACGATGAGATGGGATGCTATGATGGAGCCTTGTCCTTGTCGGAGCGGGGCTAAAGTAGGTACCTGTATACACTTTGGGTAGTTGTGAGACGATCTTAAGACTTGACCGAGGAGCATCACCTGTATTGCATGGTTGATGCTGTCACAGTCGATAACATACAATTCTCGACTCTTTCGCACGGCTGACGGTACTTACAGGCCTTTCACGTCCGGCAAACTTTTCACCACGGTTCCTGTGTCTATTGTGTCTCGTCATTGCATGCTTGTGGGTGTATGTCTCCAATAATCTTCGCAGGGTGTGATGGGTGCTCATCTTCGTCCATCCCTTGTACTCTCCCTGCTCAGTATGATCGGCTAGGATCACGGTCATCTCATGTGGATAGCCACAGACGAAAGCACTGCTTCGCCAGGCTAATCAGAGTAGACGAAACCGGATGAGCTGAGGAATAATCTGCATTTGCATAAGTTTATGGAACGGTCATTTCCCCGGGATACTTTAGAATGCATGAACAGCGCAAGTTGCTGTAGCACCGCAGAGGTAGACATGAAACAATGGGCATCCATCGAAGATCAGGATGACAGCTTGTCGTCCCAACACATCATTGTGGAACGCCATGCCCTGAGATGACGGGCAAGCGAGATCGTCGGCCAATCCAAAGGCCAGTGCAATCTGCAACGTAGCACTGCAATGCGTCAAGAAATGTGGTGAAGTGTCTTCGTTGGGAGTGTCCACAAGAAGACATTCCACGTGGCTGGCCTGACGGCCAACCCTGCTGGGGGATCGAGGTGGGTCGCACGATGTGCGCCATGACTTTTACACCATCTGACTTCTTGGTAACGACAAGGACCGATGGCAGCAAGGATGTAATCATAATACAACAACGATTGAAGCCGACGTCAAAATTAGCCATGAATCTTCGTCGCCGCTGTGGCCTCGAGGCTTCTGCGTGCCGTTCCTGCTCCCCGTCTTTGGTACTTGGTTCAAACCGTCTCGTGAACTGCCATGTTCCCGTTGCCTGCGCTGATTTTGTACCCACCTTGCAGCCCGGTAAGGTACTCCACAGCAGGGTGGCTGGCTGGGCCGGCTGGCAGCGTCACCACACCGATCAAGAAGCTTTCCGCCCTAGCTTCCAACCCGGGCTGCCTGGCGCACGTTGCAAGCAAAAGCACTTCTCGGTCTCGGCTCGGGCGGATCCCAGTCGAAACAGCCCTGGAGCTCACGACAGGAGGTGCGAGACGAACGCAAGCTAGCCTGGGGCGCAATTTGACGAGGCACAAGGTACATTCCCGCATCCCGATGGCGAGCAGCAGTCTTGTCAAAGAGCGCGTTACCACGCAGAAAGGTGCTCTCACACGGCCGGCTGCAACAACCCAGCTGCAGCAGCAGGTGTGACSGCGCCTCGTCTCCACAGCCGGGCAGTGCCCTAGAAGAAAAACCCAGCCTCGGAGTCTAATCGGGCTAGCGCCAGATGTGGGCAACACGCCTTGATGGTGCCGCTGTGCCGCCCGCGTTCGGTCCGCGTGGAGGAATGTGCTTGGATGCCAGCTCCGAGGCGCAGGTAGATTCGCGAGACATCTGGCCAGGGGTTTTGACTCTCCTTCTGAGACAACCTAAGGCAGAGTACCTTACAAGTTTGTACACCCTATCGAGCCGTTCCAAGTTTCGGCTCACCTTACTTGACTGGCCGTTTTCGCAAACAGTCGCCTTAAGGCAGGGTCAGAAGATTCTAGCAGTTGTCACCAGGCCGCTCGTAACACTCCAACGATGCGCTCCCGTTTTCACGATCGCATTCTGCTGTAGCTTGCTGGGCGGGATCATTCATTTACGGGAATTGGCTTTCGGGGGTTTGTACCGGAAGTTCGGAGGCAGAGGCAGTGGGCAGGTATGCCCTGCGTCGACGAATGCACAGATATCCGCTCGCACAGCTCTACATCCATCTGCGCTTGCCATTGAGAGCGTTGCAGAGCATGGCTGAACCATCAAGACGCTTCCTTATGGCGTGACGAAGCCGCGTCGATCGGAATGGAGGCTTGTGGCTCACTATCATGCAGCTGACCGTTGACATGCAACTGGACAACGCCGCCGATCCAGATGCAATGCAGTCCCGCATAAGACGAAAACCTCGCGAGGCCTCGGCTACAATGGCTTCTGAGTCTACATGCACAGTGTCTGACCAAAAAATAAAGTGCTATTGATCAAGCGGTCTTCAGATGAGTATCGACGCTGGAACAAACGTTCGGTACAATGTCCTGCGCTTAACGGCGTTTCTACCGCTGCCACATTTGCTTGGCACCACGCAACTAAGGCTAATGCCGGCAAGCCACATCTGAAGATCYAACATCATTTGTRGGTGGATTTGGAGGTAGGAAAGCTACAGGAACAAGTGAAGGACTTTAGATCGGTTCCCCATCTCACTAAGGCCAAAGTTTGTAGTCGTGAGCAGAAACCATCATCATCACTGGAGGAGGAGTAATAGAGTTCAACCTATACACGGGCTGACTCTAGCGGCTCTCCCCGCGTGTGTGCGTGCTGCTACGATCGCTCGGGACGCACTGTTTCTTGCAACCTATCAAAGCCATCGTCTCGCATGGACCCGCCTCTCTCACCTACACACCCCTGCTCAGCTCGCTATTCCACCTTACCCACACGTTAAATCCCCATCTCGGCCATTTCCCACCCTCTCTGCTTCGTCTCCCTCAAGAACTGCTGCGCGCTCGAGACTTCCAGCGCTTTCCCAACGCAACGCGTGTTCCACCCTCATCTTTCTTCCCAACTGCTTGATTTCCTTCGTTCTGCTTTACATCGCATTCGTGTACTTTCCTATTTCGGTGTTTGGGTCGCTGTCGCGGCGGAGGTATGCTCATGCTCCCGACCCCATTGCGTTGCGCTCGCGTTGCTCAGTGCTGACGTTCACAGTTCCGCCATCATCTAACCCTACGCCCATAATTATGGCAACCCAACAATCGCCGACGGGCCCTCTCGCCCACCAACATCACTATGGCGCGCCAGTGCGTCCTGGACCTGGACCAGGTCCAGGGCCACCACCGCCCAACGGTCCCATGCCCATGCAGCAACCACCGCAGAACAAGCCCGCGACTCAATATCTTGCCGCCGCGAACGAGCAAATGTGGCTGCAAATCGGCCAGCTTTCCGAAGTGATGGGAGAGTTGGATGGAGCGACTGCATCATACGAACGCGCCATGAGCTTCAATCAGTGGTCGGTGCCTGCCATGTTGGCCATCTCATGCATTCTGCGCTCCAAAGATCGTTTCACGGACGCCGTGGAGTTTCTCAGGCAGATTCTCAAGGTTGAGCCAACCAACGGAGAGGTCTGGAGCAGTCTGGGCCACTGCTATTTGATGATGGACGATTTGCAACAGGCATACTCGGCGTATCAACAGGCCTTGTACCATCTGCCAGACCCTAAAGAGCCAAAGCTGTGGTATGGTATAGGAATACTGTACGATCGGTACGGATCTTTGGAGCACGCAGAGGAGGCATTCTCGCAAGTGATGCGAATGGAGCCTAACTTTGAAAAAGCCAACGAGATTTACTTCCGATTGGGAATCATCTACAAACAGCAGCAAAAGTTTTCGCAAAGTCTTGAGGTGAGAGGTCATGACGATCATGTCGCGAGAAAATTGCTAACCGTCGCCAGTGTTTCCGCTACATCGTGAATGATCCGCCTCGTCCTCTTAGTGAGGAAGACATTTGGTTCCAGATCGGCCACGTGCACGAGCAACAAAAGGATGTCAGTGTAGCGCTGCTCGGTAACCRAAGGTCACCTGCTAATATTGCAACAGTACGAGTCTGCCAAGGCAGCGTACACTCGTGTCCTCGAGCGTGACCCAACTCACGCCAAGGTGTTGCAGCAACTTGGTTGGCTACACCACCAACAAAGTACGAGCTTCAACAGCCAAGAGCAAGCAATCGAGTATCTGGAGAAGTCTGTCAATTCTGGTACGTGTTCCATAAATCTGTCCAATGTGATGCTTGTCTAACCCCGGGCCCAGACCAAACGGATGCACAAAGTTGGTACCTGCTCGGCCGATGCTACATGTCACAGCAGAAGTATCCCAAGGCGTATGAAGCATACCAACAGGCCGTCTATCGCGATGGCCGGAATCCGACCTTTTGGTGCTCCATCGGTGTGCTCTACTACCAGATTAACCAGTACCGGGACGCCCTGGACGCCTACTCCCGTGCTATTCGACTGAATCCAAATATCTCAGAGGTCTGGTACGATCTTGGCACACTGGTACGTTGTCCGCATACGCTTTGTTATGATGCAGTTTGCTAACAAACGTCATAGTACGAATCGTGCAACAATCAAACCAGCGATGCACTCGACGCCTACTCRAGAGCTGCTGACCTGGACCCTACCAATGTTCACATCAAAGCCCGTCTGGCTCTCCTCAAGGGGCAGCCGACCACTGGTCTGCCAAACTCAGGCAACGCTCCACTGCCTCAGGATGTACATCCGCAAGCTTATCAGCCCGGTGCTCTTGGAGGTGGTCCTCCCGGCCCTCAATGGGGTGCTCACTCCCAGAACCCACCACCTGCTGGACCTGCACCGCCCCCACTCGCCCCCGGCAACAATTGGGGAGGTAGCCGTCTCGCTGAGCTGCAGAATCCACAAATGCAACCTCAGCCGGTGAACCCTTATGAGCAGCGCGATYGCCTGCCACCTCAGCAGCAACAACARCAGCAGCAGCAGCAGCAGCAACAGCAGCCGCCTCCTCCTCCACAGGCTCAACAGCAGCAGCCACCAAGACAGCCAAGTCCGCCTGCATCTCGCTCTTACCAAGATCAACCTCAGCGCCCACCACCACCTCCGCATAGAGGCCTCTCGCCATCGCCCAAAGGTCAGCACTCCGCACCTGCGCCATTCCAACCCGGTCCACCTCATCAACAGCCGATGCCACCTCATCAGCCACATCCACACCAGCAAGAAGCAGGGCGTCCATCATTTGCATCACAACAGCTCAATGGCCCGCCGCCGCCGCCGCCACATAATGGCATGTCTACTCCTGGACCCCAGTCTGCGCTACCACCCTTCGCCCGGCCGCAGGACAACCCACCTGAAATAAGACCTCTCGTGGGTAACCCCGCTCCATCCCCTGGAGGTAGCCAGTATCCTCGCGCGCCGTACGAGCACCACCCGAACACAGCGGCACCAAGCATTGCAAGTGGTGCGCCACCTCCTTCCTCTGCTCAGACTGCCGCCGATGCTGCAGCACGTGAAAGGGAAGAAAGGCCACCCAGCGCGGCGCCAAAGCGACTCCGTGAATGGGAAGATGAACCGAACGCGGGCTCTTCCAAAAAGGCTACCACAGATGAAAGCCGCTCGAGGCTTGATGAGATTAAGCTTCATCGTGTCTCGCCTTCGGAGAAAATGGCGACTCCTCCCATTCGTAGCCCATCTGAGATGCGGCGGGTCSACGAGGCAAGGCCTTCGTCCGCCTACCATCCCTCTGAGGCGGCTCATCACCCGCCCTCTCTCCCATCCATGCAGTCGATCACCAATCAGTCTCCGCGAATGTCTGCCCCTCCACAGGAGGAGCCGCGCCCAGTTGCTGCACCACAGCCACAGCCACAGCCGCAGCCAACTCCAGTATACGAGCCTGCTGCTAGGAAGATGGAAGTTGACGAGAACTATGATGACAGCGGTGATGAGAAAAACTCCACGACGAAGCAGGAAAGCCGGAGGAATACTCCGAAGCCAGTCAACGGTGTAGCCCCAGCCCCGCCTGCCAACGGGACCTCTGAGCAACAGACTTGACGAATACAATGTTTTAGCGCTGGGCGGTAAAATTTACGAATCGTCTGGTTGAGTCCATTCGCCCCATGGACTCCCCGGCGAACTGCTTCAATATTTGTGCATATAGCAGCATAGCAGTTTTAAACAAATGCATTTACCATTTCGTCCAAAGCTCTTCCCAGCATCATGGTCCAGCGTGCCGTGGAAGACGAACGAGGCTTGCGAGTAAGCCTCGCAAGTCTGCCCTCGGGACGTGGACCCGTTCGCTTGCTGGTCGTTAATACACTTTGTAAAAGCACCATTAATACCTCGCTCTGCTACCTTACGATGGCTCCACGTGTCTCTAGGACAGCAATTGAAGAGGAGAAACCTCCCGATGCCAAGCTCAGGCGCCCCAGAGCATTGACAAGGCGTTAGGCGTCCCACGTTGTGGAGGCTTGGCTATTCAATCCGCCCTCACTCGGATTACTGTCTACAGTAAAGATTTTCAAGGCCTCCAAGTCTCCAGGTTCCCCATTGAATTCATTCGCCGCTCGGACTCTTATAGCCAAGACATCTGTTACGCCTCAACAGCCACGACGGGCCTGACGATGGATGAGATGTCAGGGGCCGTGCGACTTCGACATGGTAATATATAACCTGCAATCTGCCCACACTATGTCCCGTCACAATCCTTACCATCGAATTCTCTCAAAGACATCAAGCCACAAGATTTATCAACGATGCACGCTTCATTATTCCTCGTGTTTCCCCTGCTAAGCTTCGCTTTCGGGCAGTCTGTAAGTGTATATCATGCTCCCTACGCATAGACTTTGCGGCTAACCACGATTTCAGGGTGGATGCGAAAGCGGAGCCGTTACTGCTGATCGCTGCTGTGACGGAGACGTGATCACCAGCGACGGAAAAGGCATAGATACAAGCGACATTTCGAACCTCGTCTGCTGTACGGGCGGCTCCGGCTCCAGCTTCAACTTCGGAGGAAGTAGCTGCGCGGCTGGCCAGACTCCTGTTCCTTTCAGCCAGCTGCCCATGGCTGGTAATGCTGGCTCCTCCCAAGGCACCACCGTGATCGTGAGCAACGATATGACTTCAATGGAAAGTGCAACCCCGACCGACACAATGATGACCTCCTCGGCCATGTCATCTTCTCCCGCCGAGACGACAACATCCGACACTATGACTTCTTCTGCAATGGCAGGTACCGAGTCATCACCCCAAAGCAGCCCCCAGTCTACGACCGACTCGAGCACCGGAGCTGCGGCAATGATGACCTCTGGACCCGTAGCTGGTGCCCTGATGATGGCGGGAGGTTTAATGATGGTTGCTCTGTGAGCGTAACGATGTATTATGAACCTGGCAGTTATAGAAGGCGGTAGCTCTGTACCAGTTCGACTTGAGTACTTAATTCGATTGTCCCAAAACCAAGACAGCAGTGGGGGAGCCCGATAGATACTGGATAAACTCTGCCTCGACGATTGCCCAAGTAACAAGCAAATGAACTTTTTCCGTTCGAAAAATCATCCATGCAGGCCTTGAATGAGATTATACATAGTAGTACGACGTGCAAAAATCTCATACACAGTGAGTAGTACGACGTGCAAAACAGTGTAAAGTCGACCGTGACCTGTAACAGCGGGTCTGGCGAAGTTCTTCTTATCCTCTTCTGGCCATTTGACTCGGGCTTGAACCCGTTGGTGAAGACTCTACCCACACCTTTTTCACTCGTTAGGAGATGGGTTCCAGGCCATCTGCCTCCTCTGCAAAAAAAAAACCTTGAGTTCGTTATGGTAACCGACCTCAGAAGCATCTGACAGGCGCTAGCGGGGCTAAAAAATGCCAAGACCCGCAGATATTCACTCTCAATCCAACTACAGCGTAAAAGTATCTATCACTGACGTCACTTACCACGATCATCACACAGCGTAAAAGTATCACTGACGTAACCGCTAGCGTCCGGCTCCAGACATAAGGAAGACGGGAGTAGTGTTCGAATGCGTCTCGACTTGTATATACCTTTGTGTTACTCATTCCACTTCCAATAATATTCAGGAATAATAGACACATCAGAAAATGGCACCCAACGGCCTAGCGATCTTGATTGGTGCTGGTCCAACAACAGGAGCCGGTAGGTACCATCTATCTCTGCCTCTTTTGAGGGTGTGCTCAGTTTTTCGCTAACCTTTGATGACAAGGCATTGCCCGTGTTTTGACTCGCGATGGAAACCTCGCTGTTGCCCTTCTAGCAAGGCGACCAGAGCCCCTGAACGATCTTGTCAAGACTTTGCGGACTCAAACCCCTGGAGCTGTGATTGAAGCTTTTCCAACCGTACGTCAGTCATATCGTCGAAAAGGAAGATCAAACGGAGCTGGATCGTGTCCATGAACTGATAAGCAGTATCTGCGCTGCAAGACGAAGTCATGTTGAATATTGATCTTCCTGCAGAATCAGGCCGTCTTCGAACGAATCCGCAGCGTCTTGTCACCTCATCAAACATGAGGAAACCTCTACTAACACTTTTCATCCATTACAGGATACCAACCCGGACAACTTGAGGAAGGCTTTCGCAGACATCAAAAAGAATGAGAGCTTCGCAGGCCTGAAGCTCAAAGTTGCTATATACTCCATCAAGAGCAGCAGCAAGAAGCCCTTCATGGAAGAAACCTTTGAAGATTTCATGGAGCCACTGGAATCCTACGTGGGTGGGGCGATGGTCTTCTCGCAAGAAGCCATCAAGCGGTTCTTTGAAGATCATGGGGAGAAGAGTCTTGCAGAAGGTGGCGAGAAGAAGGGTACTCTTCTCTTTACCGGCACGCTCGGTGCACTTCGATGCAATGCCGAGTTTGGGAGCTATGGAGCCTCGAGAAGTAGTGTTCGACAGTTGGCGCAGGCTCTTGCGAGAGAGATGAGTAGTAAAGGTATTCATGTGGCTCATGCTATTGCGAATGGACGGATTTCCGTACGTGGGCCCTTTTGACCGTTGTTTTTTCACGGCGAGCATATAGACTGATGCCCATTTTACAGGATGCGGACTCTGAGGAAACGAAGTCTGGGAAACATATTGCGGCAGAAGCTGTGGGTCAGACATATCTATGGCTTGCCAACCAACATCCAACTCTATGGGTAAGTAGAACTCACCAGGCTCGTCATGTTGACTCCTGTCATGTCAAAGAATGGATGGCTATGGATCCTCCAGGCCTTCAGACAGGTGTACCTGCAGCTGTCCTCGGCATACCTTACTATTTATTGGTCGCGAACAAACAACGAATGCTTTCCCTTCAGACCCCGCAACGTTTGCTGTCCGGTCGCTAACGTTTTCTGTTCTAGACACATGAGCTCGATCTGCGCCCAGCACAGGAGAAGTTCTAGAACACTCATATGAGTGCAAGACTCATAAGCAAAGCACAACACCTCGATCATTTATCCAATTATCCACAAGCGAACTCAGCCTACACTTTCGGAGGTTCGTTCTTGTATGACCACTTGATATGGATGCAAAGCCATCCATCGCGAGCATAGCGAGGTACATACAGTTCAGTTCTCGATTTGATACCTGAATCAATCGAGTAATTCCTCGGTCATCTTTGAAATTAGCACTCTCGTTTCTTGCCATTCAAAAGCTATTCAGCAAAAAGAAGGCACATCGGATGAATGCACTTAGTTAGCCATTATGGCCGGCTAAAACAACCTGCATTCATTCATAGACGAAGAGTACGAAAGCAGCCATGAGATATGCTTGCCATGTCTATGACGCTAGTGTTCATATCGTAGAGGGGCCAACTTTTCATGTGCAGGCTGTAGGTTGTCCCACGCGATCACCGGTTCGTGTCGAATCCGTCTCGGAGGCAGTGCGCGCCGGAGCTCATCCCATCCCATCCCAGGGCATTCGGAGCATGTTCTTCCATTGTGCATCCTCGATGCGGGAAACACAGGAACGGGCGCCCGGAAGTTCCGAAGGAGGAGGAGGAGGGTCGGGATTGAGTAAATTATTGGTCGCCGCTCTGTCGGTAGCTGCTGCTGGTGGTGTGGATACTTTGAAGCACATCCATAGTATTCCAGCGCGGCGGTTAAAAGCGCCCCCCCAAGCAGACGTGAACCGAGCGAGCGACTGCAATGAGGTACCCGATSACATCGTCAAGGATGAAAGCTGAGGATATTTATTACACACACCAAAATTGGCGAGGAAGCAGAAGCGTGGTGGGCAAGATCAACGTTCACAGCTTGCGATATTATTGCCGGCTTGCTCAACAATCACGCTTACGAGGTTGCGTGGCCATGCTGCTGAGGACACTCCGTCTCGTTGAGCGTGAGCTGCATTGTATTGTAGCACAGCAGATTCGCGAAGAGGCCGAGACTCCGGGGTGTGGAGACGTCGAATTTCAAGTCGGACATCCTCATCGAACCGATGAACATCACGAACGTGATGGCGCTTCGAATTTCGAGGACGCACTGGTGGCCGATTTGAGAAGCATACTGTATGGGTAAGTTACATGTCTCGGGTACACTGTGCCGAGACCATGGACCGACCATGTGAAACTATACCGGGCAGCGTGCAAAGCGGCACTTGCATGGACGTACAGTCGTCGGTGTCTAGAATTAATTACAATTAGCGGCGTGGCCACTCCATCACCGCAGTTTCTCCCAAACTAGCAATCCCGTTTGGAAATACGGCGACTTTTGAAATTCTCGCAGGGAAAAAAATCACAAAGGCCGTAGCCAGGGCCAGGGCCAGGGCCGGGGACACTTCCGAGCACATGCGTCCGACGGGTCGAGCATGGATCTATCAAGCGATATAGTATGGTCATTTACCTTATCCTCGAGTCGGATTTGCTCATTGGTTTGCCAGAGCAGCAACGGCATGTGCTCTGGTGTATTCCGTATGAGCGCCAAATGCTTCCTTAGCTAATAACCTACCGTATGGCGTCAATGCAAATGTCTCGCCTTGCGGCCCTATAGGACCTTGCAGTGATGCGTCTTCATGGGGTTAGCAGAAGCTGTGACAGCTGGCGTGCTTCGTCTTCCTGAGTCGCTACGCGAGAAAAACAATCCGCGCGACTCGTTGGTCCGGTTGAATGAAATCCACCATGCTCAACAAGGCGAGGCGCCTTCGGCTCCGTAGATGTGGCTATCTGCGGTTTATAAAGCTTCCACCACTTAGAAGCCGCCCTCGATTCATCGCACCTGAATACTATCAGTGGGAACAGGAGTCTGCTTGACGTGCGTCGGCGGAAGATCGACTCCTTTTCCCCATGGAGGAGTGATGATTCGTCTTGCAAGGCGAGCCGAGACGTTAATCTATGGTATCTACTGATTCCTCGAGCATATCTCGAGGGTGCGTCGATGACCCACAGCTGTATAGAAGCATGTTCTAGATTGGAATCAAGGCGCATGCGCGAACTCGAGGTCAGGCAGGCCGCAGATGCTCCACTGTGAAAGATCGTCCGCTCGCCAAAAGCGGGGTGGAGGCCTCACGAGTGAGTATGCGGCTGCAATTCGTCGGCTGGTTGATGAGGATGCGCCGGCACTTTGACCATCCAAGGGGAGGATATCCTTGAGGGACGGTCGGCGCCGATACCAAATGGAACAGACGGCGGAGCGAGTTCGTCGATGGTGACGCATCATGCATCATCCTCCTCCGCTCCGGTCTTGGAAGGATTCAATGATCTCCGTGATAACCTGCCGCTTGGTTGCCAGCTCGCATCCCCGGACGCCTCTCTCTCTCTCTGCTTGCACGGCCGACGTCCCAGAGAGGATGTACTCCGTTGGAAATAATTGCTCCATTGTTTTAAGCAACGCTAGTCTTGAACACTATGCTGCCGAAGGTTTGGTGACAAGGTGCAGCCACATGCAGGGCACTAGTCACCAGGCGTCGCTGAGATTCCAGAAGCCGCTGTAGATAAGGCGGGCGGAGGATCGCCGTCGGTCTCGCCGCGTAATTGGTGGGCAGATTATTAAAGGCGCACACGAATGCCAACATCCTTGGCAGATCATCGCAAAAGCGGCGTCAAAGTCCAACGGCAAGCGAATTACGGTGCTGKGGCGATTGGACGCATGCTCGCATGCTCGCATGGTCCCCACGTCGTGGTCGCGTGAATGAAGCGTTTGCCAGAAGCGCGCCGTTGGCAGCTGTCTTGTGAATCGCGGTGGACGTTAGGTATGGACTGCACGCCATGTCATGGCAGGCCCGACAGCGAGCATGATGAGATGAAGGAGGCGCTCGCGACCCGGAAATCCGAGTGGTCAGTGGGCAAAAGGCGACAGGCGACTGCCGCACCGCACCGCAACGCCCATTCATCATCGCGTACCTCGATTCCTGCTGCGTGCGGCCTCGTCCGTGGGATGGCCAGCGTGTGCTTGCGTGAGTGGCGGTCGAGCGGACGGAGATCTCATCGCCTAAGCAGCCAGCCCTCCACTCGACCAAACTTTCCCTGCTGCAGCGGCACCTCCTAGCCTTCTAGCTCGTGGATTGCTCGAGGGACCTCACGAGGGCACCATTATTATTAATTAGTGCTGGCAACGGGGCTGTCCGAGGCGGCCAGTGATCACTGACCAGCACTCCCTTCCCGAGGCCGTCGCTTCGCCCAGTTTATACCGCCTTGAATTCACATCAACTCTGCCTGCTCCTTCCTGGCTTTGATGGTTGACACCTGCTCCATCTGTATGAATGAATGTATGCCTGCCTGCCTGCCGACTGTTGTGACAAGCAGGCTAGACGGCAGCCAGTCGACCATGACCTCCGGACACAACCAACCACCTGCTGCGGATTCTGCTCCTGCCCCACCACCAMGGAAGAGGAGACGGCGCACGGCCGCAAGTGGTGCCGCCGATGACTGCTTTTCGTGCCGCAAAGGAAATGTTGTGTGCGACCGCAAACGACCCTATTGCACCCAATGCATAGAAATCGGCAAGGAGTGCTCAGGCTACAAGACGACTCTGACGTGGGGAGTTGGCGTTGCAAGTCGGGGAAAGCTTCGAGGTCTATCATRTCCCGTTGCGGGCATTGATGCTCATGCAGAAGAGCTTCGGCGGAGGAAGATCTCTGTAGGCAAGCCTGTCAAGCAGGAAGAGCAACCCGATGCTACGCTTGCCAGTGCGGCTTTCCATTCATCTTACTCGGCCTCCCTTCCTCTGAACATTCACGGATCGGGATTCCACCCTTCGCTGCCCACCATTCAGGCTCGTCAAGAAGGATGGCAGTTCCATGGCTTTCAACCTCCTCCTCGCGCCGGCCCTTCATCCTTACAGCATCGAAACCTGCAGCACATTCACACCTCCATGCCTCAGTACGATGGGCCAGGCGCTCCTCATTCCGCGAGCTCGACGGGGTCGTTTCCAGACGACTTCTCACCTCATTTTGACTTCCCACGGACGCCAGGCTCTGTCAACATCTCGGAGTCGTTCCAGCCAAATCGGCCCATGTCGTATACTAGCCAGCCGCTGAGTAGCTCAATTGACAGCTTAAACAGCGCTTCCATGGACTCCTACGATACGCTGAGCTCCAGCATTGACTCCATTMGTAGTAGGGGGTCGTATAATGACCATGGTCACTGCCACGACTCTGCGCTACCCGAGCTTGATTCTTTCCATCAAGGCATGGCCCATGATGAGATGCTTTTCAGCCCGGGTGTTGATGTGCACTTCAATTACAACCCCTTCGACCAGCTCGACTTACAAGAAGAAGAGTCCGACACCAAGACGATGAACATCTTCGACACGCGCTTCAGCAGCCCGTTCTTCAACATGACGCCGCGCTTGCAATCCTTGATGGAGTATTATGATCGCCATATTTGCACATATTTGGTTGCCTTTGATGGTCCCGAGAATCCATATCGCAAGCACATCCTCCAGCTCGCCGTTCACAACGAAGGACTACAAAACGCCATTGCCGCGCTAGCAACCAACAACATCCGCATGAGGAAGGAGCCTCTCCCGCGGCGACTAGGGTTTGTTGAAGAACTTACCAACGCTTTCGATGGCACCAGCAGGTCTGGTGCAAGTGAGCCTTCGCCTGAAGAGACGTGCTACAAGCAAATGTCGATCGATCAGTTGAACACGCAGTTGACAGACGCCCGTGCAGCTCAGGACGACTCCGTTCTAGCGACTCTTCTAATTCTGTGCCTCTTCYATGTGTGTGATAGTGGCTTCTCCAAGTTCAAGACTCAATTGGCTGGTGTTCAGAAGTTGCTTTCTCTCCGCAACCCCCACGCCCAATCCGAGTTTACGGGCTGGGTGGAAATGTTCTTCATCTGGTTCGACGTCATGACCAGTGCCGTGAATGACCGCGAGACGCAGATCAGAGGCGAGACACTCGACATGCTGGATTACTCGGCCAATCTAGGAGCACTGGAGCAGTTCTCAGGCTGTGACGGACGATTGTTCAAGCTCATTGCARGGCTCGGCCGGCTCAACCTTCTAGCGCAAGGGAGACCCGTCAAGCCTCAGGAAGGCCCGCGGCGTTCCTTTACGAGTAATCCTCTCCAATCGTCCCCATCAAGGAAGCGAAAAACGTTTTCTTCCACCGCCGACTACAGCAAGATGGACGGCAACGGCTGGGGCAGCCCCATCTACTCCGACGACGACACTGACGGCTCGGGTGAAGACGAGTTGAGACATCACAACATCGACGAGAGACGTGAATTCTGGACCGAGTGGTCCGATATTCGCGCAAGGTTACAAGCATGGCAAATGGAGACCGGTTCCACGCCGGCTTCCACCCAGCCAACAACCTCACCAGGGTATGAGCTGGGTCAGCGTGATCTGCTCCACATCAACGAGAGCTTCCGCTTCTCCGCCCTTCTCTACACAGAACGGCTTGGTCAGCCCATGCTGCCCAGCTCTCACTCAAATTTCCAAAAATACGTTTCAAAAGCACTGTTTCACATCACCGCACTCGAGATTACAAGCTGCGTCAACAAGTTCTTGCTGTGGCCTCTGTTCATCACAGGGACCGAGTGTGTCAGCGAAGGACATCGTAACATCATCCGCACGAGGTGCATAGAGGTTCAGAAGGAGAGCGGATTCTTCAACAACATCAGCAGTCTAGAAGTGTTGGAGAAGGTGTGGCGGGAGATGGGCAACAATGGACCAGGCGCGGAGGTGGCTGAGATAAGAGCTCGCAGGCGGGACTCTGAGGCTGGGCGGACGGGAAGATATGGGCAGGCATTCAGGTGGCGGAAAGCCATGGATCGAGTTGATGGAGAGTACATCATTATATAGCGACAGAAGTGTGTTGGGATAACAGCATGGATAGGGAGGACGTGCATTGAATGATGGACATTGCAATCAGACTCGATTACAATTATTACGCAGTTCTGATGCTACAATTACAATGAATCAGTGAAGCCACGCCGGGCTCGTGCTCCTCGCTTAATGCTTGAATGTCGTTTCTCGGTGAATCAGGCACGCTGGGGTATACCACCGTGCTTTGCCGTACGCCATAAAACCCAATCGCTTTCCATGTGCATCATTTCAAAGTCGTGAATCCGGAAGCTGGAATGCTCCCGTGCAAATGTACAGCCGCTCAAATCAGCGCGAATGCGGCCACAATTCCCCCAAAGGTCATGCCGACGCAAGCCTCGAGGCCACCGGCAGCGTTGTTGGCTGGCGGAGCTTCGGTACTGGAGGCAGGTGTGGCGCCGGAGCTGGTCTCGGAGGCGCTGATTGGGGAGACCTCGTTGCTGGAGGCAGCGGAAGTGGTGCCAGAAGCGGCGGCATCGCCATTTGAGCTTGTGCTTGTGCTGGTGACGAGAGTAGTCGACGCAGGCAAGTCAGTGACCGGGCTCTCAGTGCCGGAGGTGGCACTCGACTCGGCGCCGGTCTCAACGGATGTGGTGGAGGTCGACGTCAACGACACGACGGTGGTGGAAGATGCTGGAATTGCGCCGGTCTCGACGGATGTGGCGGAGGTCGAAGTCAACGACACGACTGTGGTGGTACTGGTGGAGAGCTCCGACGTGCTGGCCGGAACTATAGGAATGGAGTATGAGCTGTCTGCGCTCTGGCCTGACGAGGAAGGGGATGCAGGAGAGGATGATGGGGACGGATTGGAGAGGGTGGAGGCCAGGGAGAAGGTTGCTTGAGCAGCGGATAGCACAGATAGGGCGTTCCATGCAGAGGTGGAGGCAGATGAAGATGGGGAATCGGGTGCAGGAGGGGAAGATTCGGGTGCAATGTAGCTGCCGGGGCTTGGGTTTGATATCGAGGCCGGGGACGGTTCGTCACACTCACTTGCGGCGCACTCGGTCGGGGTGACGGTAGAGGTGAAGGTCACTGTCAAGGTCAGCATTCCATCCTCTGATACCATCCATCTAACGGCAGGGGAACTCTGGGAGGGAAGTTAGCCAACGTTCGCACGTCAACGGTCACAACGGCGGACCGCGCGAGCATGTTTGGCTCGTCGGTCACCGTTGGCTCCACGTGCTCGACACGAGATAGCAGAATAACTCACCACCAGTGACTTCAGCAGCGCTGATGGAGAAGAGGGCGGCGGCGCCAAGCACGACGGCGGAACGCATGTTGAGAGATGTTGATGTGATTGTGTGGAAGATGATTCTGATGTGATGGGATAACAGTGAGATGCTGTTGAGGATGTTTGGTTGGTTGGATGTTGATTGATGGATGGATGTCGATGTTGTGGTTGACACAAGAAGAGCAAACGGTTTGATGTGAAGTTTGGTTTGCTGGTGGCTGGCAGGAAAGGAAAGCGCAGTGGCTGGGAGGCCCTTTCTTTGAAACGAGCGACAACGACGACGACTACCTTACGTGCGTGCATGTGCGACTGCCGCTAGTCACAGCATTTGATGAACACAAGAAAGAGTCACTGMCTTGCGTGCGCACAACGAGGCGCTCTTGCACATCTACCTTACCGGATGGCGAGCTGCTGCCGTCGCACAGTCCACGCAAACCGTGCGGCAGCGTTTGCCTTCAATGTCCCAGCGCATGTGCTCGCAACTACCCGGCTTCGAGATACCACGCGTTCAGTCGTGGAAGCAACATAAGGCGGGCATAGGCAAGCAGTTGAAGCGAATGAGTGCAGCACAAGGAGGTGTGGTGCATGCCGACTCATTCTGGAATCCTAGAGACGCCATGGCCACATTGGAACTAGTGGATGAACAGAGCTTGGCATCATCGTCATTGGAACAAGCAAGCATTGAAGCTTCACATGACAAAACGCAGGGCACCTCAGAATCACAACACATCATGTAGATACATGAAAGCAGGATCCCGTCTTCAACGTTCAGGAAACTCGCTCCGCACTGCGTTGGCTGGCTACTTGCCGTCCATCCACGTACATGTCCAAGTGCAACAGCATCAAACCTGTACCAGCGTTGACCCGTGGCAGTTCGCGTAGTTGAGGCAGGGATCTGTAATGCTCATTCACCGATTTCCCTGCGTTGCAAGGAATCAATTGTGGAAATGAGCCTCGACCAGGAACGRGGGATTACATTCAAGCCGTATCACCACGGTGCTCGGTTACACGACCTGATATACAAGCTCTCCTTACTTGCAGAGCATGGATACGTACCACCAGAGCCTGTGTCACTCTACGGTATCCATGCCATGAAGCTCGAATGAATTCGCGGCCAGGGGATGTTTTCCTGAAACTGGCAAGGTGTGTTGCAGAATGTCACCCTCATCGCCATCAACATGTGCCTGGATTGAAAAGTCAGCTAAAGTGTGGTGATTGCGCTTTTTCAATCTAATTGGGGGAAATATTGGGCATGTCAGACAGCAGTTGGGTAATCTTCAGGCTCCGAAGAGCTTCAGAAGTGTGTGTGATTGTTTATCATCAGATGGGCGTTTGGGGGCAACAACACAGGATAACATACCTTTTGATTAGGCCCATATTTGATTTTGGCTGGCATGCCTCGTTGACTCGGTGTTTGGAAATTGCTAGAAGCCGCATGTTCAGCTTGTTCGATTCCGCTTGAAGAAGCCGGTAAGCTTCTGTTGGCCTTCATCGTGAGCAGAACGACCAATGCCACCTCTCTGACGTTTGAGGCCAACGAGGTGATCCTTTCTGTCAATCGCGACAATGAGTGTTGACCAGCCATGGAGCATTAGCGGCGTCGACGAAATTTCTTTCGAAGATGCGCCAACCGCCGCGGAAGACTCCATTTCCGCTTCATTTTGATACTCAGGAATAGCATCTCTCAAGGCGCTAGGCGCCGGAGACGACCTGGAGTTCTCAACCATGTCATCTCCGTTGGGAGTCAACAAGAGTTGTAAGTATCCAGTGTTACTCCACCCACCAAGGTGTTGAAGAACAATACTTCCCTTGCTAGCGATGATATCAGGAGCGACGGTCACGCTCTTCGGTGGCAAACGCAGAAGCAGCCTCCTCCACAAATGTGACAGCAATATCCCGTGTGAGACGACCGCAATGGCACCACGACGAGAGCCATCTCCAATATCGAGCAGTGGGAGAAGGTGCTGGTCCAGGAAAGCGTCCGCTCGACCATTCAACGATTCTTTGCTTTCGACATCGACGAAACCTGGATCATCTTTGTGTTTCTCCCTATGTGCGTCCTTGCCGGACTTCGTAGGGTCAGTACGCGCCTGAAAGCTCTTCCCTTCGTAGAATCTAGAACAGTAAAGGATCAGTAGACCGCTCCGCCTTGCCGACCGGAATCAGGATTGAAGACCAACCCGAAATCTTGTTCAATCAGCTCTGAGACACGCACAATCTCAACGGTATCCGTCGTCTCCGTATGATCCCCAAGCCGTCTTTGAGTTTCCTTTCCCGATGCTAGTTGTGCGGTCTGAAGTGCCTGTGCAGTCTTGTACGCTCGGGATAGTGGCGAGGCAAAGATGTGATCGAATGCTACACGTGCTTCTCCCTTCCCAAAGTGGTCGCCCAACCGACGGGCTTGCTCAACGCCATGGTTGGTAAGGGTGGAATCTCGGACGCCAGCATAAAGGCCGGCTACATTATCAACCGTCTCCCCATGTCTGATGAGATACAGCTCCATGTGTGTGAACCATTGTGACCGGTTTGACGTTCGATGATGATGATGATCGATGTCAGAGGAAGTTTGGGACGAGAAAACTTTCCTTGTCAGCAACGGCCCGGCGCCAGTTTTGCAGGGATCCCGGATGATCGTTCTCCTCGACATCTTCACACCACCACCTCGTCAATAATTATCAACCATGCTATGCCGTTCCATCAGCAGGGGAAGTGCCTTATGCCCGGAAGCCACAGATTCCCTGATGCCATCATGGGGCCTACTCCCATGATACATTATTTCAAGCTTCTTCTTCGTACATCACCAACACATACTCACATTTCCGTACGCTTTATCTGGCTATCCCACGTTAATCATACTGAGGTCAAGATCGTGACCTCCTTCCTCTCGCCATTTAGCTGGTTCCGGTCGGTCTGTCAACATGTGCTTATCGGACAGTGAAGTCATCACAGCAACTTCCACCCAATTTTCAGGCGATCAGACATCAGACCTAGAAACAGACATCTCTGGAGAAGTTTTCATCAACTCTGCTAGCAGGACACATGYGAACTTGTCTGTGTGCCGTCTAGCCCCTCCACACACCCTCTCCGTCCTTCACTCTCCAACCTCTCCACTTTCCTTTACCTTCAACCCCTCATGCTTCACGTCCAATTCTTCAATCATCCCACGAAGCCTGCAGGTCACACGAAGCCTGCAGGACGACTTGTGTCTTCTCCAACACAACACGATGGCCATTACCGAGCTGCCGCAGTCATTCGACTCAAGCCCCATCGCCAGTCGCAACGACATGTCGCAGCCAGAAATGACTGACATGTGCGAGCCTTCTGATACCACTTGGGACGAAATTCCTGTGGAGACGGACGTCTGCACGCAGATTGATGCTCTACCCGACGACCCAATGCCAACCTTCGACGACGAGCATATTCCAGAAGCCTACATTGAGGGTGGTCTTCACCTCACTGAACTTCCAGGTTATACTGATGCTGTAGTAGAGGTTGAAGACTCTGCAATGTTGCCTCATGTCAGCATTTTCGGCGCGCCACCTGGACATGTCCTAGAAGGTAGAGCAGATCTTTTCCTCTCGAGCCAAGGTTCGATACTCAAAGATGCAGGATCTGTTGTTGAGAAAGTCGTTGACAACAGCGCGCCGGTTGAGCTCGAGATCAATGACACGAGCTACATTCAAACTCAGTCCGGACAAGCAGGTTGCGGGCTTCAATTTGTCGCAGACGAACAGGAGAAGAGCGTCCTTCAAGAAGCCCCCAGCGACGGTGATGGTGATACGTCCATGGTCCTGAATGAAGAGGATGCAGACGACGAAGATGATCCAATTTCTGAGATTGATGGTGGAGGCGACCTTGTGTTGAAGAAATGGGATTTACGGCTACCGACAAGCGATTCGAGACGAGGCTTCACTTCGACCTGGAGAGACCAAGATGAGAGTGGAGACTACGATCCAAACGAGAGTCTTCCACGCAAACGCACCAAGAGAGTTCGCAAGATATCTCCCAGCCATCAGACATGCAATGTCACGGGTTTCGATTTGAGTGAAGGCGCAACTATCGAGGGCGAAGGAATCACCGGCGGAATAACGAGCGATGAGTCGTCAGAGCCAAACGCGGGCCTCATGGTTTCCCTGGCTTTTACGACTGACAAGTGTAAAGGTGCTTTCAAGAGCATGCTCGCCCGCTTGTCGGTCCAGCAGAGCACACGGAAGCGTGACCGCAACCTCAAAAGGCAAAGACGAACCGAAGGGCTGGAATCGGTCGATCTGCGTGTTGACTTCAAGAACAAGCCTATTGCCAGGTGTTGCTGGACGTGCGCCAACATTCACGGCGAAGATGCGGCCGTTGTTGTAGATGGCAAAGCCGAGTGCTCATTGGCGACTGATCCAACGCAATGGCCTTGCCTAGCTTGCTCTGAGGTCGGCGATCCCTGCGCTCTGATCACAGAGCCAGTTCGAAAGCTCGCATGCGAGGATTGCAAGCGGCGACACGTGCCATGCTCCTTTAATTCGACTCGGAATCACATCGGTCCTTGTCAGCAGGTACGCTATGACCGACCAAAACCAACGTTTACGAATCCAACTGACCACCTTTCTCGATATGTAGTGTAAGATCGCAGGCCATGAGTGCATTGCAGGTCCTGTCAAGGAGGCCATCGTACCTCGTCTCGAGTACAAGCTTGTTCTTGAGGGGGGCTTCCCGGTTCTTAACAGCGACAACCAGCCGACGTACACTTGTGATGCTATCATTAAGGAGGGCGGTCACAAGAAGCGTCGCCCCATCAGCTGTGTAGAATGCTCTGATGTTCACGCGCCTTGCACTTATGAAGGTAAATGGGGTGCTTGCAACGAGTGTAAGCGCACTGGTAATGCTTGCACGATTCCTCACAAGAACGCACCCATCAAGAATACCACCACTCTCTTTGGATTCTCTGAGCCCAGCAAGTCATCTCCAGTGGCCGGAGGTCTTTCAACCGACGAAACGCCTCTCTGTGATAGTGGTGCTGGCCACTGCAACAAGGAGAGGCATATTGACGGCCCACGAAGAACGGTGAGAACAATAACCACAAGCTTCAGCCATCCGATGAGCTTCAATTGCGATGATGAGACGTCCAGCAAGCCATGCCATCTCTGCGAACAGCCCGCTCTACGATTTGTTGGATTCGGCAAGGTGGAGGCCTCTGTCATCGACTACGATGACAACAGCGGCTTCGTGGAGATTGATGGCGGCCATCGAAGCACATTTGTCGAGCCCACCGCGCTTTGTACAGGATGTACAACTGCGGGCCTTTCCATCATCATGTGCAACATGCATCAAATAAGTCCGATTCCCAACATCAACTACACGACTCAAGCCGAGGAGAAAGCACTCAGCGACGTGCTAGAGGGGAATCTCAAAGAAACCGATCTGGGAGCCTTTTGCTCAATCTGTCCTGGTCTGGCTACTTTGCAGTGCACTGCAGATCAAGAGGACGGTCCAACTGGTTGCGGTCTGAAGCTATGTGGTCGCTGTACGGCGACCCTTGTGGGTCGGTACGACGGGAGTCTCGGTGATATGCTGGCGCACGAGACGGGAGTGGCCACGGAGGACGATCCTCTTGGGTTTAGAGCGGACGTGGAACTACTCAAGACCGACGGTGTTCTGATGAGATACCTCATGTGCCTGAGCAAGTCGTAGAGCGGCTCAGCGGGAACTGGATATGAGTCTGCGCGACAATGCCAGAGGCTTAGGTAGCAATCCCGGCATCGTTCCGACCTGTAAAACAGATTGTTAAAAGACACCTCTGAGAACCGGTCGAACCTTCAAAAATAATTGCATGGGTCAAAATCCAGATGGAACGACCACCTCCCACGCCAGGGGTTAAGACAAACGTTCCGCGTGGGATTCGACCGCGAATGTACCCAACATCGTACTAGGCAAAATATCCCCTAGCTCGTGTCGTCTCTCCGATTTGTATCAAATTCCCAGTAGGTTCAGATGCTTTCCCGTTCCTTGTCAACTGCGCAAAGCCGCAGGTGATTGATAGCCCCACTACACCAACCCTAACCCTAGTTCTGCAATGTTCGTGCAACTATTGTTCATCGAGAAAGTATAAGTGCAAAATTGTCATGCCTGTGTCATATGACTGGATCCATTCCAGATGCGACTCGCATCATTCGCAAATGTATACCCCAAATCAGTGAGCCTTTTCAGTCGAAATACCAGCTCTCAATTCAATCAAGTGTTTGTCTTCGCCATGTCCTGATAGTTTTGCCCAGCATGTTCGTATTCCGCACAAAAGTACTTATCGATGCGTTTTGCCAGCCACTGAGTGAGCTTCGCCAGCTCCTCACGCAGACGAGCGACGGCCTGAGTGTCCATGTTTGTGTGCGCAATCAAGTCTGGCATGGAGACTGCGTGAGTGTCAGTATGCTTCTCATCCGCCATGGCCGTTCATCGTGTGGAGTACTTACCGAATAATCTCAGTAGATGCTCGCACCCGTACATGTCGCAGAGAGTCTTGCCTGCGTGGTCGCCATGACCAGATTCAACTTGCTTGTGGATTTCGTAGAACTGCTGGCGCTCAAAGCGGTAAAGCAGAATTCGGCCCAGCGACTTATTGAAGTACTCCTTGATGCCAGCGATGACCTCTTCAAGGATGTCCGCCTCGGCAGATCCAGGCCGTCTGTGGATGCTTTCCGCTTCGTTGTAGTCGTCGAGGAATTGTGTGATGGAAATTGGAGCCGGCATAGGCACGAGCTTCTGGTCTTTGGTGACCTTTTCCCAATCATCCACAAGGATCGACTTGAGCGAATCTGGCATGAAAAGTCGCACCGCTGGTCGTCGCACAAAATCGTCCTCCTAAGCATATGTTGTCAGTTCCAAAGTCTTGGGCGTTGCGGTGGCATTTTGCGAAAGTCTGTCGACAAGTCTCTTTGCTCTCCGCAAGTGACGATGAAAGGATGGCATAACGAGAGAACAATGGGTATTGCCGAAGCATGACCCTTTGCAAGGCTCTCCAGGGATGGTTCTTGCACGCACGTGGATATGATGAAAAGTGATAGAAACACATACCTTGTCAATCCCTTCAATCTCGCGGCTTCTCTTGGTACCCCGAGGAGGAGGCGGTGGTACTGCAGAGCTGCGATCCTCGCTGCCACGTGCTAAAGCAATCGTCAGACCAGTTCCATGTCAAAGGCTTTCACTGGATGACTTGCCATTGGTCGCGCGTTGCTGCGTGTTCAAGTCTTTCCTCAGATTGCTTGCGAGGTCTCTATTCTCGTCTGTGAGTTTGCGGACTCGCTCCTGCGGAACCCAATCATCCCAACTGTAGTTCTCGCGGTCAGCATATGTATGCGATAATGGTACGAAATGGCCAGCGGACGTTCACAATCTGTCGCGATTTCAACAAGCAGACATGAATGCAGGGTGAGAATTGCTTGAGATCGCGTTGAGAAACCGGAAGCGTCACTGTCATTCCTTCTTGCGCGAGGAGGGCGAGGCTCGAAGCATGAGGAAATATCGGCTGAAGAGATGAAAGATGAGATGGCCAGGTACGTACGTGTTTTTCCAGCCTTTGTAGTGAACACGGTAGACGTAGCCTTCCTTTTTGTCGTTTGGGTCTTTCATCTTGCTGTCGAGGACTTTGGCCTCGTAGAGGAGTTCGCCGTGGAAGCAGAGTACTCTCTCATCTTTGATGTACATTGGCTGCGGATTCGTCGAGGGTGCCATTGTGATTGAGTTTTTCTGTGACACGTACGCGGTGAAAGTTTTCTGGTAAGAGGTCAAGAGGGTGTGGTTGTTGAGTTCGGGAGAGAGGGAGATGGGAGGTTTGGAAAGTTTGAGACGCACAATCGACACGCGACACGCGCTCGGGCTTCACGACGAATATTTTCCACAATAGGCACTGAGCACAAAATRAAGTGGATCCCGCACTCTCAGTGGCTTTTTTGATTCACTCGTCTTATGTCGCGAGAATGGAAAGCTAAGGTGGACGTTGCAAACGTAAAGGTGTATTGAATATTTACAGGCATGGGAGGCTACATATTGCTAACTCAGATATGATCGCCTTGTGGAGTGCACGCTAGGCATACAGACAACTAGAGAGGACCCGCAAATAGCTCCAAAGCATGCTTTAGTACCCTATCCTTGGGTGCAATTCCATCAACTGCCGATCTGAGCGTGGCATCGCAGAGTGAAGACGGTGTTCACATCTATTGCAGCATGTTAAGCGGTCATCTGTCCCCATACCCACGCCTTACAAGAGCGAGAATGGGAGCCGCAGACCGCCACTGATTGGTTCATCCGAGCATGTTCACCGCTGACACGAAACACGAGAAAACTCGGGTATTAGTCCTCACGACCTACCGTATATTGGTGTTCCGAAGAGTGATGTCGTCCGGGCGGAACGAACAAAACGGCAACGACCTACCTTGCCTGCAGGGAAGTCGGCTTGCCTACATGTACGAGAGTTTCGAAGCTATAAAGGTTGCTTGATGAATATGTGTGTCTTTGTAAATTGTTGTAGGAGCTTACTAACCTGTCGGGTCCTGCTTCCAAGATGTTCACTGCAGCCGAACACCTGCAGTCTTCTGCCTCTTTGACTCTCTGCCTTGCACATTGGTCATGCCACGCTCGTCGACGCTGAGCATGCCCTTGGAAGACTCCTTCTTCTCGTCCTCAATCTTCTTGAGACGCTTTTCAGTCTTTTGCTTGCCTGAGCCTTTGCCGTGGAACATATGACTGAGATGTTTGAAGGCTTCCTTCTGGTTCATGGAGCGACCGTATTCATCGTTGTACCTCAGCTGCACGTCTGGACGGTACTCTTTGTTGAACTTTTCAGCAAGCAAGCGAGCGATGTACTGCTCCCTTTGGTCGTTCTGCTGGCGTGCCTGGTTCTCACGGTCGCGGTTACTCAGCTTGTCGTAGCGGCCGCTGCGACGATCGGCTTCACGCTGCTCGCGAGCTTTTCGGTCGTAGTCGTCGATCAAGTGCTGCTTCTCCGCCAGGAAGTTCTGCCGACGGCGCTCCTTCTCAGCCAGATCCTCCGAGGCGGGGTTCGCAATCAAGTCGCGCTTGCGTAGCATTGCGAGCGTTGCCGCAATGCCCTGGCCAGCCATACTCTCTTCTTCTTCGAGTCCAGTAGCGGTAATGTCCTGCGCGGTCCTCTCAACAGGCTCGTCCTTGTCTTGCAGAGCGCCATACGACTCCTGAGCCATGTTGACGTCACCGTCTTCGTCCTCGTCATCTTGCTTATGAGCCGGCTGCGGAGTTTTGCTCTGTCTCGCTCTGCTTGGTTCTTCTTCTTCTGGCTTCTTGAGGTTAGCGACAAACTCAGTAGTCTCGTCAATGACCATGCCACCATCTTCGAGCTCTGGCTCATCGATTGGCATTTCCTCGCGCATCTGTCGAGCGACCTCTGCAGCATCTGTTCTCTTGCGCTTTTTCAGGGCCAGTCGACGCTGTTCAGCTAGCTTCGCCTGAAGATCATCGTCATCGAATTCGAACACGGGCTTTTTGGTCACTGCAGTGTTGTCCACATCCATTGCATCCGCATCAGCAGTGCTCGCGGGCTGCACAATAACGTCATCGTCGTCCGCGGCCCTTTGGCGAGTCTTCTTCTCCTTCTTGCCCTTCTTGGGCTTTTTGACTTTGATTGTCGACGGGTCGACGTAGTCGGAAGTGGGGGCATCATCCTTGAGCATATCCAAGGAGATTTGAATGCCTTTGCTCTTTGTCTGACCATTCTCGCTTGCTCTTTTGCGTGCTGCTTCAGCTGCGGAGCTGCCTTGTCCATCCAGAGTGAAGCGCTTCTGTTGCTTGCCATCAATCTCCTCGTCGTACTTGGAAAGAACGTTTTGCTTCTCTCCCTGCTCCGTCGGGTCATAGTCCGGCCGTTTCTTGGCCAAGCGTAACCTCTCCTCAAGTTTCTCCTTCGCCTTGAGATCGGCACTTTCCAGCTCGTCGTCCTCACTCTCATCACCAATCTCAGTATCCTTAAGCGTAAGAACCTGCTCGCCGGTGAAGTCGTCAAACTGATCAGCCTCGTGTCCGACTTTGACCCCAGCAAGATCTTTGGCAGTGTATTCCACCTGCTGCTGCTCCCGCGCGGCCAGTTCTTCTTCGAGCTTCCGCAGCTTCTCGATCTTCTTCTGGCGCTTCTTCTGCTGCAACAGCCATGTGCGCGTGTCAACTTCTTCGTCTTCGTCCGCTTCGCCCAAGCCTTTGCCCTCAAGCTTCGCAGTTCGTGCCGCTCGATCTCGTGCCTTTTTCGCCTCTTCCTTCCGTTTCTGCCGCTCGAGCTTCTCCTTCTTCTCAGCCTCAAGCTTTTGCCAGTTACTCCCGGCAGCTGCAGCACGCTTGTCCAGGGTGCTGAGGTCATCGCTCTCGTCGCTGTCGCTGCCCGAGTCATCTCCTCTGAATTGAGGTCCGCTTTGGCCGGGAACTGCCAGCGGTGCCATACCAAGCGACACCCGGACCTTATTCATCTGCTCAATATCGGCGACGGACGTCATCTTGGCGGCTGTCGATGTGGTTGCTGTTATGATAAGGAGGGGAAGATGGAAGTTGAAGTCTTGTCGGAGGTGAGAAGCGGGCAAGCGTGACCACATGCAAGCGGGGCGCTCCGGGATCCGAGCGCCAAATTACGTGACTACTTCCAAAATTTTCGACCGCAGTCCTTCTTCGCAAAACAATGACCTGTGTCCAGCGGTCCTTGCGCGCTTCCGGGCGCTGCAGGTTGACTGCTGCGACATTTCGACGATCATGGGACCTTCACTACTATGGAGCACGCTCGGTCGACAGGTCTTAGAGAGAATGCGGCTCACATCTTGAGCTCTACGTGAGCTCGGTGTGCAGTCCGGGCGCTATATTCCACTTTGTCCCAGAGCCCGTCGGGCCTTGATTGGGGGAACAAACCATAGCTTGCCTACATCACATCCGTCAGATTCTACCATCATAAGGATGTCAACTCCATCGCCCGTGCTGCGGTTCCTACACTCTGCAAAGGCCGCAGAGATATTACCAATGAACGGCGATATGGTCACAAGTCGAGATTTGATGGCTTTTCAAAGTTTCCCGTCTATATAAGTATCATACACAGCACTCTATTGCTCATAGCGGTCAAATTTCCACAATGCTTGGGTCCTTCGCTATCTCCTGGTAATGCAGAATCAAAAGTCGTTAGTAGTCGTCCACCAGCGCATCGCAGCGCATCACAATCTTGCCCTCCGGGCTTCCAAAACGCGAAAAAGCTCTGCGAGCAAAATGTCTTTTACGCCGTACGCCCTCCCGTCTCCTCGTCAACAGAGGCTGTAGCACTGCTGTTGCCTGCTTTCCGGATAACCTTGAACTTGGGAGCGTCTGCGGGTCTGGGCGCCACTCCCTCGCCATAGAATATCTCAGCAGCAAACGTCAAGCCCGGACTGCCGTCACGGCTACCTGCCCACACCTCGATACGGTCGCCAGTATGAAGCCGACCGTAATTGCCTTTGCCGTGCTCACCTTCCGTCAACTGCACGCCGTTGATGCGCACGCCGCGGCTAGCGTGCGTACGGATTCCGCAGTACAATCCAGGGAGATGGGTGAAGTCGGCGCCTTCTGGCACCTTTTCAATTCCAGGCGCGTGGAAAAACACCCACAGTCCGAGTTTGGGAACGCGGGTGTCGTTCCTGTTGGGGAAGACCACTGTGTTTTCCGGACTACGTCCCCAACTTGTGCGAGCGGCGTTCAGCTCGATCACGGTTTGAGAGAAGGAGTCATCCGTAGGCACGAGTCGACCAAATCGCGGTCGGGTGCTCGGCAAGGCTCGCGCATTGGCACTCTGCTGCTTGCTGCTGGTACCGCTGATGGCTAAAAGCTCGGGATAAGAAGTTTCCTTTTGAACATCGACCCCAGCTGCGCTTTCACTGCCTGCTTCGCTGCGTCTGCTGATTGTCGTGGGTATCGATGTGCTCTTTGGAATGTAAAGAGGCTCGGCAGAGAAGTCATGCCCGCTGGCTTTTGATGCGTACTCTACCGTGTGCGTGCTTGGATCATTCGGGTCCCACCAGAAAGATGGAGGGAGCGGCAAGTTTATCCGGCGCCTGAAAGGCACAGGCGCTGGCGGCTTAGGCGTGTTGTCTGGCAATACAGCTGGCATCTCCTGCGATGGGTGCTCCCCGACGCTACCCGGAGTCTTAGGTGAAGTCGGTTCGCTTCGAGACCCAAGGTCACTGCCATCGCCATTGGATGAATTGGGATAGGGGGAATCCATGTTCAGGTCCCGAACCAACGATTCTGCCCCCAACAGACTTGGAGACGCCTCCAAAGGCTTAAGCGAGTCGATTTGACCGCTGCGCGGGCTGCCTTGGGACAAATGCCGACCTTCACGCTCCTTGAGTTGGTTCGGAGCTGCCTCTTCACCAATGTTGTTCTGACGCATGGCTGGTAGGTCAGAGTGACTGATTTCACCGAACAGCTTTGGAGGCTTTGACTTTGCCGCATCTTCCGACAGGGACGGTTCCTGTTCCTGCTCTGATTCCTCCAGGATGATCGGTATTGCTTGGCACTGCTCCACGCTCGACTCCATCACATCGCCGTGCTGCTCGCGATAATCCATGTCGTTCGTTTTGAAGCGCTTGGATTGACGTGGATCAAAGAAGCTGTAATCCGATTCGTTCAAGCTGACCTCGCTGTACTGACTGTTCAGCGCCGCGACGTCGTACTCCTCCCGAGCTCCTAGTTCCGCCTCGGAGACCTCTGCGATCATGCCCAATCCAGCCTGTCGTGGGGAAGCTGCCCGTCGTAATGCTGATGCTTTGTGAGGTCCAAACCACTCATGTTGCATGCAGTATAAGGCAGATGGTCGCGCCGCTGGATCGGTATTAAGCATCTGCACCAGCAAGGCAACAGCCTCTTCTGAAGTCCCTTGCCTCGTCAGATCTGCCGCGTCCAGAGGTGTCATCATAATCTTATCGAACATGCCGCGGCCGGTGTTATCGGCAACGCCCTCGAAAGGCGGCTTATGACACAAAGAGTACCACAAGACCGCCCCGAACGACCAAATGTCAACCGCCTGGCTGTAGCTGTGGAACCTGTTCGCCGGCGGCATCTGCTTTCGTGGCCGCTTTGTTCCTTGACCGGCGACGTGGGCATCGTAATGTGGAAACACTTCTGGCGCACAGTAAAGGAGCGTACCGCAGAAGGTTTTGAGGAAAGTGTCGTTGTCCTTCACAGCCTTAGAAAGTCCAAAGTCCGAGAGCTTGATGACGAAGTTATCATCATCTAGCGACGCGATGAGTATATTGTCGGGCTTGATATCTCGATGCGTGATTCTCTTGTTGTGTAAATAATGGAGGGCATCAAAAACCTGTGTGGCCATTTGCTTAGCCATGGATTCTGACAGAGGTCCGTATTCGGTCAGATGCTGCTGCAAGTCGCCGCAGGCAACGAACTCCATGATGATGTACAGATGGTTTTGAATATCCTCGTGTTCGCAGTATTGCACGATGCTTGGGTGGCTGATGGACTGCATGATCTGCATTTCATTCTCGAGCTTACGGTCGAGGATCCCGTTCTTGATAAACTTCCTCTTCTCAAGTTCCTTGGCTGCAAACAGCTGGCCGTCTCTCTTGGTCGCCAGTTGGTATACGCTGGCAAAGGCGCCTTTGCCAATTTGGCCAACGACGTTGTACTTGTCGCCTCCGCTCCAGTGCATTCCGTACTGATTCTGGATCATTGGGGCCTTGACAGACGTGTGCTGCTGCCTCGGGTGTGCTGGCGCGAGCCTTGGGTTCAGCAGCAGCTCGTCACCCTTGCGCTGCCGGTACCTCATCTCGTCTGCAGACTGCCTGGCCATATAGCGACGGTATTGGGCCTCGTACTGTGCTTGAAAGCCGTCTCGGGATGGAAKGCGCACGATAAATTTGAGTATTTCATCGTTGTTGTACGAGATGATGGCGATGATAGAGCCATGGCTCAGCATACGAGACTTCGGGTGATGGTCGCTCTTCCCTTTGAGTAGCACATCGTCTACCATAGTGCCATTTGTCGACATGTCCTTAAGCATGAGAACGCCTGAGTCATTCATGTAGACGGCGAAATGCAAATTGCTCACCCGTTTATGGACGTCACCGTTGACCGCGATGTCACATAGGTCCGCGTTTCGCCCAAAGACAAAGCCAAGCGCGGGCTGAATCGTCCTTGTCGAGAAGCGCAGCGCTAGGTCCAGAGCCTGATTGGAAGCGTTATCGTTCAGCACAAAAGTCTCTTGCTCCTCCACCATGCTCGGTGTGACGTCCGAGTCGTGCCTGCCCAGGTTGGCATTTTGAAGTATGTGCTCTGGAGCTCGCGCAGCAGTTTCCGCTACTAGTTTGAAAGCGGCTATCGTTGTTGGGTGCAGGATACACATCACATCTGCCACGTCTTCTGCAGACAAGCCAGAGTTGTTTCTGCCCATACGCCTTGGATCGACCACTCCTTGAGTGCATTGTGTCGATTCGTTTTCCTCCATCTTGCGTTGTGCTGGCGTAACTCGATTGAGGTCTTATTGGGATGCCGGTCTTGTATGTGAGCGGACGGGCCGATGTGTTAGGCAACCGATCGGTGACTCCTCTAGGTGATGGCCGTGTGTTCAGAGCGGAAGGTGCTGTATGTGGTTTTGGCGGATACTGCGATCCAGGCAGCACACAGCTCGTGGAGGACGTTCGCTCACAGAACACGCAGCTATTGGGTCTTCAAACAGCACTACAAGTCCAAGTTAGAGCGGCGTTCCCAGCCCAGCAGTCACCAGGGGTGGCGTGCCTGGAGGGTCAGCTTATCCTCGCTATAAACATGTAGGTCGCCCGAGTCTCGCTGAGTCGCTGGTGACCAAGACGGCTGGAGTCGTTGTTAAAGACCTGAAGGTCGTCTCCTCAGCGCCGCAGACGCACACAATTGCTAACAGAGAACGGATTCGAAAGGCGAATGTACAGGCGCGGAGTGTAAAGCCATGAAAATGTTTAGGCCGCCATTGATCGTGAAAGTTCGAGGTTGAGTTGACGCGGGCGAGGGACGCGGCTGTGAAACGCGAACCTTAAATCGGAGATAACTTAAAGTTAGCGAACATCTCTCATCTATGCGGACATTTGCCGCGAGTGCATTTGAATGCAGGACTGAGACCAAGAAAAAGACATGCGAAGGATCTGTGAATGGTGGATACATAAGTTCATTCCAACCGGCGGTTCAACGCGCAAAACCATCAATCCGCAAGCAAATATGCATATTTCAATCTTCACAGTTCGTTCACACAAGATGGAGGGGAGGCATATCGGTCTGGAGCTGCGTTTTCTTGGGATATATTTACGTGTTGCAAGCTCGACTCTTTTGTTATATCGTTTTCTACTCGTTGAGCTTGACGTAGTTTGCAGGGAAGAGACCTGCCTTGCCGTTGAATTCACCAGACCACCAGTTCTCGTCGGGGAATTCCTGAATTGCATTAGCTAACAACGCTCTTCGCGACTCGGTCTTCGAGGAAAAACTCACCACATTCGTGATCGTCGCGCCATCCGGGAAACTGAGTTCGTTTTCCTCTGCTGCTTCGTATTCGTATTCCGCAGTCGCCGTCGGCAGGGCACCCGCTGGCTGAGGCGCTGCGTGGCCGGCCATAGGTGGCGATGGGGGAGCTGCACCCGCACCGCCCTCGATTAGCTCGACATAGTTGCTCGGAAACAGGCCTTTTTCGCCCTTGCTGTTCTCTCCAATCCACCAGTCGTCGTCTACCATTTCAATGTTGACAATACGCTCGCCTTCTTGCAGCTCAATCTCATTGGCCTCATCCTTGGTGTAGTCGTATTGTGCGATCGCCTCCTTACCACCCGCATCTCCGGCACCGCGCGTGTCCTCGGCATGACCAAAAGTGCTGATAGCAGCTTCCTGAGATGCCAACCGAGAGTCATCGTTTGCTTGCATGCGTTGCTCTGGCTCCGGATCTTGGTGCTCGTCGGCTACTTGAGCAAGTGACGCTGGAACGGCTCTGGGCGGCAGCTGCTCAGCTGGCTCGATTGGGTCCGCACCGCGACCAACGGGCATTGCAATTCGGACGGGAGAGCCCTGCGGGTATGATTCTGGCTCTTCATCTTCTTCCTCATCGTCTGGCACTCCTCGAGGTGGCGGCGGTGGCAATTGCTGATGCTGCTCAGCAGGAACATCGGACGTTCTTGGAGGCAACCCGGGCATCGGTACGCCACGAACTCCCGCATTCGGTTTGCTGGAGGTGTCTAGCGCCGGGGGCTCCGGTGCCTCCCCAGTGTCGTTGCGAGCAGCTCCCATCGGCGCTGCGCCAGCAAATTTGTCTCTAATAGACCCCACCCCGCCGCTAGGAGGCCCGACCTGAGCTTCGCTATCATCCTGACCTGTATGTTGCTCGCTGATACCGCTGCCGCCAGTGCGTGACGGAATCTGCACACCCCACTTCTTTCCCTCATAACCGCTGGCCCAAGCACCACTCGGCTGGCTCTGAATTGGCGAAGCTGTCCTATCTCCAGTGTTAGAGGGTCGCTGAGTGTCCGCGGCCCCTGCATCGCCGCGCTCTCGTGCCTTCTTCTCCGCCCACAACTGTGCAGGTGTCTTCCCGCCCTCGTCGGCAAAAGTCTTACTTGCAGTGCCCACAGGCGCTGCCGTGGCCAAAGGTTTTGCCTGAAAACCGCCAGGTGCAGGGGCTTTGGTGCCTGAGAAATTGCTCGCAGTGGCTCCGAACCGGTTGGCTACCTTGGGCTTCGGCAGCTCTGCCAATCTGCCGGCCTGCTGGAACGCAGCAGATCGGTCTGCGAGGGACTGAGGTGTCTCGCCATCTTCTCCCGCGGACCGTGTCTGTGCTGGTGGTGGTGCCGGCGCGGGAGCACCCTGGGCCTTTCGTCTGATCTCGTTGATGTCCACCTTACCAATTGGCTCGTATGCGCCCTTGACAACAGTCGGCCTGTCATCCTGCACATTCTGYGCCTGCTTCCTAATCGCAGCAATGTCTACTTTTCCTATAGGCTGATAACCGCCACTGACCACGTCCGCCGAACTGTTGGTAGGGCGCGGAGGTGGCTGGTACTGGGATGGCTGTCGCTGATTTTGCAGTTCGGCCATGTTGACCTTGGTAGGTTGGTATGCCGGCGCGACCTTTTCCAGTTGCGATCGCGCAACTGGCGGCGCATCCTGGCCCCATCCATCGTCGTCCACTGCACCTTGAGGCGCAGGAGCCCTGGAGCGCGAACYCAACGCCTGGAAGCCACCGGCAGCGCCGAAGCTCTTCGTAGGGAGCACCGGTTTCGATTTAGTGGGTGGCGGAGGACCGGACGATGGGGCAGACCCACCCCCGCTGTACTTCGAGCCCGATGAGTCCTGCACCTTCTTCACGATGAGCTCAGGCGTCAGATCACGATCCGAACGTGCCGTGACCTGAATGTGGTAGCCGTGCAGCAGCCTTGAGACAGCATTGAGATGACTGGTGAAGTATCCCTTTGTCCTTTCCGGCACCCCCTCACCGCACCACGCGATAAGGACGTTCTTCGGCAGCGTTGTGTTGGGGTCCTTGACTTTGACGAATGCGAATTGAATGCGTCCGTCCGAGAAGTCTTCAATGAGATCCACCAATTCGCCCTCGCCCGTCGTCTGCACAGACAGAACACTCTCCTTGCTAGAGTCTGCCTGAAACGCGTTGGCCAGCGGTGCCTTGACCGAATACAGAGCCCATATTCCATACGTCGGCGAGTTGGAGCCAGGAGGCGCGGCGTTGACGATTTTCTGGTAGCTATTCGCGATCGCAGGTCCGTTTTGGGAGAGGTTCAACGAGGCCATGATGGGAGTCGCCCGTCTGGACGATTGAGGTCTTGCGGAAGTAAGGAAGCGTGCCTGGTTGCACGAGCGCGAGCCCTAGATCCAAAATCTCAGTAGTGCAATGCTAGGTACGATTGAGCGTTGGCAGTGGCAGTGACGATTGAAGTGCGGATCACATGTACTGTCTCAAGCAAAGGTAGGTATAATAGAAAACAGACAAAAGCTATGATGAAGTTCCACAGGAACAGCTGCTGACTGAACATACGTCAGGCTAAGAACTAACACGTGGCCGGGCAGGGCGATGAGCAGGGCGCTTGCGTGTACGAATGAGTAGTGTTCGTAACCACGCAGGTATCGATATTCCGCATGAGCTGGCATGCGCAAGTATTGATGTACGAAAAAGACAAGATCATGCACAGAATGGCGACACGGAGCTATTCATGCGGCTCTAGCACGGCAACTTGAGGATGATCACGTCTGCCATGCTCTACCTATCTTCTCATTCATCTGCAGTTGTTGCCGCTCCAGACAGCTTGTAGTGTGGGATCATTTTCGCATGGAAGCAGTGACACACGTGTTACCGTACTGTTGGCATTGTTGGTTGTATTGGAAGTAGGTAGGTAAGGTACCTAGTACATGCAGCGTAGTCAGCGAAGAACGAAGCTACCTTACCTAAGGTTCTTGAAGCGTCCCGTCGTGCGCCTCACTCTCAATCAACAGCATCCAACAAGACTCGCGCTTGAAATCGCTGCTGTTGCACTCTGTCTTGGGTCAAGTGCTGTTTCTGCTTTTAACATATCTCTTCTCTAACTACAGATGGCGCGACTCATCCAAGCTTGAACGCGACTTGCTGTTCCGAGTCCTGACCATGGCCGAACAACGGGCTGACAGCGAGGCTCCTTCTTCATCGTCGTCCGACTTTTATGCCTCCGACCCTCCCGCCGCGGACCAACAGACCTCCCCGGTCCCTGTCGCCGACGCCGACGCCGCCATGACCCGCGCCCATAGCTCACAGCCATATGCGACAGAGTTCACCGCTGCGACCTTCCCTGCAGCCGCGCATGGCAGTACTGGCGCGGCAGGACACGACAGTGACAGTGACCCAGGCTCCGAAATGGACTGCTCTTCGCCGAGTGCGCCGCCTTCTCCAGGACTGGAATCCGCGCCTGCCATACCTGTGCCCGTCGCCGTGAATCACCACGCTGGTGCTAAGCGCAAGCTATCCGATACTGTGGATGCTAACACCGCGGCTGCCATAGATTCCCTCGAGGACCCAGCGAAGAAGCGCAGAATGGTGATGTCCGCTCTGCCTGTTGATGCGCCTGGGACACCACCCCGGACTGCGCGATTGCCAGCCGAAGTGTGGCAGCGCGTCTTCATGCATCTATCCCCTGCGATGCTCTGCCGCTGTCTACGTGTTTGCAAGCCATTCAATATGTACCTTACACACCTTACGGCCACACCCGCGTCGAAGACGCTACGGCGAGAACACACCAGGGCTCGTGTTGTGGACAGCGAATCTATTTGGATACATTCCCGGAAGATTCACTTCACTACAATGCCTAGGCCGTTGGCTGCATTTTCCGAATTGGATATGCTGAAGCTGGTAGGTGGCCGAACTTGTCAGTTTTGCGCCAGGACCCCTGTCCCCTCTCCCGCGACCTCGCTTTTCAATGCTGGCCCTGGGCCTAATGGACTGCGCGTGATCTGGCCGTTTGGGATTCGAACCTGTGGCTCGTGTCTTGAAACGCGCATTCTCAAGGTAAGCCTGGAACCGCAACTCGTCGATTGCTCTTCAGACGTATTCTGATTCCTATAGGACATTCAAGTGCTTTCCGACCCTTCCCTTGCCCAGCTTCGACTTGGAGTACCTTACGGCTTCCGCTCTCCCGAACTGCATTTTGTTACAGACTCCGTTCGCCAAATGCCAGGGGGTATCCCGGGTAACCTGCGATTCGCCAAAGTCTACTACATCCCAGACCTGGAAGCCATAAAGGCCGAAGAGGAGAACGCCAAGACACTTGGAGATGGCGCTGCAGATGAGTGGCGCAAAGGTCTTGCAGCCCAGGGTAAAGATGCCATGGCAGATTGTGGCCGATGGGAAAAGTGGGAACTGAATATGCGTCCTGGCGCAGACTTGTCACAAGTGCTTAGGGAGTGTGATCCTTCTTCTTTCCCGCGCTATCTTGGGGAGACCCATGGTAGGTCTGCTGGAGTAAATGGTACTCAGACTCAGCCACCTCCAATGGCCAACGGTAAGCAGCATTTCCGTCGCGACCTCGTTCAGTCTGCCTTCTTCTTGAAGGATCCCTTTTCATGTCTCCACRTTCTTGCTGCGTGGTGTCGGCTACGAAGACTGCAAGCGTGATCATTACGAGAGTCTGGAATTGACCTAACCTGAAACTCACAGGGACCCATCCGCTGCCCCAGCCTGTTCATGTGTTCCATAATGCCCATCAGAATGGGTATGGGGCACTGTATCAACCGCTTTCTCAACCTCAACCCCAGCCTCAACCTCAACATCCGTTCCCACAGCATCATCGTCCGATGAGAAATCTTCAGGAGGTAGAGGAAGCTCGTCAAGCCCGAAAAGCCGACATTGAGCGCAGATGTCGAGAGATGGAGCCGCCAGTGGAGCCAAATGTTCTCCAGCACATGGAATCATTCCAAGCAGCCATGCAAATCACCACTCCTATGACAGATAACTCGTGGGCCATGCTCAAGCCTCGGATATTGGACCAACGGGAGCGGGCAGAATACGTTGAACACGAAAGAGCCTCCCAATTGGCCGCTTTGCAGGCCGCTATGCCCTCATCCATGATGGAGGACTACATCCCAAAGCCGGCAAAGGAGACATATGACCGCGAGTACGAGCAAACTCAGGACTCGCTACGAAAACGGCTTGGCGAGTATGCCACAGATTACATCAACGGCCAGTGGGGCGGAGGCAAAATGCTGGAGAAGGAAWACTCCCCAATATTTGCAGCGCAAGTTCTGCTGCATGTCTATAAACGTTACAACGAGGACAAGCAGCTGGGATTGTTACCGAGACTCGAGCCAACTGCGAGAAGGACCCACGGAAAGCAGGGATCCCCAGTACCTGAGCCATTTCTCTCTCTCGATAACATGAAGTGGGTCTATGACAATAAGGTCCGACCCCTGACCGATCCTCTGCGCCGCGAGCAATTTCTTTGCGCAGGTTGCACAGAGGAGAAGAAACCCAAATGGTTTGCATTTGAGGGGCTTATTCAGCATTATGGAGCGAAGCATACCACAGCTTTCAGCAGAGGCAACATTGTGGTCCATTGGCAGACGTCCGACTGGCCGCAGGAGGCACCCTTCCACACTAACCCTGGGCAATGGCTCAAGTTGGATCGTCGAGTCTCTGCCCATAATCGTCTTCGGAACACACCGCAAGCCAACACCGATGGCGCGTATCATTCTGCGACGCCCGCTCTTCACGACGGTTCGTACCATGCAGGCTCGAATGGCTTCCAGCAGGTTGGACCTCATGCATACCAGCCACCTCAACATCCCCAGGCGGCCACTGTTGACATCCACTACCCAACGGAAGTGATTCCCTCGTCGAACTCCGACCAAGACTACGACCAGCAGGTCGACAAACTTGCCAAGGACGCTCGTGAGGCATGGGACGCCATGGAAGGCGTCAAAGATCTCCTGGAATGCATCCGTGTTCACACGGCCATTCACCACAGTGTGCTCCGCTTTAAAGAGACCTATTGCCAGAAGCCCACGCTCGACATGCTCACAGAGGCAGTCACCACGAACGCATCGACGCGTCCGCTGAAGAATGCTCATGGTCTCGCTTGTAAGCCGTGCGTTGCCACATCTGTGAACGGGGTTTCCAATCACGGCTCGTATTGGACGCGAATCAGAAGCGCGAAGCTCTATAATACGTCTTCCCTGGCTACCCATTTCAAACTCATGCATCAAACCCAGGATTTTGGGCAGCTGGATTGGACTACCGAAATGATTGAGCTCCCGGACGGCGATATGATCAAAGAACTCCTTCGCACGCCCGGCATGGACGACAGCAAGTTGGCATTGGTCGCAGTCGCGTTTCCAGGCGTTTTCTCGCTGCCATTGCCTATCATAGGCACAGTTACTGAGCAGTACGACGCCGCAAGCGACACCGCTCCTGCGAATCGATTGCTGAGTAGACTTGGGAAGAAGCAAAAGAATCAAAACCAGCCGAAGAAGAAGGGGCAAAAGAAAGCCAACGGTTCACCAATCGACCGCGACTCCTCGCAAGACCCACTGCCTGAGCCTACCGAAGACGAGTACGATCCTCGTCGTCCGATGTTTGTGCCCGCTCAAAAGTCGACCTTTGACCCAGCGCAGTTTGACACCGACGCACGCAAGGTCGTGGATCCGGCACAATTTGATACGGATGCCCGCAAGCCGACCGAAGCACAAGCACCCAGTACTACATCAGCGCACACTTTCAATCTCGCCCCGGAGACTCTCGCCGCACTGCAGAGTCTAAGCGCAATGACTTCACAGCCTAGCCAACCCCGTTCGAGCAACAGATACAGCCGCAGTCCTTCCGTGGGACGATCTGCGCCCTCGGCAGACTACAAAGCAACCCAAGATCCCCCGGTTGTCCCTTCCGMTGGACAGCCTGACATTGCTGCTATTTTGGCATCTTTAACGGGGCAAACACCAGCTACGCAGAATGGACCCCCAACTGCTGCTGCAGGGAACCGTATTGGCAGCGCACCAAGGCAAGCAAATCCCGAGGTGTACCCTCAGACTCCCTTCGAAGAGGCTCGCCGCTCTGTCAGCCGATACGGCGGATCCTATCAATCTCCCCCGGAAGTAGCAGCAGCACGCAATGTACACGATTTGCAGGCAACTCTCTCGAGCAACATGCGCCAATTTGGCCAGAATCAACATCATACGTATGTGGAGGCCTCACATGCCCCTTCGGCCCAACTCGCTCCTAGGTACCAATATGTCTACGAGGGCGGACAGCACTACAGCCAGCCGACATCCCATACGCCTTTGTACAGGGAAGCTCCAGTCCAATATGTGCAGCGATCAGATAGTGAGCATTTTGCAGCGGGTTACCAGTACGAACGGCCGGCACCTCAACCAATCTACGTCGATCAATATGGAAGGCCTCTTGAACTCGTTCCCATTGATTCAGCCCCAGCTCAGGTACAGTACGCGCCGAATCCGTACGAGCAACAGCAGTACGAAAGACGAACTGAGCAACCCGTGTACACTACGATTGCGCATGGAGCGCACATGCAAGACGATCGGCGGCCAGGATACTACGAGCAAGTTGCTCTACCTTATGATAACCCTCGTGGGTCAGTGCCCCGTCCTTGATTGATAAACTTGGGCTTTTGTGCGACTCAGCAAGCGTATGAGGAGGACTCCCTTAGCGCTGCTCATGCGCAGGACTGTATATAAACTCGTAGTGCGTTTTTGATCGGAAAGCGATCGGCGGCCGTCTGCTGCYTTGACCTAGACATTTGATTATTAGCCGGTTTATCGCCCTTAGCATCAGCACGGATGTATGGCGTTATTCGCAGTGATCGCCTATGCCCCCACTTGTGGGCTTTCACTTCTTCGTCAGCTGATGAAGCAATGTCAGTAAATTCCCGGCCCCGGTACTACCTACCTACTGCTTCTCGAGTCCATCAACTTCAGTGGTACCACCTCACATAGCGGACAGGTCGAACAACTTCCTGGCTGGTTCAGGCCAGAATTCATTCATCATGGCACACAGCTCGTCATCGTCGCTGACGTCACCCAAATCCCCGCCAAATGGCAATGGCAATGCTACGCCAGTATCCGACGAAGCACAGTTCATTGCCACAGACGACGAAGATGCGAGCTCGCCGACAAGCGAGCTGGAGAAAAAGCTCCGCTTGAAGATCGATTTGAGGCTTTGCACGATATCAGCAATCCTCTGTTCTCTCAATCTATTGGACTCTGGAATCATTAGCTCGGCATCAGTTACATCAATGCTCACTGATCTGGATCTCACGGGCAATAGGTACAGCGTCAGCATCTTCATCTTTACAGTGGCATCTATAGGATTTCAACTGCCCTCAACGATTGCCGTACGATTAGTTTCTCCTCGAAAATGGTTTGGGCTCATCACCTTCTCATTCGGGTTGATTACCATGTGCACGGCTTTCATTCATACCTGGAAGGAGATGATTGCGTTAAGGGTGTTGCTGGGAATGGCAATGAGTGGCATCTATCCGGTGAGACGACCATGACCTCTGAAACATGGCCTACTTAGACAACGGCTGACTTGAGTCGAACAGGGTCTGAGTTACCTCATTTCCACATACTATGTTCGTAGTGAACAGCAAGTCAGGTTCGCTTTCTTGCAAAGCGGTGAAGTGTTCATCCTTGCTACTGGTGGCATTGTCAACTTTGGCCTGAACAAACTCGACGGGAAAGGAGCGCTTGGAGCTGGTTGGAGGTACATGTACCTCGTACAAGGACTGATTACGATTCTGCTGAGCTTCATAACTTACTTCTGGATGGTCGACTTTCCCGAGAATTGTCACAATAGCCTGTACTTCCTCACAGCAGAAGAACAAGCTCTGGCCGTCGCGAGAATCAACAGGGACCGAAAGGATGTCAAAGCTGAGAATTTCGCCTGGATGAAGGTCCTCCGACACGCGAAGGACCCAAAGGTCTATGCATTTTCTTGCATGTTCTTCCTGCTGAATCTAGTAACAACTTCGTTGGCCTATTTCCTTCCGATTATCCTTCAATCGGGATTCGGTTTCAGCGAGAATAAATCTATCCTGCTCGCAGCTCCACCGTAGGTCACCCTCAAGCGGGCAGGCGAAAGGCTGTCATCCATAGACCCTCTTCATCAGATGCTAATGTTCGAGCAGGTACTACTATGCTATCATCCCAGTCGTCATATCGTCCATTGTCGGCGACCGCTTGAGGCTACGAGGTCCAATCATAGTCTTCAACAGCATATGCTTGATTGTTGGATTCTCCATGCTGGGCTTCGCACAACAGCCTGCAGCTCGATATGTTGGCGTCTGCATGGCTACGGGTGCATACATCTCGAATTGGGTTCGTAGAGGTCGCTAATTTTATGATTTCCAATGCTGACATTGCAACAGGCGGGTATTGTGACCTACCAAGCCAACAACATTACAGGCCAATGGAAACGCGTCTTCACAGCTGCAACCATCACTGCATTTAATGGAGCTGGCGGGATCGCCGGCAGCTATATTGTGCGGCAGAACGAGGCGCCTCAATACTTGACGGCTATATGGGTGTCGATCGGATCGCATGTCCTCATCATTGCCTGTGTGGCTGCTTTTTCGGTGTACTTCTACATCGCCAACAAGCGGCAGCGAGAAGGCAAGATTTTGATCGAGGAGACAGTTGGATTTCGGTATACTTATTGAGCGTCATGCTCTTTCATGTGTAACGAGGTGACGAAATCCATTGACCCATCCTGCTTTCTGTTCGACGCCTCGTCAAAAACCTGTGATATCCAATGATGGATGGCCTCAACCTGTTTGCACGCCATTGTTGGCCAAGAGTGTTCCATCGCTCAAAGGCAAAGCCGCGGCGAGAAGCCATTCCTTCATCAGTCCTGGATCGTCGGCGAGCGTCTGGTTGGCCATAGCATATGCTATTATACCTTCAAAGACGAAATGAGTTAGCATAGTATCCATGGTTCCAACGAGAGGCCCGATCTCACCTGTGACATGGGGCGCAGACATGCTGCTCCCTGAGAGCGAGTTCACCATGTTATTTTCACCAATCCAACTGCTAACGATGCCTACGCMGGGAGCGTAGATGTCGACACAATCGCCATGGTTCGAGAAGCTAGCGCGCTGATCATGGATGTCCACAGCGCCGACTGAGATTGCTGTGCCAGCCAATCCACCTGCCGAAGCAGGGGAGGACTTACAGGCATCGCCGCCATTGTTGCCAGCTGCGACACAGACATGTATGCCGTTTGCAACAGCRGCTTTGACAGCAAAGTTGATTGCCTCTACCGGTGATTTTGAGGCCAGAGACATGGAAATCACCGAGCCGGCAAATTCATCTCCTGCTGCTTTGCGATTGTCGTGTCGATTGACAACGTAATTAATGCCGGCGATGACGCTGGAACTAAGTCCACCGCCATCGGAATCAAGAGCTTTGATGCCATAGAGCCTCGCGTTGGAAGCAACGCCGAGGATGTCACCTGCAGCCGTCCCTGCCTTTGAGCGAGCTTGAATTAGCGGAATGCCATCTTGTTTGACTCCGTTGATGACTTACGACGTGCGTCCCATGACCGTCATTATCCTCCATATCCCCGTTGTGGGACCACAGCATCTTTGCACGGCCGTTGAAGACGTTGTGAGCCTCGAAGATGCCACTGTCGATGATGTAGATATCTGATTTCGCCCCCAGTGTTGGGTCTACGAATGAGTAGGTGTATTGCATGGCAGATGGACTACCGTCAGCAGCCAAACGGTTGGAGATGCGTTGGAGTCCCCAAGGAGCGTTCGGTCTGGTAGAAGCGACCGCACTTCTGCTCAAGGCCACAGCTTGCTCGATGGTAGACACTTCTGTCATGTTCGCTAGTAGATCCAGGCAGTGCGAGTTCATCGAAGCTGCAAACCCAATGAAAGCACTGTTGTTGAAGACATATCGTACGTCGGAATGCTCCTCGTGCAAGTCCAACCGGGCCAGAATCTCTGCGACTTTTGGTGGAGTTGGCAGACTCTTGTCGAGGATGACAATGTGTTCTGCGCCGCCAGAACTGTGAGCCACTGGCGCAGCCGCGATACCAGTAGTGAACACAAGCAGACAGACAAGCAGACACCGGCTGACAAACTTGGCCATCGAACCAAGTGAGTGTCGTGATTCGAACGCTTGAGGAAGAGAAGCCGTGCCTGCACGGAATAATGTCSAAAGAAGAAGACGTGTAGAGAGTGAGCGTCTTGTATTACCGCGAAGGAATCGAGTGAGCGAGAAGAAGAGAGAAGTGCATGAGCGCACATGCAATGCAAATGCAAATGCGAATGCGAATGTAGTGCTATTGTTGTATTTCTAATTGTGAGAGTTCTCACTCTCAACAGCATCAAAATCCTGCGAGACATCGAAACAGGTCGGCACCGTGTGCTGAGACTGTCGCACCAGAAACATCGTTCGGGCGACTGGGCCATCTATCCGGCACGCACATCCAGTGGAAGCAGCAGTATTTGATGGCGAAGCAAATGTGGGAAARCCCTCAATGTGAGGTGAAGTCACCAGTCAAAGATGCTCTTGGCGGTCAACATGAAACAGACGCGAGTGATCCACCGCGCTGGTACGACTCGGGTTGCATGGGCGTCGGCCAAGTCGATTTCACATGTCGCAGCACGGAGCTAGACCGATGCGTGAGCTGTGGGGTTGTGATGGGCAAGAAGATGCCGGGAGATGTGAGAGTCAAGATGATGTTGTTGAACGATGACAAAGGTGAATAATCTAGGCTTCTGCACCTTCAAGCATCATGTGACCCGGCGTCTTTCCACATCTTCGGAGCTCCGTTCGTCCTTCGGCAGTTCACGGTCAAACACACTAGAGCCTGTCAAGCTCAGCAAACAGACGCAACATGCATACTTTGTACAGGCCAAGTACCGCTGCGGTCCCCATCTCACCATTGAACCCGCTTCTTTTTGTCTCTTTTCGCTCGCCAGCTCCATCGCGAGAACCATACAGCTAAAGGATAGAAGTGTAGGTACAGACGTATAGGTAGACCCAAGCCGCCCTCTTCACCGCTTCACAACAGCTCGGCTGGCACGCGAGCACCGAGTCCCTACTGCTTCAACGATGCATCTCGCACCGCCGCCGCCCAATCCTCGCGAGCTACTCCCGCCGTTGCTGGCATGTCTGCCTACATCTTTCGTCTCACCACGACCGCCGCCCGCTCTGCTGCCACTGCTGTCCCCACTCCTACGACAGCGAGTTAACTTCCTCAATGCCTCTGGAACCGAAGGCTGGCTACCTCTACTATCATGGGATCCACAGCGAGCCTCGAAATTGCCGGACGTGATCGAACGAATGGATTTGGAGCCTCATCCCGTCTCAGGAGAGCTAGAGCTCGAGGATCCACGACCTGCAAAGTATAGAAGATTGGATGAAGAGACATTGCACGCACGCATCGAGTTGGAGCAATTTAGTCTCCTGCCGGTGTATGTATGGTGCGAAAAAGACGAGCACGGAGGCACCGATCCTGGCTGGAAGTTGGCAGATTTGCGTGCATTGGATGACGCCGAAGATGGCAGCGAATGGTTCAATTCGCCCTCGGACGCCAACGCGTCTTCTGTGCCGGGCACAGATGCGTTGGCGAACGGACACTCTGCTCAGGCACCCCAAGCTTCACAACAGGAGGATGACGACGATATGAATGACGATTACTGGGCTCAGTACGATCAGACTCCTAGCCGGACCCCTGCGCCGAAACGCTCGCCTGCTCCGATGTCCAGCTCTGTCAACCAATCCTCAAATCCACGACCGGGATCTGAGCAGGAGTACTTTGCCCGCTACGGCTCGGAAGTCCAGCCAGCGCTCGATTCTCACGACCCCGATGAAGACAGTCATGAGATTGGGAGCAGCACGCTGAACGGAGACTCGCTTGTGCATGCTCAAGGTCCGCAAGCTGGCTCAAGTGGTGAAATCAAAGCACAGGCAGATTATCTCTCTTCCCTGCAGCCACATGCTGGCTGGCAACAGACGCAGGACGCTGCGGCATCCGGAGTGAATGGCAACGAGGAGCTGTCCATGCCTCGCGCCATCTCGCCTACTGCATCAAATTCTAGCATCGACCGATTGGAGGAGCAAGCGGCGGCGATGAGCACAGACGGAGGTTCGGATAGAGCCCAGCACGCTATTCAGCAGCATATCAGCACAGACATCAAAAGTCTGTTCCGCCTTGCCAAAACCTCGGGAATGGCAAGATCGGAATTTGAGCGGATAGWKCGTACGGAGTTAGACATGCTAGGCTTAATGGAGCAAGATGAATGATTGAGTTATTGTGTGGAGGCGCAAACTTTGTTGAGCATAGCGAGGCATTCGTGGGCTGCGTTGTATATGTACTCCGTATAGCGGACTTCAATTGTTGCGTGAAGTGCTTGCAATTATTTGCCTTGAGAATGAATAGTAGCGCCTAGTCGATCGAATTTACGACTCACTGGTAGACAGTTTCCCTACTCCTGACTCTCACGACAAGTCAGTATTGCCACTGGTTTTACAGTTTGTTGGTATTCTCGGCTGCTGTAAAAGCACTTCAAGTTCCATCCACTTTGTACAACCCATGTCGCCAAGGTTCCGTCAGATGTCGAAGCCGCAGCCATCTCCGGATCCACATCCGACGCATCGGAACCTAATGATCGGTCTCGGCAAAGCTTGGTAGCCCTCGACAAGCCTTTTGGATGACATCTCTAGCGGGGCAGAGGCAGATTTATCCATGGATATAGGTAACGCTGTGATGTGATGCGATACACTCCAGTCTCCGATGATCAGCGAACATGATCTGTCGAGCAGATCAGACGTGAAGGAGAAGCCGCGAGAGCATCGCATGAGGCATTTGTTGTATCCTTACCCGCTGACTGCGGTCTAAAAGGCGCAGCAAGTGAGCTCCTGCTGCTAGCCACGGCCACGTAAGTCAGCCTTATTCCCTAGCCCGTGCACGCTTCCTTGTCTCAGCCATCCTCCATCCTCTTTACTTGTCGCAATCACCTTGTACGTCACTCTACAACTCTCAACATCTTCCTTCGCGACATAATTGCAGCCTCGCGATCGCAGAATATCCTCACTTGAATTCTCACCACACACACCCACCGGTACGTGCGAAAGCTGCGAATAGTGTGATCGCTTCCAAGTTGCGACTGACACGTTCAACCAAAAGCTTCCATCATGTCGAACCAGGGCTACTACGGCGGCGGACAGCCTCAATACGGTGCACCTCCTCAGCAATACGGACAGCCACAATACCCTCAGCAGGCATAGTACGTCGCACAATGTGAACAGGTGGAGGGAATACCAGCTGACAGGAACCTCAGCGGCGGAGGATACGGTGGACCACCACCGCAACAGATGCAATATGCTCAGCCTCAGGTGGTTTATGCTCAGCCGCAAAAGCAGAAGAAGGATCGTGGCTGTCTCGGAGCTTGTCTCGCGACACTCTGCTGCTGCTTCCTCTGCGAAGAGGGCTGTGAATGCTGTGCAGATTGTTGTGAATGCTGTGAGTCTTCCTCTCGATCTACGACGGAGATTTGAAATCATTTCTAACCCTTTTCTCTTCAGGCATGGACTGTTGCTAAGTGCATTCGATATGCGACATCGTTAGAGAGCGGAGTTTGAACCCGGAAACTTGGGAAATTGTAAGGATGTATGGGGATGTCTTGTCCCGATGAATAATTCTCACATCGGCAGCTCTGCGAGAAGGAAAGGGAAGAAGCGCAGGACATTTGGGACACGCGCGGAAACGAGCCGTTATTTGCTTTTCTCTGTTCATATCGGTCATTGCGATTTCGTCAATGCATATTGCGTCACAGCGCTTTTCCAAAACTCTTCAGCGTTACTGTCACTACACGGTGCCCATCTCTCCGTGAAATTGCCCCAGCGCAGACCCATCCAGCAGGCTTCTGTCGCGACTACGACGTCGTAATCAAACGGTGAATACCGTAACACAACTGCCCTCGTCCGAACGATATTCTCGTCTGTGGCTGGCTTTGTGTGATCACGGTAAGTTCCCGCACACCCGGAACCCGAGACATGAAATGACTTATCTCACATCTGTGGCTGGAGCGATGGATGGCTCATTTCGGTCAAGCATGGTCCGATCTAATCGGGAGCGGCATCGTTCGACATTCTCTGCGGGTCTTCGCACGGTACATGATGATCATGATGGTCTCACTAGATATGCACCCAGTGCTCGATCGAACTTCTCCACGCGAATAGGCATCTCCAGGTTGTAGAACGGATTCTTCATGACAAAATCTCCATAGATTTCATAGCACCTTCGCACTACTAGCTCCGTATTGGGCTGCTCCGGACTAGTGAAGAGCAGGAACTTCACTCCAGTTGGCGTTTGGAAGCAGGTCAGTCTGAAATGACTGCTCTCAAGACTTTCAATGCCTGTGGTGGGAGCTTTCCGATTGCCTGGTGGTAGCGGAGCTGGAGGAACCGGGTTGATGCTTCTCGATATTGCGTGGATGCCATGGAATGTGCCGGCTAGGATGAGATAATCGTTCGAATCCAGCTTTTGAAGTCCTGGTGCGAATGTGCGGTTGTAGACAAGACCACCTACGTGTTGTTAGTTCATGGCTTGTGGAAGGGCGTTCGCGCGGAAAATGGAGCCATACCAGCTTTATTAATGATCAAAAGGGAAAAGACGACCATTTTGAGGCTGGAATCTGGATGTTTGCTAATGTTTTGCGGGATGTCGATGTTTGGGTAGATCACGACGTTCAGATGCAAGTCGCGTGAATTGGAGGGGCTAGACTAATAAAGCTATCCCTGCACGTGGCTAATCAAGCTTGTGTGAAATGTCGGGCCGCTCTGTTGCCTTGCCTTTATTCCATTCTCACCTACAAATGTTCACTCCCCTCCACGAGGCTCCGACATGAGCCAAGCTGCTCGCGCTCATCTCCGTCATCACTAGCAACACCGCCAGAATCATGGCCAACACCAACACAAATGGATCGATTTCGAGAATCACACGTGAAATCGCCCAAGCACACGCGAGCGAGGACCTGTCAATCGCCGTGGCCTGCCGCGACAGCGATGTACGCTCGGTGCGTGCACTGATTATCGGCCCACCAGAGACGCCGTATGAGTTTGGATGCTTCGAATTTGAATTGAGTCAGTGCAGAGAGCGTCCGTCTGCTTACGATTTCCGTTCAACGGGCTGACCAAAGTAGAATTTCCCAAGGACTACCCGATCAAGTCCCCCACCGTGCGCTGCGTCACCACCAACAACGGAAAGACTCGCTTCAACCCCAACATCTACGCCGAGGGCAAGGTATGCCTCTCCATCTTGGGCACCTGGCGGGGCAATCCGGGCGAGGAGTGGAGCAGTGCGCAGGGACTTGAGAGCGTCTTGCTCAGCATCCAAAGCTTGATGAGTCCGAACCCATATGAGAACGAGCCTGGCTACGAGACAGCGAAGAAGGAGGAACCCAACCCAAAAGCCTACATCGCAAAAATCAGGCATGAGACGCTGCGCATCTCCGTCATTCAGCGTTTGGAGAGCCTACTGCAGATTCAGCCCGACAAGGCCGAGCCAGCTTCCAAGCGGCTCAAAACCCAAGCCGTTGCTACGGTATCAAGCGAGCAGATGGAACCTGAACAAGATGGCTCGTCTACGCCTGGGACGGAGGCATCGGCACATGAATACGACGCAGAGGCCACGTTCAATGCGCTAGATCTTGCGCAGTGGGATCCCTTTGCCGACCTGACAAAGCGGCGTTTCCTGTGGTATTACGATGTCTACCTTCGCACTATAGACCAATCCAAGGACGAGCAGCGCGATGGAACGACCTTTGCCCGCATGGAGTTCGAATATCCCCCCAACAGTATGGAGGGCCGTTTTGGCTACAAGAGTCTGCGAAGTYGTATGGAAGCCATCTTCCAGAAATTGGAAGATGAGAAGAGCGTGTGGGAGCAGCAAGGTGCCCTCCAGGTTGAGGATGGCACTCAACTTGCCACTCAGCTGGCGTTCCAATTCATTCAGCAACAACGCAACTGGAGTGAAAACCAAAGCTCCGGCTCGCGCATCGAGCTCACCTTGCCAAACAAGAAGAATCCATTCGTGTGGGACATCACCTTGTTTGGTGAGCCCATGACCAAGTAAGCAACATGTGTTCCCGAACGAGAAGACTGAAGCTAATCGTGCACCAGCCTTGATGGTGGCATATTCAACATGTCCCTTCACATTCCCCCAACTTTTCCTTCTGCTCAACCGCGTGTCACTTTCAAATCACCAATTCACCATCACCGCGTTAGTAGCACAGGCACTCTCTGCTACTTTCCGCAAAAAGAGGACGAGATCAGCTCGCATCTCACCGCAATTGTGGCCGCCATCGACGACAAGGAATCGAAATTYGACCCTCGCGCGATGGTCAACCCAGACATCTTCGAGCTGTACTGGGGAGGTGACGAAAAGCGTAAAATCTACAACCGCAAGCTGCGACGTAGTGCACAGGAAAGCAGTGAGTTCCTTTGAAGACGCTCTTTTGTTTGTGAAGCCCGTACACATTCTTTCTCGCCTGGAGCTGGCTATTGAAGGGAAGCCCACGGGCGTTTCCGGAGATGGATGAGTCTGTGAAACCAGGGGAGCGTTCTCGTGGCAACCGCATCCGCGATGCAATCTGAAGCTCCCCGAGTACTGTGGTCGCAAACAAAGGTGTCTGCAATCTCCACGATGTTCCTCGCAAAGGCTGATCGGTGGCAGAGCTGAAGTTGGATCCTCGGCAGGCACGCAGCCAGCACGAATGGGTGATGATGACAATCCTGTCGCGCCTGAAGCTGCTCGATTGAGCCATCATATGGCTATGACCCCGTTCATGATTGATTTTGAAAAGTAGGATACCCCGTGTAGCGTTATTAGCGTGGAGTTTGGTGTCAATGCAATGAATCGAACTTCAACTTCACCTTCAACTACAACCTTGAATGATTGCGAACAACCTGTGACGAATTCTGCTAGACATCTCGGGTGGATCGTGACCTGTTCTAACGTGATGAGCGGGTTACATGTTAGCACATACAGAGATTCTAGCAGGTCGGTTCCAAACTGGACGGCCATTGATGTACACAGCCTGACATGCGAAGAAAGGTAGTGGGCCTTACAGTGCACGCAGCGACGTACACTTTCGGATTGCGAAAACGCAGAGAGTAGTTCTCTATCTGGATTGATGATTTTCTATCCATCTCAGAAGCGATGATTGCATTTTGAGTCGTTTTCGACGTGGACGTAGCTGCCATTCCACCACGAGCAGCATGGCTGACAGACCATGCTGCGGTGAAAACTCAAGTCGGGTATCATAATTCGTTCTCACAACGTCAATGGAGCCGGCGCGGCTCCGAAAGAACTGTCTCCATTCGCACCACCATCCTCGGCCGATTGAGTTCCATTGAGTTTCGGGCAGAGCCTTTTCATTCAACATTGTCAGCTAGAAGTCGCGCAGAAGTTAAGTAAAGAAAGGGCAGTAAAGCAAACAATTAAGAGTCGGGCGCATCTCAAACATTCATAGAACGAATGCAGAGTACATGCCAGCCGCACCGCCATTGGCATCGCCTGTGCTTCTAGAGCCACGCTTGCGCCCGTGGGAGCTGACATCGACCTCGAAATTTTGCTTTGTGACGCAGAGAGAACAAGTAAAAGTGGTGACTGACTTTCTGTTGGTCTTGATGTGACCGACAAGACCGCAATTGGCGCATTTGCGCTGAGTGCCGTCCTTGCTACGACCTTTGCCCTTTTGAGGCGTACTGTCGGCGTTGGCGGTGGGGTTGGAGGATGGTCCGTCAACTTCGGACGGACCGGGAGAACCTGCTGCAGCTGGAGATACTCCCATGCCGTTCTTAGCCTTGAGACGTTCGCGGGCCTCGCGACGTTCGGCATTGCGCTTGATTCGCATGAGTTCCTTTTCGAGAAACTGCTTCTTGTAGGTGTCCTGTTCGGAGTTGCCGGTGGGCACGTATGTGTCCATGCTGGGATATGTTAGCGCCATGCAGCCCTGGAGGACAAGACAACTCGACTTACCTGACGTTGTTCAATTGCTTTGCAAGTTGTCGCTTCCTGTACTCCTTGATCACGGCTGGGTTCGTGATGATCTCCTGGGCGTCTGCTCGCGGCTTGCCGTTTTCATCGACGCCACCCTTGCGGGTGATGACCAGAGGTTTATCAACCTGACCAGCACTGTGTCCACTGAACTGACTGACCTCATCATCGTGGCGATTGGCCGCGGGACCGCCGAATGAAGAGCGTGGAGTTTGTGCCTGTAATGCATATCGTGTCAGCGGGGGAAATTTCGTTGAAGGAGGGAAATGTTTCCGCAAGGAGCCAAGAACGAATGTGGGGAATTAGTGCGAGGGTACAGATAAAATCACTCACCCGACTGCGACTGTAAGCGTGCTCGCCTTCACCGTCACGGGCATCCTCCATATCGTCGTCGGAGAATTCCTGTGTGTTCGTCAAGCTGTCTTTTTGTGCCTCCCAAATGCGTCGAATATAGTCATCGTAGGCCTTTTGTTGCTTGGCCACGTTGTAGGAATGGCCGCCAGACTCCTTCTTGTTCTTGGAGAATATCTTATCATTCACACTCTCGCCAGGGGCCTGGAAGCCACCTTTCATAGATGTCTTCACAAAGCTGAAGCCTTCGCCACGGTTCGTTGGATCCCCCTCGCCGTGAAGAGTGAGCATAGCTTTGCCCTGGCATGCATTGAGGAAGTTCTTGGTGGCTCGCCAAGGGATGRGCTGAAGCTCGATATTATTGCTGGTTTCGTCGCCGTCTTGCTCCTCAGCGTCCTTGGTTTCGGTGATTCCGAGGTCCGAGAGGTGCTGCACGCCGACCTGCATAGAGTCGAGCAGGCAGACATCCTCTGGTTTGATCCAGCTGCGAAGCGTTTCCAAGTCAGGTACTGGATGTTGAGGGACAGGGACCCAGACGCCGCCACCGTTTTCGCCCTTGTTGGCCAGACGCTCATACTTCATGAATTCGCGCATCTTGCTTCTAGTCTGGGGCATATCATGTCCAGGTAGATGGGGCATGAGCGTGCGGTTGTCAAGGACCTTGTCTTTGCGGGTGCGGCTCTTCAGGTAGATGCGGAATGCAAGGGCACGTAGCCTCTTCTTCGCAGCGTCTGTGACTTTGCGACTGTGTTGACCTGGCACCTCTGCCAGCGGGAATTGCTGTCCCACGGTGTGCAAATTCTCCACGTTGCGCAGGAAAAATCGATCGCCTCCCTCATGAGTGCTGCTGATGCCGATGACGAAGTCGACAGCCTTTGAGTCATGCGAAAAGACGGGAGCACGGAAAAGTCCATTCTGAATAGTCGGAACAGTATCGCCCTTGTCGACATGACCAAAGTTGGCGAACGGGCTCTTATCTTGGGTGAGGAGAACCTGAGCTTCACCAATCTCAAGCTTCGGTCGTGTAGAGTCGTCGGCGTCCTTCTTGCGGTAATAATTAATCAACCGATTGCCCATGCCGAAGTTCGAAAGCATCATTGGTGCCTCCTCGGAGTACTCAAGCATCAACAACGAAGCACTGTCTCCAAGAGAGAGATCCTCGGCCTTTGCGAAGACTTCTTTTGCGTCTTTGCCACGGACGTTCTTCCTCTTGATATGCTTTGGTCTTTGAAAACGATACTCCTTTCCACTCGGGGCACGAAGCTCCAGCTGAGRGCGGTGGAAGTTGCGCTTGGCCTTGTTTTCGAGCGAGACCTGGTAGAAGGGATATTGCAATTTGGTGGCCGGAAAGCTGTGTTCAATTGCCATGCTGCCAAGCGTGCTGCGAACCTTGTGCTGGTGGTTCTCCTTGAGCAGGTCATACGCCTGATCGTTACTGATGTTGTAACGCTTGGCGATGTCACGGCTCAATGCGGTGTCACGCTTGAAATCGCCAGGCATGCGCTTGGGCTTTCTCTTCGTCCGCGGTGCGTGCTCATCGATGAGAAGATTCGGATCGTTGAGATCCAGGAAAACTGTCTTGGCGAGCTTCGCGACGGCACGCTCAGGGTCCTCGAATGAAAGATTACTGTCATGATACGATCCCGTAATGTCCAAGCAAGAGCCATCAGTCCTGCGCTTTTTCATTGGCCGCTGGTCATTGTCAGCTTCCCAGTCGCGATCACCGTCGCGGCGACTCATGACACGGTCTTCAAGCTCATCAATTGTCGAGATGGCGTCGATGCTCGCTGCGTCCCAATCTTGACAGATGAGAGCGAGATCTTGCATTGAAATGCCGCCAATGCGCTCATCCTCGTCGAAAACACTTGAGTCGTGKTCGTCATCGCTGTCTTCTTTCGCCATGTTGCTGTATCCGAGTCTGACGAAGCTGTTGTTGAACGTGCTCTCCTGTCCGGCCTTACCAGTAGTAGTGATTGACCTGAAGCTTCGCTCCTGGTCTTGAAGCAGATCAAGCGTCAATTTGTGCGGCTGAACTGCCTTTGGCGGCTTCACAGGGACCTTGCCCTTGTACTCCACATTGTATCCCGGGAAAAGCTCGATGAATTTGGGAATGTGCGTTTGCTCGTACCCAGGGTACAGAGTGTGGAAAAGTGTCATGTCCGTATTGACTGGGCCCGCTAGGACGTCTTCGCCCGCATTTCGCCTCCTCGAGTCCTTGAAAAGTCTTCGTTGGAGGGCTGTCTCCGGATCCAACCCCGTATCATCGTCGTCGTCGGATGTCATGCTACCTGGGGACATGCCCGAATAGTCTTGATCAGGAAAGGCTGGCGGACTCATAGACGACGGACTCGGATGCATAGGCGCACGTGACTGCGGCAATTGCGAGAAGCTATTCGGAAGAGCGAGACCCGACTTTGATGGCAGAGCCAGGGCCAGTCCACCAAGACGCGGCTGCTGTGACGGTGGCTGTCGCACTTCTTCGGGGGATGAGTAAGATGCGCTTCCATCAACAAGGTCACCGAAAAGGTCATTATCCCCATCACCGTCGCCATCCGGGTCGCCGTCGCCAAACAGATCATTAATCGTCGGCTGCTTCACGTCTTCGTCCCCGTATCCGTTTGTGGTGGCAGGCGCAGGCAAGCCACCGATTGCCGGTGGGGCGGTGTTGTAATAGGCACTGAGGTCTTCCTCGTCATCATTTGCGCCGGCCGTATTGGTCGCTTCCTCCTCCTCCGGTAGCTCATCGTCGCTGAAGTCCTCGTAATCGATCGCATCGGCGGCTTTATTGCTCTGATCAATGTTGACGGGCACCTCTGCGCCACTGAGGAAGTCGTTCACAGCGGCCGCCTCGCGATCCGCGTCCTCCATCATGTCGTCGGTCGCGTGTGGCATGGCGCGAGTGGATAATGGTGCTCGAGTTGGGCCCTCCCAAATTGCCTACTACTGGTGATGCTCGTAGACGGAAGGCGCGCACATGACAGTGAAGTGGCCGCGGTCCAGGTGCAGCACTCCTCGAGAAGTATGCAGTAGATTCGTGCGCGCAGATGAGGCGAGGTGGTATTAACAAAGTAACGTCGCAACTTTTGTGGAATGAAGTGAGGATGAGAATGGACTTGAGGTGTCTCGATACTAGCGTCAAAGCTTCTGCCTCAGGCCAACAAGAACGAAATCGATCGCATGCCACCCCCACTTTCCGAAACTCTCATTCAGTGCTCCGAAACGTGATGTCGGACTTGTCACCGCTCATGAGTTTGTACGTTCGCATAACTTAATCGTGTGGCGCTACCTCAAACGATAAAAGATAAAGCTGTCAACCTGAGATGCGAGGAGACCTCACAGGCTAAATCCATTTTCAACCCATGCTACAGTACCTACCTAACTACAGTAATAAACTACCGCCCTGCCTAGCCTGAAGAACCTAATTAGTCAACGACGAAGCGAGTGCCATCGCCTTCTTGGCACGACCGTTCCTCTGGAGTATGACTGTGCCGCTTGCGCGATCCAGTCCTGCGGCACAGCTCGATGACCTCGTCAACCGATCTCGTCATCGCACTTATCTTTTTCACATCCTCCCGCCTCGCTTCGCCTCTCGAGCTTCTCCAATCTTGATGGGCCTCGCGAATGCGATTGCGGATGCGGATGACTGTGCGCCGCACGTTCTTGTACGCGGCACGGCTCTCTGATACGAGAGCTCGGGCGCACTCCTTTGAGCTAGCGGGTCTGACAATGGACAAAACAAGGCGAGACAAACGCGACGCAACGCAACGCAACGCAACGGCTGGTACCAAGAAAGCGACCGCTTATTTCATGCACTGCTGTGACCAAGGAGACGAAACGCGCAAACAGGGTGTGAGAGCTTGTTTCGGGTGCCCGACAACAAGAAATCGGCCTTTGGAGGTGGCGCCAATGCCAGCCGCCTAGGAGGATTATTTAAACGCGGACCGCAGAAGGACATCCAATTACCTGCGCAGAAGTGGAATCGGGATCATGCAGGATCTTCTGGGACGAATGACCAATGTGTAATCGTAACGCCGCACCGCGATCCACTCAGTCGAGGTGATCCCAGCAAGCGTTGTGTCAAACAGCTGGTGACCTGGGGACGTACATCAGTCGCATCCTATCATGCCCTCGTAACGTTCTCCGCGCTGCGATGCAGTATTAGAAAGACCAACTTCCCTATGCAGATCAGCCGTTGCGCCAGGATAAGAGCTAAACGGCTTCGCGAAGTGGCATCGCACTATATCAAGCTGGGCCAAGTCCCTTGTGTTACGGGCCCACCGATTCGATTAGCTCCGTCTCCATTTAATTAGGGCTCTCCAATATACGTAGCTTAGAGTTTCGCTATCTCATTAGTGAGCGTATAGGTACATTAGTAGGCTAGAGTACGTTTTCGCGAAGATGAGGATTTCTCTTTTTTTTTAATCCCCTGCTTTTCCATCCGCTTGACGCATGGGTTCTCTGGTATGCCTTCCCAGCGTATGTTCAAGGCTTGAACAGAGCCTGGACTTCGCTTAGTCTTGGCTGCGCTCGTTCATTGGGAAATGAGTGCTTGCAAATCTAGCTTCTTATGCTGACGTGGTCTCCAGCRATCTGTCGCCCGCTAACGCTATCATAGAGCAAAACAAGCTCATCAGCGATGCCATAGCCCTTGTTCTTGGGTGGTGGTCATGATAATGGAAAAGTCCACAGACGGCGCGGCGCGTTCGCGCGATCCATCCATCAACCATGACGGGACTGCTAGAGACACTAGCCATCCCATACACAATAGACCTGTTGCTCATCATTCCCGAGGGCCTTCTCAGCCTAGCCATGGTTTAGACAGGCTTCCCAACGACGTCTGGACCTCTGCGATCTCCCGTCTCCAAGCCCAAGTGTCATATAACACAGGCATGCTGGAGTCGCATCGTCGTCAATTCTCCGAGCTGGACTCGGCCGTCAGCAGACTCCATGCCGAAATAAGCAACATATTTGGCGTAATCAATGAAGTGCGCAATGACTTGCGAGCTAAACCTCTGGCAAACGAGCGCCCTCAACATGACCACGGCGATCTTGAGGTCATCGCTGGGCAGCTTCAGCAACTTACCAATCGCGTCAACGAAATCGATGGCATCAACATGCAAATGGATCTTATGCGGAACCGTGTGAAGCGGCTAGAAGAGCCAAGGTTAGAGCCGACTCCACCTGCTGGCAATGTTCGCAGACTACCCGTGACTGCGGCCCATCGAGAACGAGAGGGACCCCACCGGGAGAGTTCTCATTTCGAAGGCGCGCATGTACAGCACAGTATGCCCCCGCATGCCATACCGCACGGTCATCTAGGCCCTCGATCCCATCGTTCGACCATGCATCCTGTTGGCCATTCCGCAGGACTACCATCATCACATCATCCAGGACACCCGCTAGCCAACCCTTCTTCACAGCACTCACCGCAGCTTCCGTTGCAATCCTCTATATCCCAGGCTCCTCCCCAGACCCATCTCCCGCCAATGCGGACTGCTTCGATGGCTTCACCCGAGGTCGGTCATCCACAAGGCCTGCCCGCTCTCTCAGTATCGGAAGCTCAGCAGTCGCACGTTCCTCGTCCAGGCTCTGATGCGAAACCATTTGCAAATGACACGTCCACCCCGCATCCGCCACCTGGCTCTGCTTTTCGTGCAGTAGAGGCATTGCCAGGTCCTACCGCTCTTTCCGGTTGGCGGCCTGCAGAATCGTTTCCGTCTCGCATGTCGCCCGCGAATGCGTCAATGAATGGACGGCCCCCGAACATGATGGGATCAGAAGCGTCCAGCGGCCAAAACAGTGGATGGGCTGCGGTCAATGCGAATGCAGCTGTAAAGCGCGGTCCAGAGGATCGTCCGTCTCCGTATCAGTCGCCCATGTCGGATGGGTCGAAGCGCCCGAAGTTGGCTCCGCTGATGCCAAACGTGGCACGGAGTGGCAGTGGAGAGGATGGCCACATACCGTCCCAACTGGGCTTCATGACCTCGACCACATCAGCGCCATCCGAGACTCCAACGTACGCACCAGGCCGCGCGCCTTCAGACGGTTCGCAGTCGCAGCTACAATCGCAATCTCAATCTCAGCCGCCATCTCATCCACCGTCGCAGCATCACTACCGCTTTATTACTTCCACACAGCAAGCCGATTCGCAGGAATCGTGGAGGCCTGAATCGGAACGCGTGCTTCCTCCTGAAGCTCAAGCTGGACATGGCTCCGGAAGAGGCAGAGGCAGAGGTCGGGGCAGAGGTCGGGGCAGAGGGCGTGGAGGCGTGGCTGCGGCAGCAGCTACTTCACCGACTGTTGCCCACGCCGAGATGCCACATCAGGCCAGCCCAGAAATACCAACAGCAGAGTGGGCCGCGAATCACGCTGTGCCGCCGAATGGCTATTATAACCCGACACATTCATACTCACCGGGAATGTCATCTCGTGATAGCCGCGGTGGTCCTGCAGAAGGTCCTCATGAGTATCCCGCTACTCCTGTGCCGCATAGATCGCCGCAAGAGCAGTTCGCTGGTGATTCCATGTCCAATTCCGGGAAGAAGACCAGGACTAAGCCAATAAGAAATGCGGAAGGCATCTTAATTCGCAAAGACGGGAGGCCAGACATGCGTAGTGTGAGCTCGGCGAACAACTTGCGGAAAGTACACGCAAAGAAAGAAGCTGAACGCGCCGAAATGGAAGGTAAGTCATCATACCTGATGCATTGACCGTCGAAGTATCCACATGCTAACTACGTTTTAGATGACGAGGATCAGACCCGCTCTGGTACACCTGTTAGTGTTGGTCCCGATGGCGAGGCTTCCGACGAGCCTACAGATGCGCAGACACAACATCGTGAGCTCATGAGCAGGATATTTCCACAGAGCTCGGAGTCTGTGGGCAGAGTCGCGGAGCAATTCTTCCCGCGGCATGAGGAAGAAAGGCCAGTAAAGGTTGATCCAGAAGTCGAAACCAGGACGCAGGAAACGGATGGCATGCAGGAACACATCGGCGAGGATCAGGAGATGGCGGAGGCAAAAGAAGATCAGGGGCATGCTGCGGATGTGGTGATGAGAGAAGCGGACGAGACGCAAGCCGTGGCACAGCAGACTAGCGGCGGCGATTCCCATGAGGCCGGAGCGCCGTCGCAGCGTGGCGAGAATGGTGGGCCGAGTGTGGTTGCAGAGCAGCAGGCTAGTGTAACCGCGTAGAAGGCATAAGTCCTCCCATGCGACTGAGCGCGATTTGGCGCGATTTCTATATCTACTGCGAAGATACCCATGTAGCTGTCTTCAGCTATACATGTAGCCATTGATCGCTGTGTGAACACGCGGGCCGCTGGCCGTAATTCTCAGCCATCAAGTCGAATATCGGCTGGGAGCGTCACAAGCATCTCACTTGACGCTAATGAAGCCAACTCCACGCCGAGCCGTCTCGCAAGCCTTCCTCAACTTCTGCTCTTCGACATCCGTCCATTTGACACTTAGTTCGTCCCACTTCTTGACGCGGTACTCCGCTTTGAATTTCTGCTGCGAGTTTTGCATTTCTTGGAGCTCTCGCGGGTCAGCTGAACCGCTATACACGATCAACACGCTGCAAGGGGGCAATGCATCGTACACATCGGTAATGTTCTGGGTGGTCTGCTTCACAACATCCTCCAGCGACAATCCCGTCACTTTGGAATCAGTGGCGGTTCTCAAAGTCTCCGAGTCGGCGACCTTGGACCGATTCCACCACCCCCGGTGTGCCTCAAGCTCGCGGAAGCGGGCCCACACAAAGTCACAGCCACCGGTGGGAACAGATGCGCCATCCTCATCGCCCTTGACGGCGTGCTTGATCCCTTTGACAACATCAGCATCGCTCTGACAACCAATGGCGACCTTTGCTTGTCCCCCGTGTCCCCGCGTCGGTTCGCCCCAGTCGACAACAGCACCCAGCCTGGGCTCGTCATCGCCACTGGGATTCACCTTGTCACGCTTTTCTCTGTTGGCGCGATAGARTCGTTTGAATATACTCTCGTGGTTAGCTTCGGAGGTGCCCCAAGCCTTTCCCTTTTCACACTTTTGCTTGACAAGGTCCAAACATGCGCGGGCATCCTCCACGCTATTGTGGCCAGTAGAGCCATGGCCCTTCTGAATCTCGCGCGATAGGTACTTCTGAGCAAGCCACTTGAGTGAAGACTTGAGAGGTGGCCCACGCGGATGTGGGAAAAGGAGGGCTGTGTCGATGACGAATGGATGTGTGAGTCGAAGGGCATTGAAATCGCTATTTAGCGAGTGGCCAATGATGATGGTCTGCGGAGTAATGATGCCTAGCAGCTTCTGCTGGATATCGGAGAGGGTCGTGGTGACTCCCTCGAGCATTGAGGCCGTGATGCCAGAATACGGAGTCAAGTAGTCCGTGATTGGGTTGGCCGGCCTAACGAGCTCATCGAGGACGACCTCGCCATCCCAGTCAATCAACGAGATCCGTGTGAGGCTGAATGTCTGAGGTGTCTGTCCGGCTGGAGACGTTATGCACATCTCGCAATCCATCGCGAGGACGTTCCTACCAGCAGTGACAGACCCTTCCTCGACATCTTGGTCCGGGACAGCACCTGATGCAAGACTGGTGATGTTTGCAGAGTCAACCCAGCCATCCGCAATCGAGGTCTTGCCACTAATGCGTCGCGCAGCCTCGGCTTCCACGTCGCTTGAGCCCGAGAATAGCGAAGGATGCATTATGTAACCTTCTTCGGTGAGCTCCTGGGTAGTGGCAAGAAATTCAGTGACAGGTGTGCGTTTGCTTGACCCGTTTCGGCCATTGGTAGAAGGCTGGTGGCCTTTGCTCTTCTTTTCCTCTTTGACCTTGAGCATCGGTGCGGACAGCATGCCAGTCAATGGAGAGTGCATTTTCGCGTACTTGTCATCTCCAGGGGTCTTGATGGGCCAGATGTGCTCGAATATATTGCTGAGCGGACGGAGGCAGGCGGGCATGCGATCTGATCTGAGCTTTACGGGATAATAGTCGTCAGGAGAGGCTTTTCCACTACCACTGCCCTGCCTGGGCTGAAGGCCACTGCGAGACTCCTCGTTCTCGGAGTTCTTGGCGAGTTGTACTTGAACCTCATTGGAGGCGGCTTCGTGAAGAWGAGGAATTTTGCCGTCGAAAAACCCCGCTTCAAGTCCAGGGACCATCAATACCACGACCTTTCTTATACTCTTGTGATGGCGAACAGAGCACCATTGAGGCGCGGTGCCATCGGCCAGTAAGTAGAGGACAAGGTTTTGCAAATCACCAAGTTTTACAAAGCTTTGGAGGCGGGAGTGCGCGGAATGCGTAATGGAGGGATAGTTGCTCTTCTCTTTTTCAGGGCCCTTCTTTCGCTTCTTGTTGCGACCGTGTTCGACCGTCTGCCACTCTCCCTTGGAATCAGTGCCATCTTGGGCCAATGTCGACGATTCCTGCGTTGGGTCTTCTGGGTCTCGGACGCGCGACAAGGCGTCGCCTACTCCCATCATGTTGTCGCCTTCATACTCGCCGTGCGAGCGTTTACGTCGCCCCATGCTGGCCAAGTTGGTGCTTGACGTGGCGGAATCAGTGTGGTTGATGTTATTGGTACCTGCAAATGTTCACCATCGATCAAATTCAAGGCAAGAACCGACGGGAGACGGAGCGGAAGGGCGGGCCGAGGGCGCTTATAAAGTAAATCCCGATATTGACACCACCACTGACTTCACAATACTCTTCTTCTGGGAGATTGTACTGCTCTATTGGACACATCATGAGGCTCTTCCCGCCTACTCAGCCGGAGAATGGGCATCATCACGAATCAACAACATTCGGCGAGGGAAGCATCGGGATCGTTGCAGGCCTAAGCTTCGTGGCCGCTGGACTGGCATTTCGCAGAGATCAAGTGGGGAGCTTTCGTGCATTGTTACACAACAACAAGACTTTGGCGCTGCTCACGAAAGGTGTCGCGTATGGTGCTGCTGCTACGATTCCTGTTGCTCTTCACAGCCGATACGTGGAGCAGCGAAGAAGCGCAAAATCAATTCGATCAGAGACAGCTGCTCTACCGAAGACGGTGTATGTGGACCGCCTCYCACACTTTRATATTGACAACGCAATTATTCTCGGAGGCTTGGTGAGTACTCATAGCTGTTCGTCTCTCTGCGGTAGAGACGTGCCCAAGACACGTTCGGCGCAGCAAGCATTTCACACAGAATGTCACTGATTCTTGGTGCTCCATTAGACGGGTGCGTTGATCGCATCACGATTAAGACGCCCCGGATCGGTTGTTGGCTTGAGAAGATATGCATCGGCTATCGTGATTGGCACAGCTACTCCAACCATCGCTTTCTGGTCGTACGAATCGGTCAAGAACAGTGGAAACGAATCTACCTGGATCCCCTCGACATCGAAACTGGTTGTTCGTCCTTCATGTTCAGACTTGGAMTTTCCTTCGTTATCTGATTTGATTCATTCTGCTCTGGATCGTGTGTCGGCCGGTGACGAGGCTCTCGCTACAGAAGGCCCACAGAGAGAGCGTAGTCACGATGGCAGTAGCCTCGCAATGCTAGGTATGCCGAGAGGCTCGAATGGTGATTCTTCAGGGTCCGGTGGTAGTTGGGCTGTGTCTTCCGGCCTTGCAGGCCCACAGGTACAATTGGAAATACTTACTGATGGGCCACACATTGCGGTGAAGCAGGGCAACAAGGATCCAGAGGTTCAACCTCAGACGAATTACGGGTGGTACTCCAACAATAAGATCGCTGAGCTCGAGGCGCACATCGCTACTATGCGAACCAGGCGCCTGCGGCTTTCCCACGAAGCCGAGGTGGTGTGGGCATGGCTATCCGAAAAGGAGGCAAAGCATTTGGAAAAGTTCCCCGTGACGAAAAAGGCAGAGGAGGGGGACGAAGATCCAAGCGATGCGGCCGTGGAAAGCTCAATGATCGTACAAAGTTTGAACCAAGTCCACGCCAGGATATGGCGCGAGGCTTCGGTATGCGATTGGATCATCGTGAGTACTACCTTCTGAAGAAGCACGATGGTAACTAATGCATGTCGTCTAGGCTGATTCGCAAAAACGTATAGCACAGGAGAAGTCTCTTGCTGCTAAAGGCAGAGTCGACTGGCGACCTTCGTGCTCCGAAGCCGCTTCTTCGTCTCCATTGGAAGTGACCCTGGAAGTGTTGAAGAGTAAGTGAATTACAAACATGCTATCGCCGTATTGACAAAGCACGAATGTCGCGATGGGGAAGAGTGCAGTCCTACCTTTGACGAGCAGGCTACTAACAGTTCATCAGACAACGCAGAAGTTCAGGCCAGTCTGAAGAATCATATGGACCAAGCACTCTCGAGCCTAACGATGAGTCTGGGCGACCCATATGCCGACCTGAATGCCAAGGCAATGCATCCGATCAAGAAGGAGATGGCGACGCAAAAGGAAATCATCAAAGACGTTCGCGAGCACATGGAGGAGCAGAAGAGGAGGGCGGAACTGTTCGGTAAAACGCTGAAGAAGGCAATCGAAGAGGCCGAGAGCAAAGCTGGGAAAGGCAACTGAGTCAAGCGACAGTTTCTTGAAATAGTCATTAATCAATATACGTAGTCACGGAAGACATTACATCGACCCTCAATCCCATCAAGTGGAGCCTGAGTTGTCAGCGCAGGAGAAAGCAGACCCTGTAAGTTAATGTCAGAGCAGTTCATAAGGTATTTGACTTTTTCTGTACTCACCGATTTGCCCGTTAGCATATGCCTTGATGATTTCCTCAATCACCCCATAAGTCCCACCAACGCAGATGAAGGCACCTAGAGGAATCATGACCGCGTGGAGCCAGTAGAGGGTCTGCTGCTGCATATTGCCCGTTCGATATTGTTTGTGGTCGAATAGCCACAAATATCCTGGCAGCGAGATGGCTATGGGCGCGAAGCACACTGAGCCCGTCAAAGCTATCAGATAGTTGAACTACAAGAGCAGCATTAGCRTGTCTGACACCCAAGCTATGAGGAGGGCACTCACAATCGGGATGGCCTCAGCTAAGATGAAAGCCAGAAAGGCCCCTCCGAACGTCAAACCCAGCCATGTCGCCCAATGTATGAAGGTGTTACTTTGAAGATGGCGGCTGTCGCGGAGAATTCGGACGAAACAATACTTGGCGGCCACATGCAGGTATAGACAAGCGCTGACAATCAGTCCCACCAAACCGATTCCATAAGCGACCATCTTGACAGTCTGGCCAGCTGATCCAAGAGAGGGAGAAGCGACCCATTTTCCAGCCCAGCGGTACACCACGAGTGAAAGGGATAGATATGCGGCCGTGACGATCCCCATGCACACGTAAAGAGCCTTGCGAAAGTCACGCGGATTCCTCATCTCGCTGATGACGGGCAGAAAAGCGCTAGTTGCAGCAGAGGAGACGAAGATGGTCGTGGATGCAACGACACCTGCCGCGAAAGTCACTCCAGCGGGGATAGCGTAGAATCCGAGATCAAAGTCGCCTGTTTGAGGAGCTGCGGCAGGTCTGTCGAGAGTCGTGACGGCGACTACGACGATGAAGACTGCGATGAAGATACTGAGGAAGCCGGCCCAGGTGAGCCAGCTCATCTGTTGGAATTTCCGGACCGAGGCTGCGACGGCGACAACGAGAGTCGCCAGGAAGGCCCACCAGACTGTGCAAGCGGCGTGGTGGGAGAGCGCGTTCAGTCCTGGCACAGAGAGGTTAGTCGTGTGTGTACATTTTTCACCCTTTCCTTCCTTTCACATACCGACCGAGACTCCAAGAATTCCACTGCCCGTGCACAACACATATGCCACAACGAACAGGAATCCCACGGTCTCCTTCAACCACGTCCCTCCTACTTCAAATGCCATGTCTGCGATCGAATGACATCCTGAGTGGCGGTTCCTGAAATCCCCCTGAATGACTGCCGAGTAGGTATTGAGAGCTCCCCATCCAATAACATTAAACGCACCACCCACAGCCCCCAGAGACAGCATTGCAGTCGGAATGCTCAGCACTCCAGTTGCAAAGATGAGTTTGAGAAAGATGACGGAAGCTCTCTGCCAGCTGACCGTTCGAAAATCGACATCGGCGCCTTTACGAAAGACTTCACGGTCGTCGTCGACATCTTTCATCTCCCCAACGAGAATCTCCGGGTCTGAGGAGGCATTGTATTGTGATTGTTTCTCATTATAGGTTGAGATCTTCTCTTGCTCGGCAGTAGAATGCGTAGGAGAAGACATTTTGAGTGAGGACAAAACGAAACGGCAAAGAGTACAGGAAAGTTTGCAATCAAAGGAGACTCAATGACATATTACTGTCCCGCATACTGATACTCACATGTAACATCATATCATCGACTGCATGGGGGTGAACCTTACTGAACGCAGATAGGCAGAGAGCTCTCTGGCCGCTCCACTGTCTAAACTGACCAGGGGGTTGAGCGAGCTGGAGATAAGGACCCGGGCTGCGGGCCTGCGGCTCATCACATCTCGATTGCCACGTGCAATGGYATTGCACACTCCGCATTAGATGAAAACGAGTGCTTGGCTCTGCAGTGCAGTGCGATGCGATGGTTTCTGTGTTGCGCCAAGGTGTCGTTTACACGTTGTTATCGCAAAGTCGAGATATGTGTTTGATAAGGACAGCAGAGGCGCACATGTCAAGAAGGTCGCTTGTGAGCGGTATCTCTCGATACCCCAAATCAGGCCATGGTCTCGGATGCCGTCGGCATGTGCAGTGATGATGTTCATGCTCTGGAGCAGTAAGATTGGGTCGCGTATATCGACCATGAACCTGATTGTCGCAAGCAAGCGAGTCGCCCAACGCACGGACAGCATGGTCGATTGGAGTCCTGGGCCAATGGACGACGCCCTGCCGTCCTTTGATATGTGCTCGATATGAGAGAACAGCGACTCTTTTTCTATTCAAGTCACCACCGCCGGCATACCGATCTCAAGCATTACACCCCTCCGAAAGCATCAAGACTTCTCGCTCAGAAGCATACGTGACCTCATAATTGAAATGCTCCCCAAACGCCATCGCTAAACAAAACCCTGCATCAAGTTATTGCTCCTGGTAAGCAGTCTCTCTCAATTCCTTTTCCTCAACGTTCTCCCGACAGCGGCAGTCGTGCTAGCCGCAGCTTTCCTCGCAGCGGCAGCCTTGGTCGCCATAGTTGATGGTGCCGTGGTCGTCTTCTTGGCAGGTGCTTTCTTGCCCTTTACAATCGTCGTCCCATTACTACCTGCACTGGCCTCGCTACTCCGTCCATTCTCCGAGCTTGCAGCTCCTTTGGTCGCAGTCCTGGCACCAGCTCGACTTGCGTTTCCCGTCCGACTCACAGCTCCCGACCTCGGGATGGTCTTCTTCTCTGGRGACAAGTTGGAGGATTTGAAAGGCGCGGGTGGGGCGGGCAGAGTGCGAGAGTTGTTGGAGCGTGGAGAGAGGACACCTGCTGGGTTTGTTGTTCCGGGCAATGCCGCTTTTCGGACCGGAGGCAGGGCACGTGTAGCTTTCGAATTGGCCGTCGCCGTTGTTGTCGTTGCTTTTGTCCGCTTCTTGGGAACGGGCAGCTCTTCATTCTCTTTGTCGGCGCCTTCAGATGACAGAGTAGACATCTCGTCGCTGTTTACTCGTCAATGCACGTTCTGGTTGAAGATGAATGCTGTGACAAACCTTTTTCGCTTCGCAGCTTGTGCCTGTCTACTGCGAATGGCGGGCTGTAACGCTGGCTGTGTTGGTCCCGACGCGACGGGCATGGCCATGGGCGGTGGCGGCGCCGGTCGTAACCTGTTCTCGTGCTCCTCCACAAGTTCTCCGATATTTCGTTTGCGCAGTGCCTGGGGAATGCGGTTGACGCGCATTTCCAGACGCGCCCGAAGTCCTTGAGCTTGGAGGTTGTATTGTGACCGCAGTTTCCTGGCTCGTTCGGCGATTTCCAGCTGAAAGTTGTCGATTATTGCTTGTCTCTGGGCGAGTGTGATCGTATTGGACTCCATTGTGGACATGCTGGATCGTCTGTATGGGTGGGTTCGTTGGTTGGAATGTTGCGGGAAGGATGTGGGCGCGAATGTCATGTTTACATCTCTCGAATTGTGGCTTGGCTTGGAGAAGCAGGCCGCCGTTGTCGATCTAGTTACCGTCAGCTCTCAGGCACGACGACATAGCTTAGTTTAAACACCAGATCACCAACCACTCGCTCTCACAGTCAACACCATCTATTTACCTTTGCCTCATCACAACCACACGGCAAATCTCCAAAAGAGTCGATCTCAATATTCGCCGCCACCGAAACCTCCACCAATCCATCCACCTCCGATAGCACACGACATCCGCCGCCGCCATGGGTCTCGAGGCGACTGTTATCATCTGCGACAACAGCGAGAGCGCGCGCAATGGAGACTATCTGCCCAGTCGATGGGAGGCGCAGGTAGATGCTGTCAGCCTCATCTTCAACTCCAAGACGGCGGCAAATGCAGAATCCAGTGTTGGTCTCATGTCCATGGGCGGTTCTGGTCCCGAAGTCCTTACAACCCTCACCACAAACTTTGGCCAAGTGCTTGACGGTCTGCACCGGACAAAGGTCAAGGGTGCATCTCACTTGTACACGGGAATCATGATCGCATCGGTCAGTCATCAGTCCTCCTCTTCAACATGCCCATGCTAATAGATGTTGGTGATAGCTCGCTCTCAAGCACCGCCAAAACAAATCGCAACGCCAACGAATCATCGTATTCACTTGCTCGCCCATCACCGAGAGCACCGCCACCCTCACAAAGCTCGCCAAGCGTATGAAGAAGAACAACACCTCGATTGATATCATTGCGTTTGGTGACCTCACAGAAGAGAACCTTGACAAGCTACGCGCATTCAACGAGGCTGTCAAGTCCAACGAGGGTTCACATCTGGAGATCGTACATCCCGGTCCCAATCTACTCTCTGACAGCATCGTGGCGAGTCCAATTCTGGCAGGTGAAGGCGGAGCGGCAAACGCAGGTGCCGGCGCAGGAGGCGATGGAGGCGGTGCAGGTGGCGACTTTGAGTTCGGTGTGGACCCCAATATGGACCCGGAGCTGGCGCTTGTGCTACGGATGAGTATGGAGGAGGAGCGGGAGCGACAGGAGAGGGAGAAGAAGGCACGAGACGAGGCCGAGGGCAAGACAGAGCTGGAGAGTGTACCCGAAGGCAAGGAGGAGAGCGGGGAGAATCAGCCATTGCTGGACAAGAGCGGAGAGGGAGGCTCGAGTAAGAAGGACGATAAGAAGGACGACGATAAGATGGATACTGCCTGATGGGATTTGGAAGCAGTTCGGCATGGGCGATTAGACGCGAAGCCTGAACACCGGCAGCCTGGACGACGGCTATGGTGACTGTATCATACCACGAAGCATTAGAGCATGCAGTCATGAAAAGTGGCGAACATGCACAGTATCTGCATTTCTTGTCCCTCACTCCCGGTAATTTCTAGACACTCCCGATCGCTGACCTGATGTCGAAGATGCTGCCTTTATAGAAGCAAGGAAAGGGTTGGTTGCGCAGGACTCTATCAACGCGCGTGATGGTGGGTTGGTGGGCTTCAATGCAGCAGCCACGGAAGCTGGTCTCCTTGTCGAGTCTGCAGCTTTAAACCCAGCCAAGGATGAGGGCAGATTGAAGATCAACGCGTGTCTCCCGATCTGGCCCCATATCCCGGGGGACGATCGAGAAGGCGGGAAGGGCTGGAATGTCGTTGGTGGCCTGAAAGGAAGACATGGGCCTCGCTCTGTCTTTGAAGCTCACTCGTTCGGCTTGTTGGGCTGCGGGTATTGATGCAGCCTTGAGCAGCGCCGTGTTCAACGAAGAAGCTGGACGCGAGACGGGAAGGGTTTGGTGATGCAGTGGGGTCGCAGAGCGGCGGGATGTCAATGAGAATAAAGTCTTACATTGGAATAATGGCTACCTTGTTTGTCTATCTTCTTCACCGAAATGCTAATGACACTTCGCATCTTCACTGTAGATGTCCACCTCAAACATTCAATCTTTACTTCTTCCGATCACAAACCGTAATAAAAGGACTCGTCACACCCGACAAGAAGATCCTCCCAGTCTTCACATCGTGAATCACAGTCGTCGAATCAGGCAAAACCTCCCCCTTGGCGTCCTCTAAAATCTTATCAACCTGCCACCCATCCAATCCTCTCCGAATTCGGAAGACGGTCGAAGGAGCAACAAATCCCAACGGGTCGTTGAAAGCTTTCAATGTGTCTCCAGCTTTGGGCATCGCAGCCGCCCAGATGTCGCCATTGGAGTCTTGAGAGAGATTGTCAATCGGCATGGGAATGTCGATATAGCTGACTTGTTCCAGACTTCTATCGACGCCGTACTTGTAAACTTTGATTCCCCCTATCCAGGCAGAAGGGACGTAGATTCGCTGAGCGCTGGAGTCTAGGTGGAGGCCATTGGGGAACTTTAGGTTGCTCACCACTGTCCTACAAGAAGTTGGAGAGCCGCAGTAGGAGATGTCTCCATTAGCTGTGAAAGGGGCCAGAGTGTGAGAGAGGCCGTGGGTGGCAGAGCCGTGGTCGTTGGTATACCAGATTCCGTACTTTGGGTCTATGGCGATGTTGTTGGGAGTCATTATCAATTCGTGGTTCCATGTTGAGACGTGCTTCAGAGATGTGGCGTCTTTGGCTAGAGTGAAGGACTCAATGGTCATGTTGGGTCCAACTTTCGCGTTGTCCATGATTTCTCCTGTGGTAGTGTCGATCGAAGGCCGGGCATTGACGAGGTACAATTCAGTTTGCAAAGCGGCACCATCAGTCGCCGGGAGGTTTCTGCCTGTAAATCCCACAAGATGGAGTCTTCCATCGCCGTTGACGCCTCCAAAACCAGGTGTTTTCAAGACGTGGTATTCGAAGCCATCACCCTTTGGCTTGTCGATATCCATGGCTATCATGGCGTCTTCAAGAGCACGTCCAGAAGCATTGAAACGGCCGATACTGTATGTTCGTCAGACCATGACTTTAGAAAAGAATGGATTGGACCAACTTGGGCAGCCATTGGKATCTAGCTACTGAGGAACTGCATGCGAGGAACAACTGCCTGGTCTCCTCCGACAACCACATGTCCTCACACGCCTGCAGCCTCGGGTCGTGGATTCGATGACATTGATATTGTGGGAAGTCTGAGATAGGCTGAACTATTCTTCCGACTCCCAAAGTGACGAAGAGCGTGGTTTTAATAAAGCCTTGGTACAGGATGGCGGCAAGGAGGGCAAATACTATGCCCAGCTTCGTTGAGATGTTCATCAGGTATGTATTTGACAGTACACTGCTGCGGTGATTCAAAGATGGCACAAGGGTTCAGACGAGACGGCAGTTCGGCTACAGTGTCCTACTGCATCCGAGTGTTAGCGGCCGTTCACAGGTTGTCTTTTGCGTCTTCTCAGCAAGACTGACCAATTGGACATACTGAACTTCCACGGGCCGGAAGGACACTAACAGTCGGACGCAGGAAGACGCTGTACATCATTTTGCTGCGAGGCTTTGGGGATAAACTCTATTCCTAGGATCGCTTTCACTGTCCATTCGACTCGCTGCATCACATCTTGCCTACTTGCTCCTTGACAAATTGGAGAAATCGTGGTTGGCAATGTAATCGTTCGGGGCAGCGTCCAATGCGAGTGGAAGCGGAAACGCACGGTCCACAGAGAGAGGTAGCCCAATTGAGATATCAGAAACGACAACAAAGACGAAAATGTGGTCCTTGGCCAGCGGAAGAGGAAAGTCAACTCTTTGTTCAAGGAATCTCGAAGCGGTCAGCAGCAGTTCTGTCAATAAACTTCTGTTGAAATCTGAGAAGGGATCCATCATTGCTGCATTAATTGCAATCACGCCATGGAAGCTCCGCCGCATGACTTTGCGAGTCTTGCCATCATCGTCACCGACTGGGACTCTCTGTACGCGAAGAAAGTCAGTTCATCATCCACCGCAACCACAAATTCAGGATCTCCGCCCGCCYTTGATTCCTTCCAACAACGCAGCGAGACAGGCATATCGGATGTCGTTGACGAGATCTGGAATCTGGTGTCCAAGACCCTGAGGAATAGATTGAGGGAGGCGTGTATTGGAGTGCTGAGGAGAACCGACAGCGTCGACGTGACCCAAGCTTATTACTTGCTGGACGAGGATGCTCGTTTGCTGGACTGAAACGAACCGAGCTTTTCAGGTTGTGCAGTTGGAGAGTGCGGTCTCCATCAGTACTTTGTCATACTGTTGGTGTAGCCACTGAATGTGGGCAGGCATTGGTGCACTGTCGGATCCCAGACCGTTGTAGAATATCGATTTCAACCCAAACTCCGCAGTTCCCTCCTTCTTGTTGATCTCAGCTGTCATTTCAAACAGCCCGTCAGACGCACGAACGTCCTGCCTACGCGGTGAGTCGCCGCATCGCACAATGATCGAGTCGGGTGACTTTGCAACGACTTCGAAACTACGAGGAGATGTGTTAGCCCCGGCTTGATCGTCTTCACATGGCTTCTGCTGCTGGCCGAACATACTGATCTGTAATCTTTGTGCCGACATCGTAAGAGCTCTCTTTCAGGGCTTGTCTATCCCATAGGTGGTCTGCAGTTATTGGGTCTGACCGATACTTCTTCTCGAGATATCGCCGCTGATACGCATAGCCTGACGATAGATTCATCAGCCGGCTTTCGTCAAAAGGTATCCCTTCGCACACCACCACCGCTAAGACTTACCCAACCCACCCCAAAGGCCAGCACTAAACGCCTCGACGAGCTTGCCTTCCTTTTCGAGAAGCTCAGGGCGGATCTTGGTCAGGGGAACCTTTCGCACGCAGAGATCTTGCGTCACCGGCGAGTTGTTGGGGTTGYAGCGTGAGAAGAGGGTTGTGTTGAAGAGATAGTCATTGGCGGGGACATCAACGATGTGAGACTGTCGAGTCCACAGCAAGTAGCTAGCCGTGGCACCCAGAGTAGTCCAGCCTGTGACAGCAAAGGTCTTTCGAAGAAGCCCCATGGCTTGTGGTGTAGGAAGGAAGAATGTAGATGGACTTGAGCTGCCCGACTAAGGTAAAGTATGTAGAAGCTGAAGGATGCGGCACGGCTCCACACCTGCTTGGAGCTTTCCAACAAGGTTACCGTCGCCCTGTCGGCAACTCACGGCAGAGAGAACTCTCGCTTCCGGTCCGAGTCTGGCGACGATCAGCCCATGGTAACGCGTCTTCCGCTCCCACACGCGTCCTCGATGTACTTCGGACTCGGCCTCATGGACACCGCATGTCGAGGGACACATGGCGCAGACCGCGCGCAACGGTTGGATACATGCGATCGAGGAGATGAGATGCACACATAGCGACGAGTGGCTCCGATCTAAGCGAGTCGCGTGGCTTTTTGAGGTCTCTTGGGTCTTCCTCCTTTGACCTCAAATCTTTCCTACAGCGTGGATTGAGCGAATTGTGGGGAGCACAAGCCGATGGTATCAAAGAGCGGTGCTAATTGGAGTGTGGATGTGTTGGTGGCGAGTATTGTTAAATATCTCGGACGCTCCCAGCAGTGCGCATGGCGTTGTCGGAATTCAGCTTCATCAAAAGGGAAATTTTCGTCGCAGCTATGACTTCTTTTCATCGACCTCAACTTCCCAGGCACTTTCCGGCCACGATTACTCGCAAACCTCAACCAGTCATGGCTGCGCCGCTGGTTACAAATCCAAGCACTCCCAATAGCTCAGGCTCAGGCTCAGGCTCGTGCAAAGTTGTGCTCGCCAACTCCATCGCCAAGAGCCTGCTGACAGAGGTCACCGCTGATATCAAGTCGTTGGCACGATCACCTCGTCTACATGGCTTCTTAGCGAACAAGGATCCTGCTGCTCGTATGTATGCAGATTGGACGGCCAAAACATGCAAAGAGAAGTAAGGAGGCAAGACAGGCCGTCCCAATGCATCAATCCATCCATGTCGATGCTCGCTAACCACCAGCAAGTGGTGTCGACTTTATCTTCCGCGAGGTTGAGCGTGAAGATCTTGAAAACGAAATCCGTCAAGCCAACACTGACCCCGAAGTCGACGGGATCATCGTTTACTATCCTGTCTTCGACTCTCGACGAGATCAGACCCTCCAGTGGACTGTCAGCATGTACAAGGACGTCGAGGGTCTCTCTCCACAGCTCATTAGCAACATGTATCAGAACATTCGATTCCTAGACCCCCCTCACAACCTCAGGAAATCCATCTTGCCTTGCACTCCGCTTGCGGTCGTCAAGATTTTAGAGCACCTGCAGATCTACAACAACTTCCTCGACTACGGCAAACGTCTTTTCGGAAGGCGGATTACAGTCATCAACCGAAGCGAGGTTGTTGGGCGCCCACTGGCCGCTCTACTGGCCAACGATGGCGCAGAAGTCTACAGCGTGGATGTCACTGGCGTGCAGATGTTTAGCAGAGGTACCGGGTTGAAAAAGGTTAAGCATGAGTCCCGCGACCTCGAAGGCTGGACGCTCGAGCAATGCTTGCCAATCAGCGAGGTGGTCATCAGCGGTGTTCCCGGAGACTCGTTCAAAGTACCGACACGTCTTGTTCGCGAAGGCGCGGTCTGCGTCAATTTTTCAAGTCAAAAGGTAAGTAATATGGGAGGGAACTTGGGCGCTTTGAAAGAAGCTAATCGCCCACAAGAACTTCAGCCCGGATATCAAGGACAAAGCGGCAATATACGTCCCATCCATTGGCAAGTGCACGATTGCTTGCCTACTTCGAAACATGGTCCAGCTTTCCCAAGGTCTGCCAAAGATCAATGGATCGCTCTGAGCAGAAATTCGCGGATGCTTAGGGGGACATGACCCAGTGCGACACTTGCTTCTCCGCGACAAAGTCCATCTTGAACATGATAGCTACCCGTGCGCGAGTGTGGTCGCCATTTCGCTTTTAGGAGAGCCGGCAATCTTCAAATCCCCGTCCCTCGGAAGTGGCCGGGGCTCGTCAAGCGGGTATAAATCATAGAGCAGAATGACAAGTACGCTCCTGCAGCGCGTACTATTGGACTATGTGCGCAGGGAGTCGCGAGCATCAATTCAGTTGTCGGACCATGTACAATGCGTGAGATTAAGGCTTTGAGATGTGCGGCATCCCTGAGTTCTCTGAACTTCTTGCATCACTGATGCACTCGCGCTTGAAAGATCAATGCAATGGTGATGGGCCTTTTGAAGAACTTGTGCAAATGATTTGATTGCGACTGTGTGGAAGTTGAAGTTGCCYTTCAGAAAGTTCCAGGTTCTCAATGGTTAAGTTAGCGGATTTTTTCGTCGAGGATCTAAATCCGCCCTCGAGCAAGCACATGCTCCTTGCACGATCCGTCAACTTTCTTCGCCGCAACGCCACTCCCTGCCTTCCAACCCGCCCAAGCATTCGCGCCGCCTGCATTCCATCACACTTGAATCCGAAAAGAATTGCTCGACCCCAGATGATGTAAGTTGATCCGACCATCAAGCGGCCTTGAAATCGTTCTAATCCCACACAGGTTTGCACTTCGCCGCGCCGCCCTGCGCATTGCGCAGCAACCCAGCCGACAGCTGTCAACTATTCGACCAATCGCTCGGCCATCGCAATTCCAGCCTCAAATCATCTCAAGCTGCAGATCGTTTCATCAGACCCTAAGATGGGCCGCCGAGGAGGAGAAGAAGCCTGCGGAGGAAGCCGCAGCCAGCCCAGCGGAAGCACAGGATCCAACCGAAACCGTCACGACCGAGCCAAGCGCGGCTGAACAGGCAGAAATCAAGGAAGAGAGCATTGCCACCCCGGATGTCGCAGACGCCGCTCAACAGCAATCCTCGTCCGCCGAGGGTACGATATCGGACATCCTTTCCGAGGGTAAGAGCCGGGCTGAGAGCGCGGTTTCCTCTGCTCGGGACGCTTTCTCGAGTGTGTCGCAGACCGTTCAGCAAGCAACTACTGGCCGTGATAGGCGTGGGCCTGGAGGTCGCGAGAGAAGGCCCGAGACTCCCCCCAGCAAGGTTTTGTACGTTGGCAATCTCTTCTTCGAGGTCACCGCGCCTGCCCTCGAGGCTGAATTCAGCCGCTATGGAGAAATTGTGAATAGTCGCATCGTCACCGATCCCCGGGGCATGAGCAAGGGCTTCGGATACGTTGAGTTCACTTCGCAGACCGACGCCGACGCTGCGTTGGATGCGCTCGATCAGCAAGTGTTTCAAGGCAGACGGATGGCAGTCCAGTACCACATGAAGAGAGATTTCGGCACAACAGGCTCCAGAGACCGACGCGCTCGCGAGCCCGGACCACCTAGCAAGACTTTGTTTATTGGAAACATGTCATACCAAATGAGCGACCGCGATCTGAATGGTGTGTATCTCTTCATGGTGGTTGAAATCGAAAGCTAATGTGGAATACCAGACTTGTTCAAGGAGATCAAGAACGTTCTTGATGTCCGCGTCGCCATCGATCGCCGAAGCGGTCAGCCTAGGGGCTTTGCACACGCTGACTTCGTCGATATTGAGAGCGCCGAACAAGCGAAAGCGCTGCTTGAGCGCAAGGTGGTTTACGGCCGTCAGCTTAACATAGACTTCAGCGCCGGATCAGCCCAGGACAGAAGCCCCGGCCATGAATAAAGTCATGAGAACTTGAGATCACCTTTTGAAGCAGACCACCGCATGAGGAAGGGCAACCTTTTGGGGACCGAGCAGTTTGCTCTGCAGCAAAGACAGCACGAGGAGTTGTAAAGATCGGGATTGCGTGGTGAAGAAAGCCTCGCGAACACCTGAGCGTCATTGGAAGAAATGAGCTTTGCTGTTGTACATCACCTGTATAGTAGGACGAGGCAAATGCGCCTGTATAGAATCAAACACTCTCCACCTCTGGAGGATTGCAATCGTCTCTGCTTGTTACTACACATGTGCACCTAACAATAATCGGCTTTGCTTCTTCGTAAAGGGTAAAGTGTGATCACATGCCTCATGCCTCGGCACTACCGCCGCCATGCACCGGCTCGCTCGGAGACTACCTACCTTACAATAGCATATCCATGTTCACTCCAAACCTGCATACCTACGTGTACTGTACAGTACACTGCCAGTCACAAACGATCTCCAGATCCCCGAGGACCTTATCCTTGACCTTGTCATATTGCCCTCCCCATTTCCGTTGTCCTACCCCGCTCGTCGAAGCAGTCTCCACATCCGCCTCCACGCTCATCTCCAAAACGGACCCCGCCGCAAACAATACCACTACCTCTACCGACTGATCGAACATGTCGTTTCTCGGCGGGCCAGAATGCAGCACCGGCGCAAACCCCCTGGCCCAGTTCCAGAAACAAACGGGCGCCGACACCTCCCTCCAGCGCGATCGTCTCACGAATCTGCAGCCACAGCAACTGAATGGCTTCCGCAGTGGACAGCAACGACCTGACGATGCTGCCTTCCAAGACTTCGCGCAGCAGGGTCCGCAAATTGGTGAAATGCTGCCCAATGAAGCCTTTCACCTGGAGCAATTGCGACGAGAGCAGGAGCATTTCGAGCGAGCAAGCGGTGGTGGCAACAATGGCAACTGGGCTGGTGAATTCGCGCAGCAGGGCCCACGTTTTGCTCCAGAGGAGTTTGCTCAGCAGCAGCGAACGGCACCCGGTTCGTTCACCCCCCAGGATTTCGCGCAGTTCCGCCAGTCGCAGATGTCGCCTCGCACGCAAAGCCCAAGTCTGCAGCAGTCAACCTACCAGCGACCTTCCATGTACGGATCTGGATTCGGAATGCAGCGGCCGATGATGGGCGGCTTTCAGCCGCAAATGTATGGGCAGCAGCCGCAGCAACAATACGAGGGCAAGGGCAAGTCTCGCGTGCAGGAGCTCAGCGACACCGACTGGGAGAAGCAGTTTGAGGAGTTGTCCACCGAAGATAAGGAGGCAGATCTCGAGCAACTAGACCGCGAAGCCGAACAGGCGGTGGAGAAGGAGCTAAACGATCTAGATAGGTGATTCGATGCCTCATCCCCCCGAGATGTATGCAAATTTGAACTGACGATTTCAGGAACATGCTCGCGGAAGATGAGTTAGCGGGCCACTTTGGCGACGAATACGATCAGTGGAAGGACTTCGATGGTCTGGGCCACAATTTCGACACGTTTCAAAACGACTACAACACGCAGCCTAATTTGGGCAACTACATGTTCGAGGAGAACAACCTGTTTAATGATGTGCCCAACGCTTACGAGGAGGGCATGAAGATCGTGCGCGAGGGCGGCAACCTCAGTCTTGCAGCATTGGCTTTTGAGGCTGCGGTGCAGAAGCAGGATGACTTTGTCGAGGCTTGGGTTGCTCTCGGTCAGGCCCAGGCTCAAAATGAGAAAGAGTCGCCGGCAATTCGAGCCTTGGAGCACGCCATCAAGCTGGATCCTGGTAATTTGGAAGCACTTATGGGTCTGGCAGTGTCGTACACAAACGAAGGATATGATACTCTTGCCTACCGGACTCTGGAAAGATGGGTTGCTTCGAAGTATCCTCAGCTAGGGGTCACGCCTCGCGGCATGGAAGCAGAGGAGGATATGGGCTTCACGGATCGACACATGCTCCAMGAGAAGGTGACTGGCTACTTCCTCGAGGCTGCACAACTCAACCCCGAGGGCGGCGACGTCGACGTTGACGTCCAGGTCGGTCTGGGTGTTCTGTTTTACGGCAGCGAGGATTACGACAAAGCTGTCGACTGCTTCACAGCTGCTTTGAATAGCCATCAACACGGCTCGATGAAGCGCGAAGGCGAGGAGCACCTCCTCTGGAACAGGCTTGGTGCCACCCTGGCGAACAGCTCTCGCTCAGAGGAAGCCATCGAGGCATATTCGCGGGCCTTGGAACTACGGCCCAACTTTGTGCGAGCACGCTACAACCTCGGCGTGTCATGTATCAACCTGGGCGTTTTGGAGGAGGCAGCCGGACATCTTCTCGGTGCTCTGTCCATGCACCGAGTTCAGGAAAGCGAGGGCCGAGCGAAAGCTGCGGAGATACTGAGGGATGGTAATGGCAATGATGCCGACGGCCGGGCTGTCGATGATCTGCTTCGGCAGAATGAGAGCACGAACTTGTATGATACTTTGCGAAGGGTCTTCACTCAAATGGATCGAAGGGATCTATCAACCATGGTTGGCGCGGACATGAATCTAGATGCGCTGCGAGGGCAATTCGACTTTTAGATGAAAATGGATACACGGGCAAATATAGTTGTAGTTGTACTCCATCACCACTGCTTACGATGATGCGAAAGCCGTCAATTAATTCGATTTTATGGCCCTTGCAGAACGACTGGTATCGACTCATATATGGACTGACTGCTGACTGCTGGCTGACTGCTGACTGCCTGCTGTCGTCAGCCGTGGTTGGAAAAGGTGGAGCAGCGCAGCGCATTGACCAAGCTCAGGCCGTCTCACTGTCAGTCACTTCCTCCGCGGCCCTGCATCAAACATTAATCCAAACATTGCAAGTGTGTCGCTACCGGAACCTCTCCTTCCAGAGAAAACTCGTGACATTCCCTTCAAAACGATTGCAGCCGTGTCAAATCCGCGACATCCGGGGACGAATCAACGACATTCAACATGGAGGCTCACCAGCAAGCAGTTGAGGCAATTGCTGCTCAGATCACAAAGTTCCATGAACAGAAGACTCCCTTTAGGCTGTATCATGGCAGCACCAATACCACTCAACAACGAAACGTGGACCCCCAAAAGATGGTCGACACATCAAAGCTCAATCATGTCATCAAGATCGATACAGACAACATGACGGCTTTGGTTGAGCCTAACGTGGCGATGGATGAGCTGGTCGAGGCGACACTTCCCTTTGGTGTCATTTCTCCGTACGTGGAATGCAGCAGCTGAGTATCCACTTCCTCTTAAAAGAGATGGGACGTTATCGATCTGGCTTCCCAGATCCTCAAGGCCCCGCGCATTAGAACTGGCGTTGACTCCCGTTTCTGCAGAGTTGTGATGGAGTTCCCAGGCATCACTGTTGGAGGTGGCTTCTCTGGAACAGCCGGAGAGAGCTCGGGTAACCCATACCTGAAACTGTCGATTCCCGGACGAAGTTGACGTTCAACAGGCTTCAAATACGGCTTCTTTGACTGCATCGTCAATTGGGTCGAAATCGTACTTGCAAATGGYGCATAAACGTGACGCCTTCACTATCTTGGATGCCGCATACTGACTGCTCGTAGGCGAAGTTGTAAAGGCATCAAGAACAGAGAAAGCAGATCTGTTTGAGGGTGCAGCTGGCGGTTTTGGTCGGTGAATTGGCATGCTTTGTCTTGACGTGAATCAGTCACTGACACTATCACAGGCACATTTGGCGTCACTACCCTGCTCGAGATCCAACTGATCAAATCCAAGCCATATGTGGAGCTCACCTATAGCCCGGTTCGCAGTATCTCGGAAGCTCTCACCACTATGGACACTGTTACGAACGACCCAACCAGCGATTTCGTTGATGGTRTGTGAGCTCTAGCGGTGCAGCATGTTCTCCCGCAAAATACAGTAGGACGATGCCAGGCACTCAACTGGCTAACACTTCGTCTTGACCCAGGCATCCAGTACAGCTTGGATAAAGGCGTCATCGTCACTGGAAGGCTGGTCGACGAACTAAAGCCAGGCGTCAAGTTGCAACGCTTCAGCCGAGCCCGAGATCCTTGGTTCTACATTCATGTCGATCGAACAACCGGCAAGAGCTTTGAAGACGTTGTAGAAGCTACCAATATACAAGATTACCTGTTCCGCTACGATCGAGGTACGTTGGCGGAGAGAACGAAAGTTGTACGCCTGAGAACTGTGCTGACTTGATGCCACAATGAAGGTGCCTTTTGGACTGGACAGTACGCGTTTCCATACTTCATGACCGTGAGTCCTGGTCAATCTGCTACACGACCTTACAAGCTATGCCTAACGATCCAGCAGCCGTTCAATAGAATAACGCGATGGGCCCTGGACTACTTCATGCACACCCGAGTGTAAGTCTGCTTCGCAGAACGTCTGTACTGAACTGCTGGACAAGTGCTGACTTCTTGCAGTATGTACCAAGCACTACACGGTAAGACTCTTGAAGCGGACTGGTTACTCCGGCAACGTCATTCGTTCTCTGATGCAGAGCTTGAGCTCCTTAATTCCACACCGCCAGCTATTCCATTAAGCATCAGACGAAGCTGACTTATGATCCAGCTTCTGGACACGCCTCAAAATATATCGTGCAGGACTTGCTCTTGCCCAGAAACGGCGTCGTCGACATTGTCAATTTCGTCGACCAGAAGTTCGGTTTCTGGCCACTTTGGCTCTGTCCGCTTAAGCGAGGCCAAGAGGTGTCTTTGCGTCCGAACCTCGGCGGTGATGTCTACGACGACAGCAAGACAGTATCATTTGTGAATGTGGGAGTCTGGGGGCCTGGTTCGCCGCGTTTTGAAACATTCGTAGAGGAAAACAGAGCGCTTGAGCAGAAAGTACGCCAGCTTGGCGGCATCAAGTGGCTGTACGCACAAGCATACTACACCCTGGACGAATGGAATGACATCTACGATATGAAGTGGTAAGCAAAACAGTGACACGAGAACAAGACGGCCCTGCAAGAGCAGGGCTCGCTGTGTTCAAGTCAGTGGCGATTTTGCTAACATCAAACCATCGCATTCAGGTACAACGCGCTCAGAAAGAAGTATCACGCGGAGTACTTACCCAGTGTGTACCAGAAAGTCAAGGTGGACCTCAGCAAGGTAGGGTCACCTCCCACAGGCCTATCTGCTTGGTTGCGAGATCAATTTTGGAACACATGGCCATTTAGTGGTTTGTATGGAGTGGCGAAGACTTTGCTGGAGAAGGACTACCTGCTTGCCAAGTAGACTTCAGTACTGTATCGCAGGAACATTCCTGAAGAACGAACGACTATGAGTGGCGCTCAATTACATACAAGATGCACGTATATACAGACAGTACCGCAAATACTGTACAGACCAAACCCGGGGAGAGTGGACCGTCAGCCCAGGTATCTCAGGTCCATCCAGCTAACGCTCTCGTAATCAGTACCCAGTATGTCTGCGATCGCGACTGGCTTGCTCAGCTTATCACCGAAGCTCGCCCTCGCTCCTTTGCTGCCAGCTCCGGTATTGCCATGCTCCCCGAGCTGCGAATTTTCAGTTCTTGCATCGCCCTTGTTCCAGATAGACCATCCGGCGGGGTTGACAACTGCCGTCATATCGGTTGACTGGAATGCCACGCGGGCATACTGACCCCAAGGCCGACCCTATACGTACGACGAAGGTAAGCATTCATCACAGACGCGACAAGAAGTCGGCAGCTTACAAGGTAATATGCGCCACTCTCTACAGTGTTTCCAGCTGCAGCGGCCACGGTTGAGTTGTTAATGACGAGATAGCTCGGGCTGTCTGAAGTTTTGCGTCCACTGGCAGTAATGTAACCCTTGGACGCCTGAAGCACGMGGATATCGCACTGATCGAACCACGCCTCTCCGTATTGGCCGAAGATGAAGTCTGTCGCGCCTTCAATGTATGACCTGGCGTAGAGTTGAGCACCTCTTTCGGCGAGCACCGTGTCTTGGAAGCTGGTGGTGTGTCAGTGGACGGGGTATGCTGRCGGCGAGGCACTTGATACGTACCCAGTGAACGAGCATCCGTAGTATCCTTGTCCCTGGAGACTTGTTAGCTGTGTGAAGATTGTTCCTTCGTGATGGGATCGTCTTACAGCAGCGTTTGCAGAAAGCGCCAAAGCCTGGCTCCCTTCCCCATACGAGTTCACTACGTTGACGTTGTAGAGCTTGAAGTTACTCGTGTGGACTCTGAGTGTTGCAGTGGCATCGTTGTTCGGTTGCTGATGCAGCTTGGTTAGAGCTGTTCAAATCAAACTCKAATCCGCAGATTTACCGTCTCCTGGCTTTCGCCCGCCTCGATGAAGACAACATTTTTCTTGTAGGTGCTCTCATCAACCGTGTAGCCCAAGATCGAAAGAGGTCCCTTCAACTTGGGAACATAGACTTGCTCCTTGTAGGTCCCGGCACCGATGAAGATGCTCTGCTCTTTCACGGCAGAGGACGAGAGGGCATCAACCGCAGCTTGAATGGTGCGGTACCCTCCAGTGCCGTTCTTGCTCACCACAAGAGCACCAGGCGGAGCAGTGGTCCGGCATGCGGCAAGCGCCACAGTAACAAAACAGAAAAGGAACCAAAGGGAATGCATTGTTTGAAAAGAGTGTGAATGATCAAGTTGTTGACTGGGCGCCATCGAACCTTACTTGTGTGGTTTTTAAGGACCTCCGCGAGCTCCAGAGATCTGCTTCCCTTTCTTCCGATACACTCCTTGCAATACCGGCATAGTTTGGCCATGTATGCGCCAAGATGCCAAATAGAAGGTCGCTTCAAGGTGATGCTTTATTCGACACCAGGACGTGAATGACGCACTGCCTCCGCCAGTCAGTAGTATTCGAGCAACCCCGAACAGATTGCAGGCTGTGAAGATAGGTTCCCCGGAATTGCCCAAGACAAACAGATGTACTGCATATAGAGTGCTAWCTCGCTTGTCGTGTTCCAGATTTATAGCCACTCAAGTATGCTGTTTTGCCACCAGTTTCACCACGTTGCACGGACAACAGCCAAGCAGTCGTCGGTAGTGCCCCAGCTCTACGCTGGTCAGTTAAGAAGCTCATCGAAATCGCATCGCATCACATCATCAAGTTTCGCGGCTCTTGCACTCATCATAATCACCCCGACCTTCAAGAACGTTTTATGGAGTGACTTTAGGCTGCTATCGCGAAAAGCGCTCGACCGTGACTCTCTGACCAAAGAGACAAAGGACTTACTGACGTGCGGAGCAGATCCGTCTGCAGAATGTTCCTCACCCTCTTCTATCAGAGCCTGCATTCTTTATTACGAGCATACGACGAACGCAAAGCCGTGCATGGCACTTACATGCTCAATGACTGGCCTAAGACATCGACGGACAGAGCTTCGGAACTAGGAATGTGTTAAACTTGCCATAAGACTTCATCCCAATACACTCCGGAATGAGCGAATAGGGAACTTCCTGTGCAGTCACAATTAAGTGCTGACAATCTCGACATGACGGAGAGACTTCGGGGTATGTCGGATAGGGCGGGTCGACAGGGGATGAAGTTGGTCGCGGTGAGCAGGCTGGAGAGCATGGAGTACACGCCGCAAATACCTTGTAGGGCTCAGCCCGCATTGACAGTTTGTCAAGTGACTTTCTGTTGTTGGCGAGCTGTCCCGTTTGAACACAATCACGATTGGTTGCGTGTCACGGAGAGACGTGTCCTACGATCCGCTTTTAGCCTGGACACACCGGCAAATGTAATCGAAAATGGGACGCTTCGGTTTRGGCCGTGCTATTTTTTGCGACCATACTCGATATGCTTGCAGACCATGGAGCACAATTTCTCAGGATCGTCTTGAAATCGGCAGGAAGAACTGGTTACTTCCTGGATGCGTCACACAGCCTTGAGACTGATGACAAATCCCATCATTGAGCTACTTGCAGCGGTGGTCGATTGAAGACAGCAATGCCGAAAAGAACGGCTCTTCTGGCAGGCGAGCAGCGCCACGTGTGTCGGCATGCAGAGTAATCGAGCAGGGTGTCTATGGGACCAATGGCGTTGTTGGTGGCACGCTTTCGCTGGTACAGTGCGCCGCAGCGTTAGTGTTCGCCAACGATCGCTTCGGCTCCACTGAAACCACTCGCATGACCCTCTGCGCCTTCAGAATACAATCGCAAAGCTGTGAAGCGCATGGGTCCCGTACAGATCGCACTTCGCACCGATAGTGCTGCCTCTCGTGATGCCTTTCGAGCCATGGTTCTGAACATAGATCAAAGCATGAAACCTACATTCGGGTAATCAGGAACTGTCGTGGGTCAGCAGACAACAAGCCACGCTTCAGCCTTATGCTTGTGTTCGTTTACAAGCCCATGGTAGTGGTTTGGATGACACGCGGAGACGCCGATCCTGCCAGTTGGTTCTGTGCTTCCCTGCTGGGCCAACGATTGGCTGGCACACAATGCATAGGCGACACGGTCCAGAGAGCTCGTTTCCGACCACACGAGACATCGGGCGGTAACAGACCGGAGTCAGCTCTCAGTCCTGCACGCACTGTCGAAAGACGGCGGTTGGTAAATGTGTCAATTGCGAGTGGCACGAAAAGGAGCCCGTCCAGCCGTTTGCTTCGCAGCAGGTGCGAGCTGCGATTGGCCAGTAGTGGGCAATGCTCGAATTCCAGCTTCTCCCTCGGCTGTGTGAGAAGTGCAACTTTCGCGTTGTAGCCTCGACTTGGCGCGCAGCTGCAGCCGCAGCCGCAGCCAGTGCATTCAGCCGCACGCAGTGCATGAAAAACAGCCTGCTCCATAGCTGTGCCCGTGTTGGAGTTCCAGGACGAGCATTGGCAATCAGTCTTGAAACCGCAGAGGGCGTGGCAGACCATTGTCCCACCGCCTCGAGGATTGGAAATGTAGGTTCTGACATGGCAGCCGACCCGGACATGGCGTGCGTCCAGGAGCAATGTCAGATGCTTGGGGACATCCGATCGACCGCTAGAGCGGATGGCATCCGAGAAGAGCGCGTTCTCCAGCATTCGTGGTGCTTACCAACGAAGATTGAGCTGGTTTGGTCCTCCCGCCTCGCGCTCAGTGGTCGACAGGTAGAGTGGTGGGTAGGGCTGACARGTCGGACACCAGATAGATAGCAGGGATACCTGTCTGGAGCGGTGAGGTCGCGATTGCGGGCGGCTGGTTGCATGCTAGATCCAGCCGTCCGCAGCACGAGGCAGACAGTTCAACAGGCGTCCACTTCAAGGCAGCTGGATGCGAGCCACGTCCTCCTCGACGTAGGTATCGTCGCCGACTCTGAAACGAGTGGACGGAAACGCGGCGCTGGAATGCCGACACGCGTGGTCCAGAGTGTCCGGCGTCGCACAGTGAGGAGTGCGCCCTGCGATTGCAGGCTGCAATGGATGGCATCATGACCTGCCTGTCGGTCTCGGAATGGCACGCTCTTCTGTACGGGATCCCGAGAGGTCGAGGCAAAGCACAACGTCCGGCTACACCGCCGACGCGAAGGAAGAAGGTAGGTAAGTTAGGTGTTGTTAGTGCAGGCCGGTCCGGTGCAGCAGAGCAGAACAGGTGGAGTTCCGCGGAATGCCACGACTTTCGACAGCGCGCATGGTCAGGCTCCTAAATTAAAACACGACCTGGCTCTTTGTAATCATGGCCCTCAGCCAGCTCGCGCATCGAGCCCCATTTCTGGGCAGTGGAGAGAGCAGGTTACCGGTTGGAGCTACATGAGCTCGCGCGCTCAGCCCTGCGGGGTGTGCGTTGGTAGGCGACTCTTCTGTCTGGCTCGCTCGCGGTGGACACGGCATCMACGCAGACCCGAAGCCTGAAGCCTGAAGCCTGAAGCCTGCTTTTGCTTGCCTGCCCGCCTGCTCCAAGCAGCAGCAGCAGCCGCGCCATCGGGCAGCCGCAATTCCGTACAGAGCAGTGCGCAGAGGCGCGGACTGCGGGCGGGTCGAGAGAGCACACATGGCAAGTCGGTCTAGCAAGGATCAGTCGTTCCGCCGTGATCCTCATCCCATGCGATCCTCTGCCATGGCCTGACCTCTTATATGCCGTGCAGCTCCCCCAAACTCCCTTTATCGGTTTCAGCTGTGTAAAGACATCTTCTCCTTTCACACAACGACCTCGACTCTGCTCGTCGTGCAACACGTCTCTGCTCTTTACCTAGCTTTGTCATTGCCCAGTGTCAGCCCGTGATGAACGATCGACCAAGCATGCAGTCGAGCTACAGCTATGCGGAGTACCCGGCGTCCGCACCTCAGAAACATTACCCAACTGCACACAGCACTAGCAGTGCGTTCAGCGCGAGTGCGAACCCCAACGAGGATTGGACCAAAGTATGTGCAATCCGCCGAGACACATATGATCGAAACATTGACCCTGTTCAGATATCAGACCTTGCGGAACGACGAAGAATACAGAACCGCATTGCCCAACGGAACTATCGTATGTTTGTTGCAACCTAACAATGCCGCCATCTTCTGACCATCTTGCAGGCAAGAAGCTGAAGAAGCGCTTGGAAGATCTGGAAAGAAGGGCCGGCTCGAGCTCGGCATCACCAGAACAGCGACATGAAGAACTTCCTCAAACGCATATGAAGGAGTCTATCCAGACCTCTCGCGAGTCCGCACATCACCGACGACGATCAAATAGTAGTCAAGCGCGGCGGCAACATACTCCCGAGGTGCTAGCGCAACGATATGTGCTGCCCTCGGACGACCGTGGCATGTTCTCGCAGCAATTCACACGCCAGATATCGACTTCTCCCCCGCCATTCTCGTATGCTCCTCTACAGTCTACGGAGACTGTAGGATATCCAAACTATCAGCCTTATTGCGGATTGCCGTCGGCTTCGATGGAGCTTCCCCTATACTCGCAGTATCTACCACCACCTCAGCATACGTACGGAGCTCAAAGCATGACATCTCCGCCCATAAAGCAGGAGATCTATGGTGATGACGAGTACAACAACCCATTCGGCATGAGCTACGCATCCATGGCCAACGAAAACTCATTCCCCGCCTATGTGAGTAGACCACCTCACCAACGGAATCACACTTATCCCACCACCGCGACGCATGGCTGATAGCAAGGCCAGACACCGCCACTGTCGGATGCATCTGAGTTCTCACCACCAGATTACCCACGCACCCCTCTATCACTCCCTAGAACACCTCCGTCGTATCGCTCATGATCGAACGGATCAGGCGGATTCCGGGCTCTATTTCTGCACGATTAACGACAATTTGCTTATGACAAGCGCTGGAGTCCGGCGTTGGCTACAAACGACAGGGTCAAGGCCCTTTGAAATTTGGTTGTCATTTGGCGTTCAACTCGGCGGATCAGGTCGATGTTGTTGGGAAATTCATAGATGTTGAAAGTTTCGATATATCAACAATGGCACAGTACTGTACTCCTCATGCCGCCGCATCCGGTTGACTGTCCAGATCTCTCCCTCTCTTTCATAACATCTGTTCTCCATCGATTGCTGCTCAGCAACGTACGTTGTCTTGGCATCTCGGCATCCGGACCTTGAAGATCGCGAGTGCAAAAACGAATATTGTTGCAATGGCATTTTTCTCATCTCGGGCAGCTTTATCCTGTCAGGTAGTTTGCTTCCATGGCTCGCAAGCCGTGATACTCGCGAGTCTCGGATTGTCTTGATCAGTGAGGGATTTGTCACTCTCGTTCCCTCGGATTGTGACGACGCTCGACATGGGTAGTTTGCTCCGCTGTCTACAAGTGTTGTGCACTCCTGCGAAGGTTTCGAGCTAGCAGGAGTTGGACTGATGAGACTTGGCGGCTCGGACTCGCTCGCTCCAACATTGAGAGCTCTACCTAGGCAAACCTTACAGTACCATCGATTCATCATCACCATCCATCAGTTCCATCGACATTCCAGAGATGGCACAGACGTTTGACAGCAAGCATTTGGTCCTTTTCGGGGCAGACAAGTAAGTGGACTGGGCCCGTCCTAGAGCTGCGACGGCGACTGATGTGCTGCCAGGGGCTGGCACTCTGGCGACTGGACTGCATCCGACGATCGTGTTCGGGGCGGTAAATCCCAGGTACGCTCGGCAAGGCTACGAAGAAGCGGCATAGTATCGTGCATTATGCTCACCTGATATCGTAGTCATATCTTGAAATCAACGAGAAGACCGCTCGATTTCATGGAACGCTTGATATCAAGACCCTAGGTGGCGCTGGCTTTGCGAGCCAGCGAACCACTGGGAACGACCGCGAATGGGACCTTTCCGAGTATGCGGGCATTCAAATCAACACATCAAAGGGAGACAGTGCGTACCATGTCGAAGTTGCAGAGACATGTTCTAACAATGCGGCAGAGAAACGATACACCCTGAATTTGAAGGACACATTGCTGCCTCCAGATCCAGACACAGGCCGTGAGCAATCGACAGTCACCTATGAATGCGACTTCGAGCTTCCCTCGCAAGCAGAGCCAGGCCATGCCTACGACCGCTCCATTTTCATCCCCTTTTCAAGCTTCAATGCAACCTACCGTGGCAGGCTGAAGGACGATGCGAAACCGATCAATTTGAAGAAGGTCAAGCAAATCAGTGTCATGATGAGAAGGTAAGGCAATGTCGAYGGCGGTTTGAGGATTGCGCTRACCTCTTACAGCTTCTTCGGCACTCAGGAGGGGGAGTTTTCTCTTACGCTGCGATCCATCTGTGCGCTTTCAAAAGTACCATCGGTGGACGCAGAGACCACCATCATCGATCACAGCGTCCTGGAGAAGGGCGACGCGGATGTGGAATCCAATGTCGCAGATGAAGTTCTTGTGAGTCGTTTGTTGCTGGTGGCGTGCGCATGCAATGATGCTAACTTGTTAGCCTTCGATGCCACCTTCGCGAAAGGTTGCGTATTTCCTGCTCGGGGTCGTTTCCCTGTTTGCGGTATTCCCACTGCTGTTTCCAATGTCTTGCGGAATGCATTCGGGATGAACAGGCAGTCGTAGAACCACTGGCTTCGGACGTCTTGCTCTTTCGAGACTGAGTTGAGAGAGGGACCTCGGATGGAAGCCGATGTATAACGTGCGATGCATTGAATTGTCATAAAACTGGTCATTGCTCATTGACTGAACCGTCTGTATGGCATGGACCAACATCATCTACGCCTTGCACGCACTCACTCCATGAAAGACATCATTGACCCAATCCGAGAAGCGCCACCTCCAACGGCTGCTATTCCCACCGGTGTGATATCCGAAAGGCTGCTGCCGTGGAACAGATAAGTAACATTGTCCCGATCTTGTGCAAACCACATGCCACCTTCGTGCACCGACACAGCCTCGCTGCCTCGTCCACTACGTACGTAACGAACGCTCCTGCTCCGCGTGAACGCCCACAGGGAGTCCAAAGCTCCGACGCTACTACTGATGGGACCAAAGCAGTACAGGTTGCCGTGCTCCAGGCATCCAATTCCTTGTTGTTCCTATCTCCGGCCATTCCGCATATTCCTATTGCGAAATTGGGCATAGCTTCTGAGCCGGCGCCGGAAGGATATCCTCGGCTTCGACTTTTGGCATCGTCGCTCTTCGGCGGAAGTGGTCATGGTTAACGTGTACAGTAGGTAGGTACCTGCTGCTGCATCACTCATCACAATCACAAATTGTCTGTTGGCCTCGGGAAGGCGGATACGAGATACTCGGACTCCTCAGCGATAGCCGGAAACGATGGGATTAATAATGTGAAGTTGCATGTGATTGATCGACTTGTCCAAACGGACGTTCTTTGCGGGTATCTCCAACGCTAGACGAAATACAACGACAACTCCATACCCACCCCATCCCCATTGATAGTTCCGGTCCGGAATATGTTCACCAGTCTTCCAGCATCCAGGTCATTGTTGTCTCGGCCGTTGACGCACTTACGGAGCACTTCCGGCTGTTGACAGACTGTAGCTTCAGATCCATCACATCACCTTGCAGAGTGGTCAGGCAGAGAGGGATCCTCGCCACATTGTGCTTCGGCGTGGAACCCTGCTGAGATGAATTTGGCTGATGCGCTGGCTGTGGAGTTCTATTCTCGAGCTTATCGAGGAAACTGTCTACCCTTTGAAATGGGTGTTCCGCCTTTAAAGTCCTTTGTGCAAGCGTGTTGAGAAGCTGCTGCCTTCCGGGAAGCCTGTATATGAAAACCTGCGTTAGAGGCGCAGGCCGGATGCGCTTCTTGTCGCGTTCAGCGAGAGCAAGGAACGATCCATTGGGCGCCATGGCGAACATAGGGTGATGCTCGTGAGCCGATGGCATGTTCTCCCACAGGCCCATACCTTCATCACTATCCGCCTCCAACATATGACTCCAGGCTGACAGGAAGCTCTCTAGCCTGGCAAGCACAGTCACGCTCGCCGGCTCAACCCTCGAGGCGCTCGTGTTATGCGGGATGCTCGTCTGTACATGGCCGAGTACATACAAGCTACTCTCTCCACCGCCCTGCTTCTGCCCAGCAAACAGCCAGCCATGCTCGAACGGACGCAGGAGCTGCACCCCACAGATCCGAGCGGGCTGCTCTACATCCTCGGATGCCGGCGCGATTGTGAGGAGTGCCGAGTCAAGAAAAGTGTGTTTCAAGCCCGCCTTGCTCTTCCAATGCTCCACTGTGGCTTTCGTCTCTTGCTCTTGCTGTTCTAGAGTTGGCGGAGTGCCCAGATATAGCACGGTGCCCTTCCCCGAGAGACGGACTCGTAGAACATGGTCGTTTTGCTCAAAACCCAGACCACAGATGTAATGCCCGCTGGCACTCGAGATGTACTCGTTGATGGTGAAGCTTTCGGCATCCGCACGGAGGTCGTAGAGCTGGATCGTGCGCTCTTGCGAGATAGCAAGCATGCTTCCATCCGAGGACAGAGCAAGCTCGTTGCACGAATTTGGCTGACACTTCAACCAGGGCCCATTACCTACCGTCTCTTTGAGATCGTTCAGTGGACGCTGGTATCTCAACACAGGCTTGCTTCCGGCAGTATCGAACAGCTCAATCATACGGCCATTCAGCCTGGCCGTCAAATCGCCATTCGAAKTGGAGACCACTCTGGGGTTGATCTGAAACCCAAGCTTCGAGGCTTTGGTCAATCTTCCAGGAGTGTCGTATGCCCGCTCTGTGCGAACGTCAACCATGAGAGTGTGCGTGGCTTCGTCATAGAGCTGCYGGAGCTCGATTGGGGTCGACGAGGCCGCTTGAACCGGTGGGAGAATGGGAAGTCGTCGTAGCTGGCGTGCAAGAGATAAAGGGGCGGTCGATGCGAATTTCCACCATTTGCACACTTTTCTTGCCGAGTAGAAATTTGCGGTGTCCAAGTAGGAGAAGATCTGTTGCTGGAGCTCCAATGGCAGTCCAGTCGAGGCAACCGACGTCTGTCGGACACTTGCAGTGCGTTCCAGTGGAGAAGACATGGTCAATGCAGACGGAAAGCAGATGCAAGAGGGGTGAGAGCAAGATGGTACACGGGAGGTTCAAATGAGGCAAGCGAAGAAAAGAAAGTCACATACCAGGCCGACCGGCGAGAGAGCGGTGAATTATGTACAGATAAGAAACACGACTCTGCAGGTACGCGACGTCGCAGAACGCGCTCAGGATTGAAACGTTGAGCATCTAGGAGGGAAGCAACCAATTCGGTCGGTCGGTCAGCGGGAGTCGCGCCGGTGTGGGAGTCCATGACAGCTCGCCGGGATATCGCCGTCGCGAATTGGCGTTTTGTGGGCCTTGGTATCGAGAGTCTGGGTGTGCAGATGATGTGATGTCCACAGAAAAAAAATAGATATCTCTTCACCGAACCACCGGATGATATCAGCCAGCAGCGGCAGATCGGGCGGATCAGGGACGCCGGCCCATAATAAACGTGGGAGAAGCCTTTTAGCGTTTTGCGGCGCTAATTCGGTTCGCAATCATCAATTCACCGTCATCGTTCGGACGGCGATGCTGGTAGCAAAGTCTGGCTCCACATCCTCCACTCACTCTTTTTGGCGACATCCAGCCGGATGCTTGTCATTGCTCTCACGCAGACGCATCCACCGAAACCACTTCACTCTTTGACCCATTTCACACGACTTGTTCTACCCGCAATACGTTCAAGGCAGGGCGACGACGGACGGCAGTGACTGTTCGATAGACCGAAGACAAACAGGGTTCCCATATGCTGTTTACTGTGCAGGTAAACAGCGTGAGCCAATACTAGCAAGAGATGGGTTGTACCACAAGCGTGAAGTGCATGATGGATACAAAGCGAGTCGCGGAGAAGTGCAGATGACCCCCGACACAAGGAAACACGTTGGCCCATCGATCGTGATGGGGATTCACCTCATATCAAATGATCAAAGCATGTCCGCCTTCCTTTTCGCATGTTTCTCAGCCTCGTCATCCTCGCGACTCGCGACGCAAGCTTTCACGAACTCTGCATACTGCTCCCGATAGACAGGAAGAACTTCGTTCCCTCTCCCTTCCTCCACCCAGCCATCCGTTTCACGGCGCAGCAGTCTAGAAAGATGCATCCGCAGCCTCTTTGTCGACTGTAACTGATCTAGCTCCACTGCGAGCAATGCTTCGTCTTCCGGGCTTGGCTGAGAGGGACAATCGCCTGGCATCCCAAGATTCACCCATCCGCTGCTGACATCTGCTAGTGATGAACGAAGTAAAGTAGCATTGTCAGAAAATMCCGAACTGACCCCGACGAGGTAGCGACAGACCATTTGATTGATGGTCGTGGCTTTGCCTACTTTCTGGCAAAACGAAGGCCGTGACGGCCCATGTTTCATTGCAACGCTGTGTATAATCTTGTGACTCATGCGAGTCGGGAGAAACGTCTGCATCTAGGGTCTTGTCCGGCGAAGGCTCTTCTGCAAAATCTGGCATAAGCGGGCTCAACTGCAGTCGACTGCCAAACGATTTGACCTCTCGCGGTAAGAGAGTCTCTGCACATGACACCTACCAACAGTGCGCTCGAATGCCGATGATCATCGCAATAGGATTCTCGCCTGTCTAGCCGTGGCTTCCCTGAGCCCCAAAGCAGGCACAAGGGCCGCCGAAATTGGAGGTTGCCGCCCTTTCTACAACAACGACAGTACGATCGAGAAGACATTATTCGATAAGACATTCGACCATCCGTACTTGACTCTCCGTAAGGCTGCTGCTTTTTGTGCTTGTAGCCACCTGTTCGTGAGCGTTGTCGTCAACTCCTTACAAGGAGAGGCGGCAATCTTCANCTTGACTCTCCGTAAGGCTGCTGCTTTTTGTGCTTGTAGCCACCTGTTCGTGAGCGTTGTCGTCAACTCCTTACAAGGAGAGGCGGCAATCTTCAATTTCTGCGGCCCTTGGCAGTTAAGTTTTGTAGGTTGAAGTACAGTCCTTCCTGCAACAGGATTCTCGCCTGCCTTATTATTCTTCTACAACAACGACAGTGGGATCGAGAAGACATTATTCGATAAGACATTCGACCATCCGTGCTTGACTCTCCGTAAGGCTGCTGCTTTTTGTGCTTGTAGCCACCTGTTCGTGAGCGTTGTCGTCAACTCNTTCGATAAGACATTCGACCATCCGTGCTTGACTCTCCGTAAGGCTGCTGCTTTTTGTGCTTGTAGCCACCTGTTCGTGAGCGTTGTCGTCAACTCACTACAAGGAGAGGCGGCAATCTTCAATGTCGGCGGCCCTTAGCAGTCAAGTCTTGTAGGTTGAAGTACAGTCCTTCCCGCAACAGGATTCTCGCCTGCCTCATTAATCAGCCGTGGCTTCCCTGAGCGGTCACCTCTTGCCGGTTGAAGTGAAGTCCTTCCTACCCTTTCCTTCCTGCCCTTTCCTTGCCACCCTGTGCAGCTTCCGCTCAGTGGCCTGGCTGCTGTCTATAAGTATTTCCTTCCGTCCTTCGTCTCTCGTCTCTTCATCTTCAAACATCAACATTCCCAACATCAATCCATCACTTCCATCAGTCCCATCAGCAAGCCATCAGTCCCGTCAGCAATACCAACGTCGCCATCAACATTACCATCACCCTCCCGCCATCATCTCCAGCAGCAGCTTCTCTGCTCGAAGGTGCTCTCCACAACAAACCCATCTCTCGTTTGTACAGCCAGCCAGCTTCCGTGTTCTTCGCTGACCGTCTTTCAGAGACTCAAACCCACAACCGTCACCATSATGAACCAGTCTTCTCCAGTCTTGGTCACCGTCGGTACTGGCTCCAGCAAGAGCACCGGCATTGTCGAGATGCGAGCCGCCGCCTTAGAGTTGGCAGCACCATCCAAGTGGCCGGTCCCAACCTCCACCACGACCCAGACCAGCACGGTGACAATCACTCCGGCCTGGACCACTTTGCCCACCGTGACACTCCTGTACACCACTACCAAGACTAAGAAGAACGACCACACCACCATCACGGTGCCTCGCACCCACAGCAAAAACAAACGGGCTGAGCCCACGGACTCTCTCACCTTGTTGCCCGATGGCTCCCTTGGAACAATCCTGCACAAGCATACGACTACCACTTCCACTCGGCACAAGACGTCCTTCACCACGGTGACTCCGACGGTCACTCACGTCTCCATCCACTCTCCTGCTCCTTCCATCACCAGGCAGCAGAAGTTTATCACCGCCACCAGCACGACCGGTTGGACGACTATTCCTCCCACGACCATGATCATTCCTGGCACAGTCGTGACTGGCACCATTCCTGCCACGCCCGTGACTGACGCCGTTCCTTTCACGACCCTGACTGGCACCACTCCTCGCCTGATCAAGACCGTCGTCGTTCCGCCAAGTCTCAGCCAACTGAGCGCGACCAGCATCAAGCAGCCGACCACCGTAGTCTMCACCGTGCACGAATCGATTACCACCACCGCCGTGGCGAATGGAGCCGTCGTCCCCATCATTACATCAACCGCCACCTCCACTCACACTCAGCCCCACAGCCAGAAATCCCACCACCGAGACCTCGCGGGCCGCCCATGCCCAACATATCACTTCGGCTGTGACCCTTTCGACTTCATCAACAAGAACTGGTTCTGGCTCCTCGCCATTCCACTCATCCTTTTGGCTGCCGCAATGTGGATCTTTTTCCGCCGCTCTCGTCCCCGTGATGGAACACCCAGCAGCCAAGAGGGCGACCAGCAGGCTGTTGTCGCCATGGAGAATGGAGAGCGCAATGGAGAGAGTGAGATTGGAAAGCGTGAGATTGAAGGGCGCGAACCTGCGATGCCGTCCAGAGCTGCGCCGAGACCTAACCTCAGGTCCGTTGCGGTGTATTAATCCACTCACCCTGACTCACCTCACCTGATTCACCTGCAACAAACCTACTCACCCATGGGTCTTCACTTGCTACCTAGATAGTACCTATTCAAAGTACCTAATCAAATTACCTAATCACATCTGTCCCACGTCTCTCCGTCTTGTCGATCCTGTGTGATGTACGCTCCGCTGCACTCTCCGCCCCCGACTCTCCGCATCGCCGACCGCAACTCTGCTCTGCTGGAGGGGGTTAGGCTAATGATACCGCTCCGCTCCTTCGAGACGATTTCGGAGAGTGAGCATGTCTCTCCAACGTTATGTCTCGCCATCTTGTCCTGTATAATATATGCCTGCGTAATGTACGCTGCGCCCTACCCTCTATATTCCGCTCTCGACTCTCCGTATCGTCGACCGCAACTCTGCTCTGCTGGAGGGAGTTAGGTTAATAATACCGCTCCGCTCCTTCGAGACGATTTCAGAGAGTGAGCATGTCTCTCTAGTCTTATGTCTCGCTATCTTCTCCTGCATGATGTATACCTGCGTAATATATGCCTGCGTAATATACGCTCCGCCCTATCATCTACACTCCGCTCTCGACTCTCCGCGTCGTCGACCGCAACTCTGCTCTGCTAGGGGGGATTAGGCCTACAACTCCGCTCCGCTCCTTCGAATCCTTTCAAGGGATTCGCAGGAGATGAGCCCACCCTAGAACACTCCTCTAAACCTTCGCTGCGCCCAAAATCGCTTCCCAGGGCTTGAGTGTGATCTTGCCTTGCACTTCTTTGACCGGTGCTCCGGCTTCGTAGTTTCCAGCAACCCACTTCTCCACACCCGCAGCATCAGGAATGTCAAACTCCACACTCTCTCCCGAGAAATTCAGGACAATGACAAAAGCCTCCTCTTTGCTAGATCTCTTATACGCAAAGACTGACTCGTGTGTCTCGTCAAACAGCCGGTAGTCACCATACACAAACACATCTYTGTGGGCTTTTCTGTTCGCCAGTCCGCGCTTCCAGAACTGAAGGACTGAAAGATCATCATCGTCTTTGGCTGATTGCTGAGCCTCGGCGTTGATGTGGGTGTAGTCGTCGTTCACACGCCTGTCAAGTCTTAGCTCATGACCATCATTGCATTACACCTCAGCGTCGAACTCACATCCAAGGCGTCACGCCTTCCTTGCAGAAACCAGCATTGGCAGTATTGTTCCACTGCACCGGCGTCCTGGCATGATCGCGGGCTTTCTTCTGCAATATCATTCGAGCATGCTGCAACTTCTCTCCGTCGCCGGGGTAAAGATCGTTCATCTTCTTCCAGTAATTCTGAGACTCGATATCTTTGTATTCAGCCGGATCCCAGGAGGCAGGCACATTTGCCATGGCAATCTCTTCGCCCTGGTAGACATACAATGTCCCGCTGAGTGTGGTCTCCATCAAAGCGAGAAGTTTGGCTCCCAGCTCGCGGTACTGTGGCGAATCATCCGTGATGATGGAGACACTTCGGGGGTTGTCTACGTCAAGTGTTAGCAAGCTTTCACGCACTCATAGACGTGCCACTCCTCACCATGGTTCTCAATGAACACAGAGTTCCAACCTCCCCGCTCACGCATTGCATTCTGCCACTTTGAAATGATGTCTCGGAGCTCCTTCGTTTCCCATGCACGTAGCGTCATCCGAGCTGCTCCCGGCTCGTTGCTGATGTCCACAACCTCGAATATGAAAATCATGTTGAGTTCATGTCGCTCCTCTCCGACCACCCGAAGCACTTCGTCCTCGTCGTTGATGAATGGCATCTCACCAACAGTGATCGAGTCGTATTTTGACAGCACCTTGTCATTCATGTCGCGAAGAAACTCATGCAGACGAGGTCCATTGGCGTAGAACTTGTGTCCAGGCTGGTACTCGCTATTCTTGTCGAAAATTTCTGCGTCTGGGAATGTCTGAACCTTCGAAATAAGATTGATTACGTCCTGGATTGTTTGTGACACGTTAGTAGAGATCTAGTAACCGGGATAGCAGCGCGGGATAGCAGTGATTGATGGAAGACTCACCATCCGGAATCCGCTGGCACCGCGGTCAAGCCAGAAACGAAGAATGTCGTGCACAGCCGAGCGAACCTTTGGATTTTCCCAATTCAAGTCAGGCTGCTCTGGAGTGAAGAGGGCAAGATAATACTCTTGAGTCTTCTCATCCCAGGTCCACGCGCTGTTTGCCTCGCCCAGGATCATCGACCAATTGTTTGGTGGGTGACGATTTCCCTGCTCATCGTACTTGGCGGGCTTCCAGATGTACCAGTCCCTGTACTTGCTGTCTTTGGAAGAACGGGAGTCGAGGAACCAGGCATGTTGGTGTGATGTGTGATTCACCACGAGATCCATCATGAGCCTGTTTGAATCAGCGACACATTCTATGGAGCCATTGTTTTCGATGTTCACTCACTTCATATCCCGCTTCTTCAAGTTTTTGATGAGCTCATCGACATCAGCCAAAGAACCATAGACGGGGTCGATGTCCAGATAGTCGGAGATGTCGTATCCCCTGAAACCGAGGAGGGTCAGCATGAATCGCAAATTAGTGATCTAGGACGTTTGARTCAACTCACATGTCAACCTGCGGAGATCTTTGCTCGTCAGCATCAGGATTGCAAAAGAGAGTGATGGAATTTACTTGTAAATTGGCGACGTCCAAACAACATCGACTGGGCTGATGTGAGCATTGATCATGGATAAGAAAACAGTCGTGCTCAGCACTCACCGCCGAGCTCTTTCARGTAATCAAGCTTCGCCGTTATGCCATTGACCTACGGCTTCGGATCAGTATACAGCAGGTAGCCTGCGTATCGCCTGGTCTCAGCACATGGCTCGCTCACATCTCCCCATCCCGGCTTTGATCCCGATCCGGTTGAGTAGAATGAAGCGGGATAGATTTGATAGACAACCTGAGCAGGAGCAGCGCGAGGATTAGCAAGTTGCTGTCTGGCAGAGAAGTGGTGTGTCATCTTCTCCGATTGGATATCTTACTGCCTCCTTCCACCACTTGTGAGCGTTTGCTTGCTGTGTGAGGGCCATGGCGAATGGTTAGGTTTAGGTAGGCTGAGTATGAGCGGGGAAAAGAAGAGACAATGGAGCGTTGAAAGGTGAAAGGAGAGCAGAGAAGCGTCGCCAGAAATAGTCGCAGAGAGTAGCTAAGGTATGCCACTCTCTCGCTGTACTTGCCGAGTGTAAGCGAGTCCCGAAAATGAGGCCGTTGTGGGCTGTGTCGAGATGAAGATCTCGATAGCGGTGGAAGATGAGAGCTACCTTACCTTACACTTCTGGATGGATGGAGGGTGGAAGGGCCATGACGACTGGGCGATGTTTAGCTTGTCAGCTTGTGAACGTGGGGTGGGGTCACTGTGTGCTGGGGTGGTGTGCACTGTGCACACTGTGCAGAAACTACTGCAAGTCCCCGGTCCGTGCTGCCGACGATCGGCTGGACATCATCTCTCCAGAATCCCCACCGTGTCTCGTAACTTCCATATATGTACTTGCTACAGGTTCCTACCCAACACACCTCAATACCACGAGAGATCATGAGGCCCGCCGATGCGCGCGGGATTTCTTGACAGTAGGCAGGAGCCAGTGCGACAACCATGGCATAAGGTATGCTGCAGTGGATGCTGACCCAAGATCAAGGGAGCAGTCGTACGCCGCCTCGCATTGCTGAAGCTCATGGTACCATGCCACCAGCAACATGACCGGCCTGACATTCCAGTCCAACGCGGACACCTGCGCCACTGGCCGCGCTACTTTCTGAGAAGTGGTGCTCCGAGTGAGTCTTCCAGCACGCTCTTTCTAGTCAATCTTCCTTAAGACATTGGCTTTTGTGGCTGACCATCGCATATGTTTCCACTCAAGAGGATGGGATTGGAGTTGGTCTTGCTCGCGATGCGATTACGCGACACGTAGAGCGGCGCACACCGGGACGGAGCCGCCTCGCTACGGATGTTGAGACCATTCAGGAAGCTCTCGGCTGGTCGTCCGCTTCACCTTACTACGTTGAGGTTTCCCAGACTACGCATGCTACCTTACAGCGTCGAGACTTTCCCCAAACACCCATCACCAAGGCTCACACTCCCCCGAAGCCTTTCTGATAGGAAGGTACTACGGACCCCACTTACCTTTACTTTWGCTTTAGTTCGATAGTGACTCAATCCATAACATGATCGACGATACTATCACTTTCGACCGTCCTACCCCGAAGCCTGTTGACAATCCCAACAATAACACCAATWAGATAGTGCCCCCGTGGTGGAAGAGGCTTTTCGACAGACTCAAGAGGCTGGATAAGCTGCGCGGCAAGAAACCTCCGTCACCAAGGAATCCTGAGAAGCCGAACCCTAAAGTAAATCCCGAAAACCCAGGCCCTGAAGCGAATCCTAAATACCCAGGCCCCAATTTGAATCCTGATGATCCGGCCCCTGGAATACCAAGACCTGACGATAATGTTCCTGGAGGACCGGATGATGGAGTATGGCAAGATCCTCATGAAGGATGGGGCAGACCTCTCGATGAATATCCCCTTACCTACGACCCGCTTGAAAAGTTGGACATGGTTAAAGATATCGAGCTCCTGGGTATCGATGGCGGGGCCCCCTCTGTAGCCGATTCGCTGGAATTGATCTACAGGCCAGACCAATGGTCGCAGGCGCGGCATCTAGGGCGGCCAAATAAGGCGCCAAAGAATTGGCTACCTCGAGAGGAACTACAAGAGTATCTTGAAATTGAAGACAAAGCTCGAAATGCAGAGTCCGTACTCGAGAAGGAAGCGCAAGCGCAAACTCTCGAGGAAACCGCGGAGGGGATTGCTGGATCTCAAGGTTCTGAAGTGAGAAGGTTGCGCAACGAGGCTGCGATAATGGAGGCGAAAGTGGTCGAGGGTGTGGACAGCCGTAATTCGTTGTGGAATGAAGCCGTTGACCAAGTTGGCGAGCTATTGGAAACGGACGTCCCCGGAGAGTACTCGGCGGAGGTGGAGGCGAATTTCGACAAATTCCGGCTTACTTACGAGGCGGAAGTAAAGGCGGACTTGGGGACCAAGCAAAAGATCAAGCGCTTGGCAGGGAAAGCGAGCAAGCTCGACTATCAAATCCGTCAGTCCAATCCAATCTACAAATCACTCCTGGAAGACGCCGACCGTCTGCACGAAGAAAAGATCAAAGCTATCTCAGAGGCGAGGAAGGATCTTCTGAAAGTCCACTGGGCAAACCAGCCCGAGATGTTTGCACACTGGCTGTCACAATGGGATGGAGGCTTTTTCTGGGACAAAGGTACTACCATTGCACAGCTCACTGAGGGAAAGGCCGAAGCGAGAATCAGGAAGCCTTCGGATGAAATTGCCCCAGATGATACAGACCCATACACAACGATCACGCCAGAGCACCGGACCGACTCTGCCTCGCAAGCGACTCCAGGCACAACCGCTGCTCATGGCCCTAAGGCGTCTAAAACCGCTGAGGGCGCTTTCACAAGTGGTAACGTGGACTCTGCTACGCGAGCAGCTCCCCCTGCTTCTGGAGCTCGGAAGACTGTCATTGGGAAATCGATTCTTCCGACTATCCCTGTAACCAAACTGGTTGTGGGGAGCATGACTTCTGGCACCACTCGTACCTTCACTACTTCCAGCACCTCTTATACCATCACTACTACCGGCACCTCTCATGCCATCACTACTTCCGGCACCTCTCATGTCATCACTCAGCCTCCTCCAATCACAACCACAATCACGTCGCCTACGGGAACCTCGACTCCTAACTAGAGGTGTTCTTCCACTGTGTTCACAGTGATAACCACAACGTACACATGGTGGTTGCTGCTGTAACAGGAAAGGTATGCCACTTCATCCAGATGGCGGACAGGCTACTTAGCTAGCACCTTAGCTAGCGACAATATCATTAGTTATGTGGACGTAATCCGGCCCTTCCTCCAAATCTTGTGAACATGTCCAGGGTGTTGTGTAAGGCGTACAACTCTACTCTTGACACCTCTGACGTTACTAYCACAGCGTCTCCTTGGGTTCGATGCAAGGATGCGAATGCTAAGAGTCCCAGTGGACATGCACGTGAGAGACGTCTTAGAGATGGTAGGTTAGACGAGCAAACTGCTCGAGTGGGTGGATGATTGGTGTCCTTCGATCTTTGACAGGGGCGTTTTGAGAGGCAGCTCTCTTGGATAGTGGGGTAGGTCATTTGAGAATGCGTGGTATGTAGCAATTAGCTACGCGATGATTGACCCGGGGTCTTTCCTTAACTTGGCGAAGACCGTAGATCTTTCTCGGCAGTCTTCGCAGCATCCCTCGAAAGCTTCATCTCTCCTTCAAGTGCACTTGCGGGGCTCCTTTTGCGACCTCGAACTCTTTTTAAGATCCGCGACTCCCGCACGGTGGGTGATTCAGCGAGCTGGCGGTGCAGAAGTTCTGCAGAAATCGCAATGCAAGTAACGCATCGGTGGTAAGCGTGGGTGATTTTCGAGCTGATGTCGGGCCGTGGGAAACCAAATATGAACGCCATTCAACGCTCGCCGTCAGTACCTTATAGGTTTCGGGATATGTACAGTCTCTGTTCCGTCATTACAATTTGTGTCGTTGATCATGCGTCGTCATTACGATTCCGCTCAGATGGGTAGCAGCTCCAAAACGTATATGATGGCGTGGACGATGCCTGGCTATCGAGAGGTCAGTACGGCGGTTCTTTACGCTCTTGGTGCCCCACTCGGGTCAATGGATACTCACAATCTCCGCCGCTCTTATGGCAGCTCCCGGTGTGGCCACTGTTTGACCTCCGTTTATGATGAACCCGCCATTCGCCGTGGGGCTTCCTCCATCCTCCATGCCTGGTGTCGAAGGTGATGTTGCCGCCACCAGGCCGCCGCCGTTGGTCGTAGTGCTTGCAGATTGGAAGTTGGTTGTGCTTGCGGACACGCCCGTTGCCGTCGAGCCAACGCCCACCAGACCGCCCGACGCGTCTACGGTTCCGCCTGTGATGATGCCTCCAATGGTTCCCGTACACGCTGCACCTGACGGACAGCACGCTACGGAGCCTGCCGAGTCCGCAGAGCATACGGCGTCAGAGACGCAGCAGAGGGATGGCGCCCCGAGATTTGCGCATGRGTCGAAGCCTTTCGGACAAGTGTTGCTGTATTGTCGTTTGAGCACATCGTGCGGCGGCGCGGCGGTGGAGTTGGAAAGTGATTCGGGCAGGTAGTCTTGTAGAATGTCGGGCAGCGCGGAGAGAAACGGATGCATGTCGCGAAGTTGGAGTGCACTGGTGAGGAGTGCTGCCGGGAGCAAGAGGAGCCTTGAGGAGCGCATCTTTGGAAGATGTGATGATGTGTGGTGGACTCAATCGATATGAGGCTTTGTCTGATGTAATGTTGTCTCACGATCGCCAGAATTTGGCCCAGCAACTGCACCAGCGCACGGACCCCACCAGCTTCACTCCGACGTCACTCTCCGGAATTATCTCGAAGGAGCGGAGCGGAGTTGTAGGCCTTACCCCCCACCCCCCCCCCCTCTAGCAGAGCAGAGTTGCGGTCGACGACGCGGAGAGTCGAGAGCGGAATGTAGAGGATGGGGCGGAATGTACATCACGCAGGATCGACAAGACAAAGAGACATGAGACAGATGTGATTAGGTAAGCTTGATTAGGTACTTTGATTACACTACGCACAGCGGAGGACATTCCTCTTCGGTGCGGGCCGCGGTTCTCTACAATGGGATTCGCTGTAATCCCAGACTTTGCAAGGATACTCGGGAAGCGCAATGTCCTCCGCTGTGCGCAGACGCTGTAGGTATTTAGGTAGCAAGTGAGGATCCATACAGAGTGTGGCCCGCATACAGGAATCACACTAAAGAGACAGGGAGGTTTTCATCCAATGCATACTCCATTCTGTCGACAATTGACGCGGATTGGACAAGACTTCCCGCTCAGATTCCCGTATGCACGACTGGGGGTGTAGGTGAGTAGGTTCGTCGCAGATGAATCGGGTGAGGTGGATTAGGGTGAGTAAACCACAGCTACCTTACGCAGAAAAGGACTTGCGCGTAGGAACCGGACTTGCGCGCAGGAACCGGACTTGCGCGCAGGAACCGGCGCCCGCTTTCCATTCAGACTCTTGTGAAAGAGATCTCCATGATGGTCGATGATGTCCAATTTATAGTAACTGTCTGAAGAGTGAACTAGTAAGTGCCGACCCTAGCTCCTGCCTGCCCTACGAATGTAGATAGGCAGGCGCAAGCCTTGGAAGGCGCGCATAAGAAGGAGGCAAGGAGGTAACGTGTGCAAGGAGGTGTTGGCTTCTCGTGGTGTTGACTAGCGTCTGGCCTGATTTGATGCCTGAACGTTGTAGGCTGAGCTGCTGCGAAAGGAAAGTCTCGGCGTCACAAGCCCGCAGCTCAGCTCTGATACGTCGTTTCCCCTCGACTCACCCATGATGAAAAGGCCGACTTCCAGGTTGTCTCCTTTGACGTTCCGCCCGCGGAGCGAGGAGAGAATAATGGTAGCGTCATCTTGGTCCCCAAGCCCGCCCCATCGGGAAATCCCAAGCACAGATCTGTTCACCAGTGGAGGCACGGGCCGCGCGGTAGTATCCTTGATGAGATCAGACATCAAAATCGGCATCCGATCATCGATGGGCGCATAATTTTGGTGTCCATATGCCACGGACTTTCGGTCTTTCGAGTGCTCCGGCAATTAGTGATGATGCTCCAACGTGTAAGAAGGTCGTGGTGAGMCCTTTATAACATTCCTTTCATTCCTCGACCACATCTCCCGTTATTTCCCATTCCAACTCCCGTGCTTCGCGTGGCAACTTCAATCTCGAGCGGTTTGATTGCTAGCAAGCATGACGGAACTGATTCGCGATACCGCATTTGGACACATTGTGCGATTTGTATCGCGAGGGAAGCTTCTACAGTACCAGGAGGAAAGAGACCCTTCGATTTGGACCAAGTTCATCGATGAGAAACAATCGGGATACCTGGCTCACCATGGCACAACGGATCCACCTGAAGACGGTAAAGAGCCGGAGACCCTAGGAGGAGTACGCACTCGCGAGGACCATGGGAAGAAAGAGCGATCGGATTCGAACAGCTCGTCGGACACAAGGGTTGGAGAAAATGGAGAGCATATCAATCGCGCAAGCGGCGTGAAAGTCGATGCGGAGAAAGGCAAGGACCTGGATGTTGTCACTTGGTACAATGATTCGGATCCTGAGAACCCTCAAAACTGGAGTCTGGTCAAGAAATGCTTCGTCACGTTTGAAATCTGTCTCCTGACGACGAGTATCTACATTGGCAGCTCGATCTACACGGCCGGAACGCAAAGTGTAATGGCTACCTTCGGGGTCTCTCAGGTGGCTGCGACTCTTGGTCTCACGCTCTTCGTCGCTGGATACGGTTTGGGACCTATGATTTGGAGCCCAATGTCGGAGATTCCTCAAATTGGAAGGAACCCAATCTACCTGGCCACTCTCTTGATCTTCGTGGCTCTGCAAGCCCCAACCGCCCTAGCTTCGAACTTTGGCATGCTTCTCGCCTTCCGTTTCATCACTGGTTTCTTTGGCAGTCCGGTCTTGGCTACGGGAGGTGCTTCTCTCGGCGACATCTGGTCGCCCAAGAAGCGCGCATATGCCATTAGTATTTGGGTAAGCATTGATCACCGCGGGAGAATACCTGCTCCCCATCTGCGCAAAATGCTAACACGCGTGCGTACGACAGGGTATTGCAGCGATCTGTGGTCCAACGATGGGACCTCTCGTCGTAAGTAATTCGTTCGTCGGAACGCTTCACAGCGATGCTAACAGACCAATAGGGTGGCTTCGCAGTCCAGTTTGGACCTTATGGATTCGGTGGTTTCACAGCACCATGGACCTGGCCAATTTGGGAGCTGATGTGGCTCTCTGCATTCTGCTTCGTCTTTCTGTTCTTCTTCTTCCCGGAGACCAGCGCCAACAATGTGAGAATTGCACATGTTCTTGGATATCTCCGTGAGTTGGAATACTGACGAGCCTTTTAGATTCTCCTCCGACGCACGAAGCGCCTGCGCAAGTTGACTGGCAACGACAAGCTTAGTATGTGCTTCCCTCAAGGATATGATCGAGAGCGATTGACTGACACTTCGTCCTCCAGCTTGTGCTCCTGAACTCATGGCGGCCGAGATGACAACCCGCGATATTGTAAGCTACTTTGATGCCCACAAGATTGTACGATGCAACGCTAATCCTTCTCGCCTGCAGGTGATGATGTCGCTGGTCAGGCCATTCACTTTGAACTTCACAGAGCCAATGGTGAGTCAAATCAAGCGTACTTCCTGCGCCAGCAATTGAACTGTATGCTGATTATCTCTCCCAGGTATTCCTGCTGAACTTGTACATCGCTCTGATCTACGGTCTCCTGTACATCTGGTTCGAAAGTTTCGTCATTGTCTTCGTTGACATTTATGGATTCGGCCTTGGACAGGAGGGACTGGCTTTCCTCGGCATCCTCGTCGGAGCATTAGTCGTCATCCCTCCCTTTTTCTGTTACCTTTACTTCGTCCTTGAGCCCCAGTTCGACTCGGAAGGTAACATTCAGCCCGAGAAGAGACTGCCGCCGTGCTTCGTTGGAGGAGTTTGCATTCCCATCTGTCTCTTCTGGTTTGGATGGAGGTTAGTGCCATCACGTCTCAAACAATGCTGTACTCGGCTGACATTGATGTAGTGCTCGTGCTTCGATACATTGGATTGTGTAAGTTCTGGCGTGGACACCGACTGCTGGATCGCATTACTGACGTTGAGAATAGACSCATCGTCGGCTCAGCATGGTTCGCCATTGGCTCGTTCCTCCTCTTCAACTCGATCCTGAACTACCTGCCCGACGCTTACCCAGAGTACGCTGCCAGTGTGCTCGCTGGAAATGACTTGTTCAGATCGGCTTTCGGTGCAGGCTTTCCGTAAGTTGACAATCCTTAACATGGGAATCAACCGTCGAAGCGTACGCTAACGTCTCACAGATTGTTCGCCTCGGCCATGTTCAAGGACCTTGGGGTTGCATGGGCAAGCAGCACTCTTGCTTTCATCTCGATTGCTTTCATTCCCATTCCATTCGTACTGTACAAGGTGAGTGATGTCCATGATATGATCCATAAGGAAAAGTTGACTGACTTGATTCATCCTCTAGTTTGGACCCACTTTACGAAACAATTACTCCAAGGCAGCACGCAAAGATGAGAAGAAGGAATAGAATAACAGGATTTTCGAACTACCTACTTCCCATTGATTGAGATGTTTCCAACGAGTGTGCTGATGATACCCGAACGAGACCAGTATGACTATACATAGACGAACAGTAATATGAAACTTTTGCACGCTTTAAACGATCGAAGATTACGTCTTTTCCAGATCCGGGCGTTGATGACAGAATGAGTGAGCGGCGAGGACAAAATCGACCGACCCCTCGGAAGTATCGTTTGCGGAAGTCCTGTTCACACTAGAACTTCCGCCATTTGGAAGTCAAAGCTTGTGATGCTATCAGAGAGCCACTTTCAACATGTTCGATAGTGAATTCAGCTCAATTGGAAACTTCACTTCGACGCGTTCGCGGCGGTCTGGCGATTTGGGAAGATTCCATTAGTCCGCTGCCTTGATGRGTGAACCACTCAACTATGCAGGGTCAATCCTGTGCCCAAAAAACCTGGGTCCACTTCCCGAATCCGATGCCGCCAAGTATACAGCCGCTCAAGCACATGCTACGCTGTAAATACTCTGATGTTACACTGTACAAACCTTCCATGCCCGTCCACCAAGATTGAACATGTTGGAGCGCTCTATAGCTTCACACTGCGAATTGTTAGCACTTGATACGTTCGATAGAAATGGGATGGAGACAGCACCCACCTCCACTCGTGTTCCTCATCTCCATACTGGATACCCTCRATCCAGTCCTTCATCTGCAAAGTCACGGGTCCGACCTCGCTGTTCTCGGGCAGGCCACAGTCGATCAGCTTACCCTTGTAAGAGATCGATCTGATGGGTGAAACGGTGGCCGCAGTACCAGAGCCAAATACCTCCAGTAAGCGACCCTCACCCGCAGCCTCAACGAGCTCGCTCATGGCAAATCTCCGCTCAGACACCTTCCAGCCTTGAGGTCCCATTCTCTCGCGCGCGAGTGTGAGGACGGAATCACGCACAACGCCGTCCAAGATAGTTCCATCAAGTGGAGCGGTCATGAGCTCCTTCTGACCCTCCTTGTTGACGATGCAAGCGAACAAGTTCATGGTGCCGACCTCAGTCACGAAGTCCTCCACTTTGCCAGTCGCAGGATCGACTTCCTGGAAGAGCCATAGGTTTTGGTGGAAGCCGCGAGATGCAGCTTGCATTTGGGGAACAATGCAGGGAGCGTAGTTGGCGCCCAGCTTGCTCGCACCGACACCGCCGGGCCAAGCTCTGACGGCGTAGTCCGTGGCCTCGAGGGAGATGGCTTTGAAGCCAGTTGGGTAGTAAGGGCCGACTGGCGATGCAATCACGTAGAGCATAGCACTACCTGGCGGTCYAACTCCCAGTGTCCGTTGGGTGCCAATCATGTTCGGTCTGATGTACAAGCTGTAGCCGCGTCCCCTGAACATGTCTTGATTAGCACTTTGCAATGCAAATTGTTACTTGCATTGACTCACGATGGAATGAAGCGCTCCTCCAGCTTCACGTACTGCTTCAGCAGCTCAATCACCGCACTGCCGTCGAACGTGGGCAATGCTATCCGCGCTACACTCTTGTTGAGACGCGCCATGTWCTTGTCCGGGCGGAATAACCTCACACCGCCATGCTTGTCCTTGTACGCCTTGGTGCCTTCGAATGCCTCAAACGCATAGTGAAATACGCACGTCGCAGGATCCAGCGACAGGTTCTGGTATGGCATTATCCGTGGGGCCAGCCAACCCTCTGTTGCAGTCCACTCCAGCGACATCATGTGGTCGGTGAATGTGCGGCCAAAGACCAGCTCATCATTGGGCGTGATGGCCTTTGGCGTGGTGGTCTTGGTGATGCTGAGCTTAGAGGCATCGACTCTGCTCAGCGCTGGATCGCTCGCGTCGGGAGCTTGAATGCTGTATGCTCTCTGCTGTCTCGTCGTCGCTGTCGCGCCATGACTTAGGCAGCTGCGATTTGCCGTGCGTGTGGCCCTGGGAAGGAGCTGCYGAATGGACGCCATCGTTGTGTATTGTAAAGTTCCAGCAATCATATCCTCAACTCCTCCAGCAACCCGTCTCGTTCGTCAACACTGAAGGTCACAATGGCTCATCACCGCAAACAATTGCTCGAATCTCGGGAGGGCGCGAGTTTCGGAGGATGACTCGCTCGATTGGCCGACTTCGGACTTCGTGTTCGGCTTCCGACCACTCGGGACAAGAAAAGGATACCACATGAAACGCGATGGCATGGCATGGCAGAGAGACTGTTCGAGCTTCATGGTATCATTATATACGGATTACATCACCATCAACACCATGGAGGTTGAGCCTTTGCCGTTCCACCAATACCGCACGAACACCGTCGATCTGGCTGTCGACCCGTGTTTCGATTTTCCAATTTGTTCTCATCGATACCTTCATCATATCTAGCAGCATCGAACGGCATGGAGCTTTGTAGCGAGCCAACGCCGCACGCGTTACCATCAAATACGGGAAGTACGTTATCTTGCCAACTTGTCCGGCCACATATGATGACTGTTGACCTTGGCACTTCATCGAATGCCCTGCCAATCGCACATGGCAGAAGTTTGTTCGTTCCAGACTACGGGCTGGAACTGCCTTATCGGTTCGAAAGGACCTGGTACTGCCTCGATCGGATTCAGCATGAATCGCTGTCGGGGGTCGCCATGAAAGGTGGCTCGTCTGTGCTGCGCATCGGGATGCATTGCCTTCTCTGCCTCGACCATCTCAGCGACTCCAAACTTTGGAGTRATGGTACGCATTGTAACATAGCTATCAGGCGGAATGTCGCCGGATAGGCCAGGATATTCTTGGAAGAACTGGGTGTCCATTCGCCAGGATCGCATATCGAAGAGTGACGATTCAAACTCTGGAGAGAGTTGGTAAAGGTGTGAGTCTGGTGAAAAGGCAATGACGTCTAACGGTTCGCGTTGCCACGATACTCGAAGATTGCGAGCAAAGCAGGTCCAGAACTTGTTCGTCAGGACATTAATATGTGCTCCCATCAGTCGTTCCCGGAGTCGGGGCCATGTGAGGTGTTCCACAACTGGTTCATGGACTACTACCTCCGTTGCCCTGTCACATAACATCAATATTTAGATCAGCTGAGTGGGCAAGGGTAGCTTACTGCGGACTGAACCATGGCGGCAAAGGCCCCTCCACTACTGTCGGCAGGTGAACGTTGACTTCGGACAGGTACCKCAGGTGCAGCATACGAAGTACACTGATTCTCTCCACGAGGTTGATGTCCTTGAACAGGCATTGATCTACCATTTGAAGTACAGCCCAGAGTGGGCACTGCTGTTGGTACTTCGACAATGCCGGCCAGCCTTTGAGAACCGCGGTGATGATGACATCTTGATTATATCTATCATCGAAGCACACGGATCCTGGTGATATACTGCGGATGTGCTTGACCAGATTGTTCAGAAAGTTGGTGAGGTCCCTTCCTTCGGCTCTAGGCCGCGCACTGGACGTAGCCGGGGACCAGGGGTTCTTGGTTTGCGTTTGAATCGCAGGCGTCAAGGCGTCAGATCCGGGGAAGTATGCGGCTGCAGATACAGCGGGAACAATGGCACTGCTTCGCGGAAGGCCTTCCACTAAAGTCTCGACACCTGGCGACTGGGATATTCCCAGTTGCGAGCAATCGAACTGTCCAGCTCCATTCGGCATATCTGTAATTCGTCAGATCACAGCAGAACCTTCAATGATATGGGTCGTCTTACCATCCCATTGTAACACCTTTCCCGGACTTGTCGTCATTGAGCCATGTGAGGTTGTGTTGGTGCTTGAAGAGAGGGCGCCTGCACCTGGTAGGGTGGTAGACGGTACATTGACGCCTAAGCCTGCAGTGGTAAGGCCAGATGCCGTGGCGGTGGAGGCTTCCGACTCCAATTGGAGTACACGCTCCTCCAGAAGTGCAAGACGGTCCTGGACTTCCTTTTTCAAAAAGCGGTTCGCCTTTCGGTCCGCATCTTGTTTCCTCGCACGCTGCTCAGGCGTCAGGACACGTCCCGAAGCCCAAGCCTTTTCCTTGTCCACGCCGGCGCGTTTTGTCGTGCGACCGCTCATGCTACGTAAAGAAAGACGTGCCGTTGTATCATGCACGGAAGATCCACGAGGAGCGCAACGTCAAGAACCGAGACAACGTGGGATACGCTCAAATATTACTCATCAGTCGATGATCTAGGCCTTGAAGGATTGGACGCCACAATGGTCGTAGATGTTTCGCCCGTGGTATGTTCAAAATGTCTGTACTGGAAGTGAAGGTGCAGTCTCGAATGACGGACAGCCTCTGAACGGCTTCACTCCAGGGTACACTGCGAACATCTTTTGGTATGCGCCTTATGGCATTTCTCCCCGCATGGCACGAACGCCAAAGACGGGTCTGGATCACCCGGGGCGCTCTCRCGCTCAAGCGCCACGCGTCGATCATGCCTCTTTCAGCTGGTGATGAAGCTTATTGGAGGCTTTCTACGCTGCTGATTGCTCAGTATGTGCCAAGTGCACTATCTGAACTCTATGCCGACTTGGAAGCGTCACGGGTGTGGCTGTCAGTGCGATCGCACAGAAAAATGGCTACCTCCTAGAACCTACATGATGTTAGGCGGGTCCAATACTGTAGGTCCCATTAAATGGTCCCCTGCGGCACAGTGATTCCTTTTGAGTGTCAAGCATGTAGTCCATGAAAGGAATGGATCCACTTCCGACGTCGAGGCATGTTGGCCGTCAGCGAAACAGCGAAGCCTCCACAGTTGACGCATCGCGTGCAATTGGCATATTGTTCACACATCTCAGCAATGTCCCCGTTATGTGAATATGAATATGTCCTTTACCGCTCGGCCTCGACTCGACGTCTCGCTTGTCCAGTCGCTTGCCTTTGCACAATGATTGTCAACGCAGACATCCAAAGGCGGGAAAGGAGGAACAGGTCGAAACGGGGCCTGTTGGAATGGATATCATGATGGTGCCCAGATTGTCGTCATTTCGGATTKCTCATCTCTCGCCGCCGTGAACTTGGTCGAATGTTTCCGGTAGCCGTGGAAAGGCTGCTGACGTTGCCGAACGGCGGATACTGGACTAGCGAAGGTTCGTCGTCGATAAAATGGTAGCCGGCKACAAGGCGCTTGGGAAGAAGAGGAAGAGAGGATGTGGGGCTCCAGATCGATGCCAAGAGGCCGCTAAGCAGGTGAAAGCTGATGACAGCTGCGCGTTTCCGACAACCACGATTCTGCCACGACTTGAGACCGAGTGCTCAATGACGATCAATGCCCTTGACGATACGAGATCACGACCGATGCACTCTTGAGGCTTTGCGATTAGCATGCGGCCTCCTGGCTTGAATTCGCTCGATCGACGCGACATGAACTCTTGATGGTCATCCACACCCACCTGCCACCATGTTCTCGTCGGCGCTGAAGTCGTTCTCGTCGAACATCTCGAACAATTACACAATAGCTCCGCAGCCTAGTGGCYCGTCGGGACCATGGAAGATATTCGATGCGAAGAGGAAGCAGACCGGCAAAGCGGCCTCCATTTTCGTCTTTGATAAGCGCAGTCTGGAGGCGCAGAGCGGAGGATTCAATGGTCGGAGCAGTGCCGCGTCGTTGAAAGAGGTGCTGCACAGATTGAAGCTCGAGGCGAGCAATCTCGCCAAACTGCGACATCCCTCCATCCTGGAACTGGTGGAGCCAGTGGAGGAGACCCGGAGCGGAGGGCTGCAGTTCGCTACGGAAGCTGTGACAACGAGCTTGGCGGGTCTGCTGCAGGAAAAAGACGAGCAGGAGCGGGGTGGCGCTGGGGGAAGGGCGAGCCGCTTTGTGGTAGAGGAGTCAGATGGCACACGGCGGCGGCGTGAGTTGGAAATTGACGAGCTGGAGATCCAAAAGGGTCTTCTACAGCTGGCCAAGGGGCTGGAATTTCTTCACGAGAGTGCAGGCTTAGTGCATGCCAATCTCACGCCGCATGCGGTGGTTGTCAATGCCAAGTCAGATTGGAAGCTCGTACGTTCAACTCTGCGAGAACATGTCCTCACTTTGGAATATAACGGGAGCCTGCTGCGGTGGTGTCCTTGAGTTTCCAAGTCTGACGGTTCGCGTCCCTTTCCATTCCTCGTCGATATTGACTCTTTCGTTTTAGACAGGCCTGGCATTCTGTGGCCCGCACGAGAGCAGCACTTCGGCCACGTCTTTGACGCCCATTAACCTTTATGAAGTCCTGAACCACGACCCGAGGTTGCCCAGTATGGTCCAGCTAAGTCTCGACTACACAAGTCCGGACTTTGTGCTTGACAATTCGTTGACCCCCTCTGCGGACATGTTCTCCCTTGGACTACTTACCGTGGCCCTATACAATAGTCCGCACACCTCGCCTCTGAGCACTGGTGGGTCCATATCCTCGTACAAGCGGATATTTGCAAACTCATCTAGCATCCCCACATCGAGCAACAACTTTTTGGTCCCTTCGTCACATCCGCTGCCGCCTAAGCTGCGGTCAGATTTACTACCTCGRTTGATCACCCGGAGGCCTGCACAGCGACTGTCTGCTCGCGAGTTTCAAGAAGCTAGCTACTTTGACAACATTCTCGTGTCGACCATCCGTTTTCTTGATGCCCTCCCCGGGAAGACTGCAAACGAGAAACTGGCATTCATGCGTGGGCTGCCCAAGATTACACCTCAGTTTCCCAAGAGTGTCTTGGAGAAGAAGGTGCTGCCGGCATTGTTGGAAGAGCTCAAGGACAAGGATCTACTGGCTCCCATATTGACCAACATATTCGCCATGATCAAGGCAATGCCATCAGGGAAAAAAGCCTTCGGGGAACGAGTCGCGCCCAAACTGACAGAGATATTCATTACGAACAAGTCTGCCGAAAGAGACTCCTTGAAAGAGGCAGGTATCATGGTACTACTCGAGAACATGGATGTAGCCACGGAAAGCTGCCCTGGCAAGGAGTTCAGTGATCACATTCTGCCGGTAGTGATGCTAGCGATGGAGTCACCGAATCATTCCCTGGTAGACACCTCTCTTTCTAGCCTGCCGCTCGTGCTTCCAGTGCTGGACTTCTCCACCATCAAGAATACTCTGTTTCCGGTGGTCGCAACCGTCTTTGCGAAAACGTCAAGCTTAAACATCAAGATCCGATGTCTGGAAGCATTTCACTTTCTATGTGGTGGCAAAGGATCCGACGCTGACGGTGACGACGATCTCAACGGAATTGGTATACCGGAGAAGAAGTCGAATGCTACCTCGAGTAGCTTCGTTCTCGACAAGTACACCGTGCAGGAGAAAGTCGTGCCGATGCTGAAAGGCATCAAGACGAGGGAGCCAGGCGTCATGATGGCAGCTTTAAAGGTATTCCGGCAGGTAGGCGAAGTGGCCGATTCCGATTTTCTGGCGATGGATGTCCTCCCTGTATTGTGGTCCATGAGCTTAGGACCGTTACTCAACCTGCAGCAATTCCAGGCGTTCATGACCCTTGTCAAGAACCTGGGGAATAGGATTGAGCGGGAGCAGATCAAGAAGTTGCAGGAGATGTCAGGCGGGAGCATGACTGCGGCTGGCAGACAATCAAATGCCGCCGGCCGAGGTGCTGTGGGCACCAATGGGATGAGCAAAGGATCCATGATTGGCGACGACACGGACTTTGAGACTCTGGTCTCGGGACGTAAGTCAGCTCCGAATGGGGACGACCTTATGAACGATTGGGGTGGAGCATCAACGCAGCCAGTGGTGGGTGGTAGACCACAAGTTACGCCAGCCTTCTCCTGGCAATCAGCACCTGCTCCACAAATGCAGGCACGCCAGTCTTCGATGTCCTCAACCATCTCTACACTCCGGCAGCCCATGCCTACGACCAGGTCCATTACGCCAGATCTTGCATCCTTCACAGCACTCACCCCGAGCAGCCAGTTCTCACAGCCGTTGCAGCCTAGCCGACAAGCCACAAACATGGCTCAGCAGACTTATCCAACTAATGTGGGAGGCGCAACAGGCGGGAATATGTCTTCGGTCTCGGGTGCTCCTCGGTTCAATCTATCACCTCCTCCAGCCAGTCCACAGGCTGTTGGTCAATCAGGCTACCAATTCCCCACGGTACAGCCTGCCGCAGCGAAACCTTTGGAGCAATCACAGCAGAATGGTACTCAGGGCCAGCGGAGTGGCCTAGATAGATATGAGAGCTTGTTGTAGCGAAGATACCCCATCTAGTCAAACCCAACGACAAACTTCAGTGGTTTCAAACATTGTGATCCCGGAATAGCTACCACATCGTCTCTGTGCACTGGAGGCTGTCCAGATCCACGGAGTTCTCTCAGACATCCCAGCGCTGGTGCGTCAACAGCGATTCATTGTCTTGCAGGGATAGGTTTGTTGTACATCATGAGGCAATGTCTTAAGAACCCTCAAATTCTCTCGGTGCATAGTTTCAAACGAAACACCATAAGCCTCTCCAGATGAGCGTGTATGACGCAGGTACCATATTGACATTTCAATTTGCACTGACTAGAAGACCTCATCGATCTTCAAAGTAGAACGATTGCGGTCCTGACATAATTCTCAACATCGTGTAACCGTAACCCCAACCCCAACCCTAACTGTGCCAAGAACGTCGAGATCTACAATTCCGTTGAAGTCGAGAGAACTTTCGACATCAGCATTCCGTTCACTTACCGTTGGGGCATCTTGCTCACGCATCTGCCCCAGCGTCGTGCCCTCGAAAGGTTCTGGAACACTTCACATGCGTGGGCTGCTATTGTCGCCAACGCTGGTTTTCGAAGCAATCTGGAACAAGACGCACCGGCGCTGTTGTTTCGGCGCGCGACTCACGTCCGCTCTGCCGAGGGTCGTGGGAGGCGGAAAGTAATGATGTCGTGGAGGTAGAGGCTTCGTGTGCGCGCATAGCGCACTGCCAGGCGGGAGTAGTGATGAAGGTCAGCGGCACACAGCGTGCGTGCTACGTAGCATGTGCTTTGCTGTCGCTTCACACACATGGCTCACGATGAGCGCTTTGCGATCATGGAAGCTGCGCTCCCGCCGCGTCACGGACCTGGGATAATTAAAGCTGGAACCAGTACCTGACGCTCGAACGCTCGAGCATTAAGGTGTCCGTCCCCTGCTGCCGGTTTCTTGATCCGCCTTCGGTGACGATGACGGCGAGTACATGATCGTTGCTCAAACATGCAAACTTGATTCAACCATCAACATCCGCATGTACACTGCACAACAGACCTCATCACACGGTTGTCATTCAGCAATTCGATTGACCTGACCTCCCATCTCTCGCGACTCGAAGCTCTTCACAAACCTCTTCTTCAGGCAATACGATGGCACAGGCTATGTTCGATGACGCTAGCCACCACAATGCTGGAGAACTTGACTTGAGCAGAAAGGCCCGAGGAATTCACCGGTCCAGCAGAATCAAAACAGCATATCGCTCATTCATGGTCTTGAAGGATCTGAAGCCAGGCCAGATAGATGCCTTTTTAGCATCGTAGGTGCAAATAAAGGACGGTGGCACATGTTATTGGCATCTCTTGGATACTGTACTTGGAGGCGAGAGGCTCGGAAGATCGGCCATCACAAGAGAAGAGACCATTCTGCACATGCCAATAACGATGCTCCACACGCCCTCTCCCCATATTGAGAGGAGAGGAAACGCTGACTTTCTGCTTTGATTCTAGATACGTCATCTATTCGCTTGATTGGAAAGATGAGAAGAAAATGCTTGAGACTTTGGGTCCCAACTACCAGCAGCAAGTTGGCGATTGTCTGTCAGACTACTACAGCGTTCTCAATCAGTGAGCTCGAATGATTCCACATCAGTTAGAAGAAGTTGCTGACGTCGCCTGCAGCCTGTGCGCTATTGGGGATCTCGAAAAAATGTACATTCCTCCAGCCATGGACCTTAGCGCATCTATCGTCATGAACCAAATACTCTATGAAGAGAGTGTCGCCAAGGAGCTGTGTCTACCGTCACATGCCAAAGTTCTGGACCTTGGCTGTGGTCGCGGACGAGTTGCAGCGCACGTTGCGCGGATATCCGGAGCCAGTGTCACCGGCATCAATATCGATGACGACCAGATAGCAAGTGCCCGCGCATTCAACAACGAGCTTACCAACGAGTTCATACGGCATGACTTCAATGAGCTTCCACTTCCGTTACCATCGAATCACTTCGACGGCTTCTACCAAATCCAAGCCTTCAGCCTCGCCAAAGATCATACGAAATTGCTCGAAGAGGTGTATCGAGTTCTCAAACCAGGAGCGAGAGTCTCCATGCTGGACTGGGCGAGTCTTGACGCATACGACCCGAACAACCCAAAGCACGAGCAGCTCATGCAGAAGATCAAACCTCTGATCGGTGCTGTTGGAACTCCGACACCAGAAAGCATGCAAGAAGCGCTGAAAGCAGCAGGCTTCCGAATCATTCGCATGAACAATGCAAGTRTCGATGGCCTCCAAGCGCCTTTGATCGAGAGGGCAGACGGCTTCTTCTGTACCGCGAAGAAGACGATCTTGGGCCTGGTTCGCATAGGAGTTCTTCCCGCGCACTTCAAGACACTCTTCGAACGTCTCACGCAGGATTGTGATGCCTTTGTCGAGGCTGACCGGGCTCGCCTGATTACGACCAGCTACCATTGGCTCGCGGAGAAGCCGCTGACAGAACCCAAACTGTCTCCAGACAGCTCAAACACAGGATCATCTTCGGCATCTCCCTCAAGCTCCCAGAAGACGCTGTGAGACTGAAGCAGGGTAAATCCTTGCGGCTTCCGACTACCAGGTCAACACWCCACCCCACGTCATACGGCAGACACGCGAGGCAACAGATACTTTGATGAGGCATGGCCTCAATTTCCCTGGCAAATGCGATGAGAATATTCCCAAGGCAACAGATTTCTTTCYGCATAGACAGGCACACACTGCCTGGTCTCGCGATGAGACATAGATTCATAGAGTCGAGATAATGTACTCGTCTTCATGCGAAGACTTAATCCTAGCTTACCAGTAATGGACACATTTGGAAAAGGCACGAGACGCATTTGGGGACATCTGCATTAACCCGTCTAGTTCATCTACGGAACTGTGGCACAGCTGTATCATGCTGGTTTCCTCCTCCGGCCAAGACCGCTGCCTCGCTGAAGCGAGTGGCAGCAAAGGGATGTCTGGCACAAACCGTCGTATGTCTACGATTCCTCGGCCTTGGCCTTCTTCTTCTTTGAGCCGCCCATGGCCGCCTCACCAGTCTTCTTCTGATGCACGATGAACTTGGTGTATGCCTCTTCCCGGTCCCATTCGAATCCGGCAAGGTATGGTGCCTCCATCTCGTCATCGGCCTGACACGGAATCGATTAGCTSTGTACAGGCATAGTGCGGGGCATTGGACAACTCACCTTCTTCTTGAACTGCTTGTGGATGGCGTCTAGTGCGTCCTTGATGGTGACTCCCTGTCGATTCCGCGCGGTGACTTCGAGTCCCAAGGGGAACTGGAGGTCGATCTTCTTGATGGGTGGGGTGCACAACAGCTTCTTGAGGTACTCCTTGTCCTCGACAGTTGATGGTGAGGTGTTCAACTTCCTGCTCTTGGTCAGTGCGAGCTCGACGATACGATATGAAGCAACCTTCAAAACTCAATGGTAATGGACGGTCATTGGTGTGGATGAACTCACCAGTTGAGCTTCTGAGTTTCTGGTGCGATCTTGAGCTCTACTCCTTCCTTCTCTGCGTAGCCCGTCAGCATGAGGAAGTCGCGAAGAGGGGCCATGGGCTCCGCTTACCAAGGTCGTCAATGCTGAAGACACCGCTGACAGTGCTCGACGTTCTACGATGTCTGATGGGCTTGGTGTCGCTTGGTGATGCTGGAGCGTCGTCAATGGCAGAGTCAACCTTGCTAAGAGGGACCTGGACTTCTTGGACAGCGGCAGACATGGTGGTTGCTTGTGCTGGTGAGTGGTGAGGTTGGTTGATGTGCTATCGATTGACTTGATTGAAGCTGATGGTGGATGAAGGAGAGGAAGAGAAGAGTGAGCCTGGTCGGACAAGGGATGACATGGAGGGAGGGAGCTCTCGAGCGGGGTCTGCTGTGCTCATCCCTCACGAAGCATCACGCGACCATGCCCGTGACTGGACCTCTCCATGGGCTCGAAGAGTCGCCAGACGTCAGCTTTAGTCGCGGCAGCGCCCGCCCCCGCACACCTACCCCGGACTTTCGATCGTCAGCTAATGCAGGTCGCAGAATGGATAAGATAGTCCTTGAATCATTGAGAGAGCTTCTACAGGATATAGGTGGAGACAGACAGTAGACGGTCGGTCCGAACATGCTCAGCAAAGTCGCGATTCTCCCCGGTGCGTGGAGGGAATGCTGTCAACAAAGGTCGACATGACGCAGATAAGCACGGAGCTCAAAACCCGAGCTTTGTTTCACTCCTGTGCTCGGCTGTTTCAACAAAAGTGCCGAAGCTTGCGGTTTTATACCGCTTTATTCACGTTCCAACATATGTGATAGGTATCAAGAAAGCTGACTTTGTGAACCTTAAACCGCCCCGTCCCGTCAACATATTTCTCTTCTCTGTGAATGTTTCAGCTGGTCAACAAGCCCCAAGCCTATGAAGATCTGAGGCGGGGAACCCCTAACCATTGGCCAACGAATGAATTGCGACTTTGTAAATTTTGTAATGGAAAAGCGTGGAATGAGGCGCTGTCTTGAGGCCATGTCAGATATGCATCACTCTTGGCTGTTGTGTAAAGCAGTGCACGAGACCGCGAGCTGACCTTCCAATCTTGGACCGTACAATCTAGCCTGGCAAATGGAACTAAATCAGGAAATGGTGAAATGGTGGGCGTATCGCTGCCGCGGGTCTACACAAATGCAAACGCCTTCTGCTCGCCCGAAGCTTGGCGTGGCTTGACGGCAGATGGTCATGGATTCGAACAAATGCCAGGCCAGAAAGATCCGACAATCTCACCCTCGATGCCATCCTCAGCAGAGCAGGGAGATGTTCGTATCTCGACCCACAAGGAAGTCGATGTTGATGGCGAAAGGTTGGTAACAGAGTTTATATGCCGGTCTTCGCCAGGATCGCGTGGAATCGACTTGGCAAACTCGTGGCGTTCATACCGGGGAATGCTGGCTGAAGCCGAAGGAGCTTCTCGCCGAGCTGGAGGATACCCTCAATCAGCCTCACTTCACCCGGCTGACTGGCGTGGGCGCATCTCTCCATAAGGTCGGCAGAGCCATTGTGATGAGCCACGCTCACCGCCGCATTACTCGCGATCATGTATATTGTACCAGGTAACAGGACGGGTCCTTGCCTTCCTTGACATGAGTACCTCGTGCTGGGGGAGACGCATGCACTTTTCCACGTGGTGCTCACAGGAAGGAAAGAAGGAACGGTAGAAGAAGGCGCTGCCACCACGTGGAAAGAAGAGGCGATACCACCTACCACCAACAACTTCACGGTTGTCACACGCGAGGCAGACCCACTTTACCGCCGCCCCATGCAAGAAACGAAGACCACCTCTCAAATTTGTCTGAGCGCGGCGTGCAGTGGCGTTCATGTGCTGTGGCTGGCTGCAAAAGGTATTATGTCTTCCTATTCCCTCCAGATGCTGCGTCTGCATGTCCTTTGCTTCGATACCGCCGCGATACTTCCAAGAGACAGCCAAAGCTGAGCAAACCGGAACAGATTGGATTTCTGAAACTGCACACGACACAGGCCTGGTCGTCGGAGGAGCATCACCACCGAATAAGAGGCATCACAGCCCATGGCTCATTCATCACCTACCGCGAGGTGCATCTCACCACGCCTCACCGATGGAGACTCACAATTCTCTGCCAAGCCCGCTGTGAGAAACAGGACTATCAATGGAGCCGTCTCAAGCAAATCAAGTGCAAGTCGGCTGCATGACCAAGGCGACCAGCCCAGCTTGCGGCCGTCGAGGAGCAATCTTCCACAGGACCATCAGAAAACAGCTCGTCCTGCCAGCAAGAAGAAAGCCGGTGGCTTGCTTGGATTTTTGAAGCTGAAAGAGCCTTCGACTTCGGCATTGCAAGACTTTGCTGATCACGAGAGGAAAAGGGCGGCGCAGAAGGGCGGCAAATCCATGGCGGCCGGCATACCGAATGCTTCGTCTCAGAAGCTGCCTGATCACGTTCCCAGAGTCAACAGCAAATGGAATGGCCTTCCTGAGCCGTCAAAAGCCAAGCAACGGAAAACAACCAATCAGGTCGACGCAGTGAGTGTGGCTGGTCCGAGAAAATCTAGCTCTTCATACGCTTCCTCTGGAATAGCAAGACAGCTGGACATACGGCCTCTGAATGCTGGCAGTGGCGGGATTCCAACACCACCGCCGTCTATCATACGCTCAGCCTTGCAAAACCATACAAATGGGTCCCCGAGCAACAAGCCACCGACTCCACATTTGCTCCCGTTGATATCGCCACTTGATTTTCCGGTGGAACGTCGAATCCCTGAAGAGCTCCCAGTCCTCGATTCCTCAAGCTGCATGTCCGCCTCGCCTGAAGGATCGCCAAGGACACCTGTCTTTGAAGAGGGAGCCTTCGGGCTGCCAAGACGTAGCATGAAGACTACCAAGTTCCAATGACACATCTCATGTCATGTCTGGTCACATTGAATCGTTCTCAGCGACCCAGCCAACGGAGTCCTTTGCGGCAGGACTGTCGATCCCTCAATGCATGTGACCGGTGGAAGCATTGTCCGCAAGACTGACAACACATTGAACGACAGAGCGTCCAGATGGGAATGGCAGCCTCTACGACAATGACGAATTATGAAGCTCACGCGAGCCCAACTCTCCCAACAGCTAGCTAGTAAACCTGCTCTGTATACCCCAAGAGATCTGACCTGGAATGTCCAATTTTCACCTCTAAAATTTGTAGTCACCCTCATCTCGCTCTATGCATTCTCACATTTACACTGTCGGCTGGCCACATGGTAAGACCCAGCCCCTTCTTCAAAGCCGCCATATCTGTGCGATCAACCGGCTCAATAGCGTCATACTGCTGCAGCATCCTGACAAGGATGTAGCTAGCTTCGATCAGAGCGAATTGTTGTCCAATACACACTCTTGGGCCACCACTGAAAGGAAGGAATTGCCACGAAGGGATCCTCTGTGCCCAGCGTTCAGGTCTAAAGCTCAATGCATCTTCACCCCATAGATCCACCCGTCGGTGCATGAGGTAGACACTAAATGTGACGACTTGCCCCTTCTTGATAGCAATTGGCATAGTCTCATCAGGACCTCCTCCTCGAGGTAGCGTTGTGTCTCTCACGGCTTGGCGATTGTTGATTGGTACAACGGGATGTAATCGTAGGACTTCATTGAAGAAATGCTGCAGAGGCCGGCAGCTCTTCAATGCAGTTGCTGTAATACTCTTCTGTGTGTTGAAATCGTTCAGAATGGCACGTCGTAGGTCGTGGAAGATTTCTGAATGTAATGCTAGTCGCGTGAAGGCCCATCCCAGAAGCGCCGCTGTGGAATCACGCCCAGCGAGCAGGACGGCCAGACTTTGATTCTGGAGTTCTTCGCGGTCTTGACATTGAGTAGCCAGAGCGGATAGGAGATTGTACTTCTTGCTCGTAACTTTGCCAGGTTGGGAAGCATTGAGTGCCTTTTCCACGAATTGTTCGGTGAATGCCCGGATTCTTGCCACGGCTTTGCGGAATCGCCTACCGTCTGCTAACCAGTAGGCGCTTTGTAGACGTATACGATTGAGAAGAGTTTTGTTTACGAATTCGAAGTCTTCCCGGAACTGTTTCGACCCTTGAAGGCCATCAGCTTCATCCAGAGAACATCGCTGTGACTTGACAGACTCTCCGAACAGGAAACTGGTGGCAGTATCGAGGGTGAAATTCTGTAGCAGAGGAAGCAGCTCGACTTCTTGAAAGCCATCCATTCCCGCAGATATGGCATCGATGAGATCTCGAACCGCGTCCTCGGTACCTTCCAAATCATTGAGACTTTCACGATTGAATTGAGGTCTGAACAATGCTCGGGAATGTTCCCAAAACCTACCAGATTCAGCATGCGTCGTCTCACACTCGGGTGAAACTACAACTTACCTGCCATCACTGGTAAAGATACTCGACCCAAGAAGTGGATAGAACTGATTGATTCTCATCGCGCCTAGCTCAAAGTCCTTGAATTGCGTAGCAAGCATGGCTTGTACATTCGCAGGCTCGACCGTCAACAGCGAGGTGGTACCCTCAAACTGTGTCCGTTGAGTAGTACTCGCAATCCTAACATCGTCGCCAAAAATGTCGTCCAGTAAGTCTTCCCGTGCTTTCCTCATATTGATGATTCGGCGTAGTCGTATCCACCCGTCCAGAAGTGACAGCGGCCATACGCCAGATAGGTTTCGAGGTTCAGCGGTGGCATGGGCTTTCTTGAATCGACCAAATTGATAGGCCTGCCAGACGTAGCGAAGCAGTCTCCAAACAACATAGCAAACCAAAGCTAAGCTGATATATGAGGTGCCGATGCTACCAATTATGTACATTTTCTGAATGCATGCGGCTGAAGCCTCAAGTTTTGAGCAAAGCTGTCCTAGGAACTGTTAAACTTCTGTGTATAGAAGTTCTCGGAAAGCCAGTTCTTCTCTTCAAGACCTTGCACTCGGTGCACATTGGCCAAACGTTAGCCATGATTGGTGGGGATCGCTCTGCCGCGTCTCAGCCGGTTCGCGTATGCGTACAAGCGAAGACTCGCCTAAACGGGACGCTGTTAACGAGATCCGCAAGGAGGGCGTTTCATACCGTGGTCTCTGCGATAGCGCTCGCTTATGTAGCCAATTGCTCATACGCTCTACCTCAGCAACTCTTGTGATATCTGGAATAGCGAGTCTTGGATATTAAACAGTTACATTAAAGATGCCGCCAGCGAGAACGGACATGTTGTCAATGCCTACCTCCTAGGAATACAGCACGCAGTCGAGCAAACCTTCTCGTCGGCTTGCAGGCAAGGTCTCTTGGCACTGCCAAAGCGACCTTTTTGCTCTTGGCGGTTCACCTACCAATGGTTAGGCACAKTCAATCTCCGGGCAGTGCCTTCCGGTGCGACCCAGCAGTATCATCGACCGTCAAGACGGAAAGGTTCGTGACGTCCTGACGAAGCTCCGCTCAAGTGGTACTCACTCTTGTCAACGACAGGGTCAGCTCAGGGGAGCTACGAATCGGCCTCCCAAGGCGAGCCTTCAAGCATGAGTTGTCTCAAGCTTTCAAGTCGCCGTCCTTTTTCGACCCATCTCGACTCAAGCCATTGCGCCATGTCATCGTCGGTCTGCGGCAGTTGACTTAGCTCGAAACGATCGACGTGGACATAGAATTGCCACTTTCGATCTAGGCGAGGTTGAGATAGCGTTTGCCAGAAAGAAGGAGGTGACGTTTGAAAGATGGTGCCCTTGCCATAAGCTATGGTCACATCGTAGACAGCTTTCATGTGAGGCGCCCGGCGTAGTTTCTGGACAGATGCAACAAAGCCTTTTTTGCGCGGGAAAAGAAGGTGATCGCCCAAAGTCTTCTGATTTTCGCGACACCAAATCTCCGCTTCTTGTCTCTTGGAGGCCGTGTATCGTGTAGCTTCGCTGTAAGCTATGAGCCCTGTGGAATTGATTAGTAACCAACCGATTCTCGCGAGACTACTACGCTATCATCATGAGCGGTTGTGACTTACAGGTAGGCCATTTCCTCTCCAAGATACCGTGAAAGACTCGGTCCATCTCACGCTGATCCTCAGTCCAGCGCCTGCTCACGAGCGGGAACCCCATGGCCCACAGGCCCCAGCCGAGAAACGGGACCCATTTGAGTTGCTGCTTCGCGAACCAGCGGCACCTGCTCAGCATCCCACACTTGATGGCGAGCTCCTGGATCATGTAGAAGTCGGCCCATTCCACATGGTTCGCCACGACAATGGCACTCTCGCCGCGCGGCAGCCTGCCCACGCCTGAGACCACGATCTTGGCGCGGTTGATGCGCGTGAAGATGAGTTGGATGCCGTGCCATACCGAAGCGGCAATGGCCGAGGAGGCGTTGTACGCCAGATCGGGAGCGACAGCGGAAAGTGGCAGCAGGGCGGACAAAAGGACATCGGCCGCGAACAGGTGAGCCAGCCAAGGCAGTGTGAATGCCGTGGACCGAACGGTCAGCACCACGCACCAGAGCCACATTCTTCCTTTTGGGCGCGTCTCGTCCTGTTGTTGCAGGGAAAATCAGGCGAGGCCACCTGGGCAGGCTCCAGGGCTGACATTGGATGAGAAAGAGCAGGGATCAGGAGCGGAGCCCACCAACCCACACGGTGAAAGCCGGACCCACTCTTGCCGATCACTCTCGTGCAACATCTGTGAACCTCTCTGAGGTCTCCTCCACAACTTGCAAGGCGTGCTACAACCACCTACAGCCCTCCGACTCGCCAGACGCAGTTTCGAGGCGTTCCTGTCGTGCTAGCATCGTCGCCGGGCCTGGGGGACGCCAGCTCCCGACCACCCAAAGCTGCCACGCTCGCCGTCTTTGCCGGTCTCGGTCTGGACCTGGGAAGAATTGGCGCGAAGCTGCATTGGATCTTCTGGGTTTCCAGACTAGCGAAACATTTCAGACCACCCGCTCGCCGCATGACATATTCGCGCTGTGCAACGAAGACGACAGGAGCAGTCAACCATTTCCCCCCTCAACATCATCACGAGCCTGGCTTCCCGCCGAGACGTTGACCTGACCACGATTCGCCCTTCCATTTCCATCCCATCACATCGACAGATCACCCTGCTTGCCTCGTGCAACTCGCGCTATCTCGCATTGCTCAGCAAACGTGTCTGGTGCACGTCTCCATTCCAAATTGGCCTGCGACAGTGCCATCGGCCACAGCACGCCTCTTGTGCCAGCTCTCCGCGACAGATCATCCGTTTCACTGTTGCGTACCACCGAGGTCAGCATCTTCATTCGCTTCTGCACCGTTGCTTCATCCTCTCCTGCTGTCACCTGTCCCATGCCACCGTTAGCCGAGTAACCTTTGGCCCTGTCTGGTGAACGTGAAGATTTGATATCTCCACATTGTTGTAGAGATGGCTTGAAGCATCTTATTTCCAACCAGGTCATTGCTTGCCCGTCATCGTCCAGACACAAACATCTTCCAATTTCCCCGGCCATTTCCATTGCTGCAGGCAGCTCCACTTCCAGCACGCAACTAACGGCGACATTCTCAAATAGCATCTTGACATTACCGGACTGAACTGGCAACGATGACGACCTTTTCAGGACCTCACTCAGTTCCGCACTGCCAGGTGCAGATGGACGGGATGAATCACGATATGGGATATGGTGAGTTCAGCTGAGCAAAGCCCAATCGTTCCATGCCTCCCAACTTTCGATCGTCACGAGAGAATGAAAGATTCTCCCCTGCCGTAGTTTTTGCTGCCGTCGCCTTTAGCACAGAGGCTGTAATCTTCCTTGATCCTCATCGCCAGAGCGTGACTCAATGATTCCATCAATCGTTGCCGCGGACAGAAATATATGCGCATGCTGACATATAGCTTCTGCACCTGCGACATTGAGCTCCGTTAGGGCAGGCATGCAGTTACAGGCGCCTTTGAAAGGCTTTCAAAGCCCGGCTGACTGGCTATGTCTGTTCTGTCGAGCTCCTTGTCGCCGGTCGTGGTGGCGTGCATTTAGACATCAACCCGACGCCCAGCGAGAGAAGTCCCTTGGGTAATCTGAGCTTCTTCAAGAATCTCAATCCCGACAAGAAGCAGACCAAGGGTACGCGAAGCCCACGTCAATATGTTCTTGTATACTCACAATCGACAGATGGGCAACCTGCTAAACGCCGTGGTCCGAAGCCTGATAGCAAACCAGCTTTGACGAGGCGCCAGGAGCTCAATCGCCAAGCACAAAGGTTCGAATTGTCAAACACGGGATCTATGAGTTGCGCTGACTTTGACAGGACCCACCGTGAGCGAAAGGAGATGTACATCAAAGCCCTGGAGCAGGAAGTTCTTCGATTGAAAGAGGTCTTCGCTCAAACGAACCGCGAGAGAGATGCCGTTGTTGATGAGAACCGGCGGCTGAAAGAACTCCTCTCTCAGCATGGCATATCTTACGACTTTGGATCCTCGCCCATCAAGTTCCAACGCGAGAACAGCTCCTACGGCCCAAGCTCCAGCGGTAGCATCTCCGGTAGTTACCGTGGTGCTTCAGACAGTACTGGGTTCTCCCCACCACCGCCAAGCGCTCCACACAACCAAATGGGCCCACCGCAGGGCATGCAACCAGCGAATCGGATGCGCAACATGGCTCAATTGCCATCCAGCAGGCTCGACTACGACCAAGTCGGAATTGAGTTTGTTTTGACGTATGACTCCCAAGGCAGGCCAATGCAGATCCCCGACCCATATCCATCGCCGCCTCCGCAGGGATAGTCGACCGAAGGCTAGTCGACTATCTCGACCTCGCCTCGGTAGGCCTCACGAGCGGTCAGATTACGAATCAGCTGACGCTCACGTTCTGCACAGACTCGAGCGACCCTGCATGGATCACATGCAGTATCTCATGGTACGATCCCACAACCCAGAAGGCCAGCCAACGCACCATCCCATGGAGAACCCCGATGATAGCGAGCACCTGCATGCGTCCGGGCACGCTCTCATGGCCACGGGCACACCCTTCTCTCATGTGATGCAGAAACCTGCAGAACCATAMCCGCACCAAATGCCTGCAGATCTCGACCCGAGCGCGCTCGCGAAGCTGCTTGACTTGAGCGCACGTTTGCCGGCGAACGTGTACGACCGTGAAGGCGAGATTACTCCTATTATGGCGTGGTCGATGATCCTACGCCACCCCAGGGTTGCGGAACTTGATGTCCAAGATGTCGAGCGTATCAAGCAGAGCCTGTCGACCAAGGTCCGATGTTACGGGTAAGTAGTCCCAAATGAGGCATATGCTTGTGCGACGACTGATTTGTCGATTGCAGCTTTGGTGCCRTGGTTGAGGAATTTGAGGTCCAGGACGCGCTCCTCTCGGTTTTTGCGGAAAAGGACAATATCTCCACGATGAATCATGCTGTCGAGGCACACTCAATTGCAGTATACTGAGTCAGCTTTTCGCTTTTAGCGCTTTCTTTTTGAGGACTACAGGACATGGCGGCGTGAATGCAATCATGATGTATACTTTTATCAAATCTTGAACTTTTATGGCTTCACGACCAACTTTGCCATTGGCAGCTACATCCTCCATTACCGCCGTCAATACCTGTGTCGCTACTCTCGTCTCCTTTGTGTACGGTAGTAGAGTTACTCCCCGGAATCTGCGCGGGATTGATCGAGACAGAGCCGCCAGCCGCTCGATCCTCTTCAATCCACAATTTCCCATTGCTGATGACTTTGGAATTGTCGATCCCATAGCAGTAGACCCCCTTCTTATCGGAGACGCCACCATGTCGATCCAGCTTAAAAGTCACAGGGTAAGGGAAAGAGCCAGGCGCAGACATGTCATTGGCCGTTGAATCTCCCGCACCCGGCGTGGAGCTTGATGATGTCGAAAGGGGATTTACAGCGCCTCTCCTGGTCCATATCTGTACCAGTAATCGGGTCTGAGAGAATGTGCAAACGGCAGATGCGTTGGCTAGCGGTACGTTGCTGGTGATGTCTGTGCTGTTTGCCGTAGACGAAACGGGACTTCCGGAGAGGTACATGGAGCGATCGAAGTATGTGTAGAAGCCGTAGTGTTCGGTGTCAGCCCCGCGATTGAAGAGGCGGAGTGGTTGGGCGGTGACTTGCGGGTACAGAACTTCATCGGCCGGCTGGCCGTTTCCCATTGTGTTTGGAGAAGGTATGTCGACAGCGGCGTTGGTGGATGCGTTCGACGATTTGGTTTCTGGGCTTGGATACGGATAGGTATAGTTACCGTCTCGCTTTTGAAGAGATGAAGCAGTTTGTAGTGCAGCTGCATTAAGTAATGAGATGTCGAATGGTGTCTCTTCTCCGTTGTAAGGCGCGCTGGRGTTGTCGGTTGTACGTCCCATGAAAAGCCGGTCCCCTTCCGAAGGCGACAAAGCTGATGACGAGAAGAGACTCTTTCGCGCAAGTCGACGTGTCTCCGCAGCTTTCCTTGCTGTCTCGTTTTTAGGCACCAGCCCATCGCGGAACATGATCTCAAGCCTGAAGTTGGGTAGACTTGTCTCTTCCAGACCTGGAACCCCACACGTCCAAAGATCTGGAGGCGCGACGCAAGAGCTCCGCATCTGCGTCATATTCGGTTGTATCACTGTCATGACACCAATGCTGAGAGCAGGGAATCCTGTCGTATTGTACCAAGAAGCTTCGACAGCCGTTTCGACGTTGTGCTTGCGTGGGATCAAAACCGCCAGGAGAACGACTAAGAGCAGGAGTATTGCGGATGCGACTGCGACGAGGAACCAGAAGAATCGGCGGTACCAAGGACGTGATGACTTCTGCTTTTCAACGCGAGGGGCGACGCGTTGCTCGGTGTATGAATGGTGCTTCTCGGAGATGTAGGCTGATTCGGGATAAAGCTCACGCTCGCCATCGGAAATGCCTAAGCCGTAAGAGTTCTCCCTGGTGTGCTTCACTTGCGCAATTGTCTTCTCTGAGAGCAAGATTGACCACTCGCCCCGGTAGTCTTCATTATGGGCCATGATCGCACCTACCACGGGAGGGCCTGTAGGAAGCGGAGTGCGCTCAACGTCCACAGTCTTTTGCTCGCCAAAGGATGATTGAGGTCCGACGAACCTTGCCAAGTGCGCGTCTTGAAGGACAGGCGTTGCTGACATAGGCGACATCATTGAGAATCCAGTGGTCTGTGTGAAGCTGCGATTGCTCTGCGGTTTGGGAATTTCAGCGCCTTTGAGCTCGTCCTCGGATGGTGTTGAGAACTGTATCGCATGTGGCCCTGACTTCTCCCGAGCCGGGTCCTCTGCGCGAGTAACTTTGGCCGTGGTCTCTGTCAGAGCTGAATCCTGAACGATACCCGCCACGATTCCATCACTGTCGTTGTCATGCTGGTGTTCAGCCAACGATTCCCTGTAGAGTTCTGTCTTGAACACACTGTTCGAAGGGCTCCAACCCCGCAGATCGTCCTCGGGTGACTCGCTGAACGAATTCGGTTCAGGACGAAGCCCTGTGAAATTTTGGCTGGGATCATAATAAGCCGCGGCCTCACCTTGGCTGGGAATTCTGTAGATGTTCACAGACGAGGAATTGGCATCTAGAGCGCCTGGTGCTGTCTCGGACCGCGATGGCAGGGGCCTGAAGTCATCATAGGGCATAGAATGTGGTCCGGAGACAGGGGCGGTGCGCAAAGCTCTGTCATCCGAGGAACGTACTGTAAAGATCACGCCCGCATGAGGATTCGAGCCAGCCATCATCTCGGCATCATCAAGAACAGGAATGCGGTCGTCGGTCGGCGAGGGCGACCTCCAAAACGAGCCATGACCGGAACGTGCGGAGAAGGGAGAGGTGATGACATTCCACCATCCTTTACTCCTCCTGGGTGTTGGTAGACCAGCCGTCAAAGGCTGGGCCAGGCGAGTACTACGTGCAGCGCTATCGCTACGCTCAGGCGTGAGATCCTCTTCGAAAGTCGTCCCTGTAGACAACCGTAGGTGTTGGTAGTCACTGCTTGTGTTGATGAATAGAGGGAGCGGCGGGACAGGAGGCGCCCTTTGGTCGACTATCCGGGAAGCGCAGTTTGTGTATCTCGAATAGACACTCGATKCGGGACGGTACCCCGAATGAGCCCTGTAGTTGTGTGGCAGGTCTGACGGAGAGAAATTGTTTTTCGCTGGCGTCACTACGATGGTGGGCGGCGAGCGGGCAGCTGATGTCGCGGAGTTGGGACTTCTGGTGTAGTTTGACACCGTTGATGGCGAGAAGGCGCAGCCGATGGTGATTGCACGGTCCGATGGTGAAATGTCAAGACATGAAGAGCAAAGACCGTTTATGCGCGTGTTTGATGGTAGCTTTAGCATGTCTTGAGCGTGCTGGGGACCAGAGTCAGACTCTACAAACTCCAGAGTTCCGGTGCGAACATGACCATGGACGGTGCCTCTCTTGAGAGCACCGTGACCAAAAGCCACGCTTTTGGCTCCCGCAGCCGTCTCATCCTGCACAGGAGCATGTGCTTTCTTGCGGGCCTTGGACTCCTCGAAGCTGACGAAGCTCAACTCCTGCACGCGGGACTCGTATGGGAAGGTCTTGGCAGGACTTGTGCACTGAGTGTTGATGGACAATTTGCCAAAGGGCCGCGATCTCTTCCGCTGAGATTGCTTTCGTCTAGAAGTGAATGCGTGCATTCTTTGCACTGTAAATGTCGTCGGTGTTTTTCAAGAAGCTCGGCGCCCGCGCCTGTCGGTCAGCTTTTCCGCAATGCAATAAGAAAGGAAGCAAGAAGAAAGAAGAAGAAGAAGAAGCGAAACACGCGTACGAAGGAAAGAGCACTGGCACGCGAGACAGACAAATGAAAGCGAGTGTAGGTGAGGAGAAGACATGCCTCAATGTAGGCAGAAGAATGAAGTGAAACCCCCAGGACCGCTATGGCTCATGATGGTATGTGCATTCAGTACGACGTGAGATGTCCAAGTTGCCATGGATGAGAACCAGTTCGCTGGATGAAATGGGTCGTGTTAGAGTGTTATGCTTGATGGAGCATCGAAGAGCCAATCGACACGTCTTGCTGTCAGGCGCTTAGCGCTGTCATTAGCTCTCTACGCGCCGGGCCTGCTCGTTGCTAATTCTGGAACAGGTGGGTGGAGAGAAGCCTCCTGGTGCGACGAGAGCCGGTGAATCAGCGATGATGGTGTAGAGACAGAAGAGAAGACATGTTCATGTTGGTGTCGGTGTTGTCGTGGTGGTGAGGATGAGGTGTGAGACTCGGAGAAGCATTGGCCCGCGTCGGAGGCGGAAAGTTGACTTTGCCCGACGCCGGGAGACACACGGTATACGAGAACAGTACGATACTTCTGTAACCAACCTGTGATGAGTGAGCATCATCAAGTTGATCCCTGAGCCAAGCCGGTCACTCGCAACAGGCAACACCGTCTCTACGCAATACCCACTCCGCATATAAGAGGAACTGGAGTCTGGGTCATCAGCAAGGCATAACTCGACCACCAACATGTCGACTCTCCAGAAACTAGGCGGCTCATCCTTGCTAGCCTTTGGTCTGAACAAATACGAGCCTCGTTACTCGCCCGGCTTCATCACCGCAACCATACTCATCTTCCTGGTTCAATTCTTCGCCCTTGCGTTCTACAATGTCGTGGTATATCCTCGATTGTTCTCGCCACTCAGAAAGATTCCTCAGCCTCCCAATGGAGGATTCTTCCTGGGCCAGACAAGACGTATCCTACGCGAACCATCGGGCGTTCCTATGAGGGATTGGGTCGAGAATGTAAAGAATGATGGTCTCATATCTTACTCGGTTTGGGGAATGCAGAGGGTCATGCCAACGAGTCCAGCAGCACTTGGTAGGTCCAGTGTGGCGGACATTACATTCTGAATGGAGTACTGACCCCATCACCGCCACAGCCGAAGTGCTCGTAACGAAGAATTATGACTTTACCAAGCCTCCAACATTTGCGCAGGGACTGGGCCGCATTCTCGGAATAGGCATTTTGCTTGCTGAAGGCGAGGAGCACAAAACACAGAGGCGGAATCTTTCTCCCGCCTTTTCGTTTCGCCACGTAAAGGATGTCTATCCAATCTTCTGGCAGAAAGCTCGTGAGCTTGTGGACTGTCTTGCTGTCGCTTCAACCGCCACAGATGGAGGTTCGAAAGAAAGCATAGGAGATKCGGTGCCGCAACATGCACCTGGCACAATAGATGTCGGTGACTGGACTTCCAGAGCGACTCTGGACATCATCGGTGTGAGTGGCATGGGTGAGTTCCTCTTGACTGTCAATCTGCAGCAGGGAGTGGTGTTAATCGTTGTGTGTTTCAACAGGTCAAGATTTCAATTCCCTCGCAGACCCAACAAACAAGCTCAATAAGATCTACAAAAGCATTTTCGATGGAGGGCGTGGAAGCCGGTTTATGTGAGTGCTCCTTCGCCCGGTGTTGCTCCATATGGCGAACTCTGACGTTAAGCAGACAAGTTGCTGGATTATTCTTACCAAATTGGCTACTGAAGCGTTTGCCTCTGAAGCGTAACCAGGAGCTCACAGATGCAACCGACTACATCAAGCAAGTCTGCCGAGACCTGATCTCCAAGAAAAGGGAGCGCATGGAGAAAGGTCAGGCTAGCGAGGTTGACATACTCTCCGTGGCCCTCAATTCCGGCGGCTTCACGGACGAGAATCTAGTGTGAGTGCAAAAGGATGTCATCGCAGTCTTATGAAAGAGGCCTTTGCTGGCTCTCCACGATCGAGACGGACAATCTTCATGAAACCCAAACTCTTGCATTTGTAATACTCTGCTAACTTCTCAAAGTCAGCAAATGATGACGTTTCTCCTGGCCGGCCACGAAACAACAGCGACTGCCATGATCTGGGCAATCTACCTCCTCTGCAAGCACAAAGACATCCAAGATAAGCTTCGGGAAGCCGTCCGCGCCAAGATCCCATCTCTCGATCACGACATTACCCCCAACGACATCGACGACTGCTCCTATCTGCAGGCGTTCTGCTCAGAAGTCCTCCGGTTATGGGCTCCTGTAGGTCTAACAATGAGGGTTGCAGCGACGGATACCGTCATAGCCCAGCATGTTATTCCGAAGGGAACCACTGTGATCCTGTCTCCTTGGGCGATCAACACTTCCAAGGAGCTCTGGGGCGATGACGCGCACGAGTTCCGACCCGAGAGATGGCTGAACGAGGACTCCCGAGCCAACCAGAACGGAAATGCCAAATCAAATTACGCCTTTTTGAGTAAGTTGTTCCCATCTCCTCTACATGCCTATTCAGCTTCACACTGACACTTTCAAGCATTCCTTCACGGTCCACGAAGCTGTATCGGACAACGTTTCGCTCAAGCAGAGTTTGCCGCTCTAGTGGCTGCTTGGGTTGGTAGATACGACAGCTCATTTGAAGAGGGTAGTCCCCTCTCCCGAGGAGAGCTTGAGATCAAGGGAGGCATCACTGCGAAGCCCAAGGGAGGTCTTTGGTGCACGTTGAAGGAGGTTCCGGGTTGGTAGACCGGCCAGCCAGCTGGAAGTTTTCGCGACACGGCAGAATCAGAAAACAGCACTCATTTCAGCATTACAAGTACTATGTCCAGCGCGTGTTCCGTCTCAAAGTTGCGAAATCAAATCAGGTGATGGCCGAAGAAGGCGGTCTGCATGAGAGAGAAGATCAAAGCTAAGCTTTTGCTTGACTATGCATGTTGTGACCGCACAAAGCTTGGCAAATGGCGCGGGATGGGTACCTGCGCCTGATCACCCTCTTAGCAGGAAAGGGCCTTTTGGCACATCAAAGGCTCCCTCGAGTCAGAGTACCGCAGCATGATGGACGTGTCGCTTGAGATTGGATCGAGGTGAGTGAAGAGAGCGTGAGAATGCTGTGCCTCAATGTTTTGTTCGATGACTGCACGATCCAAAACGCCATCGTCTCTGTCGCCTTCATCAACCACTCTGGTGCTCGTTCGTTTCGAGGTTACTAGTGCCGTAGGCTGCTATACACACTGCTAGACATAGACCAGTGTTCGAAGCTAGTAGTTGCCTGGAGCAGGCTTGTATTTCTCGTTCTGAATGACCTCAATCCAGTAGCCTATACGAGACACATTAGCATATGCCCTCGTTCGCCGAAATTTATAACAACATACCGTCTGGGTCGAGCACAAATGCCACGTTCTTCATTCGGCCATCTGTCAATCGCTTCTTCCACGAGACGCCCTTCTCCTCGAAGCGCTGGCAAGCTGCGTTTAGATCGTCGACAGATACACAGACTGGACAGCGAGGATTAGCGATTTCTGAGATGTTTCCGATGCCGACAGAGGTATAGCGTAGCCCGAGAGACAACCACTATGACTTCTGCCCTTGAGTACTTACTGTGTCCAAATCCTAATAGCCTACTGTCAGCGGTTGTTCGAGTTATCTTCCTTGCAGTCGCTCGGCTTACCTTGAGGCTCAGCATTACCGTCGTGGTAAACCTTGCCCTCTTCTTTCTCAGTGCCATAGTTCCAGGTCAATTCCAGAATCTGGAAGTAAAGTAAAAGCATTAGCTGCGTCAATGTTCTTCGATGGAGAAATGGAGGCGAGAGTCGTATGGACTAGGCTCTGCTTCCATGCGCGCAAGCCACCTGCTCTGAAATCTACTTACGCCTTCTCTGCTCGCCACAGGATTAACACCATTGACGGAGTCGTCGCTCTTTGGCTTGCCACCATAGCCAAGGAAGTACAGGTTGAATCCAGCGGCTTCATTCTCCGATGAGCGGAGGAAGGTCATGCCCATGATGTCCTCGTAGAATTTGAGGCTGACGTCCTTGTCCTTGACTCGGATCATGGAGTGGTTCATGCGGTAAGTGGAGACGTCTGTCTCCTTGACGTTCTCCGTCTCGTTGACAGGGTTCTGAGCGATAATCTCAACCCAGTACTCGTCTGGACTAGATAGGAAAGGAGCAGTCAGCATTTGACTGCTTGGAGAGGTAGATAAACTTACTCAAGAGCAAAGGCAATGTGATGCATACGGCCATCTTTGAGCTTCTTCTGGAACTTGTACCCGGCGTCCTCGAGACGTTGGCAAGCGGCTTGAATGTTGTCGACGCTTATGCAGATGTGGCCGAAGCCCTTGCCAGGCTCCTTGTTGCCGTTGGCGACCTTGAAGTTCGGGTCGCTTTCAGTTCCTGGTATCCGTTAGTTCCAATTCCCCAACGAGGGGCTATCTCATTTTGTAAATCGATGAGCAAGGCTTGCGATACCGTACTGCAGGATCATTAGCAACGCTCCATCCTATCAAAAGCAGAAAAACTGACATTGTGGGTTAGCTCGACGATGCCCTCACGGTCTGTCCAGTGGCTGCCATGAGAAGCAGACTTTGGGGAATCGTATGCCATGAAGTATAAATCGAACTTGTTGTCCGGGAACTCGAACTTGTTGACTTGAGACATGCCGAGCTTCTCATAGAACGCAACACTGGCCTTTGGGTCTTTTACCCTAAGTGGAGGTCAGCGAAAAGAGAGGCGGCCGTTGTTCGACTATTTTGGCTTGCCTCAGCCTATGCCATTGTTAGTATCACTATCATTGCCTTTGGTGGATGGCTAGAAATACATGGTATGGTTGAATTTGTAGGAGCTGGGATCCGTCATCTTGGCGGCTGTGGTGTAGTGCTTCGCTATAGAGAGGTGTTTGGTGGTCAAATTGAGACGCTTCAGGGGCGAAAACATATATCAAGCAGTTGTAGACTGGTGAGGATTGGATGGAGAGAAAGACTTCAATTCTGTTTTGATGGAAGTAACGATGACGTCTGAAGAAGCACCCCTCTCCCCTAGAAGTAGAAGCGAAGCCACCCCTCTTCAATTCTCCCTCCCATGTCATAGAAAGATGGCCTGCTAAACGGGTAGTGTGTCTCGGTGCCAGGCCGAGAGGAGCAGATCGTTCTAGCGTCTGTTCATTCGATTCATATGCACGGCGAGAGTTGCACAAAAACCCAGTGAATGTGACATGTAGGTAAAGTGCCGCCGCAGTGAATGAGACGACCTTCCGCCTTTGGGCACGTGCATGTATTGGAGATCCACAATCTGGAAGCGACATCGCTTCGTCCCTCTGGTTCCTGCTTTGTGGTTCATGCATGACAAACACTGTACCACGGGGAGAAAACAATCCATTGATTGCCGCAGTATTTCACCAACATCGACATCAACAACGCCAACCAACTTCACACTCGGCACTTACCTTATTTCTGTATAACTTGCTGCCTGGAACGAGGCAGCCACGCTGGCGGCACTTCAACCCCGCCTCTTGCTTCGACCCGCCCGCGTCCGACGAGTCCGCGCGATCCACATCCACCTCACTTGCCGCGACCACCACCGATACTGCCGTCGCGCGAACTTTTCGACTCATACACCCTCACGACAATCTACTCTCACCCTTCGAGGCCTTCTGCCTCTCAACACCAGACCCCGGCCAACTCCGACAGTATCATCCATAATGGCCGACGAAGTGCGCGGCGACATGACGCTCGACCAATATGAATTCCCCCAGAGCCGACTGCGACGACGGATATACACAGAGGGCCGCACGCCGTTGATCCTCATCGCCTGTGGATCTTTCTCTCCCATCACTTTCCTCCATCTGCGCATGTTCGAAATGGCTGCCGACTACGCACGATTCAACACCCAGTTCGAGGTCGTCGGCGCCTACCTATCATGTGTAGGTGACGCATATAAAAAGACCGGCCTCGTCAAGGCAGAACATCGGATCAACATGTGCTCGCTCGCCGTACAGCAGAGCACGTGGATCAGTGTCGATCCCTGGGAGGCCCTACACAGCGAGTATCTCGAGACGGCCAAGGTGCTTGATCACTTTGATCACGAGATAAACGAGGTGCTTGGAGGCGTGGACACACCGGATGGAAAGAAGAAGTGCCACATCGCTCTACTGGCCGGTGCAGATCTAATTCAGACCATGAGCACACCTGGAGTGTGGGCGGCCAAGGATATCGATTACATCCTGCGTAAATATGGCGCGTTCATTGTGGAGGTAAGTGTTCTTATATGCGTTGTTTGCGATCGAGTAGAGTTGTCTGACCAGCCCACAGCGATCTGGCACAGACATGGACGAGGCGCTTTCAGCATTACAAGCTTGGAAAGACAACATCTGGGTAATTCAGCAGCTGGTGCAAAACGACATCAGCTCCACCAAGATTAGACTCTTTCGCCGGCGCGACATGTCCATTCGCTACTTGGTCCCGGAGCAGGTTGTCGATTACATCGAGGACCACAACCTTTACGACGATGACGGCGCCGTGAGTGGTGGGAAAGATCGCAAGGCCGGCGAATCTCGCGGTGTGGCACCCATTGCCAGCTCTAGCAAGCCCCAGGAGTAGTGATGGAAACGTGAATGATTCAAGGCTGGCGTATGTGGAGTATGACAGGCATCCGGCGAGGTAGCCCAGGGTTGACGAATTACGACATTGGCGTGGAAATAGCATGAAGATGCGCGCTGTCCTGCAAAGGAACGTCCGGAAGCGGCTGCTTCTTTGAGAAAGCATGAACTCGAGTCTACTGTGTTAATAGTTATACGATTCAAGTCTCGCGCAGCGTCGCGCGTTCCAAAATTCCGCATTTGGTCAATGCCTTGAGGTGATGTTGAGCTCGGCGCAAGGCATAGACAGTCATTCCGAGAAAGCTCGCGGCTCGTCCACAGAAAGATGCAGCCAAGGTGAATATGTCTCTATCACGTTAGCTGTACTGACCGGCAATCGTTGAGGATGTCTCGCCCTGCGAGGATGATGTGTGTAGTTCGACTGAAGAGCCTTTCATGACCAGAGCAGAAATTCGCGCCTGAGACGGACTGTCTTGTGAAGTAGATACCAGTTTCTCAGTTGAGTTTCAATATCTCGCCGCGAATTCTCCCTCCTCACCTCCTAGGGTATGTACAAGACGGTAGGACTTTTGAGGCTTTCCTCTATCGTTCAAACTCCTTAGAATACATGACCATCCTCACTGTGGCTGTGGCTCATGGAAGCCAATCCTTCCGTTTCCCGATGTCTTCAATTACGGTCTGAGAGTGCGGAGACCGTCTCTGGAGGGAGCTGTGGCCCTCTTGAAGCTCTGCAAACAACGTGTTAGCCGTGGGTGTGTTCGCAGTGTCCTCGTGTTGGCGATCGAGTAACATACGCTGTCGCATTCCTCCCACGCTCTTCCTGCACCGAACCCAAGTCCGGCCCACACTGGGAACGATCTTCGCTTGAAAAGCAGTACGGAGAAGATCACACCAAATGACGCGCCGAGAGTGCTCCTGATGAGCAGAGTGCTGAGGCAGTGGTCCCACTACAGAGCAGCGATCAGTATGGCTTCGTTCCTAGTATTTACCAAGCCCATTGCCGGTCTTGTGCCCACCTTCTCATTCAGAAGCGCTTCACTGAGCGGTCGACTGGGGCGGTTTGGTGGAGGCACCGTAGCAGCATTGGAGGAGGTCGTGTCGGCCATTGTGTGGGATCAAGAACTGAGGACCTTCGATGGCGTGGCGAAGGAAAGTTTGGAGGTGTCGAAGGTCGTGGATGGCGGTGGTGAAGTGCAGCAATGGGTTGGCGGAAAGAGAGAGGGTGGTGCTTCAAGGTCGTCGCTGTTGCTGATGCTGTCGCCGATCACTGGTCCAAGCTCACCAGAAAGTTGGACGCCGGCTTTGGAGATAAAAAAGTTCAGCAGCTTCTACGACATCACAGTATATCACCCTAGTCGCCCGACTTGGAGGATTGTACATTATGGGCGCCCCTAATATATCCGCATCGTCCTCCCTGGACCGATTGAAGGCCTTGGATGCTCTCCCGGATCTGGCCTCGCAGCTGCAGGAAGCAAAGCAGCTATGCGACAATCGTGCTCGCGCCGAGATGATCTTGAAATGGTTAATGACAAAGTTGAAAACATCGGACGAGGCGCGAAAGAACGACTCATCATGGACTCTCTGTGCTTCTACAGTGCGACTGGTACCAGCACAGAGGATCGCTGTTTTGTCACATGGACTTTTGCCGGCGATCCAACAAACCTGGGCAGCATCTGATGTATCTGATGCTACTATCCGTGCAATCGCGCGGCTATTTGGACTCTTGCTTGGGCTTAGAAAGGGTGCGGATGGAGCTGCTATCAAGTCATTGCTGAGCGTGAAAGGCGATACTRCGGCAATGATGTGCGGTGACTGGTATCGACATGTCTACCACAACTTTTCCCAGGGAGGAGAAACGTCTGTGATAGCCGTAGAAGGACTGCTGGAACCAGCTTTACAGCTTTGGGAACTTCGGAAACACTCCGAGGAGGACGACACTTCGTTCAATAAACACTGTTTGGCGCCGGTCCTACTGCTGCTTGCGCAGCTGCGCAATGCCAGCATCCCAACATCCGCCAAGCGGAAGAGGGGACATGACCTCGCCGTCCCGACTCCCACCAGAAGCTATGAACACGCCCTTGAATCTTTGCTGGCTAGACATACAATCCTTCCCGCTAGAACGGTGTTCAGTCGCAAGCACGAGCAACAGGCTCGGCGTCTCCAACCCGGCCAGCGAAAGATGTTATTGCAGCCCGCGATCAAGGAAAGGTTGTCATCGCTGATGGAACTGATTGAAAGCGGAACGTCTGGGACCCCCTTGATAAACTCGCTCTGGCTGGTGCTCGATGTAGCTATGCGATCTGTTTCGACACCTACACCACGGCATCGTCTAGCAGAACGTCCGTGGATTGAGGCTATCTTTGCTGCCCTTAGCGACTGTGTCGCCAGCCAAGGCAGGCCACTCATCAATCGTATTCTCATCGACCTGTTGGAGATTGTACGACGCAATGGAGCTGGACATACAGCACTGTCCGCTCATACGCTCACCGRCCTGATCAAACAGCATGCAATTACTGAAAGCGCCAGCAATAAGGACGTGGACTGGCATTTGGTCGCAAAAGTCGTCGAGCTCGACCCTGATGTCCTTACCAACACGAGTCTGTCCGAGCAATTGTTTGATGCAATCGGTATGGATACGGATCACCAATCGAGCCCGCCGGCCACTCTATGGAGAGATGATATCATAGTTCCAACCATGAAGGCTTATGCTCGTGGAAGAAGTCTTTTTGTCTTCGTGGATATGTGGCACAAGCAACTTCTTCGGCCGCGGAGCACAAAGCAGCCATGTGTATGGGAGAGTCTGAGCGCGCCCTTTGCGGATATTCTGGAAGAGTATGCGTTGGCGGAACAAATTATCGCCCAGATTGATCGCTTCTCTGTGCCAGTGAGTGCGGCATTGGAAGCTGAGTCGAAGTTGACCAACGCAGAGGTAGAGTCTACTCTTATTGCCAACATCATACTACTTGAATCACTGCTCAGTGGCGCGCGAAGTGACGGCTTGATTTCGAGCCTACAAGACAAGCWGCACGCCATTCTACACAATTCGATTGACCTGGCTAGCCTTAAAGGCTTCAAGTCTACCATTGCGATGAGTGCTCACTACTGGAGCTTGCTCACGCGGGCCTTTCAGCTTTGGTTCCCTTTCTGGGCTACTAGACAAGACGATAGTACCGCTGTTGAGCGTGAAGGAGTGGCCTTACTTGCAAGCAAGGCATTGAAGCATGCGCTTGCTCAGTGCTCGTCATCAGGGACTGACGAGACGCGCAGCCACTCCTTGGATACCGCACGCGCAGCCAGAGGATTTGTTGCCAGTATATGTGCCTGCTTCCAACACTACGGAGGAGAAGATGGATGCGCCGGTCAGTGCGAAAAGGCCGTGGAGCACATTGTCAAGCACAAAGTGGGCGCCGCTTCTGTTCTCGTCCGGCGGCAAGCCTTGCTCTCCTCTCTAAAGCCAAGTGCATGCAAAGAGCTCCTATCCTCGTCGTCACTTCTCACGGTCGATGCTGGGGTTGAGGACTATAGCACTTCGACTCCGATCGAGGCTCTGCTGGACTCTTCTCGCGGCTCCAGCAAACAGCGAATTTACGAAGATGTGGTATCCACCTTATTGGCAAAACTGAAGGACAGCGAAGATGAGTTGCGGCTTCTCTCAACACTCGCGGGTATGGATATGCTCTCGATCGAACAGGTACAGCGCGTTGAGATACTGGACTCGGTCTCACAACTTCGCGAAGTGCCGCAGGGCCCGGATGGAGTAGTGCGATTGCAGGCTCGCTTTGCTGTGCTTCTGAAGCTGTTGGCGCTGCCTTGCCAAAATRCCCTCCTTTTGACAGATCCTTCAACCATCTGGAAGCTCACCAGTCTTGTCGAATTGCCTAGGGTAAAGGCGGACAATCCAGACAATGATACTTCACAGCTCGAGCCGCTCGCAAATGTGGACCTCGTGGAGCAGATAGCACGCTGCATCCTTAAGTCGTTGTTGGCCACACAGGACAGTCAGAAAAGTCAAACGACTCTGGTGGGACTTTCGCAGCTCATAAAAGATGCCATAAAGGCAGGCGCAAAAAGCGGCAAGCTCACTGCTTACGATGGGCAGCTAGCTTTTATCAGAGTCGCCATCACGATGATAGAAACCAGCGCCAAGGATGATATCAAGAAGCGCTTGGTATACAGAGCATCAAAGACTGCCAAATTGTACCTGGATACCCTCTTGGCAGAATGCTCGTCGGTTTCCGGCGATAAAGGAGCACAGCTTACAAGGGATCATGGAATTYGTGCCATTTCGGCTTTACAGGCACTGCTAGCTGCGCCCAATTCCTTCATCGAGCTATCAGGTATCGACTCGGCAGATTACACGAAGCGGCTGTACAAGTCGGCTAGCCAACTCGCGTCGCCTTCCCGCGTTCTGGATGATCAAATACTGCAGTCAAGACTTCTAGCAGTCTGTTTCCAGGTGCTCTGTCGTCGCGCACCTGGCAAGAAGAATCTCACAGCAGTAGCGGAAGATGTCCTTCAGCGCGATCTGAAGCCTAGAGATCTCGTCACAGTATTGCTAGCGTACGAGGAATCTTTCAAGCAGGCCGATGCTGAGTGGAAGCTAACAGCCATCACCACTCGAACGAAGTCGTCATCCTCATTTCTCCAGCAAGCCGTCATTAGAGCATTGACAAGGGAAGACGCCGAAGCTATACCTTCTGCCAAGGACATTGTATCGCACACTCTACAAGCAGCGACCTCTTCCGAGACACCTCTGGCTGCCCGGCGAACAGCTCTCCAGACCCTGACTCTAGTATTCAAAGATAAAGCATTCCTGACGACCCAACACACTATCGAACAGACTCTTTCAGGTCTGCAAGAAATGTTCTCATCAAGCCACGCTGCAGACGTTGGCGCAATTTACCTCGACATCTGCCAAGTCCTGACAGTGATCCTGGCACAACACAGATCACGCCTACAGGGTCGCTTCCACCTCGTTATTGGTGCACTGCAGCAGCTCACCGCCCACCTCTTCRGCGACAGCAAAGCGGGAGTCCACCAAGCGAGATCTTTAGCCAAGCTACTGGAATCGTTCTGCAACCCTCCAGCTCTGCGATACAGAAAAGGAGGCAAACCTTCGGAACTCGTGGACGAAGCCAAAAAGGCCCAAGCGCATGCTGGACAATTTGCACAATACCTCCTTCACTTTTACTGCAGTTGCGTTCTGACGGGTTCTTTGGGAGAGTGTGTTCGGGAAGCGCTTCTTCCTGGTCTGTACGCTATGATTGAGGCCATGGAAGCGTACAATGAGGATGGGGTCAAAGTGCTAAGCTCTGCGGCTAGTAACAGCGAGAGGGCTGTCTTGAGGTCTGTGTATGAAGATTGGAAGCGGTTTGGGAAGTGGGAGGGTGTTTGAGAGTTTAGTACGAGTGGGACGATAGATGTATCTATATAGGAGTCGATAGGAGAGCGAGTCCCTGAGCCAGCCAGCCACGTAGGTAAGGTAGCAGTAACATCGACGGCCACTGGCCAGCGCTTCTTCCTAAAGGTCTTGACCTTTGCAAAACGTGATTATATACGTTCAAGTTTGCCTGGTACCAGTTCTACCCAGAATATTCTCACAGCTGCGGTGGCCGAGTGGTCTAAGGCGCTGGTTTTAAGCACCAGTGGAGCAATCCGCGCGCGTTCAAACCGCGTCCGCAGCATCATCTATTTTTTTTAGCGTCGTCTACATCTTTTTAGCACCGTCTACATCTTTTTAGCACCGTCTACACCTTTTTAGCACCGTCTACACCTTTTTAGCATCGTCTACACCTTTTTAGCATCGTCTACACCTTTTTAGCATCGTCTACACCTTTTTAGCATCGTCTACATCTTTTTAGCATCGTCTACATCTTTTTAGCATCGTCTACACCTTTTTAGCATCGTCTACATCTTTTTAGCATCGTCTACATCTTTTTAGCATCGTCTACATCTTTTTAGCATCGTCTACATCTTTTTAGCATCGTCTACATCATTTTAGCACAACCTACTTCCTTTCAGCACCATCTATTTCGTTTTAGCACTGTCTATTTCTTTTTATCGGCGTGCGGCGATTTTGTTCCGCTCTACCTTGTTCACGTTTTCAATTTAAATTACCTCATGTCAGGATCACTGTGCTTGTGCTTGCAGCTGTAGGAAGTACGGTATACAACACATCCGGTGGAAGAGCCGCCCCGCCCGTCTCATGCCTTTTGACTGTCGAGCTGCATTCTCCTTTTCGAGTATGGTTTGAAGCTCCATTGGAACATCTCTGACCTCCATGCTGAAAAAGGCTCCGATGTTCTGGGCATGGGTATTCGAGCTGTGCTCGGGCCTGTGGCGGTATGTGTCATTGGAGACGCCAGTTTGTCTCCATGCCCATGGAGCTCCGTCGTGCTATGTTAATACATCTCACTCTGGCATAGCTTTAGTTCGGGACTATGACTGTATACGAACAGCTTTCTCCTTGCATCGGAAGTTCCTACACTCACCGAGAACCTCCATCAAAACCCAGAATTTGGTTGCAAATAAGGTACTCCTTCCAGGAGAATTTCTGTGGTTCTTGCACACACCACATGTCCTGCGTTCGGCAATGCGTCTTGTTGACGCGCGGAGTCCATCCGCACTACGCCCTCAGACAGCAATGGCGTGCTTAGCTCCCAAGTATGTACGAAGGGGACGATGTTTCTCATTTTGGGAGACCTTTTGGGATTGGGCGCAGTCCATGCAGCTAAAGCCATCCATCCTTGGAAGACATCGACGGGGAGCGTCTATGCAGCTAGAGCCGCACGTTCCTGGATGACAGGACTGGATTCCGTCCCTGCAGCGAGAATCACGCATTGGCAGACCCAGGCTTGTTGAGGTTGTAAATAATGCCATCCTCCCCAGCATGAAACATTGTTCTTGTCCGAAAACCGTCCCGCCCTTGGTACACAGAGTCGCAGTTGCTGAAGGATACACCATGACTTCAATGCTTCATCTTGACTACACCTTGGCCGATCTTTTCCGCAAGGCGGGAGTCAATGGTCGAATGATTGGGAGCACTCACCATCCTTGGGCACACATCGATATTCATCCTCACTGGCCGCGTGAGTCCTGCTTTGCACAGGATGAAGATCCACTCGCGTATGGGTCCACGATCGCAGAACGAGAACGGTTCTGTCGCTCTGAGCTCGAGTTTTGGCCGATGAAGGGTGCATTCGTCCTCGGCAACATGGAGGTCATACTGTTCCGCTCTTCTGCAAACTCCAGCGACCTCAATCATCCCTGGGGTCGTTTGCCACCGGAGCAGCGACCACAAGCACGATTCATCGATCTCGACCAGGGTCTTGCAAAAGCAAAGCAGCAACTCGAATCCATCACGGACCAGCGTAAGCTGGTCTTCGCGTACCCTTGCGAATGGATGGACGGACTAGAGTGCGTTGTCGACCCGAGTCTGGCCTTTCGCCTCGAGTCCAAACGCTTTCTCTGCCAGAACAACATCCCTACGCCGACATTGGAAATGCTCAGCTTGCACGGAGAGTACCTTCGACGCCTTGAAACCAAAGAGCTTCCGTTCGTAGTYAAGTTCCCTCAGGCGAGTAGCTCTTACGGGACGTTCCTCGTGACTTCATCRAAGCAGCGCAAAGAGATGCTCGCCAGCGTGGAGCGCTTCAGACTTCGAGGGGGCGACGAGATACAAGTATCGTCGTACGTGAAGGCAAAGCACAATTACTGCGTCCAGTGCTTCGTTTCGCCCGATCTGAGAGGCGATCAACCGCTGATCATTGCCGTCACATGGCAAATGTTCACCGGGGACGGAACAGGGTCGGGCGCCATCATTGACTACGCCGAGCAGGACGACCTTCGCGCGTCGCTTTGCTGCATCACGGCCCAGACCATCGAAGCCCTGCCGATAGAATTCGTGGGCTGGATTGGCATTGATGTGCTGGTTGATGAGGTCGGAAGACAGTACGTCATTGATCTCAATCCTCGAATGACAGGATCCATGCCCATCTGTCTCCTATCCCGCTATTTCTGGAAGGAGCAGCAACTGCGCTTTGCTCAGACTGGCTCGTTCAGCTATGTGGGACGGTCGGAAGATGTGGATGACCTGCTTCGAGAAGACGTCGATGCGGGCGCGGTTGTAATCATTGCGAATGTGACGATTGATGACAACAAACCCCTCGTCCAAATTTGGCTGGTATGGGCAGCGGCAGATGAAAATCTGCTCTCAGAGATGTACTACCGGATCTGTGGCCGTCTTGGTTGCATGGAATCCTAGGAGACAGGAGGTCCTCTCTTTGGCTGGGGCGATTTAATTCAGTGTACTGGCTCATCGCGATGCACTACCCGGTGGGTGTAGTGCAGCACCGCTTTGCAGAGCTCCGCAGCGGAAGCTGAATCGACACATTGGCGAACTGGAGCCGTCCGCACGTGAATATAAGTAGTCTTCTACCAATTCATAGCTCTCTCGATGCACCTCACTCACTCATCATACCATCGAAGTGACGTCTCGACATGGCAGACTTGTTTGTCTGTTCTGTTGGTTCACTCGGTTAGCTGTAATCGTCTAATACGGAGTCCGTTGTGCAGGATGAACCACGCAGGTGGTCAGAGCAAGAACCAGATTGAAGCGATCAGAAAACATGCATACTGCCATACTGTCTCAAGACTGTGTAGGAACTACAGATATGAGCTAGGCTGGAGCAGTGCGCACTTCTTCTCGATTGGAATTGCACGCGGATTCTCGACCTGTCCTTCTTGTTCGGTCGCTCATTCACCCTCAACAGAGGTCTGCGTCCAGTGGGTCGGTTAAGGAGTGAATTGCTCGGTGACTTGTCGTGTCGTAGACTTTACTTGGTGTCCTTGATTGCCCTCCTCCAAAGCCGGAACCCAGAATCCCCATCAGATAGGACGACTTCAAAGTTATCCCCACTCTCCGCCCGCCCGCCGCCACCTCAACGGCACTGCACTTCATCACCAACCCAATCAAGCATCACGCACAGCGTACTGCTTTCGGGCAGCCCAACGCTGTCATCCTCTCATGCACTGACACCCACTGCACAATCCCGATCAGCTCAACTCACTGTGCAGGCGCGCGCCACCGCAGGAGTACTGATTGTGTGGTTCAGGCCCACTCTGGTTGCCACCTTGGGCAGCGCGCACGCATCGAACTGCAGGTGAGAAAGCCGTCCGTGGATTGGTAGGGCTTTGTCTCCATCACAGCAAAGCATGCAGAACGAACGCAGCGCAGAGCCAGCCATGTACGTGGAGCGCCCATCGGGCCGGCCGACGATGCAGGACGAAGGTGAGAGAAGCCCGATGGAAAGTTGACTTAGGGCTTCAAAACATCGGCTGACAAATCTCACAAAAGCTCAGCCACAGGCGCCACTTCAGGCCAATACGGACCTCGACACACGTCGAGTATCTCGCTTTGCACATCCTCAGCATCATATCCATCGTGAGTCATCTTCTCGGGGCTGCCTGATGCCCCGTCGAATACTACTGGATACTGACAGTGGAGGCAGCAGCCTTACGAGGAAGCCAGCGGACTCATCCGAGCGGATCTCCTGCTACAAGTATCAACGCGTATACCGACGGCCGCAGCCTTCTAGACCCGGTCTTGGCTTGGCACAAAGGTCAAGACAGCACATCGCTCGCCGCATCTGCGCAGCAACACCCCTTGCCACAATCCAGGACCATCATTTCTCCGGATCTCTGGACTGGTGATTACTTCTATTCGGGGGTGGACAGTACCGCCGCGTCATCGCCACTGGGCGACTACAAGTATCAAGCCCGCGATTTTGCTCCATCATTGCTGGAGACGTCCAAGCCGCGCTTCATGAATCCACAATCGCCAGAAATGCAGACCCCTCCACTGAGCGCGCATCCCTCTCCCAACAACGCAGCCATGGAGGAGCAGACATCCCGGAAGCGCTCACACTCCGTCATGTCGTCCGGCGRGAAGGATTTCCAACAGCAGATGATTGCGGCTGCCAATGCACATCATGCCGTTCTTGCGAATGGCGCTCGACCAGGAAGTCGTTCCGMATCAGTGACTTCAGCTGGTGTCGAAACTGACGGGTATTCTGGGAGAGGTTCCCGAGCCTTCAAGCGAGGCGATCCTCCTCAGAACGAACACGGAAAGTACATTTGCGATTACACCGAGGATTGCCGAAATGTCACGTTTGACAGAAAGTGCGAATGGAGGTGAGTTGTTCAATTCCGGTGGACGCAGACTTTACGACGATTCGCTACTTTGATCATGAACTGAAATGCTAACTGCCATCACCAGCAAACACATGGATAAGCACGACCGTCCTTATAGATGTCCTCACGAGTCGTGTGGCAAGCTCCAAGGTTTCACATATAGTGGAGGTCTCCTACGGCATGAGCGAGAGGTCCATGGAAAGCATGGCGGCCCAAAGGCGCAACTCATGTGCCCTCATGCTGACTGCAAACGTCATGCCGGCAAGGGCTTCACGCGGAAGGAAAATCTCAACGAACACCTACGAAGGGTCCACTTCAGCAGAAACCCCGACTCACAGGACGCTGGGCTTGGAGCAGATGAAGATGTCGATGTCGACTCAGCCGCCCAGGACGCCATTGCCGCACTGAATGCATCGGGCTCGGCCAAACGGAAACGTTCGCTGGATGATGACCTGGGCAATACATCGGACATCACTCTTCTGAGGCAAGAAATTGCAATGCTTCGAGCGGAGAACGATCGGAAGGATGCGGTGATTCAAGAACTCACTCGACAATTGGCGCATTATTCGCAGAACATCGAACAGGTCATACAGGAATCCGTCCCAGGCTACCAACAAGGTTAGTGGCTGATGTGTAGGTTGAAATCTGGAKAACAAATCGGATCGATCAGAGCGTGATGCTCTTCAAGGACGAGAACATCTCGCATGTTGCATGGACCGGAGTTTGGAGCATGGTTTAGGAGCGGACGGGTTGATTGTGGCGGAGCATATTGAAATTCTGCTGCCTAGAAGGAAGGCACGACGCATCGATACCCCACACAGTTTGCTAGGTTATTTACCAATAATATATCTCGCTTTCGAGAGGATGACGGCACTCAAAAATCTGGATACATGGAGCATGCGAGGTCTCTGGTGAGTCGGGTAAGATCAAGGACGTTGCATGCAGGGTTCGAACGCTCAGCTCCTTCGCAGCGACTGTCTTGACCGAGTCCGTCGATTCTGACCACCAGCAAGAGCCTTGTACAGACTGACGAATTGTAGACTGCGTCTCGGCTCCCGTGTGATGTTCTCAATATCGTCACATTCATAGCGATGCTCAAGCTGCCTGCGGTAATGGTCCTCGACTGTGAACGATTCCCTCCAATCGCTTGGCAATGTCTTTCCCTTCTTGTTTCGACTCTGATGTCTGCCCCTTTGCTTCCGGGGGGTTGGTTACCATTCGCAGTAACGTCGCAGCCTCATAGTCTGTCAGATCATGTCATCTTCTGCTGCCGGCATAGTAAGAGATCACTTCTTCGATTCTTTGGGAAATATCACATGCCGCCAAGATAGTCAGTTACATCCACGAGTCTTATAGTGGCGTGCATGCCTTATTTCAACTGTGCTGGTACGCCTTGTAGTCTGGAGTATTACATATTGACGATCTCCGGTGGCGCGGGAAAGATGGTATAAATAAGTTTACCGGTAGATTGAGTAGCACAGCTGTAGCTATCGAAAGGTTGAACTCGGAAAGCAACTCATAGTCGGCGGAAGGCTTGAGAACAGATCAGTACGAAACGACAGTCCTGTACCTGATCCCCGAAGTATCCCAATGCAGACAGACATCATCGTCTCAAGTCTCAACATCGATTTAGTCAGCCTTCTGACCTGTGGCCTCGTGCCCAGAAGAACATCATGTTCAACGCTGCTGGATACATTGTCTAGACCTAGTTCACCATGGATACCATGACTACCATGGCAGTTCGTAGCCCTCTCTGTGCCAGAACCGCCCAGTTTCAGCGATTCCCTTACTCTTGAACACTTCCCACTGCGAGAGATTAGCCACAAGCGTGTGAGTGAGCTAGAACGATGCGCATACCAATTGAGCGGCCGCAACATCAGGCTCCACGGCCTCAGGAAACTCAGCAACATCTGGATTCATTCCCGAGCGTACAATCCCAGGATGAAGCAACGTGACAACTACTCCTTGTTCCTGCAAATCACAGGCCATGCTCTTTCCCACACTGTTGACTGCTGCCTTGGAAGCTCTGTAGGCATACGATCCACCCGTAGAATTATCACCTATGGAACCCACTCTGCTGCTCACGATACCAACCTTTGCGTTCTCTGCTGCAAGGAGGTTTTCGAGCAAGCCCTGGGTGAGCAGCAGTGGCCCAAAAGTGTTTGTCTCAAAGGTCTTGGTCAGGATTTCCTTGTTCACGGTCGTGAGAGTATCTGTCTCCTTTGCAGACATGACGCCCGCTACGTTGAGCAAGACGTCGATTGATTTCCCGGCCATTTGAGCTTTGAAACCCGCGATTGACTCCTGAGATCGAACATCGAGACGGTGGAGTCTGCATTGTAGGGCTTGGAGTTTTTCGCCCACTACATGATCTGCAGCCTATCATGAATAAATGAGGTTAGTGAGCTGCTTCTATCTTGTGTTGGGACTTTGTTGCTTGTGGCCTGTTTGCTGGAGTTTGCGATTTCTTGCAGATTGGTTCATGTTGCATTGGTCTCCCGGGCAGTGATGGAGTAGTGGATTCTTACATGCACTTCATAACCCTTGGTACTGGTCAGTTTCAAATCTCGATGCAGCATTCGTCCCAACTCACCTCTCCGATGAGCAACTCGGCGATGGCGTGTCCGATACCTTTCCCGCCTTGTGAGCTCTTCCCGTTTCAAACATCTCTCCAGAGACTTCAGACTTACCCGAATTAGCTCCTGTGACGACTGCAATGGGCATGGTAAGGTAACTCAGTTGGGGCAATGTGGGCAGCAGAGAAGAGGGCCTGATGACATGGGTAAAAGTCGCAGCTCAACGTCATACGCTGCGCAACAGCTCCCCGCCAGTTAACTACATGCGTGGACGGTAAGTTTTTCAGAGCTTCTCTGCGTAAACGGCTTTCTCAGTCTCGACTCTCTGGCCCCACTGACCATGCTCGCCAGCAGACATTCACGAATTGGGTCTTGCTATTTATCTCACACGCCGCTACTCACCTTTCGTCTCACCACATGAGATGCAATTGTGCGCCGGCTTGGGAAAGGTGTGCCTGCAATTCACCGCTGTGCGGCGTTGATCTTTCCATTCTCTATTCTAGCCTGCGTCCTCGAGGGTTGCGATTCAACCCGAGACGTACTAATGCGCTATCCTCCGTTCCTGCAGAGAGATGGCGAGCTCCTGTGCTGTCCATCATGCGATATGCARGGGTATTGTACAATGTGACAAAAGAAAACGTTTCATGGTGGTCTGGTCTTCCACCAAGCATCCTCCCGAAGCAAAAGCGGAACCAGCGGCCGTTGCAACAAACAAGCGCGGCAAGGGTATAAAAAATGTATAGAGTATGCCTCCCTTCGTTCAAAACGCCAGTCGGGGTATCCCAACATAAATGCAGAAATAGTGTGCTTGTTCAGCGGCTGGACATGCTCGATGTTCGACTCAGTTGGCCCGGCGTGGGAATGTCGCCCTCTCTGTGTCGTTGCGTGCTCGAAGTTCGACTCAATCCAGGAGCCTCACTGCCGTCTCTTCGTCGTTGTAAACTGCCGCTTCGACTGAACATACGTCGGGGCCACATGCTGCGACCTTCTATTCTTGGTGATGGAGCGGACTGATCCATGATACCATATGCGTTGTCCGCCACAACTATCGGTTGTGGTGCCTCCTTCTTGATCTTGACAAACAGTTTCGCGTCGCGATATTGTTCGCCTTGGGGATTGAATAGCGGGAGGTGACGGAATCCTTGTTGTAGGCTGCTGAGTTTGGCTGTGAAGCATGCGAGAAGGATGCTGTTGTTCGATGTAGACCGGCGTGCTTCTGGTGCATGCCACACGGTCCACCGAACGAATATCAGACTGGGAAACTTCGTTTCGGCGGTCAAATTGATCGTCTGATAGAACTGTGGGTCAAAGCCATTGCCCTCAACGATCCGCGTTCGCTTTCTCAGCGGAGAGCCAATGCCGGAACTGCCGTCACGTGCCGACGCATCAGTGCCACCCTCGCCAGTTGCGATGCCGCGCGCCTTGTCGTCCGCGGTGAACATCTCAAACTCAATGTAGGTGTTCATCCCGCTGGCGGTGCTCTGGCTCCGCGGCCTTGGCAACCGCTGCGCTGAAATGATTTCAACGCTGAACTTTACGAGCTTCTTGCCTTTCTTCTCCTTCGTTTCCGGCGCCTCAGCGATGGTATCGGCGATCGGAACGTGTTTGGCATGCCGAAGCTCATCAGGCTTGAGCACATATCCTATGCGGTCTGGACCAGCAAACATCGCTTCATTGACTTGCTGGTGCACATCGTAGGTTTGCCAATTTAGCGCCGCCATTTGGACTCCGCGACGCCACGATTGCAATGGGTTGAAGTTGGACGAGTCTATTCTCCGCGCGCCAGGATAGACGCGCATCAAGTATCGCATGTTGTGCTTCTCCAATAGCAGCTTGTTGTTCTCTGGTTCCTTGTTGCAAAGCTTCTCAAATGTGTTCTCATTGAACGAGTAAACATGGTTGAACGAGCGCGCATCTGGCGCCCCGAAGCCATCGAACTTGATGCCTTGAGAATAGACACCGAGCTTTCCGAGCTCGGGAGTGATTCTGCTGGTCTTGTTGTTCTTCTTCATTCTTTCAATCGAAGCAGCTATCTCGTCGCTGTCATCTGCAGAGCTGCTCGGTGTTGTCATGGTAGAGCCCCGGGGCGTGGAAGCAGCGTTGTACTCTGACGGACTTGTTGCGACAGAGCTGGGTACCATCGGTGAGGACAGTGTACTCTGATTATCTCCAGACGGGGTGCGGACGAAAGTGGAAGTCAGGCYACGCGCTCGGCTGCGGCCATTGCCAGAATCGAACATGGGCTGCTCGAGATTCTCGGCGGCCTTGACCTTGACCAAAATCCTATTCTTGAGCTCATCGGGAGACGGCAAGCTGGTGGAGTTCGGGACAATCGGCTCGGTGACCATCATTGTGTTGAAATACGTCTTCATAAGTTCAACCATGGCCAGCTGTTGTTCGGGGCAGCAGTGCACCTCCAATGAGACGATAAGAGGGTACGGCGAGCTGTTGAACGCAAACTTGGCGATCACAGAAACGCAATCCTCAAATGGAATCTTGGTCGTCATGGTCCTTCCGTGTGTGACCATTGGTCGGCCGTTGTCACCGTCCCAGCAATCAATCTCAATGCAGCGACACCCTTTGATAAGCGCAGCGATGTAGCCCTCCACGCTGGAAACGCCTGCCACCTGTCGTCCCAACAGATATGTGTTGTGAGAGCTTGAAATGAAGTACTCATTGAGAGGTCGATCCAAGGTGGGGTCGCCCTTCGAAGCAGACACAGGTGCACTGTGTGACGAAGAGATGAAGTTCTGGAAGCCCTGCATGCTGAGGAATCGCTGCCCAGGAACGACTGGTGCATCAGGTAGGACCGGCCGATTGCTAGTTGGTCGCGAGTACCTTTCGAATACGTTTTCCCAGTAACTGCGCTCTTTGACGACATCGATGGCTTGCTCAACTCTCAAAAACTCCAGGAAGGTTGCCAGGTCCATGTCAAGATCTGTGCCGAACTTGATGTTTCTATAAATGTTCTGAAGATCTTTCCGGTCTCGGAATGAGCGCACAAAATTCCGGTATTCTTCATGGTCCAGTCCTGCGGCTTCATCGCTCGCGACGGCCTTGTAATGGGTCTTCACTGCGGAGTCTGTACAGTTGATCTCAAGATTTCGGCAGAGCCAACGAGCATCATCGAGCAGAACGCGTTGTTCGCTGTTTGGTTGCTTTCGTGCCATGACTCGTCTCCAGGCCATTGTCATGCTTTTCTCGCTTTTCTCAGGCGACGGATGAAGAGCATTCATGATTTCCGAYCGATCCTTGCTGACAATGCTCAATGCGTCTGTCCAGAGCTTAAGAATGTAGTCGTCGGGCATAATGACATGCATCGTCTTGATCGTTCGCCCTTTCGACCGCTCCGGCTCATCATAGACAATGGTCACCCAACGCGCTTCTTGCTCCTCGGGGATCTGCACATCGTCGCGAGTGTTCCGGGATTGCGCTCCAACGCGAACGTCCCGGACATCGTCTACAAAAAAGGATTTGCTCGGATTTGAGGAGTGCCAACACACTCTTGCGGTATTAGTGTCCAACCACAATTTGATACGTTTGGTGTGACCCTTGGTTGCCTTGGTGAGCCAGGTACCGTTTTCCAGAACAGTTGAGGTAGTAGGCGCAATACCACCCTCAAAAATGCCAGAAGTGTTGAATGGAATGTTGGGCCTGCCAACACTGATGCCTAGACCATTCTGACGTTCCCGGATTGAAGTCCTGATTGAAGACGTGTAGTTGGAATCTTCTTCGACGTCCTCCGCGGTGCTGTCTAGATCCAGATCCGAGACGTCTTGGCCGTAGTCCGAGGCTCCATTGCTGTCGCTACGACGGCGAACGAGAACGGGACCTGCGCTCTGGTCACGCATTCGCAAAGAGTGGGTGGTTGATGCTCTGCGCCGCAACCTGTTGGAAGCACCCCGCGACAGTCTTCGCATCAAACCTGGGCTTTTACCAACGGACATGGCCTCCGGGACGGTGCTCGGCGGTGCTGTCCGGGTGTGCGGTGAAGGCGAGCGCTCCGGGAACGATCGTTCATGCTTGTTTGATTGCTGGGGGATCGGGCATGGCGCGGAGAATACATGGGGAGAGAACATGCTGTCTGGGAGGGAGTCCTGGGAGGCGGACGGGTTGGACTTTATCCCGGGTAGCTGATGGGTGAAGGAACTGCTCCGGCTCGAGTATCGACTTGAAAACGATGCGCTCACGCCCATAGCGGGTGTCGCGCTCATAGCAATGTTGGTATGCAGCGCACGCGACGGCCGTGCTGAGGCGGCTGGCGCGCGCTGTGTGGGTCCCGCAGCAGGAGCAGAGGATGCCGAGAAGGCATCTTGGTCGTACGTGTCGGAGGCGAGGTTCATGGCTGTCGTGGACGGCTTGGTGGAGTGGAGAAGAGTTACTCAATTCGACAAAACCTGGGCATCATGACAGCCATGCATGCGCCAACAGGTGTGGCAAGGAGCGAAGGCCGGTGTGAGGCTGTCGGCAGCCGTGGAGAGGAAGACGCAACAAGGCGACTTGGCGGATTGGATACACACAAGGCTGGCCTGGCCGGTGCTGCGCAGCACCGTGTGTGGTCGTTGTTCGCGATGGATTTCGAAACGAATTCCTGGTTTCAACGATGGGTGCACAGCACAGCTGTCGCTAATTAAGTAGACACCCCGCAAGACCTGCGCCTCCGGTCAGACTGCAGATGCGCGACGCGCGCGGCACAGTGCAGCTATGCGGTATCGTTGCTGCAGGGCAAGGCGAATGCGGATTGGTATAGGGCTGCGAAAGTTGCAAGGTGCGAGATCGATGGGAACGCCGCGGATGGAGTGCAGATTCGGCCGAGAGTGGAAATTCGACCGACGAGCGACCGGGGGCAGGTTCGATGCTGTTTAATCACCCAGAGGAAAAGAGCGTTGGAGGCAGACGTGGGAAGGAACGACGGGTAGAATACCAAGTCCTGCAAGAATGAGAGACAGATGTGCGGGTTTCTGATCTTTGTGCCGGCCGCTAGTGACTGCAGTCCCCTGGAGAGAATATTTGGCTGGTAAGGTAGATCTTAGTCTGGAGCCACAGCCCAGGCGATGCCGCGATGATGACTCCACCCACTCTCCTGGCTCTGGGTCCGTTTCCGAATCGCGGCCGCCTCGCGAAACCGCGGACAGTCTCCAAAAGCACTTTGCCTAGGTACTGCACTGTACTGTACCCGTACGATCAGCGCTTTACCTCATTCGTAGTGGCCGACAATATCCCTTCGTGCGCGATTGCGCTCTGCGACACCGGGCTGGTAGGATTCAATACGAGCTGTCTTCCTTCAAAGTCGTGATCGGCCTTGGGGCYCAACGATGCCGTACCGCTGGAAATAGAGTGTTCGGACGCGGCCACCCGCATATGACGTCCCGCGCGCGAGCACGGACACTGGGAACGCTCGAACGAAGATAAAATCCTGGCTTGGTTCAATATTGTTGGTCTTGGTCCTTGTCCGACTCTCAGGATATCATCTAAACATCTCGCTCACCACCGCCGCACAGTGTCCATGGAGACAGTGCCGCAGAGTTCTGTCACTGGCCACACAGACCTGCCACGTTTCATGTCACGCGCAACAAAGGCATCATTTATCATGCATCTGCATGAGTAGCCGCGACGCTGACAGCTCGTTTTGCAAGCTTCATCCGCGCCGCGGCGGCCAATGACGCCCTGTCTGCTTCTACCCACACTTACGRGCTGCTATTCGTATGGCAAGCAGCATACCTTGGTCCTTGGCAGCCGAAAGGCCGTATCTGTATCTACATCTTGCGTTTCGATCGAATCAGCGATAGTGGTGCCCCTGTCAGTCAGTCAGGCTCGGAAGCAGTTCCTCTGTTTGGTGCCATGCTGAAATGCTGTGGCTCGTGCGTGGTAACGCGCAGGGAGCCATATGGAAGTCTATCAAATTTGTGCTCTCAACACAGACGAAGACCCCAGAGACCCGCGTACAGCTGCCACGTGAGCTCATCAGATTAATTTGCAGTCTCGCAAAGGACATTCTTTCAAGCGCTGTATCTGGACAGCGCAAACCCGACAGCTTGGGCAGGATTCAAGTGCTCGATTGTGCTATGTATGATGCTATCCTTCCAGGGTTACTCATCATTTGGCGGTCTGATGTGCTGCATTTCAACTGCCGAATCGAGAAATGAGCGGCAAGATTGCCTTAACTTCTTCAGTCTCATGTCGCAGCTCTTGGCCGTGCCGTCGAACTTGGGGCAGCCTGGCATTCTCCACCGCGCTAAGGAGCTTCTCTGATACTTTCGCAAGGCCGCCCAATCGCCGGCGGGTTGGCGTTCGGTATACGGCAACTGGTGATTGATCACCTGAGACGTCACGCCGCACGCATGCGGAGGAAGGCGGTGTGGATCGCTGAGTGAAAGCAGGTTTAGTTCACCGATTTGGATGACTTGCATGCTGCTCAGGCATGATCATTGGAGATGAAAGCACCAGATCATTTGAATTATCTTATCGCCTGCCAGGGATGCTCGTTGCCTCGCCCTGTTGACCGCCAAACCACTATGAATTGGGCTCCACGGCAGACCGCCGAGAGGCCGCAATGCCGCAATGCCGCCAGAGCGCAGGGATGCAGCGCACACGCATGGTTTGATGACGGGATGCGTTGGCTAGCACTGACAGTTAATATCCCGACTGCCGCTTCTTGCAAGGGTTGGGCTGGCGAGGAGTGCAGCTTCCATGCACCTCACCCCCTTGCTCCCTGCAATGGAACATTCTTCGATGCATCACAACTTCTGTGAGCAAATTCGAACCGCCGCAGGCATCGTCCGAGGCAGCACGCTCTTGTTTGCGGCATGTGGCTTGGACCTAGGTATTGCATCGCCAGGATAAAATCACACTCACCTGCATGGCAACACGTCAGCAAGCTACCGAAGGACCGGTCAGACTCCTGCACGCAGCACGAGACTGACTTCTATGCATCGCGCCAGAAGCGTCCACTATGGAGACTTCGCCTACACTGTGCGGAKCTCGTGCAGCCTCTCAATCCTTCAACGCTGTGCGAGACGAACAGGAATGCCTTGTTTGAAGCGTTCGCTTTACCATCAGCCGCGTGCCACTACTCAATGCGACACGTGCTAATTCCGATGGGTTCTCTTGATGCCACTTTATTCGGATGTGTTTCCGAGTCGAATCGCCCGCGGCGTGTCATCAAACGCACTCTGTGTTCTCCGCCCGCCTGACACGATTGCTGACGCCGGTTGCAGCTTTCACCAATGTCACAGATGTCGGGCAATCTTGCCGAGCAGCAGCGACTTTGCGTCTCCATTCGCCGACGGGCACCTTGTCACAGAGCAGTTGCGCACAGTCGGTCTTCGGCGGCATGCCGTCGAGCACGTGGAACAGTCTCTCGACCTTCTTCGTCGGGTCGGACAGGTTTGATACTACCGTTTCATTTGGCACTCTGCGACATTCGTTGCTCACCACTAGCATGTACTTACATTTTCAGTTTCAGAATACCTCGCTCGAGATTTCCACCTTGAGTCTTGAGGAAGTGAGGTGCTGTAGAAATGCATCCGCTCATGGATCGGCGTAGAGCCAGCGGATGAGAGCACCGAAAGCCGATCGCGGATCTTCTCATGCTAGTCCTTTGAACTGTCCGGGGCGTTTTGCCCTGCCTCCTCCCCGTGGCTTTGGAAAACGTATGCAGTCGGCCTGGTCGGGTTCAAGCGGCGCACGCTTCTGTACTTTCCGCAAGTGAGCACAGCACTGACCGTACGAGATGGTAATTGGAAGTCGCGTGCCCACGGCAGGTAGAAGCCGCATTCACATTGACATTGCCGCTTTGAGTATTTTCCATGGCTCAATCATCATGGATTCGTCTCCACTCTCAACGGCCCATTCGAATGCGAGAGCAGCTGGGCGGAACAGGTGAAAATCATAAAGTGGTTGTTTTGCAAGTACCACGGTCACTTGTCATGACCAAAAGCGAAATAGCAAAACGGATTACAGCTCGACTGCAGTCTGTACCAGGCCTCCTGATCTATAGCTGGTGCAGTGACGCAAACGGCCCTGCGTCGTGCCATCATTCTTGCATGGTAAGAGAAAAAACATCCAGGGTCTGTGGGCTTCCTGCCTGGGCATGGCTGGGATATTGGACGCCTATTGCTCATCACGGTCAATTCCAGAGGAGAATTCACTCGTTCCCGCCTGGCCACCTGTCGACGCTATGCCGAGCTAAGCAAGATCAGAACAGGAATGCCGGGTACAACAGCACAACGATTTGACAAGACGGCGACAAGGTGACAGCAATGTCTTGGCAGATTTCGGGGCGTCAGTGTCTCTAGCGCGGCCGGCTCTCTTGGTAGACTACTTTGTCAACCAACCTCATGTCAATAGTGACCACATACGGAGAGGGGTTTCCGGACAGGAGTGGTACCCAGATTGCATCGCAATCATCAGAACCGCCCAGTGAGGGGAATGCGGAGCTGCTCATGCGAATTTCATACCTATTCTGGTACAGTCCCGCCTAATATGAGCTCACGCGCCCGATGTACATCAGACAATGTACATCAGACAATCGTGTCACGGACATCCTTTGAGGATGTGAAGACCCTGGACATCTTTGGCACCAAGCAACGGAGCAGCGCAGATGACCCAAGGCGAGTGAATACATTCACCTGTCCAGTGGCAACACAGGCTACGCGATTGCCAGCTCCGCGTACGTCGATCAGGGCTCTTCGTACCGTGCCTCGAACGCCCCTCTTGAAGTACTATGTAGAGCTTCTGAAAGGTGCAGGAAACAGGCTTCCCCGCAAAATCTGCGCATCTCCTGGCATTTTTCTGAAGCTGACGCTGCGCCTTCCCCTCAACATGCTCTCAGATTGCCAGTCGGAACAATCACTATGGGTGCAGCAAACATGGATGAGGGCTCCATCGGACGCATCGGGAAGACAGTATTGTCGCAGCCCGTGACCTGTCATGCAGGGTGTCACGATCATTGCGTCGGCGATTCTCAGCATCTGCTTCTGTTGAGATTTATGATACGGTCTCCGCTATGGTATGGTTATACCAGCACTATGCTTTTGTAGGAAAAGGACTTTGCATTCGGGTTAAGTATGCTTTCTTCCTCAAGAATTTTCGAGTCGAAACACTACGAATCTTTCACGGACATGGGCCATAGTTGAGTATCTCCAAAGCTATAGTGGAGCTTGTTCCCTACCCCGTTGACGCGTCCGTCTTCCATTCTTGTCATCCAGCGTCCTGCAATGCGGAGATGCCAGTCTACGTGTTCCTACGTACCAAACTGACCTGCACACCCCTCTGTCCTGCTCCTGGAGCATGCTCTCCGTGCCTCCGATACCCTTGCGCTTCAAACAGTGCTCGACAGCAGATGCACATCTCCACAAGTCGTATGTCTTAAAGGCAGCTGCCCGCCCGCTGATCAGTAAGTCGGAATGCCTTCTCTCAAGAAAGTTCTTTCCATCCGCGGTCTATACGAAGAGATGTCTGGTATTCACAACGTAGAGAAGTTCGAGAAGGGCGATGGCAGTCTCCGTAGAGAGCTCGCCGAGTGCGGACGCAGACGTGCTACAACTGGACCTTACGCAGACAATCTCGACGTCGATGTCTTGATAGTTGGAGCTGGTTTTGGCGGTACCTTCTTGCTTCATGAGATGCGGAAAGCTGGCCACAATACTGTGCTTTACGAGGCTGGGACTAGCTTCGGTGGGACTTGGAGATTCAACATCTACCCTGTGAGGTTGCTGCTTGTAGTAAATCAGCGCATGAACGACTGATTCGATCACTAGGGCGCGCGCGTTGATAGTGAGGTGCCCATCTATGAGCTGAGCATCCCTGAAGTATGGAAGGACTGGACATGGTACGCCTACAAAGTGGTTCGACTACTCCGCAGATGCTAATCTCTGCATTTCCAAGGTCTACCAATTGTGAGTGGTTCAATGTCGCAGTAAAGATGTGCTGCTGACCACGTCTTCAGACCCCAACTATCAAGAGCTCCAGAATTATTTTGACCATGCCGACAAAGTGCTCAACCTCTCTAAAGATTGTGCGTTTGAGACCGTTGTCACGGGTGCTCAATTTGATGTATGAAGTACTCCTGTGGGATCTACTGAACTTCTGGCTGACTCCGTCTATAGGAGGATGAAGGCAAGTGGACCATCCACACTGCCGATGGCAGAACCGCCAAAGCCAGGTTCTTCATCGTAGCCGCGGGCTTCGCTGCGAAAAGATACATCCCTGATTTCAAGGGACTGGAGAACTTCAAGGGAACCATGTAGGTCTGCCAGTGTCGAGATAATGACCGCTCACACGGATATTAATGGTGTATCTTCTCAGGTACCACTCGTCCTTCTGGCCACCTGAGGGTGTCGATGTTCGAGGCAAGCGCTGCGCTGTCATTGGGACCGGTGCTAGTGGTGTGCAGATCTCCCAGGTGTGTCCATTTGGCATTCACATTTGCGACTTCCTTTCCAGGATACTCACCTCACGATTTCTAGGAGTGGGGTCCAGTTGCAAGTGAACTGAAAGTGTTCCAGCGTACGCCAAATTTGGCCATTCCAGTGAGTTGTCTGATCCATATTTTCGAGGCATACTGATCTGATCGATCGAAGATGGGCAAGCGGGATCTCAGCGTAGAAGAGCAGAACAAGCTGAAACCATTCTACCCCGAGCTCTTCGCCTATCGAGAGCGCTGCTTCGGCGGGTAAGCTTTGATGAGTACAACCCTTCTCAATCTGGATCTTATACTGATCGAGCCATTCAAGCTTCTGCTTCGATCTCGATGAACGATATACCTTTGACGTTGATTCCAAGACGAGAGAGGCGTTCTATGAGCAGTTGTGGACGCACGGCGGCTTTGCGTTCTGGCTCGGCAATTTCGCCGACTACCTCTACGATCAGAAGGCCAACCGAGCAGCGTAAGTGTTCTAAAGGGCAAAAGACATGGCGGGAAGCTCAAAGATATTTCTCAATTGGCTTTGAGCCACAGTAGAATTGCCTTGGACTTGGACCTTGCTGACATCTCTGCCCTCCACCTCTAGATACGACTTTTGGGCCAAGAAGCAGCGAGCACGTATCCACGATGCCAGAAAGCGTGACCTACTCTGCCCTCTGGAGCCACCACATCCTTTCGGCGTGAAGCGTCCCTGCTTGGAGCAGAACTACTACGAGCAGTTCAACCGTCCGAATGTGGACGTCATCGACATTTCCGAGAAGTCGGGCAACTCCATTGCAGAGTTCACGGAGACTGGCATCAAGACCACGGACGGGAAGCACTATGAGTTTGATGTCATCGCCATCGCCACTGGCTTTGATATTACTACGGGAGGAATGACCAACATGGGCTTGAAGAGCGTCAAGGGAACATATCTGAAAGACGAGTGGAAGTAAGTTGAACCATGTAGAATCCTCCTTGGTGCATCATACTAACCACATTACTTCAGACGGGCTGCYTACACGTATCTCGGAACCACGGTCTCAGGATATCCCAATATGTTCCATCTGTACGTCGAAAACCCAAGAAACGTCCGGCATATATACTAACACGCAGCTTGCACAGTTATGGTCCACAAGGCCCCACCCTTCTCAGCAACGGGCCAACGAGCGTTGAAGTCCAAGGTCGCTGGGTCCGCGACGCGATCAACAACATCACACAGCAGAATATCAAATTCATCGATCCGACCGACGAAGCCAGCAAGGAGTGGAAGAAGCGTATCAACGCTTTGTCTGATTGCTCGCTGTTTCCTACAACCAAATCAACATACATGGGTAAGATACCGAAAGACACAAGGCATACAGGGTAGTTCGAAGGCGTCTCGAGCTACGCTATGTCCCTATCCACGTCTAGATCATCTCAGATGATGCTAACTCTTTTACTCTTCGCTCTGCAGGTGGATCTCTTYCCGGGAAAGCGTTTGAACAGACCTGCTACGCTGGAGGACTTGCCAAGTACAAGGAGGAGATCCGTGCTACCCTTCCAGGCTGGACGGGTTTCAGAGTGGTTCAAAACGATACTAACAGTGTCAAGCCTGGTAAGCAGGTTGAAGTTTCTGCTTGAAGCTTGCCGTGTGTGAGGACTGCGTTGAATGAGCTGATGCTGAGATATCAAAATTGCTGGAAGGAGACTTTTATGTGGGAAGTTGGACCGCGACGTTCTGCGTATCTCGAAATGAAATCAATATGTCTTGATAATATGCGGATGCGTCTCCATGATTGCTAATATTCATTCCCAGCACAGCCAGCCACACGTAGCGCTTCTCTCCATCGTTCCACCTCATTGTCCACCTCATCAGAAAGTCATTCCTGTCACTCCTCTCATTTACCTCGGCCCTGCTTCGTCTTGGTCAGGCCGTCGCCTGGAAGCACCAGCTGAAATTCATCAGAGTCTGGGTCAAAGTCTGCTTTGATGATTGCGGTGGAGAACAATTTCGTATCATATACGGTGCGGCCGTATTCGGCAAGGAGTGTTTGTGCATCAAGATCTTTGGTGATATCAGTGCCGAACAGGATCGTGTTCGCCTTGTCGGGCATTAGTTCGCCGCCTTTGTTTGCATCGCCATGCTCCACCATCGCGGCGCCTGCTTCAAAGGCGATGAGTTTGACAACATCGAATTCTYCCTTGTAGCTTTTGGCAGCAGACGTGGTGAAGAATAGCGTCTTCCTCTTCCAGATGAGTCGTCTGTCGTTCGATTTGATATCACTCCCTTGCAGATCGGCATGTAGGTAGTCAGAAGGGTCAAGAAGCTCCGAATTTTCCTTCGAGTCCGTTACCCACTGATCAGAGACCACTGGCTTGTTTGCAATCAGAGAACGAAGTACTTTGAAAGTGGCTGGTAGATCTGTGTCTCGAACAACGCACACAAAATTTGCTTTGCGGCCAGGTACGTCGTCGACAATGGCAGTTTGCCTCTTGAGCCAACCTCTCTCACCAGGGCTGAGTCTACTACCGGAGAGCAGGACCTTCTTAGGTGCCTTGACACTTGACAATCTCGATGAAGATGAGGGCGGAGCTGGTGTCGCTGGAGTCTTGCCCGTACTTTGAGCACGTGTCGGCTGCGAGATCGCTTGAGTAGCTGGGCGCGATGGTTTCTTGAGCTTCTTGATGTTGGGCTCCGACGTGACTATCACGTCCAGGGAGCTTTCGTCTTGCTTTGCCGCTTTGAACAGGCGAATGTCTGCGTCTTCCTCACCAGGCTCTCTCTGTGCTTCTAATCGTCTTTTTCTGAGAGCCGGCATCGGTGTGGCCTCGGGCCTGGATGCTTCATCACCGTCACTGCTCATATCTTCGGTCGCACCGCCACTTTGGACATCTTCCTCCAGCGCGACAACGTCGGCATGTTCACCCACGGGCAGAGAAGGCATCCTCAAGGACCTCGCTACCGCCTCGGTGACCACAAAAGAGGTGGATACGCGTGTCGGGCTGTTTTGAACAGATTCTGGAATCGTCGAGGCTGTACTGTGATCGTGATTGAGTTTAGGGCCGCATTTACGCGACTTGCCATATGTCTTCTGTGGTGTTTGCTTGGCTGGAAGGAAACTCGAGATGCCGTCTTGAGATTCTTCCTCTTGCTTTGACAAGCTGCGCTCTGCATCTTCAATCATGGTAGTCATGGCCGTGAGCGCTGATGGAGAAATCGCTTCCACAGCCCTGACCGTTTCGTCGATGTCCTCGTCCGACTCCGTCTCGCTATCCTCGTGTAGCTGCAATACCGGGTCGGACTTTGATGGTATCAGCTCGTCGTGGTTCATCGAGATCTTCGCGTTCTCCTCTTCCTTGTCGGCCTCGTCCTCCTGGACGGCCTCGCGCTGCTGAGACCTCTCGCTACCTTCTTCCATCTTGAGCGCCGGTGGCGTGACCGCTTCTGCTTTGGGCTCGGCCTTTGTACCGTGAGACAAGACGACTTTGACGTGGTACTGCTGGATGTCAGTCGCAGCGAAGGTGGGATGGGTTGCTTCTACCAACTTTCTTAAAGTCCAGGACGAGTCCGGCCGTCAACAGCACAAAGCAGTGCAGAGGTAGTGGGAAAGTGTTGAGGTCGTTGTAGCCAACAGGTTGAGGAGGCGCTTCAACAATGACGTTCTCCACTCTGGTCCGAAGTCGCGCAGGATCTAGTCGGTGTCAGTGCAAGTGAATGAGATGGAGCGGAGATCTACATTGAGGCACCGTACCTCGGAAAAGCTCCGCGAGGATGGTGTTTGAGATGTCGTTTTGTTCGCAATGGTCTGCGTCTTCTGTGGATAGCAGAGAAAGACTGCCGTCCGTTCGTGAGCACAAAAGCAGAGGGACAATGTCATCGCCTTGGCTGGCGTGTCTAGCAGGCAGCGGCAGGTCGATAACTGCTTGTGAGATAAGTCCGTAAGATACTCGGAGCGAGTGGATGGCGCCGGACATGTTCATTCTGACCAGCCAGAGCGCTGTATGTCAGAGGTGGAAGGGAAAGAAGAAGAAGAAGAAGGAGAAGCAGAAGAAGACGCACGGGAAGGTGAAGTGCGAGTGCCTTCTTCATCGGCCATGCAAACCACTCACCGCTGTACCTACCCAATCAGGATGACAGTCTGTACCCCTTGATCTGAGACATGCGCTGCAAGTTCAGCGTGTACCTTGCTACCTCTCATTACGCTGCTCCGCCAGGGAAGATGGAGTGTGAGAGTAGGAGCAGCGTTCACAGCCAATGAACGGCCACCGGACTCATCTCCGCCATACCACTTTCGGTCCACCACAGTGCATGCCACTATGGCCCCTCCATTCTCATCACCAATGCTACACTCCGACACGGCAGATGTCATTGGCAGATGCCTTCAAGCCACGCTGTTGCAGCTGTTCGCTCTCACTTTGCCCGTCCAAGCGAAATTTTCACTCCTGTCTTTCATCGATTTTCGCCGTGGTTCCGAGAACAATACTAAGAAAATGCCTGAGACATATGCATGTCGCTCGCTCATCTCCAAGCACCGCCATGAGGTCGAACACGGCTATCAGGACTCTTGGGCTCTTCTCAATATGGCCTTCCATATGCGTATCCATAATTAACACTGTTTTTCGCATCGTGATGCTTTCGTGGCGTTTCCGCATCGAGAAATCCAGACTCCTTTCATGCAATTTCGTGGATATCTCGCCTTCACTCCCACTTTTCCCCACCCTTTTTTCTCTCATATTGTGAACACACGGCTTCACGGACAATCGTAAGAGAACCATTTCTGCTGGTATTKTCTCAGGCCCTTCCAGGGCCTACAAGAACCACATCTTTTGCGTCCTCCATCCAACCGTCCATCTCTTTCTTTCATCCAACTTGATCGAATCCACTCGAACCAGCTTCCCTCCACAGCCTCGACCGATCCCTCCAGCTTCGATTCACGTCCATCACTTCCTTCAAGCAAACGCTCCCTCTGCCAGTCCTCGATCGGCACCGACAACACCCATCAAAGGGATCAGAGCAGCAATAGCAGCATCCGCCACCATGTCAGAGGCAGTACCCGCCGCCTTCTATGCGGCCAACTCCTCTTTCGACACCAAGACCCAGCCCTTCCAGCTCACATACCCCGATGGTGTCAATCAATTCACCACAACACTGGACGAGCTCACTCAACTCCAGCAACTTGCTGTGCGGTCCGGCATCGTCTTTGGCATCCAGCTTGGAGTCTGCGCGATTCTCATCCTCATCCTCGCTCTGCTCACCAAGCCTGAGAAGCGACGAAGCGTCATCTTCATCCTCAATCAATCCGCTCTGGTCTGTATATTCATCCGCGCCATCCTCATGTGCCTGCAGATCCTGGGCCCATTTTATGACTTCTACAACTACACCCTCATATACTACCCCAACGTCGCAGACACGACACGCGTTGCTGTCACGGGTGAGGTCTTTGGCTTCCTCACTACCGTGGCGGTGGAGCTGTCCCTGATGTTCCAGGTCCGTGTTGTCTGCTGCACGCTCCGAGCGCTGTGGCGCAACATCATCACCACCGTCTGCGTCCTGGTGGCCCTGCTCGTCTGCAGCTTCCGGTTCGCCCTCATGGTTCTCAACGCCAATTACAACCTCGTCCACTTCGACACCCAGACCGAGGAGGAATTCCAAATGATCAGCGATTGGGCTTCTCGAACCAACATCTGCACTGTCGGCAGCATCATCTTCTTCAGCATCGTCTTCTGCGCTAAGTTGGGCCACGCCATCCACCACCGTCGAAAGATGGGAATGAAGCAGTTCGGTCCCATGCAGATAATATTTGTGATGGGCTGCCAGACCATGTTCGTTCCAGGTAAGTGTCTGACTCCCKGCACATTGCCATGACTCTTACTGACTTGCTTTCCTCTCTAGCAATCTTCGGCATTATCGTGTACTACGCCCTGTATAGCACACAATTGAGCAGCATCATGCCACTCGTGGTCGCCACCTTCCTCCCACTTTCCAGMATGTGGGCATCTACCAACCCCAGCAACGTCAACATCGCCGCCATTCGCAAGCCCATGGCGTACAAGCCAAGCATGGTCCCGACCACGAACAACAGCAGCTACTCCGCGGAGAAGGAGTACCTGACGACCACTTTCAATTCTCAAGGCACACTGGTCAACGAGACCCAGGAGCAGGCTTTGAATCCGAAGAAGATGGGCGCTCATGCATCGGCYAGGAGGGACAGCATCGACGTCGAGCTGGGGAGGATGGGCCATGATATCATCGTGGACCGTACCTTCAGCGTCAGGAACAACTCCGGGTAGATGTCGGTGTGGTGACGTGTGAAGATATAGGTGACAGCTGAATATCAGCGGATTTGAGGGGCGCCGGCAGGAGCTTGTTCGAAGATCACAGCGGGAAACGGTAGCTGTAATTTCTCTTTACATCGGGCCTGTCTTTATTGGATCGCGGTTTGCTCTGCTTCGATGCGTTTCGCGAATTGGCATACCAGATTGAGGTCTTGAGGAGCTTTGGCAGAAGTACGAAAGATAGCTTTGGCAATCCATATCAGATGCGCCTCGACATCTACGACGCTGAAACTGATCAAGTGACGAAATCTGTGATGTACGTGAGWAGCTGCGAGAAGCTGTATACCAGTCGGAAGCTCGTTAGAGCAGTTGGTCTAGAACTGCCATGGGTATCGTTCGAGCTCCAAACGCCATATAGCACGCAGAGAACAGAAGAACTTCCCACGAGTCCTTAGCCTGGCCCGATGCGCGGCATGTCATTGTGCTCGCTGAGGGTGGAGAGGTACTTGTTCAACTGCTGCACACGCTCTTTGTGGGTCTGTACGCCTTCGCGCTTGAGTCGTTCGTCGAGCTGAGGAATAGTCAGTCTCGCGTGTCCAGCAATGTAAAGTTGAGAAGCCAAACTCGCCCTCTTCTTCCTCCGCTCCTCGTGCCGCCTTTGTGCCTCAGTCTTCCCGAACGTGTTCACTTCCGACTCTTGAGGCTTCTCGACTTCACCCTCCTCCTCCGCCAGCGCTTTTTGCAATGCGCTCGACTCGTTCTCCGCTGCTGAACCGGCACCGTCTTCCTTGCTCTTGTTTTCAGCTGGAGGCTTGGGTTTCGACTTCTTCTTTTTCTTCTTGTCCACGCCGGCTCCCTTGAGCTTCAGGCCGCCGCCAATAGCCGAGCTATAATCTGAGGACGGCATTATTGGGAATGTAAGGTAGTCGGTAGCAGTGTGATGGTCAAGTCAAGGTTTCGCGATCGGACGTTGGAGATGCAGATCTTCAAGGGCCAATGACGCTGTTGGAGATGGAGATGACTTCACGCCCCCCTGGCCATTGAGCTCCCATTCTTCTGGGCATCAACTATGCGGACACCCAAAATTTCCAATGTAGCCAGTGTGTTAACGCCGGGCACTCGATCGTCCGCACGGCGTTCAATCAGGAAATTCAGTTATGCACCACAAAGTGACAACGATGACAGCGACAACCAAGATGCCTCCGACAGTGATGTTTCCACGCCGCCTATATCGGAATCGGAATCGGAACGGGAGTCCGCGGAGGAAGTGACCAAAGCAGAACGGGGGAACAAGAGGAAGCGCGAGGCAACAGACACTCCAGCGACGACAACAAGCGGTAGCGGCGAGACGAGACAGTTGAAACGATCGTCTCGGAAGGCACCCAAATTGGAGAAGCAGAAGATCAAACTGGAGGAGAACGGGACTCCCAAAGCCAAAGTCAAGCGACAACCTGCAAAGAAGATCAAGACTGAAGATGGCGCCGTCACTCTCGACCCGCCACCCAATTGGGAGGAAATATGGAACATCACCGCAGAAATGCGAAAGCGTGTGCTCGCTCCAGTCGACACCATGGGATGTGAAAACCTGGCCGAGGACCATCGATCACCACGGGATCAGCGATTACAGACTCTCATTGCACTGATGTTGTCCAGTCAGACGAAGGATACAGTCACCGCCGTAGCGATGAAGAACCTACAAAAGGGACTCTCAGGCGGGTTCAATCTAGAAGCTTTGCTAGCAGTGGAGCCCGAGGAGCTGAATAGAATGATTGGATCAGTTGGGTTTCACAACAATAAGACAAAGTACATCAAAGCTACGGCCTTGATTTTGAAGGAGAAGTTCGAGGGTGAGATTCCAGACACCATTGAGGGATTGATATCGCTACCCGGCGTGGGACCTAAGATGGCATATTTGACCATGTCGTCCGCGTGGGGAAGGGATGAAGGAATCGGTGTTGATGTACACGTACACCGCATAACGAACTTGTGGAAGTGGAACAAGACGAACACGCCGGAGCAGACCAGAGCCGCACTGGAGTCGTGGTTGCCGCGAGAACGGTGGCATTCGATCAATCATATGCTTGTAGGACTGGGACAGACGATATGTCTTCCAGTTGGAAGGAAATGTGGCGAATGTGACCTCAATACTCGCAAGCTCTGCCCTAGCGCGGTCGCTGGGAGTCCGAAGAAGAAGAAGGTGGTCAAGAAGGAAAACGAAGTCAGTCTTGAGGATGAGCCGCCTGTCAAAGCCGAAGAAGTCATTGTTGAAAAGGACGACCTTAGTGCAACAGTGCAGGTCAAATCAGAAGACATTGGTAATGTCATTCTACAAGGTGTTCCTGACATTGAGGATTTTGCGCGCAGTTAGAGGAGCAGCCGAAGACCTTGTTAATACATCGTCTATGCTTCTACTGCTGTATTACAAGTAGATGGTCGAAACCCAGCTTTCCACGACAAGCCTTGTCGAATTATCCCGGCCTTCATCTTTCAACCGCGACCAAACATCAAAGACATGTAAGCCGTTCCATGTACATTTTTGGATACGGAAGGGAATAGGGTAGACGATATCGTGACCCCACTTTGGATTGTCACTTAAATCAGGACATCATCGACCATTGCATCAGGTTGGTAGCTCCGAAGCAACCAGACTGTGGTTTTGATCAGTCACCATCTCGCCAACATGCGAGACCACCGCTACCAGATTCCGTGCATTGAGCCCGACCACCGCCGGGTTGACTCGGCCATCCGGCGGAGGCAGACCGCACCCCCCTCTACATCACCACCGCTGGAAGCGGCGGTGATCCTCGTGGCGGCCTTTCCAGTATCCTACAGCTGATTGGGATCAAACGACAGATCTTAGGTCTACCGCTGGTTTTGCCTTTTGCTGACCTCCCATCATCACTGGATCACTCCAACTTTGCACCTCCCCGGGATAATTGAGAAGGAGCCAGCCATCTTCCATCCTATGGTTTCTCGGAGGTCTCGCTACCGTCGCTTGTGTCTGCATAGCTCCGGGCTTCCTCTCGACTTTCTCGGTACTTCTGCTGATCCGCTTTTGCGTTTTTGGAAGCGTCAATCTGAAGCTCTCCCGTTCCAACCTTGGAGGCACTCTGACTGATACTAGCCATCCTTTCCCTTCCCCCACTGTATACCATCGGTACGTCCTGGGGGTGTGGTTCTTCTTCGTGCGGTTTGTCGCAGCCAATGGGTGTCCGGCATTGCTTCTGACTCTCCAGGCTGGCGGTCCTCCAGATGACCTCTCTGACCTCTTTTCCCACCTTTTCGATGGCGTCCATTGCCCAGATTACATCAAGGTGTTCGTATCCCTCGATGATTTTCTGATGGACGATATTGACGTGTGGCTCACGTCCTCGCTCGAAACGACGAAGAAGTCTTCGTCCGTCTACCAAGTCATCGGCTCCGGCGACCCAAAGAGCCAGCGGAGGGAACCGATCATCATACCACGCAAATCTGCCCCGCTTGTTTTGAAATTGGTGTATCGCGATGCTTCCGCGACGGTACGCAGTCAAGCTCCTTTGCAGTTTCTCCCGCTCTGACAGGTGTGGCTCCTTATCTGCGTAGTACGCCCGAAGAGCAGCATCATCCTCCTCATCCTCCTCGTCTTCAATCTGCCCTTCCTCTCTGGTGGAGAGAATGCACTTCTGCTTAGCAAAGCCGGTCCTTCCCAGCCACCATGCCATGCTCTCTGCAGACACATATGAAGGTGCCCACTGAAACATGCGATTGCGGATATCTCGATCCCATCGACTGTCTGACCATGAGAACAAGAACGAGAACACGTGATAGCCCATCCACGAGAATGGTCTGCCCGGTAAGACTGTATGAGCGAACCCCATGATCGGAATGAAAGCGTGAATGCCGAAAATCAGCCGGAACATACCAGGACTGATGAGCTGCATGAAGCGAAAGTATGCCTTCTTGATCAACGGGCCCGAATATGCGGCCGGCGCCAGAGCACAGAACACGCTGATCTTCTCGCCAATCTCCGGCCTCTGTTCTTTAGCAAGAGCAACAAGTGTCTGCGTGGTACCCTGGCTGTGTGCTATCAGTCCTAGCTTGGGGAAGCCCGTCTCGGCAAGCACTCGACTGATGAGAGCCGGAAGATCCATCACCCCCATTTGGCGTACATTCCACGCCCAGAATCGAGGATCCTCATACTGAAGAGAAGTGTGCTTCGGGTCAAAGCCGCATCGATTGTTGCCGAGCCACACATCGTAGCCGGATTTTGCAAGGTAGAAAGCAAGACTGTCGTCGTCGTTTGCGCAGTAAGCACCGGCGGACTGCAGGAGTCCATGCATCATCAAAACGGGATACTTCTTCCTGCCTTCTGGGAATGCTCGGGAAGTCTCGGCGTAGCAAGGTGAGGATACAGACGTCTGGAAGATATCGGGAGATCGTATCTCGCGAGACGACTGAGGAGGTCTCACATACTCTCTTGGGTTGTAGATATGCCAGAGCTCGATAATGAACCCATCTTCAGTCTGCACATCAAAGCACTCTGCATCCAACCCCACGCGACGGGCATAGTAAGCCATGTCGACGCACAGTGGGTCCGGGCCTCCTTCTGTTGGGATGAATTGGCCATCTTGCGGTAAGTCTTGTTTTTCGCCAGAAGGCGCCTGAGCATTGAGATGTTTCTTTGTCTGCACCCATTCCTTTTCTGCCGCTTTGCGTTCCTGCCGCCGTCTCAGTTCTTCTGCATGGAATGGGCGATTTTTACCCGAGACTTGAAGCTTTGTGGGGTGAAGAAGCTTGGRGAGACCTGTGAAAACTGCTCCCAAGACGATGACAATCAGGAAGCACAGCGACAGCACTGAAGAGACCACACGAAAGAACCAGCATTGCAAGGATCTCAACCGTGTCGGTGGACCATAGACGGGCAAGTCTGGAAACAGCGGGTTCGTGCGTGACTTTGGAATGGCGTGCCTCAACGGAGCGTCTGCTTCTTCGCTCTGTTTCTCCGAGCCAGGCCTCGCGATTCTTGCACCGTACCTGGAGCCATCTTTGCCCTCCCGCAGCGCGGACTGTGGTGGGTAGAAGGACTCATGGCCCTCCACTGAGTTTTTGAGTTTGTTGAGTTTAACTGCCTCTGCTACAGGTATGACTGGTAGGCGCTGTCCTTGGACCGTCTCAATCACAGGATCCAAGGGCGTGATAAACTTGGCTTCTGCGGCCTGAGTAGATCCAGTTGAGAAATCCTCCTGGTCAGGATTTAGGAGTGGCAACTTTCGAGACTGACGTTCAAACTCGACATGGAGACTCTCACTGCGGCGTTCCCGCATACTACAGTCAGATACTATTCCGGGTCCGGATCGCAGCAGGAAGGAATGCGAAGTTGCATGTGAAGACGGAAGGATAATAAGAAGAGAGCCGAGAAGTGGGAACGCGACCACCTTTATTCGTGGCTGAGTCAGGCATTAATTTCTAGACAGTGCAGGGTAAGGCAGGTGGATAAGTGAGGTAGGTGTCGTGGTGGTGCTTGTATTCTAGTCTCCAAGCCGACCTCCGACCTCAATGAACATTGCCATGCAATTTCGTCTCATCCATGACGAAACGCCTTGCCATTCATGTTCCTGCGGGTGCACGTGGCGTAGCGAGCCCTGCTAGCGGAAGGGGAGGATGGGGATCAAGCCAGCTTGGTTATCATGATGATGATGAAAGGAGAGACGTCGTGTTTCCGGAGCGTGGTCGGAATGGAAACATTGGTTCTGCCCACATGCACTCTTGGTTGACACCCCGGCCTCGCTCGGCTTTAGAAGCTCTCCATGTCGCTGCTAAGGTACTTACCTCCAAAAGTGCTCCGCAGCGAGCTTTCCAAAACTCTGTGTGCGGACCAACCTCACCTGATCCTTCCAGTAGCTTCGTAATGTCATGTTCTGATGAGAGACGTACCCACTGCCTGAAAAGTATGTATGTAGATGCAGATTGCAAGCTTTCATTCCATCAACGCTCCAACGTCGGAGCCATCAATTCCCCATCAAATTAGTGGACCGAGGTTGGTCGGCAAACTTAGCTTACGGCGATCTATACCGCACGTAGGCGTCGGGAGTTCCAGTGCTGCTCTGCTGCTCTTGCATGGGCGGCTCTTGAGCTCGGGGAGTACAGCACGCGTCTTTCGACTCCCTCACCGCCAACAGTAATCATGGCCCACAAAAGTCCGCCGCCGCCGGACTCGGGCTCGGGCTCGTTGAAGCGCAAGAGGAGACGGCGCGAGGACAAGCCCGCCATTTCCGCCCGTCTGTACCTCGACAGCAACTTCAAGGGCGAGGTGGGCGTGCTCTCCGAGGATCTGGTCCTCGATCTATTCCCGGACGCGACGTCGACCTCTGCGATAGCCCTGCACGCTGCTCTCACGCCATGGGCTCCCAATCCCTCGCCTGCTGACTCCCACTGGACGGTCCTGCCCTTTCGAGGCCAGACTGCCAACGAGAAGCCTCTGCCTGCATCTACAATTCGATTTCCGGCATCCGCACAGGGTACACAGAGCTTTGTCCGCCTCGTTCAGCTGCTCTCGCCCACCAAGACGCTACGTCAGAACAGCGCCATTGAGGTTCGAATCAGCGATGTGGTCCCGCTCCCCCTCGATACAGTATTCGTTGCCGTCGACACCGAAGCTCTACAGAAGCTCGACGAGGCCGTTAAGAGATATGGTGGTGGATCAGCGAGCAATGCGATCCAGGCCGCTCGCAGGCCGGGCAAGAGAGCGGTTGCAGATGGACAGGAAGATGGCGTATCTGCGGAGATCGATGTGAGGGTCAAGTCGTTGGTCAATGAGGCATTGGGATATGCACAAGTGGTGCACACAGAGGATTTTCTCCCTATTCCTCTGGCTCACCCAGTCACCCACACATCAGCACAGCCCGTGAAGATTCTGGCTTGCGAACCCGTCTCCCAGGGCATCATCACACCGAAGACCAACATCGTAGTTGTGCCTACGTCAGACAAGAAACAAAAGCCATACACTAGCAAGTCTATGCTATCGCCTCGTCTTGATGAGGATTCTGGGGAGGAAGATACTGCGAATGAGGCTTTCTTCTCTGCCACGGAGGAGGCTTCCCCGGTCAAACCAGTTGTGACCTCCAAATCTGCCACCGACATGTCTAATACCGACGATTTCTTGGACTCCAGCGCTGAAGACAGCAACCTCTCAGACGATTCAGACGACATGATTTCTCTTGCTAAGCCCGGTCTTGCCGACATGCCTTCCGGATTGAGCTCTGCTCTCACGTCTGCTACGCCGCGACCTTTTGGATCACGAACGCATGGCATTAGTACGCCGGGATCTGTTTTTTCCAACATGACGTCCACCACGATCCGCGGTGGTCAGGCAGTGCGCAGCAAGGTGTTTCGGGCTCAGGGCCTGTATGAACGCATCCGCAGCGAGATGCTCCACCCCAAGCCCGCCAGTGATGAGGACGAAGAAGCAAGAGTGTATGTCGACTCGGCAGCGTTGGCTCGACTGGGATGCTTCAGCGGCGATTGGGTCAAAATTGAAGCTGCAGAACACCACATGTTGCCTCTCATGAGTGCCTTTGGAAATTTGGACGACTCTGCACTTCCGCCGTGGCGACCTGTCAAGGTCTACACGCTGCCAGAAAGCATGTCTAAACGTCCGCCGAGGTATCAGGTCTTCTCCAGTCGCAATCGGAGGGACAGCATCTCATCACTGGCTACCAACTCTACAGCAGCGGCCACCATCTACCTTTCGCCCATATTGCTTGCCAATCTGCAGAATCCCGCCAACATCAGCATGTCTCCCATGCCAAAGAACAAGAAACCGAGCTTGAAAAGACCAATGACTCCGAGGCCAACGTCCGTGTCCGCACCGCTCCCTCCCACGGCCTCGGAGGTGACTCTGAGAAAGATTGTCACCCCGATATCTACCGAGCGATCCCTGAACAACACTCTGTTTGCAAACTTGAAGCAGTATTTCGAGGATAAGCAAAGAATTGTCAAACCTGGCGACGTTATTGCGATTCAGGTCGACGAGTCGCTGGGTAGGTCAATCTACGAAGGCGAAGTGGAGCAAGATGGCAGCAATGCTGGTGCTCTGTTATCATTCATGGGAGCGGAAAGCACAGCTCGCGAAAGTCATGCTGCGATRAATGTTGCATGGTTCCTGATTGAAGACATCAACGTAACACCGTCGGAGGAGTTCGACGCTCCTGACGCTGACACATGGGGAGATGCTGCGTTGATTGACCCTACCAAGATGACCATGCGTCAATCCGGCGACGACAGGCGTAAATTACCCGCCGCGTCAAGCAATACATGGCAATACTATCTCGGCGTGAGAAAAATGCAAGCAAAACCAATATCCGCAAGCGCAGCAACTGGAATGCCAGAAGCGGCTCGCCCATACATTTCCCCACTACAGCGACGTCTTCGGGAGTTGGTGTCCGTCTCAATCAGTCCGCGTGCAGTCAAGCTGGGAATGCCGCCGCTGACGGTCCTTGTGACCTCCACCCAGCGGAACATTGGAAAAGCGCGCACGGTCCAGCGAGCATGCTCAGATCTGGGCATTCACTTTTTCCCAATCAACGCACACGACATAGCGTCTGAGGGCGGAGCTGGCTTTGACGTCCAGGCGCAAGGCCTTCTCGCGGCGCGATGCGAGCGAGCAATGGATTGCGGCTCGGATTTCACCGCGATTTGCATCACACATTTAGAGGTGTTGAATGCGGATCGCGCTGCTGCGTCACTTAAAGAGGTGTYGGAAACTTGCCGAGTCTTGATTGCCACGACTACTGATATTGACAAGGTGCCCGATTCCGTTCGTGGACTATTCACACATGAATTGGAAATGTCGGCACCTGATGAGGGCGAAAGAGAAGGAATACTTCGTGATATCGTTACGGAATCCGGAGTTCCACTCGCACTGGATGTCGATCTTGGCTCTATTGCAGTCAAGACGGCAGCCTTGGTTGCTGGCGACCTGGTGGACGTGGTGGATCGTGCCATTGTTGCAAAAGATGAGAGATTGGAGAATCTTGCCTTGGCCAAGTCTGGAGATGTGAAAGGCGCCATAACTGTCAAGGACATCCAACTTTCAGGAGGACCAGCGGCCACCTCGGTTGTTCCGGCAGATTTTGACGCTGCTGTCGACCTTGCCCGCAAGAACTTTGCAGATGCTATTGGCGCGCCCAAGATCCCAAACGTGCAATGGTCAGATGTCGGTGGCCTGACGAACGTCAAAGACGCTGTCATCGAGACCATTCAGCTTCCACTGTCCAGACCAGAGCTATTCGCAAAGGGTTTGAAGAAGCGCAGCGGTATCCTCTTCTACGGTCCTCCGGGTACTGGAAAGACATTGCTTGCCAAGGCCATCGCTACAGAGTTCAGCTTGAACTTCTTCTCCGTCAAGGGACCGGAGCTTCTCAACATGTACATTGGAGAATCTGAAGCAAACGTCCGTCGTGTTTTCCAGCGAGCCCGAGATGCGAGACCTTGCGCAGTCTTCTTCGATGAGCTCGACTCTGTCGCACCCAAACGAGGCAATCAGGGCGATAGTGGTGGTGTGATGGATAGAATTGTTTCTCAATTGCTTGCCGAGCTCGATGGCATGAGTGATGGAGATGAGAATGGCGGAGGGGTTTTCGTCATTGGCGCCACTAACCGTCCCGATCTCCTTGACCAGGCTCTGCTCAGACCCGGACGCTTCGACAAGATGCTGTATCTGGGTATCAGCGACACGCATGAAAAGCAGGCGACAATCTTGCAGGCTTTGACGAGAAAGTGTGTATCATCTTATCCATCCACGTCGCGCTATAATACTAACGATACGCCAGATTCACACTTGATCCATCAGTCTCGCTCACGCGTGTTGCCGAGAAGCTTCCATTCACCTTCACTGGAGCCGATCTATATGCCCTCTGCTCAGATGCAATGCTAAAAGCTGTCACTCGATCTGCTCGAGCAGTTGACGAAAAGGTCAATGCCATCAACACAGAGCGCGCCTCGCGTGGTCAGAGCAAGATCTCAGTCGCGTACTATTTCGATCATTATGGCTCGGACGATGACTCGGATGTTATGGTCACGGAAGAGGACTTCTACCGCGCCAAGGACGATCTGGTGCCAAGCGTCAGTGTTGATGAGTTAAGACACTACGAGCACGTACGAAACACTTTCGAGGGCGCGGCGAAGAGTCACGAGGAGGTTAAAGAGGTGCCCGAGGAAGCTTCCGCCCGCGAAAGCATTTCCACGCGGGACAGGGCATCCACGCAGGATAGTACCTCCACGAGGGACAGTATCTCCACGCGTCCGGAGGAGGGTCCTGTTGCATTGGTGCGAAATTCTAACAGGACAGAGAAGACGGATCAAAATGGCTCGGGCCTCCGCTCGAGAGCTATGGAGGCGCTGAAACGGGCGGCGAAGAGTAAGAGTGGCGGTACCAATGGCAATGAGCGCCATATGCATGCAAATCCAGTACAAGCCCCCGTCAGGGATGGGGATGGGGAGGACTATGTGATACGCACCGAGCGGCTTTCACTCAATCGCGAACCGGAAAGGCCGTCTTCGAGCAGGGGAAAGGGAAAGGGGAAAGGTAAAAATCGGGATGTGGAAGAAAATTCTGCTGCTGGAGGCCCGGTACAGGACGGTTACACCAACGGGGGGCAGGGCGAGGATTTGTATGATTAACGGAAGCTTGAAGGAGAGGGTGTTGCATGAACCAAATGTCTTWAATCAAACAGTCAATGGCACATTGCTTCGCATGTCACTCACAATTCGCTCCGTGAATATGCAACATTCGTCTCTCGCTCGGATTTCGTTCCACGCTGATGGTATTCAAGTCCTGATCGTTGGTCATACACCCATTGTGAGCTTGCAGTACCTGGTCGCTGCTCTTCCAGCGCTTGGCAAGGATTTCTCAATGCCATCAGAACCTTCTGCTTGTCGATTTCGGAAGAAATGGTACCCTCGCGTCTCGCGCTTTCGCTGTAGAGTTATGCCCGTATGTGCGGAGGGATCCATGAGCACAATGCACAAAACAATCCACGTAGTTCACCGGCAACGTCTTTCGGCTGTGTTGATGTGTCTTTTGATAGTACCGTCTTGCCCAGCCGCAGCCAATCATGCGAGACAACTCCGAGCTTATCCACGACTCTCCGCCAGGGTCGTCGTCAATGTGCGGGGGGGCATGGCTGGCGCCTTTCACAAAACAACTCTGTTTTTGTCGGCGCCATTCATCGGATTGGTGGGTCGCATGGTATAAGTAACAAGCCGAGTCCCTCATTCCTGTGCTCGCGTGGCTTACCTACCGTCTCTGAACTCCCCGGATTGATTGACAGGCACCCCAAGATGTTCCTCTCCGTGCTGCTCACACCGTGGGCGCTCTTGGCGTTACCGTTGCTCTTCTACGTCCTCCCATTCATCCGCAACTGGTCCATTCAAGATGTCCCTGGTCCCATCCTGGCCAAGTTTACCAACTTATGGTACATGTACGAATGCCGGCGTTGCCGACGGTATCTCACCGTACACAAGCTGCATGAGAAGTACGGCAAATTCGTGCGCGTCCAACCAGATCATATTTCCATCGCGGATCCAGAGGCTATCCCAATCGTGTATGGCCATGGTACAGGAACCTTGAAGTCCCAGTACTATGATGCATTTGTCTCTATCCAGCGTGGGCTCTTCAACACGAGAGATCGTCATGAGCACACCCGCAAACGAAAGACGGTTTCTCATACCTTCAGCGCCAAGAGTGTGGGCCAGTTTGAGCAATACATTCACCACAACCTGGAGCTTCTGGCCACGAGATGGGACGAACTCAGCGAGAAGAGCCAAGGAAAGTACGCCACATTTGATGCTCTTCACTGGTTCAACTATGTTGCATTCGATATCATCGGAGATTTGGCCTTTGGCGCACCGTTCGGAATGTTGGAGAAGGGGGCAGACATCGCAGAGGTCCGATTAGATCCAAATGGTCCTGCGACTTACGCCCCTGCGATTGAAGTGTTGAACCGAAGAGGAGAAGTCTCGAACGCTGTGGGTTGCTGGCCTGCGATCAAGCCGTATGCAAAGTACCTCCCGGACCCCTTCTTCAGCAAAGGCATGGCAGCCATTGCCAATCTTGCCGGAATCGCAACTGCTCGTGTAAATGCACGGCTTGCGGCTGCAGAGAATGGAGAAATCACACGTGTTGATCTGCTTGCGAGATTGATGGAAGGCAAGGATGAGAATGGCCAGAAGTTGGGTCGCGCAGAGTTGACTGCAGAGGCACTCACTCAGCTCATCGCCGGATCCGACACCACCTCTAACACTTCCTGTGCGCTACTATTCCACTGTCTCACCAAGCCGAACGTCGTCAAGAAGCTTCAGGTGGAGCTTGACGCCGCACTTCCCAGTGATGCCGTTCCCTCCTTCGACCAAGTCAAGGATCTAAAGTACATGGACATGGTCATCCAGGAAACACTTCGCATCCACAGCACTTCTTCCCAGGGTCTTCCGCGTGTTGTGCCTCCTGGRGATGGGTTGGATGTTGCAGGGCGGCATTTCCCTCAAGGTGTTGTGCTCAGCGTTCCCGCATATGTCATGCACCATAGCAAGGAGATCTGGGGTCCTGATGCCGATGAATTCCGGTAAGTGAGCCAAGAGAGACATGATCGGGCATTCCTGCTGACTTTTATATGCTTAGTCCTGAGAGATGGGAGAAGATCACAGAGAGACAGAAGCTTGCCTTCATCCCGTTTTCGTTTGGTCCACGTGCTTGTGTTGGAAGGAATGTTGTAAGTAAATTCCCATCTCGCAGTGATCTGAAGGTATCCACTGACCTGTTCGCAGGCTGAGATGGAGCTGGCCCTCATTGTTGCTACCGTCTTCCGGAGATACGAGTTTGAGTTGTATCAAGATAAGCTGGAGACCCGAGAGGGCTTCCTTCGCAAGCCATTGGGACTTGAAGTGGGAATGCGGAGGCGGCAGTCGAAGTCATAGTGTGTACTTTGAAGGTTACGGTGGGATTCCAGCGTAATGTATGGCTCTCGTCCTGTACAATGAACAATTGAAGAGTTCACTTCCCAGCTCAAAGGGCTCACTGTGGTTCCGAAGGCGATCTGATTTACATCCTGCATATCCATTGGACTTTGAATGAAGTTCTCTCGACCTACCTTAGATTTCCACATCACGGATGCCGAGCTGCTCTTGCCTGCGGTTGGGTGGAATATTTCGCGCTAGGGCGCTGTCGCCTGTTGAGGTTGTTTGCTGCAGCAGAAGCAATGCCAACGCGACGACCACAACGACATCAATAAAACCATCAACCATCCACCTCACGGCTGGAATACACCAAGAAACGAAGAAGAGATGGACACATCGGCCTTCGAGGCGGCTGATGAGCGAGGCTCACCATCGCTGTCAGAGCTTGCTGCATTCTTCGATGAGGATCTTCGACTCCCGGTATGTTTCACCTCACTGGCGACTTCCACCGAGAGACTGCATCCCTCACCCCACTTCCTTGATCATTGCTGACCCTGCACTTACAGGTGAAGGGAGCAGTGGCCATCGTGAGACATCTTCTACGTCTCGCGTTGCTAGTGTGGACTCTGGCAGCATGCGTGGCTCTCTATTGCTTTGCGCTGGCGTGGTTGTGCCTTTTCTGGGCTCAGACGCGTCTTTTCAAGCACACCTCAACATTCATTGACGGCTGCATGTCAGCGACCACCGTCACTGCTGAGGCCGAGCTCATCAACGATCGGTGAGCAGAGAATTGGACTAACTTCCCAAGAGTCCCGCTGACATTCATTTAGAATCGCCGCACCATCCACGGAGCATGCTGACGCGCCCGTCGCTCTAGAAACAAGCTCCCATGAGCAACCTACTGCTATCATCATTCGCTCTGGACTGTCGGCTGAGTTTGAAGAAACTGGCCGTCAGCACAAATACAATGCGTCGGCCCAAGTTGCACCATGCAACGAAGAGACCAACAGCCTCGTCATTGACGATGCTGAAACCATCATTCGGGCGATCTTACAGCGCGAGAAGGAGGTGGAGGCAGAGATCCAGGAGCTAGTAGATTCTGAACATCCAACTTCTCTCGGCACCGTTACTCCACCCGCCAGCGATCTCGATATCGATCGCCTCTCCCAGGTGGTTGATACTGGTCATGAGTGTTCAGTCGCCACGACACGTAGTCAGGATGGTCGGATCGGTGTCAAAACCAACGAGTACCACATTGTGGCCGACCATTCAGCAGGCAATGATCAGAAGCAGCCCGAAGACCCCAATGGGCACGACTTTCAGGACGCATTCAACTCTGTTCCACGAACTGCGACCTTCAAGATGACGAAAACCAACAACAAACCCAAGCCGCCGATGCTTACTTACGCTGAGCAGGTGAAGGAGAAGAAGGCCCGGGAGCAAAGACTGTTCGTTGAGAAGCTCACTGCTAACAGTATCGTCTCCACGAGTGAGCATGATGTCCGAAATGGTGGCACACAAGCAGAGCACCTGCAGTGGGTGTGGAAAGAACAGGTCGTGCCCTCTCCAGTCAGGAACAAGCGTCTGACAGCCATCACTAAGACTGTGAGGTCGCAGGCTCCATCTATTCCATCTTCAACCGCTCCGAGAACACACATGCATCATTCACAACAACCTACTAAGCCTATTGCTTGGAACAACCAGAATACTTTGACCAGCGGAGCATCAAAGCAACCCTCGATTTACCCACCACATGTAAGAAGCACTCTAGAGGCGAAAGCGAGGCGGGCCGCTGTCAATCAGCTCACGTACGAGGCGAGTGTCAAGGCCAAGGAGGCAGTACCAACTCACAATAATTTCGCTGCTCTTACAGAGGATACTATGACTAAGGATGCACCAGAGTCAACTCGTGTCAATGGCGATACGTCAGACCTAGCTCCTCTTGTTATCAGCGATGCCGGTAAGGCTCCTATTCAAGAGCCGCTTACGACTTTGGAGCCTGCTCGGCGGGAGCAGGTTGTTCCTGACGATACCGCAACAAATCCGGAACCAGACCAGCCGGAAAACTTGAGCGAAGCATCAAACGGGCAGCGCCGCGTGTACACCGCTGAGGCATTGAAGGCCGCCAACATTCCAACGATCACGGCGCACGTGAACGGCATTGCTGAAAAGATTGAGGCAGCAGTGGAACTCGTGGCCACTCACACGCGCTCTGGAACAGCTTCGATATCTCCCAAGAAGAAGAAGTACCGTACCGCTGCGAAGTCAGCTTCGAGGTGGGACAATTTCGACGGTGAAAAGGAGCATCCGCCAGCAAGCGACCGCAATATACAGGATTTGCAAAAGGGAAACGTTGCCGTCACTGTCCCCCAAGCTCGGCTTCATGGAGCTCCACCCGGGCTGCAAGACCGCCACGATAGGTACGATAGACTGTCACCCATGCATACAAACATTCGCTAACAAATGGTAGCACAATTTCAGCCACATTCGATGCACATCTTGTTGATGCGGCTGACGAAGCCGTTGACAGGCCGGCATTAGATGTCAGAGATGAAGACCAGATACCAGCGCATTTCTCCTCCAATATTGATCTTGTTGGGTTGGAGTTCCTCCAGACACAAGCCTCTTCACACACGCCAGCCCCGAAGATCAATTTGCCCGGGCCTTCTCGCTCTCTGCCTATTACCCCTGGACCACTCTCGTTCTTCGCGCCAWCCGTCGCTGCGAAAGAGAGTTCGGCAGCAAAGCCACCCGCCAGCTCTGAATGGAGATCTTATCAGGAGTCCAGTGCATTCGATCCGTTCGCACCTGGACCGTTTCAGAACAGTTACGATCAGGCTCCGCAGCAATTCCAGCAACCGCAGTTTCAGTGGACAGAGCCTGATGCTCKCACGAGCTATGACAATCTCTACATGGCTAAGCAGATCGCTCCACAGGTGACTCCACAAATCCATCGCCACGAATCAATGGGGAACTCCCCACGCAACGATACTGAGACCTTCAGCAACCGCCGACAGTCGCTGGCAGTGCCGATCCGCCAGCCATCATTTGACGTGTCGTCGGAAGAAGTTTTCTCTACCCTTGATGCATCTAACCCGGTGAAGAATAAGATCCCCCTGGGAGGGCCGCCTGGCCTAGGCGTGGCACGCTCCAACAACCGTGCCGCATTTGATGCTCTACTTCCTGCTGTCGAATCACCCCCAGAGCGCACCCTCAACCTCGGAAAGTTCATCAGCACAGCTACCACATCTTCGGCGATCCTAGACAAGTCGTACGGCCCTGCCTTGGGCGAGGCGGAGCCTGTTGTCACAGCTGTTCGAGCTCAACAAATCCCACAGGCCGCTGCTCAGAACGAGCCACTGACAACGACCCAGTCGACACATGTGGGATACGATGCCACATTCCCCGAGCTACCGAAAGTAATCGCCCCGGATCCGCAAGTCGCTGCCGAGTCTGGTGAGAAGAATGCGAAGAGAGAGAACAAGAAGCTGGCCCGGGCATGTCTGAAGTCTGCCTGGGCTGAACGCGAGATTGCCCGCCGGAAACTTGGTTCTTTCTCGCTCGAAGGTGCAAACAATCTCAAGCAAAAGACTATTCTTTATCTGGAGAAGCGCTCTGTACTGCAGTCCCTCATGAGTTCCGGCATTCTGAACCAGGAGGATGCGAGGCTGTTCMCAGAATTGGGTTTGATGGATATGAGTCAACCCAAGGTATTCGCATTGAGTGCCGAAGAATGGCGATCCAGGAAGCGCGAGGCCAAGACTACTGTTGCCGAAGTCGTCAACGCTGCTCCTGTTGCGGTCCAAGAGCAGTTCGACGAAACCGACTCCATCATCAAGGATCTGATCATCGCACAACGCCACAGAGAGCAATCGAAGGATCGACTTAAAATGCCMCGTCCACAGGGCAATATGACACACAGTACATGGATTGATACGTGCACTGCGACGTGTGCGAGAGCGGACAAGCTGTACTGCCGTAAGCGTAAGATTCTTGTGGATGCATACCCTCAGGGATTGCCCACGGAGCTCGAATTGAGGTTTCCGGACATCTCGTTGAGATGATGAGGTCTGAAAGACCTCGTCGTGGATAATCTTTCAGTCGTGCAGATCAAAGAGCTGAAACTGTACCAGAAGTGTGGCAATCCATTCGAAAGCAAAACGATTACGGAATCATTCTGCCCTCTTTGTCATGAACCCAACCATGTGAATCTACCATCGCACAGCTAGACCACACTCACATACAGCGGCAAATCAAGCATAGCCAAATGCACTCGCTCATTATGCTATGGAATGCGCCTTTTGCTAGATGATCGCCTGGCTGGACTAAAAGCGCCATTCTCTCTGCATGAACCAAATCATTCCGAAATCCCAAAACCTCGCGTAAATTCGTTCCAGTCGTTCCATATCCTTATTCATTCATGCCTCAATATTCCATCCAGACATGCAATCATCAATAACTCGCTCCAGATGGGTATCGCTCAGACAACGCCAACCGCACTCCTCGCCAAACTCCTTCGCAGTCCCAAGCCACTCCGTCCCGCCTCTCTAGCACAACTCCTCACCTGCTCCACATCCCCTCCAAATTGGCCCTCGAATCTGCCCGCTTCTTTGCCCACGGTGTATCCAGCGCCGAAACTCAGAGCCGAAAGAACAACCACCACACCGGCCGTAGCGACCCATGTGAACAACGTGGGTGTGACTTGTGAATACAGTAGATCTTCTGAAGAGGTGGATGAGGATCGACGGAGACGAGCTTTCTTCCTGTCGCGACCATTACCACTACTGCTTCGGGTCCGCGGAGCGATTATTACGGGCGCTACCTGTGGTGCTCTGCGCTTGTGTTCGGAAGGGACGTTTGATGAACCGGAGCAACTTGTTGACGTTCGACGCAGGGTGGGCTTGAACATTGGCTCATCTTGTTGCAGTTGCTGCGTGTTTGTTGTTGTGGTGGGAAGYGCCGATTCCGGAACAAGTTTGAAAGACATGGGAGGATTCACACGAGGTCCACTACTTCCTCTTTGTGATGCGCCTTTGGGTAAGCTGCGGGCAGCAGCGGCTACGGATAGAAGAGAGGTGAGACTTGCACGGAGAATCTCTTCGTGCTCGGCCGCGGTATTGATAGAAGGAGAAAGGGGATTCTGCGCTGCGCAGCTGGCTCGGCGGCCTGTTGAAGTGTTGGGAAGGGAGTACCGAGCGGAGGATCGCCGGGATGTCAGGCCGGGTCTTGAGGGTGGAAAGTAAGAGCCAGGGGTGGGATGACTTGACAACCGGGGAGTCTTAGCTGGAGGGTGAGAGAAAGCGTTGGGCAGTGGCGTGAAACTCGTGGTAGTGCCAGCGTGTGAATGGGGATAGTTGATGGCCGTCTTGTTCTCGTCATCGTCATCTTCGGAAGAGGCGGATTGCGTGGGAATGTTTGATTCTACTTGGCCTTGCAAGAGGGCGTTGCCTTCGCCAGACGACATCATGACCTGGTCCGACTCGCTGCTGCTTTCTTCGTATTCCTCTGCACTGCTCACGGTGCCCGTGCTTGGTGTCCGGGTGATGTGTAGATGTGTAGGCGCACCGGGACGTAAAGCTCGACGTCTTTTCATCCGCGGATCGTCCTGCACACGTAGACCTGTTGTAACGATCTCGTCGCCGATGGATGAGAGAGACGAAGACGAGGGTTGCGACGAGACGTCAATCCACGAATCGACTAGGTCATAGAAGTCAGCGTACGGGTAGTACGGCAGGTAATATGAGTACAACGTGGCCATATTGAAAGATGTTGTGTATGTGTATGTGATGGGTATATGCAGGTGTAATGTGCAAATAGATACGGGCGATACTTCCGATGCAGATCAAAGGCAGGGGATAGCAACGCTCACAGTACAACTCACCTCCTTCTGCGCGTGGACGTCGGTCAAACGACGCCGAGCGTGATCCCATCTCGCCCGCGTGACTGGGTCGTCGGATATGTTGTTGGAGCGAATCTTGTTGATGCGATTGCTGTTGGCCCGTCTGCTGCGACATGGCTTCTTTGACTATAAATCACCACCTGAGAGCAGGTGGACGACGGCCTGTCTGGTCCTCACCGCCCACGGGATTCCCGTTGTTCTTCTCCACGGCGTTGCTGCAAAGTGATGCCAGAAGCCCCAAGGTTCGATGTGGTGATGTCGTGCGACTCCGATCTTGGCGGGGTGGATGGCGGGGTGGCTGTGCGCGATAGATGAAGGCGGCGATTCAATCCAACGACGATGCGCTGTTGATTCGAAAGCGGACTTCCAGGAGATGGATCGCAATAGATTCAGACAGTGCAATCGTACTCACGGCGAAGTGTGGAATGGGGTTGGAAATTGCAACGAATATTGCGACTTTCAACAACGGGGCGGTCAGGCGCTCGCGCTCGTGACCAACGTGGGGGGGTCCTGCTGCGTTGATGATTGCGGCTGCCCTGCTTGTGACGAGGCCAGGCTTTGGTTGGGTTGGAGCCGCGAATACCTAGACTCCTGGGTCGGTTGATTCCCCACCACCTGGAGTACGGTACCTTGGAGCGTGTGAATGCTGGAAATGTCGAGAGTCGAGTGGAGAGGAGGGGCTACGTCCTTGGATTATTGGGCATCGAGTCTGGAGCAGTACTTACATGTATCTAATACTTGCTCTACTGCACGCGCAATCCTCCCGCCCGCATGCCAGGCTCCCCAAAGATAGGAACTTTAATTTAACCGGCAACGTTATCGATATCGCCCCGTTGCACGTCACACGTGAGGCCCAAGGTAAGACCACCTACGGCTCCGAGACCGCACCTGATATGATCTCGAGATACATCACCGGGAAGTGACATGTCTCGAGATTGGCATCACAGGTGTCTTGCAATAAAACTGTACAATCGTCGCTCTGCTGGTTTGTGGCTCGAGAATTATAGTTGTCAGCGACTCATGGCCTGCAGGACTAGGTCGTCATAGCGAAGCCGTGAACAGTCCAATGGCCCTGTCATGCCGTGATGTATACCTGCGTGATGCTACTGACGTGATCTACGTTCCGCCTTCGACGCTCCGCATCGTTGAACGCAACTCTGCTTTGCTGGAGGGTTTTGGGCCTGTGAATTCGCTCTGCTTATTGGAGATGAAATGTTGAAATGTAATGCGTGATGACAGCAAAAACGCCTTCCATTGGAAATAACTACCATGCCCATAATTCTACTCCCCATAACGCCTTGCAGCAACAAGCACTCGTGTCGTTTAGAAGTACAGATCTCCATCAAACTTTTGTTCGTCAGCATTACAACTACAACACCGTCGACAGTCTTCCTTGCTGTACAGATCCCCTGGTGTCGTTCGTCGTTTAGAAGGTGACCTTCTTTCCGGAGAAGTCTCCAAAGCCACCACGGTTGGTGGTTTGAGGACGACCACGGCCGCCACGGTCACCGCCACGACCACGTCCACCGCCACGTCCGCCGCGTTCGCCGAAGCCACCACGACCGCCGCCACGGCCTCCAAAGCCACCACCACCACGACCGCCACGGTCGCCAAAGCCGCCACGTCCACCACCACGGCCACCACGGCCGCCGCGGTCACCACCGTCGTTGGAACGCTCGGCGGCGTAGTCGAGACGGATAGCACGGCCAGCAACATCGGCACCCTGAAGGGCGGCAAAGGCAGCCTGAGCCTCCTCAATGGAGCCCATCTCGACGTAGCCGAAGCCCTTGGGTGCGCCAGTCTCGCGGTCAGTTGGCAGGCGAACGGCCTTGATAGTACCATGCTCCTGGAAGTACTCGGTGATGGTGTTCTCATCGGCGTCGAAGCTAATGTTGCCGACGAACAGCGTCGCAGCCGGAGCGTTGGTGGAGTCGCCGAAGGCCTTCGCGCGGTCGTTGGTGCGCTGCTGACGGTCGCCGCCGTCATTGGTACGGGGGGTGCTGAAGTCGAGGCGGAGCTCACGTCCGTCAAGCTCAGCGCCAGTCTTGGCCTCAAGAGCGGCCTTTGCGTGCTGTGGATCCTTGAACTCGACGTATCCGAAACCCTTGCTGCGGCCAGACTCGCGGTCGGTGATGATTCGCACGCCGGTCAGCTCACCGAACTCCTCGAACTCGCGTGTGAGCCACTCCTCATCAACGTTCCAGCTGATGTTGCCGACGAAAAGGTTGCCAGTAGGCGCGCTCTCGTCAACGGCAGCAGCCTCCGTCTTGACCTTCTTTGGTGTCTGGCTTGCCTCGCTCTCGGCCTTGCGCTTCTTGCTGTCGGTCTTTGGCTTCTCTTCCTCGTCAGAGTCGCTGGAATCGTCGGAATCGTCCGAGTCAGAGGTCTGTAGATATGTTATGGTCAGTGATAGCTGTAGAGAGGAAAGAAGGGTTGGACCACATACAGCTGCGCCACCGTTGGCCTTGGGCTCGTCATCATCGTCGGAGTCCTCATCAGAAGAATCGGAAGTGGCCTCCTTCTTGGCGGCGACAACAGGCTTCTTCTCATCCTCGGAATCGTCTTCGGAAGAGTCGGAGTCAGACTCCGCCTCCTTCTTGACAACCTTGCCGTTGGTGGCAGCCTTCTTGGGTGCGGGGGCAGCCTCGCTGTCAGAGTCGGAGTCGGACGAATCGCTGTCGCTATCATCCTTCYTCGCGCCAGAGACCGCAGCTGCGGCACCGTTGACCTTTGACTTGACAGCCTTGCCAACGGCAGCGGCGGCATCAGCAACCTTGGACACGACCTCCTCGGAGCTGTCCGAGCTGTCGCTGGAAGCGTCGTCGTCGCTGTCCTCCTCACTGCTGGAAGGCTCTGGAGTAGGCTCCTTCTTGACCTTCTTGGTCTTCTTGTCGACCTTTTTGGAGGCCTTCTCGGCCGGCTTGGTCACGCGACCAGCCTTGACCTTAACATCTGCCACTTGAGCGGACTTGCTGGCCTTGACAGGCGCAGCAGCAGCCTTGCTTCCCTTCTTGTCCTTAGCCATCTTGCTGAGGGTCTGTGATAATTCGGTCTGCCGGGCAAAAGTCAGTACAAGTCAAATGAGCTGTAACTCTCGTCTCAATGTGACATCAATCTGGCGGCAGTAGCCTTTTCGTCTCAGAAACCCAGCAATGCGAACGCAAGCGTTCAGTGACAACAGTAGTAGCAGCAGCAACAAGCCCTCAGATAGTAAGCCAACGTGACGACCACATCAAGATGTGGTGTCTTGTAGAACCCTCAGTATGAGATTTGCAAAGCCCAAGCCCACGAACGGACGAAAATGGAAAATTTCGCCGTTTTGCCCACTGGTCGCGACTTCTTCAAGGCGGTGTGTTCCCACAAGAGCCTCGACAGCCTGCGACGGTCGGATGGTTTTTCCGACAGCCAACTGGTGCCCGATGCGGTGAAGCAGTCGGGTCTTGAGGTGCGAATACGATGCCCACAAGTGCAGCGCACCAAGGTGCGTGCGAATGCTCGATCACGGCAACGAGGCAGTGAAGGAGAGTGAAAGAGCCAACGAACCGATTGAAGTTGCGCAAATACGCAGAAGTATTGATCAGAGTATCAGCAAACGATGCTGATGAGGTGAAGATGTGTGGTGGTGAGGGTGGTGTGATAATGCGGATGATGGCGAAAAAGTTCCTTCGACCAAATTATATACTTCGCGAGGCTGGAAATTTTTCCCAGTATCTAAACTCAATCTATCGAGCTAAGCTCCCTGCTAGCGCTGAACCCTGAAAATTCGGGCCTGTCTTCCGATGGTGGAGCCACTTGGAGCTTCCATCAAGACGACACCTCACCCGAAAACGAGCGATACAGAGCAGTTGCGACATGTCAAAATAGTTGCGTCCACTCTTTTCCATCGGGTATCATGGCTTCTTCACACCGGCCCCGCAAAAAGCGAAAGAACGACTTCACCTCATCAAGCAGCTCGAATGGCACACTCTACGTATCCCCTACAACGGCAAAAGAGCAGCCAGCTTTTCCCCTCGTAGCCTTCTTCTGGCCTGCCAAGGGCACTCAATCGCAATGGATCACCCTACCCTGTATATTGATGGTCACTGGTCTCTTCCGATGGTGCACAGCAATGTGGAAGTACTCAGGCTTCCAAACTCCTCCAATGCATGGCGACTTTGAAGCACAGCGACACTGGATGGAGCTTACTACCAATCTTCCCATGACGCATTGGTATTTTCATGATCTGCAGTGGTGGGGATTGGACTACCCTCCCTTGACCGCTTACCATTCGTGGATTCTTGGCTGGCTAGGAAGTTTGATCAACAAGGACTGGTTCGCACTCTATCTTTCCCATGGGCTCGACGATCCGGATTTGAAAGTCTATATGCGGGCAACGGTATACGTGTCTGAGCATTTGACCTACATCCCGGCTGTCTATATTTGTGTACGCCATCTTGCAAGGCTGCATGGCATCAACCCTTGGGAATCAGCAATTGCATTGACGGCGATCCTGCTACAGCCTGCAACCATCCTGATCGATCATGGACATTTCCAATACAACACGGTCATGCTGGGCTTTTTTGTTGCTGCAATCTCGAGCATGATGGCAGGTCGTGCACTTTGGAGCTGCGTCTTCTTCGTAGCCGCGCTGGGCTTTAAACAAATGGCTCTCTTCTGGGCACCAGCAGTGGCAGCATACCTCGCCGGAAGCTGTCTATTCCCGCGTGTCCGTGTCGGGCGACTGTTCAGCATCACCCTCGTTACTCTTGCTTCCTTCGCACTTCTCGTGCTTCCACTAGCAGTGGGAACCTTCTACGACACTTACCGCGACGTTTCTCTCCCATCGGACGCCGTCCTACCACCTCTGCTTGACGCCATCCCTATGCAGCTCAACGATCAGTCTTGGTATTATCCTTACCTCGTTCAGCTCGCGCAGTCTATACATCGAATCTTCCCCTTTTCTCGTGGGCTCTTCGAGGACAAGGTAGCCAACATTTGGTGCGCCATCCACGCTTCAGCAGTGCACAAACTCCACGTCTACGATCAATCCCTACTCAGCCGTGCAGCGCTCGGCCTGACCCWCCTTTCGATTCTGCCACCCTGCTTGATTCTCTTCTTCAATCCGAAGAAGCAGCTGATCCCCCTCGCCATGGCCGCCACTTCATGGGGATTCTTCCTTTGCTCTTACCAAGTTCATGAGAAGAACGTCCTATTACCTCTCCTCCCCATGACACTCCTCCTCGCGACTGAGGGAGGTATGAAACCTGCTGTCCGCGCGTGGGTTGGGTATGCGAATGTTGTGGCTTGCTGGACAATGTTTCCACTCCTCGCAAGGGAAGATTTAAGGATGCCATATCTCGTCCTAACATCACTTTGGGCGTACTTGATGGGACTGCCGCCTTTCAGCATCAGCGCATACACGCAATCTAGTGAGGCGGGTGGCGTCAACATCCTAACTACAGTCATCCATCTGGGAACTTATGCCGCTGCCCTTGGTTGGCATGCCGTGGAATTATTCGTGCTGCCACCAAGCGACAAACCAGATTTATGGATGGTGGCGAACGTCTGCCTCGGAGCTGCGGCTTTTGGCTTGTGCTATCTCTGGTGTCTATGGAATCTCGCTATGGAGAGCGGAGTCCTAGGTGTTGTAGGAATCAGCAAATCGCGGGAGAAGAAGACACAATAGTGAAGCTTCTCCAAACGGCCTGATAGAGCTGCGAAAGTCCGTATGTATGTACAAATAATGTACACTAGTTATACACTGTCTTGTTCCATCTCATGCTATCCCTCCAAAACGCCATATTGTGCAATCGCTATCCCCAAATGCATTGTGTATCGTTCCACTCTTCCTCTTCACGCCAGGTTGAATCCATAACTCGCCATACAACTCCGGTACTTCCCAACCAAGTCCTTGCACGCTTCCTGCGGATCGGGGGCGTTGGAGAAGAGCATGCACTCGTCGCGGGCGGCTTTCTCGTCTTTACAGACACAACATGGCTGGGGTGAAGTCAGCGGGAAAGCGCTTCTCTTGTTTAAGTTGTTGAGCAAGTTTGCGCGGGTTTCGTGGATACCTTTACTTTTGCAGCGGCCTCTCCCTTGGGTTTGAGGTCTGCGGCGGCGTTGTTGGGTTGCATTGGTGCTGTGGCATGTTAGACGTAGCGCTTTCTTGTGAGAAATGATGGATGTACTTGATKACATTGCGGATGCTGCTTGGGCGGACATGTTTGTAGGTGGAATGCGATTGGATTGTTCTCGAGATCTTTTGGTTCTGTACCTGGGCGATGGCGTAACTTCAATTGGATCTGTCAGCATCATCGTTTCGGGAAAAGCTTATGCTCCACTCCCACGCACCTGGGGCCGGCTTCACACAGCACACATCACCTGGGAGTGCTTGTTATCTACTACTAGGTTAGCAGCGTGAGAGTAGCATAGGGGCACATTCGTTTAGCAACGCTTAGGAAGTGGTCTCGATGTTCCCAGCTGACACTCTACCTTACCCACACGAACCATTGATCATTCGTCTCAATGTCACAGGTTCTATCGTGCTTTTGGCTATTCAGGTAGAAACACACATACATGATCCCGCTCTGGCGGCTCACGTATGCACGTAATTCATGCTAGCCTAYCGCAATAGCAGAGCTGCCGAGCACTCCCAACTGTCGATATAGTCCTTCTGATGTACCATAGCATCCTTCCACACCACCGTATACTACCCCAACCCTAACCCTGACCGAACGCGTTACGACAGTACAGCGAGAAACGACGCTCAAAACATTGCACACAATGTAACTGCTACTCGTGCATGCAAGCTAGGCTCAAAAGTGGTTGACACAACGGCCCGTGAATCCCGCAACCCCAAGACCTTCACAAAAGAGCAATGCTGGCCTCCTGAATGCACCTGCCCAAAACCGCTTCACAATGCAGTAGTGTATGTACTGCGCCACTTAATGTTCCGTAGTACCCTCGTGAGTCCATGTCGACAGTTCGAGTTATCCGGCGATCTTTGGCCCAGTCTTACCACTGCTGGGTGCGAGAGAGCCTTCAATTCGGCGCTTGCCATCTTCCTTCTCGCTCTCTGTTGGATTCGTCTTTTGCATGTCAGCGGTGTGCGGAGCATGGCCAGTCGTGCGTCCAATAGACATTCCGACTCGAATCTGTGAGTGATGTCAGTTGCCAAGGCCATGTGAAGATGAGGTCTGAGAGCATTGCTTACCAAAGTCTCCAGCGCTCCGCTGCTGTTCGCCACCAAGTCCTCATCATACCGCATAACACCCGGCTCGAATAGCAGCAGCAGAGTCGAGCCTCCGAATTTGAAATAACCAAGCTCCTCCGCACGCTTGACGTTCTCACCCTTCTTTCGCGTGATGACTGTGGAGCCAACCATCATGGCGCCAACGCAAATGACCATCACCCTCCCATGACAGACGGAGTCGATGGGAACACACACTCGAATATTCTCTCCGTACACATCCAGAGCGGACCGAATAGCCATGGGGTTGACAGTGTAGTACTCGCCGTCCAGCAGCTTTGGCTCGCCCATGACGCCGTCAACGGGGATGTGAAAGCGATGATAGTCCTGTGGTGCCAGACGCATGATTCCCAGAGATCCATTGTGATACCGCTTAGCATCATTTGGGTATGCATCTCCGAGCAAGCGCTCGATGCTAAACTCGCGACCTTTCACCCAAATGCGCTGAGCATCTTCGATGCGGTTGAAGACGACAGATCGGCAATCAGCAGGGCTGACGACAATGTGCGGATCATCGGGCGCGGAGCAAGGACGTGCATCGGGTTTTAATTCGCGATAGAAGAACTCGTTGAATGTCTTGAAATGGTTCATGGGATGCAGAACTTCGCCCATGTCCAACTGGTGGAAGTTTATGAATCCTGGAATCTGGGAGGCAGAGGCAGGATCGTCATACTTGCGACCTTGCTTGAGAGACATGGAGCGGAGTAGTTTGCGCGCTGACAGTTTCGTTAGCATTTCACCGTGTTTCATCAATCTGTCGAGGCACCTACCTCGCTTCTTCTCCATCTCGCGACTTTTCAAGCCTTTGTAGAGCAATCGAATGCCCAGACGGACGTATACGCTCATTCGTTCTTCATTGATCATACCAGTAAGCCTGTCTTGTACCAAGATGTTGGCACTGTTCGCACCAATGCGATAGCCTCCGTAAGAGACCTGTCAAAGCTTGTTAGCTGTGCATCGCGCATCATATCGTTTGGACATACCTTTGTGAGAACCTTTGAATACCACTTTCGCTGAGCTTGAGAGCTTGATACGAAGCCAGCCATGACCAGATTGTTGACTGCCCGCCAATCACTGCTGGCACAGGTCGCAATATGGGTGATGATATCCGCGTCGGTCGTCCTCCGCCCTCTTGCGAGCCGTGGCTGATGGCAAATGGGACACTCGTGAATCTCGACAACGTGCTCCTCTTTGGACTCCGGGTCTTCGTTGAGGTCTTGCTCGACATCGTCATCAATGCCCACGGTCTCGTCTGTCGTGAGGTATTTGCCCTCCTCGCCAGGAGCGCCCATCTCGCTTACTTCCAGTGTGGGGATTGTGTTACTGCCAGGAATGAAATTTGATGGCATCTGCGAGCCATTCGGGGGTGTCTGATTTGGTGAGCTACTCGTCGTGTGAGAGAGACGTGCAGTCGACGTAGAAGGATCTTGCTTCTTCAAACCTGCAAGTGGGTTCGCCATGTGATGATGATGTGTCGCTTGAGTCTTCATCAACTGTTCCTCCAGGCACATAACAGCTTGGTCAGTGGTCACAATTTCCTCCCCGCCGTTGACGTCCTTCCAGCGCTCGAAAAATCCATCGATTGTGCGGTCGTGAAGAGTACTCCCGAGAGTGTCCAGCATAGTGACAAGCTCGACTTTGTCGTGCCTTCCATTCTCATCAGCATCATACTGTCGCAGTAACACACGCCAGAATTGTTGTCTCAAAGCCTTGTAAGGCAGGTACTTGGCACGGACGTAGAGGACAGGGCTGTGCTTGTCTTCCCACCGCTGCTTATTCTTCAGCTCTAGCGGAATCTYRAACGAGTGGAAATCGGTCTCGTCTGCCGGGGTATCAAATTCCTCATAGCTCGTTGTACTCGGCATAGAAATGGGTGCTGGCCGCGTGCGATCTGTAAAGGACGCATCCGACATCTTCGGGGTCAGATTAGGTCTTGGTGAGCCCTGGATACTGTTGCTGCTCGGAGATTTGCTCAGCTTAGTGAGGTCAGTTTGGGAACTTCTTTTGCCGCCAGACTTGGGAAGGTTAACCTGACTCGTGCTCCTAGACAGCGGATTGCGGAAACGCTTCCTGCGATGTTTGCCCTCGGTGACATCATCTGGATCTGGCAGCTTATACAAGCYAGTCTCTGGGTCTGCTTCCGGTGCGAGCTCTCTGACTTTGTCCAAAGAGAAGTTGGCCGTGCCAACAAAGTCGTTGCCAGAGAACTTGTCCCGATCGACGACCGCAAAGTACAAGCTGTAACTCGTTTCGTGTTTTTGAACCTGGAAGACCAGCTTCTCGTCAAATACAGGGTTGAGGTTGTGATTGATGGTTTTGGTTCGATATGTCTTCTTGCCGAGGGACGTCACGACGAAAGGATCCATGTCAAAGGTGGTCTTGGTCATGTTCTTCTCAGGTGGTAGGTCCGTGATCTTGTTGATCTCCAGGAACAGCACGCCGGCTACATCAGACATGACACCGAATTCGTACGCCTTTTGCTTGGTCCTGCGCCTCAGCCGCCTCAATTTGCGGCGTCGACGATGCTTCTGCTTCTCGTCTGCTGTACCCACGGGTGGTGTCCTCATGCCGTCATCGGTCTCATCTGAGGGATCCTTCTCGTCATCTTCCTCGTCCACATCGTCCAGATCCCGAGTACCATATCGTCGGAGCATATCCTCTTCGTCCTCATCCTCGTCGTCTTCGCCCGAATCTGCCACAAGACCCGTGAATTTCTGCAAGACATGCTGAGCAGTGGCGGCGGCATTGATTGGATCGTAGAGAGCAAATTTGAGCAGGACTTCGCCTGTCACGTTGGAGTCCTTCTTCTTCCGGCGGCCACTACGCCTGCTCTCCAGCTTGTACCATACTGGCTCTGGAGCAATGCTTCCCGAAGCAAAGWCATCTTCCAACACCACGTCGAATTCGCCCATGTAATCGTTCCTAAAGCGGTCTTTGTCCCAGCAAACACCTTCCAACAAGGCCGAATCTGCAGAGTTGATAGGCAGTTCGAAGGTTTGATTCCATTCCGGGTTCAAGGTCTTGCTGACCACGCTCGTGGCTTCCTTTGCATCACCAAGGGTCAAGACGAGGAATGGATCAGACGTGCCCGACTTGTCCTTTGCAGCCAGGTTACGGCCTTTGAGCACCTGTACACGCAAGACTACTCCCATGCCCTTGTGGTCTCCACGCAAATCTCCCGGTGATTTTGACGACGTCGACATGCTTCCGTTGCTGTTCGTGGTAGAGTTTCCTGGTCGAATAGGACTTTCGTTGCGGCTCTGAGGCTGCTGAAGAGGAGGTGTTGGCGGGGCGGATGAGGCGTCGACCTGGGCGGTGCTGCTCTTGTTACGACGCAGCGTCAGGCGGGTCGGTAGGCGAGGACGTGACGGCATGACGGCAAAACTCAAGAGGAAATGAGATCAGCCCAGACTCGGAATTGCTCCCTCAGACGGCAGCTGTGCTCAGGAATGCCTGCCGTGCGGTGAGAAAGCACTCCGATGCAGCAAATCAATGCGGCTATGGGTCGGGTATTCTGTTAAATGACATGGGCGAGGAATTGAGAGGAAGCAGACTGCAGTCCGCACAGCGGAGAGGAAAGGGGCCACACGCACAAGCAGTCACGCAGGGCAATGCATCCGTGCTGGTTCGTGTATGTACTCCGGACGGGGAGCGAGTTGTTCGAGCTGCAGTCGCAACTCCCCGCGTTAGCTTGAAGGTACTCCCGTAGGCAAAGCTGCTCTGTGCGGTACCMAAATCCGATCATCAAATGTCAATCAATGTCAATCAAAGGTGCTTTCGCTCCCACCGCTGCTATTGCAAGCAGCAAGAGGCCACGCAAGGCTCATACAACCTGTGCAATGGGCAATCAAGCGCAGAGGCAGGGTCTGGTCGTTTCGGACGTGACGCCAAATGAAGAACGCCTCCTCACCACGATGCATCGGCAGGGGAGCGAGCTCGAGCAGTTGATGACACTCCACAATAAATCATTCAACGGGGCCCGCCCTGACTGACACATGATGGAAACGTGCCTCCAAGGTCCTTCGTCATGGCACCGCATCAATCCTCCTCCCCCACCCGCTCGACGAATGCACGATGGGTGCGGGATTATCTGCGCTCCAATCCCATGAGCTCGTGCCAACTGTCCGGATCGACCTCCCGGCAACGTCGCGCGGTGAATCTTGCTACGCCTTGGAGACCTTGCAAAGATGGTCTTCCTTTCCCGGCCTGTATGTCTCACCTGGATCGTCGCTCAAAGCAAATTCCAGTCCTGTTGGAGTGATGAAACGAAAAGATTTGCACGTCTTGATATCGCGTGGCACGGCGCCAACCACGCTAGTGCCCGCGCGTCAGTCGCCAAATCCATCGTCTGTTGCCTTCTCCAATCATGACTTCATCCKTATAGCTCGACATGTCAAAGAGGGGCCGGGCATGCGAGGCATGCTCGAAGATCAAGATCAAATGTGAGCTTGGAGCGAGCACAGGGCTGGAGCCTCCGTGTGAGAGGTGTCTGCGTCTCAAGAAACAATGCGTACTCTCACAGCCAAAACGACAGGTAGTGCCTCGAACTTTGAGCCATTTGTAGCACCTTTGCTAAGCATTCGGACACAGAAAGACAGAGTTGCCGAGCTTGAGGCTCAGGTAGAAACTTTGACTCGATTGCTGCAAGCACAAGGAATACGGGATCCTGCTGTGATATCCTCAACTCCCGCATCGGAAGCTCTGAACTTGGCCGCATCAGACAAGGCAAAGAAAAAGAGGCGTAGAGTTGACGATGCTTCTTCATATTCTGCTTCAAATGATTCTCCAACAGGCAGCTCATCGGAAACATCACAGGGACAGGATCTGAATGTTGCAATCCTTGACCAAACCGTGGACTATGCAACGCAAGAACAGCTCCTCAATCGCTATCTGAACAAGCAGCTTCCTGTCTTCCCACTGGTACCTATCAACGGCGATTGCTCCCTTGATGTACTGCGAAATGAGCGTCCGGTACTGATGTACGCCGTGATTTATGCCGCTGGGCCAGGAATTCTCTCCGAGGATCAGCAGGAGAGCGTTTCCAAAATTTTGCTCAATAATCTTACCAATGTCCCCTTCTCACCAGGCCCGCAAACTTTGGACATCATTCAGGCAATACAGATCACCTGTCTGTACTATCGCTCTCCCCGACATTACGTGCAGCTTAGTGTTTTCGGGCTGATTGAGGTTGGTCTGAAGATGGTCACCAAGTTGGGCCATGCAGGGCCACTCTCGCCTCCGCCGACAGTTCCTGTATCTGTACAGAACACAGATGTCGGCTCTATCGGCTCAATCGACGCTTGGAGAGCGATACTTGTCTCACACTTGCTCGCCACAGCCATGTCAATATTCATAAGAAGGAAACCACACACCAGATGGACCAAGGAACACGACATGTGTCTCCTGCAACTTCAGGTAGGAATTCATGAATCACTTATTATCGAGCTCCACCTCATACTAATGTTGTTGWCCTTTCAGTATAGCGTCGTCTCGAAGCCAACCGATGCCTGGCTGAGCCAACTGATTCGCGCAGAACATGTGTGTGAGCAAATTGCCGAGCAGATGGGCTTTTGGGATTCAACAACCTTCATGGACCTAGCAGACCCGAGCACACGCCTCAAAACACAAACGTGCCGCAACATCATACTGAATTGGAGGATGACTATTCCGAGTCACATTCGGACACCTCTGCTTCTCTTCTGGGAGCATCTCGCCACCGCGTACATGCACGAAGCCGTGCTACACACAGCTACTAACAAGCATTCCTTCGCTGCTCCATTCGTCGCTGAGAATCTCTCAGTCTCAGACTTTCCCGCTCCAGCGATCGTCACTCAGGACCAAATCACAGCACTATTCGAACTCACCACCGCCGCGCAGGCAATGATCGATCTATTTTCGAGTCTGGATGTGGAGATTCTGGCAGTCATGTCAGGTTACCTGCACTCCTCCAGAGCTGCATACGCGCTATTCATTCTGGCCAAGCTGTCTGTTGCAACTATGGCTCCCGGAAATACGTTTGGTGCTGTTCTAGATGGCAACATGCTGCTCGTAGGACATTAYGCCGACAAGTTGATAGATAATGGGACCAGAGTGAGAGCAATTGACGAGCGTTGTGCGCCGGCACGGATCCTCCTCGCAGCAGACAGCGTGAAAGAGTGGTATCTGAACTTTACCAGCATTGTTTCGTCTTCAGACCAGGCTTTCCACCAGCTGCAGGAGCCAGAGAATTTGCAGGCGGCCACCGGCTCGATCAACATGGCGCAAGGACCAGAGATGTCTACTTTGGAGGATGGTCTTGATCTTGATGCAGCCCAACTTACCGCCGCCGCTGTGGACTGGGAGAACCATTTCTACTACTCGTTGAACACGGCCGACTTCGGACTGGACATGCTGTTTGCCGAAGAGCCACAGCCGTTCGGTGGCGAAGTATACCATGATGCAGCTTATCAGGCTCGGCCATGAGCCGCGAGGTGAACCAGGAGAAGGGAAGAATCACTCGAAACATTTGCCCGTCGGCGGTATTTCGCGGCCGCCGCGCGAGCTGGACCCCACATGTGGCTTTCGTGGTCAACCCCCACAAACAGCTTTCAACACATGTGGCTTCTCCCGGACCACTGGCACAAGTGGGGACCTGTTGTGGCCATTGCTCGATCATATCGAGTAATCCTCACCCCGGGATCTACAAGCTAGAGCGCTATCTGCCAAGCCAGATAAGATCAACGAGTAACAACCTGATGGAAAGAAGCCATGCCCACATGAGCGTTCCAAGGCGTGTAAAGTGGAAACTTTACATGCACTCGGAACCAAATTCCACTGAAAACTGGATCGACAGAAGAAGTCAAAACAGGTGAATGTCCCACGAAGAAAGATGTCTATTCCTTCAACTCTCCACTCGATCACGCGACAAGTCAGTTTGACCCACATATCGAATACTGGTGGTAGAGTCACACAGTTTCCTACCGAGTCTTCGCCTTTACTGGGAGGATTCTCAGACTCTCGACAGGATCCACGACCGCTATACACGATGGCGTCTATGACAGGTTCCAGAACCCGTCGGTTCCTTGACAAGATTGCCGTTGCAGAGGTTGAGCCTGGTCTTACAACAGGCCAACTCATGCTGGCCAATCATGACTTGAAGCCCGTTGAGCCAGGTTGGTCTACTTCTTGCAGCACCCCGGGTTGAATTGCGGCTGACTACAGAAATCCAGAGAGACGACTATGGAGAGGACGAAACTTTGTCGCCTTTTGGATATCCGACTCCTTCAACATCAACACATGGATGATTGCGAGTTCGAATATCGTTGCAGGAATGTCCTGGTGGCAGTCCTGGTTGACCGTTTGGATCGGATACACCATTGCAGCCTTCTTCGTTTGTCTCACGGGCCGAATTGCAGCAAAATACCACATTGCCTTTCCAGTCGTCTGCCGCTCATCTTTCGGCGTGTGGGGAGGACTTTGGCCTGTTTTCAACAGAGCTGTGATGGCTTGCATTTGGTGAGTGCATAGAGAGAGAAAGACACACACTGTTGTATGTAGGTTGCTGACTTTGATATCCTCTTTTAGGTACGGAGTGCAGAGTTGGATAGGCGGGACTTGCGTATACCTTATGATTCGCTCGATATGGCCTTCTTGGGATCGCTATGGCGACGATGGAGTACAAAACACGCTGTCTGCCTCCTCCGGAACCAACACCCGGGACTTCGTGAGCTTCTTCCTTTTCTGGMTCGGCTCTCTCCCATTCCTCTGGTTCCCGGTGCACCAGATCAAGCATCTCTTCACGGTGAAAGCGTTCGTGGTACCAACGGCCGGTCTAGCCTTCTTCATCTGGTCAGTTGTGAGAGCCGATGGAATTGGTCCGATTGTCCACCAAGGTGCGAGTGCTTCAGGAAGCACGCTGGCATGGGCGATTGTCTCCGGTATAATGTCTGCGATTGCCAACTTCGCCACCTTGATTGTCAACGATCCAGACTTTGCTCGGTTCGCACGCCGGCCTGAGGATGCTCTTCTACCACAGTTCCTGTCAATTCCCTGCGGGTTTGCTGTGACCTCCTTTATTGGCATCATTGTCACGTCCTCCGCCACCGTCATATTCCCGAACGAGGACCCCATCTGGTCGCCACTCACGCTACTCATGAGATTTCTGGATGAGCCTGGAGTCAGTAGTGCAACACGATTTGGAGTCTTCGTCATAGCTGCAGCGTTCACTCTTGCGCAGCTAGGGACCAACATTGCAGCAAACTCAATCTCGGCTGGTACGGATTTGACAGCGCTCCTTCCTAGATGGATCAACATTCGTCGTGGATCTTACTTGTGCGCTGGAGTTGGCCTGGTAATGTGTCCTTGGCACTTGCTATCAAGCAGTTCGAACTTCACAACCTCSCTATCCGCATACTCGGTCTTTCTCTCCAGTGTCGCTGGCGTGATGGTAGGACAAACACTCATGTATAGATAGCCATTGCTAATAGGGACATTGCAGATCTCCGACCACTACTTCGTGCGAAAAGGATACCTCCAAATCCGTGACCTCTACAGCGATCTCAAGACTGGGCCTTACTTCTATCACTACGGAATCGGCTGGCGCGCGTACGCGGCGTACATTGCTGGTATCCTTCCAAATCTTGTTGGATTCGCTGATGCAGTTGGTGCACCCAACATGCCCATGGGAGCAATCTATATCTACCGACTCAACTTCTTCGCGGGATTCATCACGGCGTCGGCTGTGTATTACATCCTATGTCGTATATGGCCAGTTCCTGCTGTGAGCGATTCTTGGTTCGAAGTCGATGATGATGATCAGTCGGGCACTTTGATGTATGGAGTTGAGGCCTCGGACGAAGAGAATGCTTTTGGAGAGGAGAGTGTAAAGGCAAAGATGGATTATACGAAGTGAGGAGCAATGTTTTGGACTGGCTAGAGCGATCGCTGCGGCGTTATTGTGAACGGGACGGCAGCTGTTCATGATGTGTTACGACTTACGAATAAAGACTGGCATTGTTGATTGTACAAGGTCCGTATGTTTATTCCACTGACGATAGGCGTGCAGATAGGCGGGGCTGTAGGAGAGCTATCTGAGGGATCAGCGTAAGCTCTATTGGATCCCTCCAGCCGATGTTCCATACCAAAGGCAAGAGATGTTTATTTACTACTACATCGAATAGCTTTCCTTTCTACTACTGGCACTGGATGTATGGGATTGTGCTCCAACTAACAGTCGATCCCACTCCAGCTATCAGCTACATTATCTGGTCCATGCCCTACCACGGTGGAATTGGTCAACAAGCAACATGGAACATTTATTACAAGATGAGAGCCTCAGACGAGCGATCCTCATTACTGGACTGAGCACAATCCTCTGGCTGATTTGGAAAGTAAGTGCGAGTGTCACTGCATCTCCCATATTCGCCTAGCTTCAAAACCAAGCTAAACATCGTAGTAGTGGTCTACTGCAACGGACATTCCCAAAATCAAAGGTATCTTCGAGATTCCCGGCGCATTGCCCATAACAGGCCATCTCCTCGAACTCGGCGACGACCACGCTTCAGTCTGCGAGGTGAATCCCTTTTCCAAAACGCAACATGAAGTATTGGGCCAACTAACATTCTGTCCAGTCCTGGTGGCACAAACACTCCCAACCCATCTTTCAGATCCGCTTAGGAAATACCCGCGCCGTAGTCTTCAACAGTTTCTCAGCCTGCAAGAAAATCCTCCTCAATCATCAATCCGCCGTAATCGACCGTCCAAAACTCTATACTTTCCACGGCGTCATTTCTTCTACTCAAGGTTTCACCATAGGTTCCTCACCTTGGGACGAGAGCTGTAAAAATAAACGCAAAGCCGCGGGCCAGACTTTGGGGAGAGTTGCGATGAAAGGGTATGTGGAGATGTTTGACATGGAAACTTTGAGTATTGCGCGGGATATTCTACGGGATTGTGGGAGAGGGGAGAGGGAGTTGGAGGTCCGGCCTTATTTGCAACGGTATGCGTTGAATACGACGTTGACGCTTTGTTATGGGATTCGGATGGATGGGGTGTGGGATGATTTGTTGAGAGAGGTGTTGGAAGTTGGGAGTGCGATTTCGTTGTTGAGGAGTGCGAGTGAGAATTATCAGGATTACATTCCGATTTTGAGGTATTTGCCGAAGAATTCGAAGAATGCGAGGAGTAAGGAGTTGCGGAGTAGGAGGGATGCGTATTTGAATACGTTGTTGGAACGAGTGAGGGAGATGATACAGATTGGGAACGATAAGCCTTGTGTTGCTGCGGCTATTCTGAAGGACGAGGAGACGAAGTTGACGGGGGTTGAGGTTTCTTCAATCTGTTTGTCGGTATGTATCAGGTGGCGATGACTCRTGGTTTGCAATGGTCCAGGAACTAACTCAATTTCTCTTCACAGCTTGTATCCGGTGGCTTCGAGACGATTCCAGGTACATTGACCTCGTGTATCGGATCGTTGTCGACTCCGGAAGGGCAGAAGTTCCAAGAAAGAGCCTACGAAGACATCAAGCGGCATTATTCCAACATTGCAGAAGCATGGACAAGATCTCTCGAGGTCGAAGATATCCCATATGTCAATGTGAGTATCCATCTATCTTCACCTAGTCAGCAGTCATTTACTGACAATCTCTTTCAACAGGCCATCGTAAAGGAAGCTGGACGATACTACACCGTCTCGTCCATGAGTCTACCGCGCAAAGCAGCAACCGACATCCACTGGGACAATGGAGTGGTGATCCCCAAAGGCACCATGATTCTGATCAATGCACAGGCGGCGAATCACAGCGTCGAGCACTTTGGTCCGGATGCAGGGATTTTCAACCCAGAACGATGGCTCGAGTCTTTGGATCCTCCGACGGAAGTCCCATCGGAAGGTCTCCAGCATCACTCATTTGGTGCGGGATCTCGGGCTTGTTCGGGGCAGTTCATTGCAAGTCGGTATGGTTACGATTTGCGAAAGATATCTCTGGTAGATGGAAACGCTGACTTGTTGTGCTTACAGACTCCTCTATACCGCTCTGGTGCGCCTGATCAGCAGCTTCAAGATCGTTGCGAGCGAGACGGAGCCGCCGAATACGGATTACGTCGACTACAACCAATTCAAGTCTGCTCTGGTGGCCATCCCAAGAGACTTCAAGGTCAAGCTGATACCGAGAGATACGGATGAGTTGGAGGGATGCCTGAGAGCGGCGGAGGAGAGGACCAAGGATGCTTATACCTAGACCGACTACGGTACAGCCAGTTGTTCAAATGAGTGATGAGTAGAAGGTGTAAGAAGGAGTGGAATCTCTTGCCAAGCCGCCGTTCCACCCAAACTCGCCAAAYTTGTCGAGTCATCGGATCGAATCTGCCTGACGAAAGAATGACGCCACGGCCGGTCGTTCTTACCCACAACAGATTAAAACAAAACTTCTTCAAGAAGCGATTGCAGAAACACTTCTTCTTCATAACCACCCAGGCTCTTGAACCATTTTCCAAAATCGAAAACCACCAACCGAAATCCAACAAACCAGTAAGTTCCATCGTTCATCCATATTCTAACTCATACGCCGATCCCTCAATCGAACTAACAACCAATGGCTAGCCCAATTCAGCAATCATGTCTGGAACCGAAGCCACCTACAACATCACCAAGGAAGACGTCCGCGACGCTCAGGCCCGTGAATCCAGAGCAAATGGAGGTGTGATCCCAGCCGACAGCACCGCCGCCGGCCTTCAAGTATGTTCTTTCCTTCCCGACACCTTCCACTCATCATCCACCACATCACTAACAACCGCCTTCCTTGGACAGTCCATCGTCGACACCGCCGATAAGAACAAGAGCCAAGTCATCTCGGAGCGTCAATCCAACCTGCCCCTCCCAGAACAGCCACCAAAGACCTCGGACTTCAACTCCAATGATGCGAGCACCGTGAATGTGGGTTCTGGTGGCATTTCGGGTGCTTCGGATGGTGCGTTGAGGGAACCTGCTGCTGGACAGGCACTGCCGACTGGAAGGGAAGTCGATGGAAAGTTGCCGAATGATGCTGTTGCTCAAGGGAGTAAGAACAAGGCCGGGTTGGCCGATACTACCAACAACTAAAAAGGGTTGTGAGATGGAAAGATACGAGAGCACGATCATGATGTATGTATTACTGGGGGTGTGTGATTAGTACGCCGTCGAAGATCGATGGGCGGATTGAAAGGATATCGCTCGCAGTGTGAGCATACTCTAAATGAAAAACATCAGATGTTTACGACCGCAAACAACAAAACTCAACCTCAACACTCAAGGAAATGTCGAACAGGTACTTACGTTCTTGTCACCACATAAACAAGATATGCCTCATAATGACACTCAAACATCCCGTCCCTACAAGATCACACACAACTCTTCAAGCATCCGCATCCCCACCCAACGCCTCAAACTGTCCATCACCCGTAATTGCCCTCTGCTTCGGTCCCGCCCCACCAGCAGCAGCTTCATTCCTCTCCACCATCTCCCCCAACGCCACCCTACCCGGATCCCTCTTGCCCCCAATATCCGTCCCATAGCTCGCATTCGCCTCCTCCCCAGAATAAAACCCTCCCTCGGTCAAATTCTTCCCCGCAGGTTTCGGCGGGTCAATCCCATCCGTACTCTTGGGGCCTGGATTATACGTCGGTCCCCTGCCGGAGTCTTGATAACCTAGAGAACGACCGGCGTTGAGCTGCGAGGCTTCCGTCCATTCTTCATTGGCAGAGCGCGCTTCGGCGTCGGGAGCCGGGTCGAGACGCGTCGCTGAGGCTAGGGTGGAGTTGCTGGCTGCATTGCTKTGTGCAGTTGGGCCGCGTGAGTCTGACTCTGTGCCGCTTGCGAAGGAACCTCCTGAAGAAATGGATTCTGCGGCGAGGGAGTCGGAAGTTACCGGACCGGGTTTTTCATTCTTCGTGTTGTCGTGGCCTGAGTTGGACGAACGTTGATAGTCGGTCTGGAGAAAAGGTCTGTTAGCTTATTACATGTGATGAGGTTTCGGGTGGTGGAGGGTGATACTTCGTTTCTGGGAGCGTAGGACATGGTGAATGTGGGAATTGAATGAAGGAGTCTGTGATCGGCCAAATGAATCGATACTTGTACCTTATGGGTTTGATCGATTGTTGGGTTCTTGATAAGAGTGATTGTTCAACCCCAAGATCGCCACCCTATGAGCTTGTAATGAACGACAACATGTGACGTATACTTTCACATGCAGGGCCGTTGATCCGACCCCTCCCCTACCGACCTCCTTGGCCTTGGATGCAACGCCCAAGAGAAACGCGGGCGAGCAGGACTCGAAAATCGCCAGTGCTGACGGGCTGCCCCCTGGTTCTTGAGACTTGGAACTCACTGTCAAACATCAGTCGGGTCATTTGAGTAAAAGCGGCTCCAGCTCYGAAAGGAAAGTCAAATCGATACTCATCAATCAATGCAATGCAATTCGGCTTCTCTAGCCATACTCTGGCGCTGTGAGTTTCTCTTCGTTTCGTTTCGTGTTTGGGTATCCCTGAAAGAGCAAACGCCATGTCCGCCCACCAATCTATTCCCATCCCAGCCCAATGCACCTAATTCCATTCCATTCGTCCCTTGTCCATTCATTCATATTCACATCCCATCTGCATCCCCTCCAAACTCAAATCCCTCATCACCATCACTAGGAGGAAATCTCCCCTTTCTCCGTCTGGTGTTGATTCGGATCTCTTCTTGCTGATGATGTTCTCCACCAATACCACCCTTCCTCCCACCCCCATTGATCGGGGCAGGCTGAATCGTCAATCGACTTTCCATTTGACTTCCCACATCCTGTTCTTCACCAACTACCCCGAAATCTGACCCACTCATGGCATCATCATCGGCATCATAACTCCCCCTTTGAACATTGATCTTCACTCTCGCAGGCAATGGGTCGCCAAACGTCCACGGCTCCCCTCCTTCTTCCTCGCCATGGCCTTCCCGTTGAAAGTCGCTCAACCCATCGCCATCCTCCTCAAACCCGTATACATTCACCCTATAGTCCACATGGAAAGGACAATAAGGTGGATTGGTCTCCACATCACATTCCCCTTCCCCCCTCCCTTTCTCCTCCCCAACAACAATCTCCGCCCTCAAGCTCCAAAATCCATGAACACCCTGGTCTCGACACGGATCCCGTCCTCGCATCAGCCCTTGCAAACCACCCATATCTGCCCTTGTCTGGATCAGACTGAGAGCGAATGCCTTGTGCGAATATCTCTCATGCTTCAGCCCACTCACAATCCGATCCCCTTTCCTCCTCTCAACCTTCTGCACGGGATGGACGTGCACTTGCCCACCACACGCGATAGCCAAATAAACTGTCTCATTCCTTTTGATCCAGCTAACGCTTTTCGCGGAATTGGGTTCTTGCAGAGCTTTCGTGTGGCGGATCTTGTTGTCGTCTGCGTGCCAGTAATCAATCGCCCCGCCTTTAGCTGCAGTATACCCCTGACTTAATCCGCGGGCAAAAGCGCGGGAGCCGGCGTTCCCTGCAGCGGCRGTGGCGTCGCGGAAGCCTGCAAAAGTGGTGGGGATGACAGGGGCGTTGATTGCGCGGAGGGTGTTGACTTGGGATGAGACGGCTGTCCAGCTGGACTTGATGCTTCCCAAGAAGCCTTGGTTGCTGCTAGGTGGAGAGAGGCCGGTTGAGAGACTGACCGTGGCATCGGCTTTTTCAGCTGTGGGTTCGGTGTAGGTCGCAGAGACTCGCTTTCTTTTCCGAGGGGTGGGTTTGGTTGTGACTTCGTGGAGATGAACTGTTCCGTGTGCGGTGAGAAGCGCAACGGCGTCGTCATCTCGAGACCAAGCGCATTCGAGGATGGTCGAGGGTGTATTCCTCGCAATACGTTGAAGTTGTTTAATGCATGGACTAGTGCTGACGTCGTCGTCGCTGTCAATCGCGCATCTGGGCACACCGTGGGCTACCTGTCGCAGATCCCACACGGTAGAGACCTCGCCTTTACGGCTGGCTGAGAGTAGTCTGGTTGCCGTTGAGGAGAAGGATAGAAAGTTGCAGCCGTCGACAAGTGCAAAAGTTGCCATGGGCGGTGCAAAATACTTTGGCTTATGCTCTTCCCACTGAAGGAGAGCCTCTAAATCGATCAGTGAGACTAGAGCGGGCTCTTTTCTCAGCCTTCCCGGATCATCCAAAAAGGCTTTTGTGGGAGGAAAGACGTCTTCTTTACTTGAAGCACGATCATGAGGCTGACGGCCATTCGGTGGGGATGGATGGGTCAACTCTTTCCACCCTTGCAGCCCCATTTCGAAACCTTTCTGCGAGTACTTCACCAACCCCTGCGCGGCCTGTCGACCCAGACGACTCCATGTGCCCTCTGGATCCGTTCCGACCACCTCGCACGTAACGAGAGGCTGCGGTGGCGCAGCGTGTGTTGTGATTCCGGGTGGTGAAGGGTTGATTTCTGATRGAAGTGGAATACCTTGGATTGAAATGTTTGATGCGGAAGATGGTGGCAGTACGGCGAGCCAGCGCTGACTGAGGCTGTATACTGGAGTACGCGACTGCTCTTTGACTTCTCCTTCTGTCGTTGATGTCTCACCACTTCCACTAGGCGTACGGACGGTTGTGCTAGGCAGGCTTGTTTGGAGGGATGTCCAGAACTTGCCAATGCATCGATAATGTGCTTCCTCCAAGCCGCAGTTTGGGACTGCGGTAAAGACCCAGACCTCACCACTCTTGCCAGAAGTGACGGTGATGAATCGACCTGCGGCGTCCAGATGAAGATCCCCAGCAGGGTCCGGAAGAGAAGACACTTGTCCGACCAGCGGCTTTTCAATCGGAACTGGAGCACTTCGGTAGAGTGTTGCTACATAGCGTTGAGCACGTAGCGAGTAGACATCCACAGTCGTTTGGAAGTGAGAAGGTGGCTCGCTCTCGTTGCTCATGCGCTGTTCTCCTCTGTTGTCCACCAGAGGTCCATGAACGACAACAGCAACCAGAGGTCGTAGTTCTTGCAGAGGATCGGTCCTTTCAGTATGCGGCAGAATCTTTGCACCAATGACAGCACCTCCCAATCCCTCCAGCCTGGCTATAATCTCCATCTTTGTGGACAAGACACGAAAGACCTCCAGTCCGCCCTCACATCCCACCAGCAAAGCATCCCGCGCTTTCTTTGCCGAAGCTGCATCACCACCATCTGCGAAAGAGTCCAAACGACAACAGTAGCCGTCGGAGCCTGCAGGTCTCCCCATGTCTGGTTTCTTGTTCCTGTTGATTCCGATGTCGGGGAGTTGAAAGAAGTGGGCTTGTGGCATGTGAGGAGGAGGAGGATCGACAAATCGCGGTCGGGGTGAAGCGTGAGTTACAAAGGACTCGCGTCGAGAGGGCTGACTGGAAGCGAGAGGAAGACGGTGGGTTGAAAAAGAGCTGTGCCGTTCGTGGGTCGAAACCGAATTCTGGCGCTCGCGGGATGGGGGAGGGTTGTGCACGCTGAGGGGCCGACTTTGCGGCGAAGGAGGACCAAGTGCTCTTGCTGCGGCAAGGCGAGGAGACTTGACTGAAGGTGCTGCTGTTGAAGACGGAGCTGTCGGCGGCGGATCTCCCGCCAGAGTGACGGGTTTTGCGGGTGGAGAATAGTGTGGCTCGTCCTCCTCTTCGTCATCATGCTGCTCAAACAGCGTCGGCTGCTCATCCTCATCATCCAGATCGACCAGCGGCGGTGTCTTTGTGTCTGTTGCTCCTTCGGCAGCGCCTTGCACCGGCGAGTCCACCTGCAACTTCACACCATTGTGGGCGGGTGGAGAGGGCGTCACGGATTTGGGATAGCTCGAAGACTCATTCCCATCTTCGGTTCTCGCCTGCTGCGACTGCTTCTTCTTGCTCTTCTTCTTCTTGCTCTTTGCTGGCGGAGAGGGTTGTGTGGGCGGCGTTGAGGAGACTTCGGGCGGATCAAAGTCAAACGGCGGTTCTTCGTCAAAGGCGTCGGCGGAGGGCATTCAGCCAGTTGTGCCCCAAGGGCGGGGATGGGGAGAGAGGCCGTCGTTTGTATCGGTCTGGTTGATGCAGGCAGGCGGGAAGGCAGACAGCGCAGGGCAGGGCAGGCAAGGATGTTCGGTTCGGTGGGCTGGCTGCAGATGGTCGGTGTTGAGAGGACTCTGCGCGAGGGAGGAGAGGTGGATGCGGCTGATCAGTGGCAGCTGATGTGGCCAAACTCCAAAGAAGCCCTTCGAAAAGCGAGCGTGACCGAGTCGTTGATCTCTCTCGCTGGTGAATCCAAACGTCCGCCCGTGGCTCGCGTGAATGCGGGGGAATAATGAATGATTGATTGGATCCAGGGGAACAACAACGAGCTGCAACTCGTTCTTTGTTCGCTGGGATGAAAGGCGAGGGATCTCTTGTACCGTATCCTCCTATGTGATTAGGTATGTCGACACTTGTTGTTGTGAACGCTGGATGTTGGAGCTGTCAAGTCCCCGAAGCCGAACCCTCCCCTCCATGCCATGCCATGCCACTCCACTCAACTGTACCTTGCAGCCCCACGCTGGGACTGTGATCCTTCGGAGGTGAGCTCAACAGCCAGCCACACGACCCCTCATCTCAGCCAGAGGAAAGATCCGATGCTCAGCCGCGTCACATGCCGATGTCTGCGTGACACCTCACCGTCACCAGCATCATCATCATCCATCATTTCCGTGGACGGCTGTCTCGCGGGTGGAGCTCATCATCAATTTTGCTCCTCCCCATCTCTCACCACCCACACATGGTCACACCGAGAACCATCTTCACAAATCCCAATACCAGGTAGGCGAACCGCTTTTTCCTTACCATCCTTGGCTTTGCTTGCGACCTTCCCACAACGGGTTCGTCCACCATGTTATCAGCTTGGCATCAAACATTTTTTCCCCCATCATAGGCAACGTAGGCGACATTACGCCGACACAGAAATGGCGCCGCAGTTTGCTCCGATGCTGTGTTTTCTAGTTCTCTCACATTTGTCCATCTTCTTTCATCTTCAAAAACAACCATGAAGTCCACCATATGGCTGGGTAGTGCTCTAGCATCCCTGTCATCGGCAGCAACAGTCTACACAGGCGATCGATTCCAAGGCTACCCCGTCATATCCTCTCTCGACATCACCGATTGTCCCAGCAACACCATCTCTCGCTTCTGGCYGTCTCCCGCAGCAGGACAAGGAGGCCTTCCTTATTTCCTCCCAATGTTCGTAGCCAGAGGTACCGAAGACTCCCTCGAAACAGGACGAAAACTCTCACTCTCCGCCTCAATTCATGGAGACGAACTCAATCCGGTGGCGATTGTTCAAAGCATCTTCAGACAGTTGAATGAAACCGTCTCATCGGGAACCTTCAACGGAACAGTAATCGGTCTACCAACTCAAAATCCCCAAGGAAACCTCCTCAACCAACGCAACTTTTTCACCTCGTCCTCCAACGGCTTCTTCGTCGACCTGAACCGCAACTTCCCGGGTCAAAACATCTCTTCGGGGGGCAGTCTCATCGAATCCTACACGTCTTCAATCTGGAACAACATCTGGGGTAATACCTCCAATGTAGACATTGCCGTAGACTTCCACACCCTCTCCACGGGCTCTGCGGGACCTCTTTGGTGTTATGCAGATTATGCATTCCCATATGTTCAACGCATGGCAGAATTGCTCCAACCGGATATGATCAAGATTGACCCTGGTGAGCCGGGATCGATTGAGACGACGTGGATACGATCGGGCGTTCCGGCGATTACTGTTGAGACTGGACCGGCGAATATCTGGAATAAGACTCTGATTGACCGCACTGTGGATTTCGCTTTGAGATTGATGGATGATTTGAAGATGACGGATGGAAAAGCAAAGGAGGTGGATCTTAGCGAGACATTCATCGCAACCAATTTCTCGAGTGCATCTACTACATTCAGCGGATGGGTGGAGACGGACGTGCAAGTTTTGGAGGATGTGGAAAAAGGGCAGGTTCTTGGCAGAGTGTACAGCTCTTGGGGAGACGAATTGGAGGAGTTGAAAGCGGATGTTGCTGGGAGAGTTCTAACTGTCCTGGTGGATCCTGCGGTCGAGGCGGGGTCTGGGGTGGTGATGATTGGGTATAACGCTACAGAGGTGTAGATGTGGAGTATTGTGAAGTAGTCCCTCCCATCCTAGTCTAGACTCGTAGCAGTACTGCGATGTCCATCGGAATACCCTCTACATAAGTCTGCTCTATAACTATAGAGCACATGAAGACTTCGTTCGCCCGAAGTCCGTTGACGCCACAAAGGTACAATACAGCTGATACCCACCCTCACATACTCTATAGCAGTGTGAGCAATGCTGAATGATAGAAACCCAAATGAAGCACCAGACAGCCATGCGTGAGACAACAACGAAACGAACTTACCCCGAGTGAATCCTCTGTCGCGTTGTCATCTGTCTAGTGTCGAGCAGTGTTTACAGACGCTGGCTTGGCTGGAATTGATCTTTGCGATTACGACGTCTTTGTTTTCGAGAGCGAGCTTAGTTGCAATCCAGCGAGCGCGCGGTTTCATCCACGTCCTCAATGTGACCATGAGCGAACTTCCATCTCGTGCTGCTTCCCAACGGAACTTGTCCGATGCAGAAACGCGCGAGGCAAGCGATGGCGAACATGACTGTATGGGTAGTAAGCTGGGCTAAACCTGTCAGGTATGTTGTGCATGTCGTTATCGAGGACTCTCCTGACTTTCGATAACGGCATTGCCGATGGCTGGATAGAGGTCAATCTGGCAGACATTGGGGGCCATGGGTCTTGTTGATAGGACGCGAGGTAGGAGAGAAGATCCGGTAGACTTGAGAGGCGATGAGAATCGCGCTCYCCATCAAGTAAGCGGCTTTTGTACGTCGAGTGCACAGTTTATTAGTATAGAAGTTGCACCTGCCTGCGAGAGAGTCATGGGTACATCAAAAGGTAACCTTGAGGGTGCCATGGAGGACTTACTCAATAAGCAACTTGATGCATTATCGTGCTTGCAGAAATGTCAGATTTCAGATTGTTGTACAATCGTTACGTGACAATGCTGCTTTACGCCCCTCCGATGCTTTTGGTCATCTCCCAGACCTCGTCACGTTTTATACCCACAGCCATGCGCCCAACACGACTGCCCATGGCTCTGCGAGGGAGAGGGTGAAATCGCACATGTCATACGCCGATCAAATATCGCTATCATAATCCTCCTCCACCACAGAAGCCCACTGATATCTCTGATCATCGATATTCTGCTCCTGCCCTTTCCCAACTCGCCCCTTCATTCCCAAATGCCGTGCCTTCCCCTCAGCACACTTCTAGACGTACTGCGACAACCAGCGGATTCCCTCTCCGTACCCCTGCCTCATAACCACGGAGCACATGAAGATCTCAATTGGTCGGATTCCGTCAAGCGGCACCTTGCCCTTTCCGGTCGTCTGATACAGGCCTAGCTCGTGTCGCAACTGATCTTCGGAGACGGCGTTCGGGTGGTCGATTTTGTTGCCAAGAATGAGGAAGGGAGTCTTGGAGAGATCCTCCATACTGAGGAGAGCATCGAGCTCGGCTTTTGATTCGGCGAATCGCTCGGGGTCTTTGGCGTCGACGAGGAAGACGACTCCGCTGACTTCGGGGAAGTAGTCCTTCCACAAACGACGCGCCTGCTGGTGACCGCCGAGATCGAAGGTGGTGAAACGGCAGCTGCCAACGGACAATTCTTCGGATGTGGGGTGGAGGGTAGGCTGGAGGATGGCTACGCGGTCGTTCTTGAGCATGTGAAGGAGCTGTTCGATCTCGAGTTAGATGGCGGAAATTAGTGGCAGAGAGGGGAATGGAGCGTACGGTAGTCTTTCCGGCGTTGTCGAGACCGAGGAACAGCAGTTTGGCGTGTTTGTTTGCCAAACCAAGGCTGGCCAGCATGTCCCAGACTAGATTGTCAGCATGTTCTGAGTGAAGTGAGACTCTCCGCGATACGTACACCAATCGATCATCCACATGATGTCGGAATTCCAGGGAGATGTTATTGTTTGGGAAAGAGAAGTGATAGATTGTCAAAAGAAGGAGGGTTCGTGGCGATGGGGATGCGAATGTGAGTGAAGTCGAGAAGTCGAGAAGCCGCGAGAGACCAGCTTTCCGTTCTCCGGACGAAGTTGATGCGATCGAGCGCATTCACGTGCAACAATATCACGGAGATCTCGCATTTGTCTGCAAAMCGACACCCACACACTCTTTAATCGTCGTCAACAATGGCTGCCAACAATCTCGTAGGTTCGGTGAAATGACACAACAAATTCGCAGAACTGACAATGGCAGCTCGATCGTCTTGTCGGCCTAGCAATGCTCGTCGTCGCATCCGCCGTCTTCCTCTACTACTCTGTTTGGACTCTTCTCATGGTACTGCGATCTTTGTCAACTATCTTGAGGAAACGAGCCTAACAAGTTCCCAGCCATTCGTCGACGAGAAGCACCCAGTCCAGAGCCTCTTCCCCCCACGCGTTTGGGCGATTCGTATCCCCGTAATCCTCATCCTACTCGGCGGCGCGGTTGTTGGAAGCTTCCTCAGTCTGGTCATGATTCGGAGTAACCGCAAGAAGGCACTCAAGAAGGCTCAGGCTGCAAAGGCGAAATAGACACGTTTCCTGGGCATTGTATTGGAGTCAGGGGTGGGAAAAGGTCGCAAAGTAAAGCAATGCTTCATACTGAGGCGTTMATGTATAGCATATGGCAGTTTCAAGTGCTCAATCATGCCTGCATCTCTGGACAAGAGACCGTATGTACGTGTAGTACCGATCGAGCACGCGAGAGTGGCATACATTGATACGCCTCAGCAATGCTAGGAATCTATGCGGGGCATGGCAGACAGGAAAATCGAGGTGCTGCAGTTGAGACCTGTTCTCAGAGAAGGTCACAGCTGCTGCACTGACGAGGAGCTTGTCCAAGACACAAGTCATGATGGTGCCAGCGAGACACATTTCCAGATACAATTCGTGCTTTGCTCTAATGCATGCTACCTTAACATCACAAACATCAACCATCTCGCGGACCCCTGAATGCCTTTCTGCCATCGACACATCCTATAACGCCATCGCTCAAAAGCTCCTMAACATCAAAGTACAATCACTCCTTATCCGGCAGACAACGGCCAGCACGACCGCTTCCATGGCAGCCAACCGGACAGCTCGCACCGTCGCGGTACTGCCACGAAAGATACGGATCAGTCTCATTCGCACCCACACTCAACAGTGCCGTCTTCAACCCCAGACGACGACTTCGCTCGAATACCTCCTTTGCCGAGATGTCAATCACAGGCCAACCCAACTTGATCAACATCGCCGAACTAGTCCCGTAGACACACTCCCTGAATCCTGCCCAGCGAATAGCACTCGCACACATGGGACAAGGCTCTGCAGTCGTATATAGCGTGAACTGACTCCATGCCTTTGAAAGTTCCGAGGGTGTGAGCTTCCAGTGACCATCCGGATCTGTCAAGACCGCGGAGCAATTGTTGATTGCAGCAATTTCACCATGGAGAGTGGGATTTCCTGATCCAATGTTGTTGGCTCCGATGCAGATTACATCACCTATATCGGATGGATTTGGGGAGGTATGATTGACTATGACTGTGCCAAAGGGCTCATGGGGACAAGGTGAGGATGTGAGAGCTGTGAGGGCTGAAAGTGCCTCTTTCATCCAAAATTGGCGAACGGTTTGAGATGGAGGTGTCCATGTTGGTAATGATTGAATGGCGTCGTTGATCTGGATTTGTGGCTCTTGTCGGACAGCTAGGTGGGCGTGGCTGTAAGGTATGAGAAGTGAGGGAACCATGATGTTCAGCATTATGGACATCATCATGAACACCATCACCCCGCTGAAAGGCACAATTGTGAACTTGTGAAGCAGGATGAGGCAGGAAAGGCCTTGAGATAAAGTGGATGACTAACCGGTCGAAATCTTACAACGCACGAGCTTCATCAAACCTCTTACATCGCAATCCATGGATCTATCTGGCTCCAACATCATCGTCGTCTCGAGACACGCGACGTTCCTCAAACAGGCGTGTCAAGCTGGGCAGTGCGAATGGCAATGTCGAAACGTAACCACCTCGCAGCTTATGAGTTCGCGTGCGCAATCCATCTATACCCCAGCTGCTCTTCGTAAGCTACGTTGCGAGTAGGTATCGCATCGGGTGTTCCTCGACTCGTGCAGCGACCTCTTTCTCCAGTCAACCGATCACCTTGCTTTCATCTCTCGTATATACTAAGCAACACGACGCGATGACCATGAGAATCGCGCAAGATCGCCATTTTCGACACTGGCTGCAGCCTGCATGGTTCTGGACACCCTCCCCCCTTCTCTCTCTCCCTCTCTCTTTCATGACGACCAATACCACCTACACACATGTACGCGAGATGAAGTATCTCCGACGGAARGACTCAACGCATTTTGCCTGGCCAATGGCGTAACAGACAACCTCTACGGTCCTCGATCAGGATGGTTGAGGGATCGAGACCCTTCAACACTGCTCATCTCTACTGCATTAATGAACTTCATGCTGCGACGTTCATTTTGGAGCTGTGCTAACCTTGCACACTCCGCCTTCCCCCCGATTATAGACGAGCGGCACACCACTTCGCTGAATCAAGTTCAGTCATGTTACTTTCGAGACCTGCGGGAGTACTTTTCCCATCACATCGGCAATGTGTGTGATGGAATGTGAATGTCTCGGGCGCGTACRTGAACCCCGACGGCACGGCACACGGGAGGTTCGCGCCTCGCGAAGCATTCGAAGGTTCGAAGCGCCAGATGATGGATCATGTTCGATTCTGCCGCCGATATTATTCATCACATCTTGAAAAGGTCACCTGGAGCAGACCGCGTCTGCAGCTTAGCGCACGAACACAAGCATGTCATCGATGGCATCTATCGGCCTGAGTTCAAGTAAGATGATTGGCACAGAAACTTTCCCGATGATTCTCGTGATGTGATCGTTGTTGAATGTGACTGCTGGGATCTTTCATTGAACTCGAGCTTCGTACCCAATCACACTTCGTATCAAAGCTAGAGGCATCGAGCTAAAGCGCTACCAGGGAGATACCTACAACAGGCCGCCCCGGTGGGGTAAACCCTAGTCGACCTTTGACGAAGWACACCAAAGCACAATCATTCTTGGGACCTTTCACTCATTCCGCAAGCAGATCTCACTTCTTCCTATCGTCCTTCCCCCGCTGCTCATACATTTCACGGTTCTCTAGCCCTCCTTTCCCAATCCCTCCAGATCCCACTTTCTTCTCGATCCGTGCCAGGGCCTCTTCGATCAACCCAATATGTCCTCTCAAGGTCCCTTCTACCTCGTCAAACCGCGCTTCTTGCTCTTCGAGATTGTAGTCCAATTGGTTGCGGATCAAGTAGGTAGTTCCGCCGATCGCAGTGAGTGTTGTAGCCAGATGGGCGAGGAGATGCTTGGTTGCCATGATAAGGATTGTTTCCCGCCGTGCTTTGGCTTGTAGAGAGTGGCGATCTGGTTTCCTGGTCTATTTGGGAATGTTGATATTGATTGTGTTGCTGATGTTGTTGGAATAAAGACTCGCGCTTCGCGTTTAATTCATTGCATCATACTACGAGCCGCTCACTATCGATGATGCGTATACTCTTGATCAAGTCTCACATCGATTGTTCGCATTGCGGCGTCGTCGACTGCGAGGCATACACATCGATATCGCTCGAGCCGGACGAATGGCTTCACAGCATCGTTCTGAGCGGCGATCGGACAATTGTTGAACAGGGATGTTGTCCAGTATTGAATCAACATTTGAATTCACGCTTTTGCCTGGCCAAACCTTGTCGGAAAATAAAAGACGCCATGCACCAACAAGGCCGCTGCACGAAGCACRTTGACGGTCGAAGATCCCCACACCAACATTGCGGAGAGGTCGCAAAAGGTGTGGTGTGTTTCTGTTGGCCTTGAGAAATGGTGGCGCATTCGGTAGGCGCGACCAGGCGCGTCTCGCCGAGGGAAGATTCCAAAATAGCGGGCTCCAAAGTCACTCTCGCTTGACGGGCCCGCAAGAGCCACCGAGTGCCTTTGCCGCGTTGCCCCATGCAGGCTCGTCGCAAGCTTCACGAATGGCCACCGACCTTTCTCTCTACACCATCTGACTGGTCTGCTACCCTCGCCTGCCGGCCAGTTGCGGCACACTCACCATGCCTCCTTCACGGTCCTTCGCCTGCACCAACACCACTTGCGCAAGCTTTCCGTAGGGTTTCCGTAGGACGTGCCGCTCAGCTCGATAGTGTCTGCAGCGCGCGAAGCAGACAACACTCACTCTCAGCGGTAAATCGACTGCCCCATGATCTCACGCCATCTCCCTCTCGTCCCCATCTCAATCGCTCCTCTTTCCTGCACTCTCTTCCTTGTTTTTCCCTATATGCAAGAAAGATGCGGTCAACTGTCACGAGATCCACGTTTCACAAGACACCCACGAGCACACTCTTTGGCTTTTGCTAAAACGACGATCGCTCCGTCCCATAACCGCCCGCACTGCACTACTTCCTCCGGCAGCTCACGCAAATCAAGGCTCGGGCCCCGCCAGATTATTGTCGTCAGTCTTGCGAACAGCAACATATGGTACCTACCTGCAGACTTATATGCACCCTGCAAGTTCGTCCAATCCTCGCAGACCACGTCACACAAATCGCTCTCCACCGCGTGGCGTCTACATCGAATCGGCCACTCCGTCTCTCTGCGCGAGCTGCACAGCCACTCACTGCCGCCGCTGCGAACTTCCATGCATACTGCTGCGTGATGCYGTTCAGTCTGAGTATACCCAAGGTCCATATACTCCAATCCTATTCTCATCGACACATGTTTTAATAATACACTATTACATATTTCAAAAGCGCTGGACGCTGACAGATTCATTAATACAGCACACATTCCCCATGCGCCGTTACCATACGAATATACGAATTAACGATTGTTTGAAGCATAAATGCTCTGATGAACATCGAATTGCATGTCAGGCGGACTGCACGTAGTATAGGTCTGGAAGGTGTATCGCGGCCATGTCTTCGAGCAGAGCGCATGTTCGACCCAATGGCCAGCGGAATGAATCAGCAAAACGGCAGCCACTCGCTCACAGTAGCCGAATTCCAACCAGAAACTCCGACTCAGAAAGCAGCGAGCAGCCACAGAGCGTGCAACACATCGCAAAGATGATGAAGAGAACGAGCAGAAGCGCTCCAACAATCGAGCCTACTGCAAAGAGCGGCACGAAAGCGCCAAACACCATTGCAGCACACTCTGCACGAACCAACAGACGATCATCTGGGACACCTCCCACATTCGCGCCTCCTGCTGTACGAACACCATCACTTGTTTCCGGATCTTCTGTCTCAACTTTCGATAGTCCTCGGCCTAATGGCCTCCGCCGAAAACCATCTGGAGCAATAGACAGATATGCAGCTCAAAGAAGGGCAGAAGTTGGAACTGTCGAACGAGGGAGGGCAGCAATGCATGGCGGTACTACATTCTCACGGGAGGATCTGGACAGCACCGTTTTGGGAATTACAATCCCAGCAACATCAAAATCTGGACAAGAGGGCGCGCTTGACTTGGCAGCCTACGCATATAGCAGCGACACATCTCGCGAGACGACTTCCTCGGTACCCACCTACGTTTCATCGGCCACCCCATCGACACGATACAGCGATTCTCCGTTCAGTCCCGTACCCACTCCAAGTTCCGCGTCCTCCTATTCTTCTAGTGTGGCTGGTAGAAGGGTTGCGACCAGAAGTCCCGAAATCTCCAGACATGTGGTCGCAAGTGGTGTCACATCAAAGAACTCGAGGTTGGGATTGTTCCCGGTACGAGAATCCTCAACCTCAACATCCTCTTCCAGATCGGCTGCTCGGGTCGATTCCAAGTTACCACACAATGGAAAAGGCATGGAGAAAGAAGGCACCACTGCCCCTGTCTCGGCGGCCACTGGTAAATCGACATTCCGCAATAGACTCACCAAGGCGAGGCCCGATGCATCCAGCGGAAAGCAAAAAATGCAGATACCGCCGGAACTGGCTCATCTTAACGTTGACGTACCGCGAGTCCAACCTGATGTCGCGAGACCGCGCGCTCCCACCCGGCCTAGTCGATCTGGCACATCGACTCTTGCGGATATGGCAAATCCATCCTCAGTTGTACAGAGTGACCTACCATCTGTGTATACTATGTATCACAAACGTATCCCTTCCCAGGAAACCCCTATCTCAGCTTCTTCACCAACCAGAACCCGATTCGGATTCTCCTCGCGAGCATCGTCTCGAACCACGTCACCCCGGGTAGACTCTGCGTTCTCTCCTCCACCCTCTGCTCGCAGGTTTCAACGCAGCAAGACGCCAGACCACTCATCGGGCGAGGTTCCTACAATCCGCCGGAAAGACTCCCCTGCTATTTCAGCCAGCCCGGCAAAGTCCCCGCGCTTTGGTTTCTTCTCGCGCAAGACCAAGCCAGAGGTTCCAAAATTGGTTGAGAAGCCTTCGCGGCAGCCTTCAAAGGGCCCAAGCGCTGGGACGGGACATGAAGGGTACGGCAGATTTGGCTTCCGAGGTAGAAGTGGTAGTAATGCAAGCAGTAATGGCGGTCGGTCTCCCAGTGCTGATAGCAGTAAATCAAGTGTTCCGGTTCGACCAGCAGCCAGCAAAAGAAAGAGCAGTACTGGCAGTAAAGATGGATCCGAGCTTGACGATTTCCTGAAGGAAAGACTGCGGCCTGTCATTCTACGTGGTAGCGGAAGTACGATGAGCTCCGATCCCATTGGAGCGAGCCTGGAACCTGAATCGTCAAAGGCGTCTTCGATGGAAGACTATCCCCGGCTTCTTCCCTCGGCCATGCGCAAGGCTTCCGACTCTTCCGTCGAGACAAGACAATCGACGAAATTGGCAACATCAGATAGTTCGGGCGATGAGTCCTCAAGAAGAGTCCCCAGCCTTGCGACCCGTCGATCCATCACACGTCTCTCCTCGGGTGAGAACCGGTCTCCGGTTCGTGTGCCACCTCCAATCAACACGAATCTACACGCGAAACTTCCCGTGATTGACAGCTACGACGCAGAGCCAACTGCGTGGCCACAGACCGACAGCTCGTTGCCTCTGACAGAGGATGGTAGAGAGGGATTGTGGTTGCAACCCCTGGATGTCAAGCCTTCACCAAAACCGGCACGCAAATGGAATTTCTTTTCTCGCGCTGCGACAACGTCTCCCGTCAAGGGCAAGCAACAGGCCGTAGAAGATGTGGAAGATGCAGCAATGCCGCCCAATAGAGCCATTGCGCACTATGCAATGTCGGATAACAGTCATGCAATTGAACTCGATGAGGTTGAGCGTATTGTTCAGGATGACACCGATTTTGAAGAAGACTCTATGTCGGATTCGGAGTCTCTACCAAAGGAATATCCGCACGGAGGGCGTCATCTCAATAGAACGCCATCGCCGCCCAACGTCGAGTTTGGCCGTGATGCCGACTTTCGCGTACAGTATCAGGCACAAAGGCTCCGCCTCAACCGACAGGACTCGGGAGAGACTTCAAAGATGCTCAACGCTCAGTCCATCTTCTCAGGAACTCAAGCTAGACCATCTGGAGAGGCACAATTGAGACCTTCGGTCGCTCGCGCCGTCCACACACCCGACATGACAGGGAGACGGACACTTGAACCGAGCCAAGGCTACTTGAGCACTCCTGAGCGGGCAAACAACTCATCGAGATTACCACGCCTATCACCTGTTGGCAGGATACCTCCAGTGGTTTCTAGAAGAGATCGGGATAGGAAGCTCCCAAACACTTCTTTCTCTCGACCTTTCTCAAGCAGTCAGCATCGTCCGTTTGCCAAACCGCCTGGCTCCGTGTACAGCCAGATTCGAGAAATGGCGAGTCCGACCGAATCAAACTCGCAACCTGTGTCGAGTGCAAGTACCAGATCTGAGGGTACGATGCAAGATCCTATCAGCACTGCGCAGACTGAAATTGTTTCTACCGACCGCGACAGTGTTGATTTGCGCGGCTATGGGGAGTTCCTAGCCTTTCCGCCGCGGAAAGGATCAGATCAGTCCTATTCATGTTCCGATAGCTCTAGCATCCCGAGCTGGATGACCACACTACCTCCACAAAAAGAAGACGTCTGGAACGAGTACAATGATTTCATGGACGAGGTGATGCCGTTAAGGACACCGATGAGAACACCAACCACGGGATCTTCACTTGGGGCGCCATTTCAATACTCCAGTATGCTTTGGGATGGGAATGGAAATTCATGGCCGATCCCTACCCGGACTGGCCTACCACCAACACAGCAACTTCCACCGATCCCAGGTGTCAATACGGTGCCTACTATCTTGACCGTGCCCCAACAAATCTCACGGTTCTTGCGGCCTTCACTATCGCCAATCACGCCAGACACCATCAGCGATTTGGGCAATCATATCAGTAACTTTCCGCCCCGTTTCGCAAGCCTCCACAACACGCAGCATCCGAAACGATCGAGTTTGACCAGCGCTCGCGGCAGTATTTCATCCTCACGCTCCAGCAAGACCTCCACCCACTCGCGATCAGCATCTCTGCCAAGTGCGCGCAACTCGCAAACAGATTCGTCTCGTATGCTCCAAGCCACGTCGCTTGCAGGAATTGCGGAAGCTCCAGCAGTCAGAAACATCAAATGCAGTACTGACCTCCGCGTTGGAGCACTCATGACAAGCAAATGGCTGTCCTTTGGCCGTGTCCTCTTCAGTCCTGCCCACAACGAGATGCAATTTGCCGATCATCCGCGGATTCTGATAGTCGATGGTCTCAGCAACGACTGGTCTCATTTCGTCGCATTGACCTATCCTGATGCCCAGGTCTACAACATTGCCCAGATATCCGGACACTCTCTATCGCCGATCGGCGCAACTCCGCCAAACCTACGACAGATCCGCCTCCCCTCCTTCTCAGCCTCTTTCCCTTTTCCAAAGGACTTTTTCCATACCATCGTCTTCCGCTTCCCGGCTGCGACGACGGAGCAAACGTACGCTGCGCTCCTATCTGAATGTAAGCGTGTGCTTCGTCCGGGCGGTTTTCTGGAACTGGCGGTCCTGGACCTCGATCTCATGAACGTGGGACCGAAAGCGAGGCGGGCTGTGAGGGGGCTGAAGACTCGTATGCAAGCGAAGGATTCTGAGGTGTGGCTAGGCAATTCAAGTGATCTTATTGTGAGAGGTTTGGGCCGGAGAGGTTTTGAAGGAGTCAAGAGATTCGGTGTCGGCGTTCCTGTTGAGGGGAGGATTGCTGCTGCTGTTGGTCAGAGAGAAAGAGGAGGGTCTTCCTCTTCTTCAGGATCGTCTTTCGCGGGCATATCACCCAGCAAAGAACTCAATCTGGCAAGCTTACTGGACAATACCGACTTTGCCATGAAGAGCAATGATGAGAACATCACGAAAATGGTGGCAAGAGTGGGTCGATGGTGGTATTCGAGCTGCTATGAACGCATCCTACCTGTTTCGGATCGAAGTATCTGGAAAGACCGGACGTTGTTGAGAGAGTGTGAGGAGCAGGGGACGAGTTTTCGGTTGTTCATCTGTCAGGCGCAGAAACCTTTGCTGGTAAGGAGGAGGACGAAGAGTGTTTGATGATGGATCATGCATAGTATGAACATTCTTTGGTGCTTAGTATTTAGAAAGGARGAGGAGGATATGATGACGACGGTGGTGATGAAGAGGCTGGACCTTGAGATTTTCTTTCGCTTTCTGGTTCTCTTTTCGGCCTGGAAGCATTTTGCAGCGTTTTAGCAAGCCAGCGATGCTGTTTCTTTTTGAGCCTTTTACGATTGGGCGGACGGGAACGACAGAGAGACAGACAGCAAGACGCATACGGCCTCACGGCCCAGAGAGAGGATTTCGGACGTTCATATTGATTCCTTCCTGCTGCGATAATGCGTGATGACGAAGAAGTAGTGAGAATGGAATGATGAGATGCTGCAATGAAATCAAAGAATCTTAACTCACCACAGTTTCGTTGTATTCCCTGCAAGATAATAAGCATTTGATGCAATTGCTCCGTCTAGGTAGGTACATGTAGGTAGGCCAGAAGAAGAAGCATTGTGGGGATGATGACATGTGACGCAGCGTCCAAGCTCTCCGCCGCTTGAGTGCTGCTGCCGAACACCTCCAACCTCAACTTCTGATCCTCGCAACGTCCTCTTGCTTTGAAGACAAGTGTGCCTTCTCAATATGGCGGAACAAATCCAATCGCTGGACGCCGATACGCACATTCTTCTCGACCAACCGCTCCTCCGCGTGCCTCACGAATTGCTCCGCAAGAACCTCAAATCAGCACAACGACATGTCGACCAGGCCGGCAAGAACATGACCAAAGACCTTCAAGCTCAGCCATCCAATTCCGCAGCCGCCCTCGCATCGCTCGACGCTCTCCTGGCCAAAGCCACGAACCTTCAACGCAAGCTTGAGCAACTCGCGGCGGAAGAAAAGTCCCTGCACGCTCAACAATCGGCACGAATCGCCCATCTGACCCGGCTCCATGACATATCCAGTCTCTCGGATGTGGCATATGATAATTGGTCTCACACGCGTCTGGATCGCCTCTTAGTCGACCATCTCCTCCGCCAAGGCCACTCCCGCTCCGCCCGATTGTTGGCCGATGAGCAAGACATCCTCCCGCTCGTTGATCTGGCAGTGTTCGAAGACAGTCGGCGGATTGAACAGTCGTTGTTAGCAGGCAAGACGGCCGAATGTCTGGCGTGGTGCGGAGAGAACAAGCAAGCGCTCAAGAAGATCAACTCCAACCTGGAACTAGAGTTGCGATTGCAGCAGTTCATTGAGTTGGCGCGAGGAGGAGATGTCGGGGAGAAAGTGGCGGCGATTGTGCATGCGAGGAAGCATTTGGCTGGAGGGCAAGAGGTGGAGTTTGGATTGAGGGCCGGAGGTCTGTTGGCGCACGAGTGTGATACTATGGTTGAACCATATCGCGTAAGTCGCAATCATGCCCCTACTCCTCCGCCACCCCTACTTACGATGACGATGGTAGATGATGTATGCTCCGGCCCGATATCCTCACCTCGCGAACCTTTTCCTCAAAACCCACCACTCCCTCCTGCAACTCCCCTCTCAGCCTCTCCTCTATACTGCCCTCAGCGCCGGCCTCTCCGCTCTCAAAACTCCCTCCTGCCATTCAGTACACACCGCAACCCATACCGGTGCACCGGTCTGTCCTATATGCTCCACCGAATTGAACGCGCTCGCGAAAGGAGTGCCGTATGCGCACCATACAAAGAGTTTCATCGATGAGGATCCTGTGGTGCTGCCGAACGGGAGGGTCTACGGGAGGGCGAAATTGGAGGCGCTGAATACAAAGTTGGGAATTGGAAAGGGAAGAGTGAGAGATCCTGCTGGGGGAGAGGAGTGGGCTGAGGAGGAGGTGAGGAGAGTTTTCATTTTGTAGTGGACTGACATTAGGAGTTCTGTCCTTTTTGCTATCTTTGAGCGAGCGAGCAAGCCTTATACCCATCGTTCATTCAGTTACAGGCGACAGAAATCTCCATTCGCCGTATCAAGCGGTCATCAAGCCCTTCTCTCAACCGCAATGCAAGAGTTGTTAACCCTTCAACTCTCGGTCTTTGAGCTTCGAGTGTCTTCTTTGACAAGTTATCCTTTTTCACGCATCGCAGAAGTGACCAAAAGCTGGAACCTACCCATTCCAAACCAATTGGCAATCTCCCTCATCTCGCCCTCCCCCACAAACACCCTAGCTGGTCGACCGTCCAGTTCGTATTGAGTTCGCCGCTTTTGCCCCTTTCAACATCACTCACTGTCCCTCACAACTGCTCTTGGACTGCACAACCCTCTTCTTCTCATCAAAGTCAGCAGGTAGGTCACCTTCGTCTTCCTCATACAGCGCACTCTCAATCTTGACGCGCGAATCGATTCTCTGCCTCTCAAGTTTCACTCTGCCTTCCTCTCCCATGGCCTCCTCCACCTTGCCAGAAAAGCGTCTAGCATTGAGCGCAGTCCGCATCTCATCATCCTCTTCTCTCTCCCGCTCTCGCTCTCGCTGCAAGGTAGCGTCGCGTCTAGAAGCCGTGAGGAAGAGGGGTTCCATTTCGCTTTCACCCCATAGGGTACGCTTCTGTTGTGGAAGTGCGGGAAGTGGCCTGTCGGGAGGAGGGAAAAGCGAGGCTTTGGGTGTCGCAGGGACGTCCTCCATCTTGATTTTTGACGGCGTTATGGTAGTACAAGGAGGATAGGGCGAGTCAGGATAGAGAGCGTAGAGGGTCTGCTGCATCGATCTCGCCGATTCGTTCTCGTCTTTGACCTCAATCATCTCGTCGTGTACATCGAATGGATTCTCAGAAAGGCCATGGTCTTCTCTCTCGCCTCCACCTTTGGTCTCCAGTGCGGCGAGCGCGTAGCCGACTGCACTCTTCAACTGCGTCTTGGGCGAAGGCGATTCGGGGTTGAGGTCTACTCCGCCTGTATCATTGTCCTCGGCGGGGAAGTCCAAAGGCATGAGACCTCCTACTTTCTCCCACATTCCTCCTTCGTTCGGAGACTTGTCCGTGGGAGGACATGGTGAGACGGGGAATGTAGCGAGAGAGTATTCCTGCACTAAGCTCAGTGGTCTGGCGGCGTTGGGAAGGGTTGGAGGCGGGGAGCTCTGGTATTCTGAAGCGGCGTCTACATCTTGAAACTTGAGTGGTGAGACGGGTGGTGTCGAGTCAGACAATGGCCAGCTCTGTGGTCGAGGTCGAAGGTTGATGTCGTTGTTCTTGTTCTCAGTCTCGATTGGTGGGGATGGTTGGTACTTGGAAGGGGTGTAGTTGGCACAGGTATAGCCTGGAGCTGCGATGGATGTCATGGGTATGCCTTCTCTCTGGAGACGAGGAGTCGAAAGGACCGTACCATCTTGTGGAGCTTCGCCCGCGGGAAACGGCCAGTCCGCGGAAGGTGGACGACCCGCGGTCAGAGAGCCGGGCAGCGGAGAGTCTCCTTCAGCATGAGGTTCTCGCTCATGTTGCTGGGTAGGCGTGGTGTCCAGCTCTCGCTTTCCTGGCGTCCAAATCACACTGCCGTTCGAAATGTTCCTCTCCTTCGGAGTAGGCGAATGAGGGGAAGTCCTCGCCCTCACCATGACCCGTGGCTCCCTCGGTCCCCTAACAGGCAAGATCTCGTCCTCGTCCCTCTCTCTCTCGACCGAGAAGCTCCTCGCGTCGAAGTTCATACTCTCATACCTCGCCACATCATCCAATTTCGGACTTCCATCACTCAGACTCGACTGATTGTCTTCATCGCCTTCACTCGACAACCTCTCCTCAACCTCCCCGACGCGTAGGTCATTCTCCTCTCCCTCTTCAGTCTTACCCTGTGCGGCTCGGCGACACCGAAGCTTCACGTACAACACCCAAGCCAACATTCCAACAATGACGACAAACACAAGACATCCCAGCGCGATTCCCGCTTTGTCGGCACCGGAAAGATTCGAGGGCGCGGCATCGTACTCTATGAAAGACTTACCTGTAGATGTAGCCAGCAAAGTGGTGTACGTAGTCGTGACCTGCAGAATCTGCGAGGCAGTCGCGCGGATGGTGATGACTGGGTTATGCGTTTGATTGTAGTGTTGATCGGGGTGCTCCATGGCAGATGATCGTGCTGCCCGCTCGAGATGGCGCATGATGATGGTTGCGATGGTTGATTGATGGAATCCTCCGCGCGGATGAATTGGAGATGATGGCGAAAAGTTTGAAGTTTCGAAGGGACGGATTTCGCCAAGCTTACTCACCGGAGTGGGATGAAGTRAAGTGAATGAGATCTAACGAACCTCGCCTACTCAAACAACTTCCACGTCTATTGGCCTTTCGGCTCGGCAAGATCAATCTCCGCCAGCCCTTTCGCGTACTCTGCGTACGTCTCGATCACCCACCCACAGAATGCCTCCCAATCCCTTTGGAAAATCGACATGGCCTGCTTCAGCTGTGCCTCGTCCAGACGGGCATGCTCAAGACTCCATATCGCTAGCTGCTTCCATCCATGAATTCCCATTCTCAGATCACCCACCAGCACCTGATAGAACTCGTGCGAAAGACTCGAAGTCTGTAATGACCTCCCACTGCGTCGATTATCAGCATCAAACCTCTGCAAATGGGCTTTCATCAAAAGCACTTACCGCATCGAACTCGGATTATCGGCATTCAAACAGCACTCCAACCCGGCTCCCAGCAATCCTCTAAACCCATGCTCTCGAACGTTCCCACACAAGCCCAATAACTCATTGCTCACGGGGCACAGTTCCACGCAAATTTTCCTCTTCTTATACTCCTCTACCAGTCCCGGATGATTTAACAATGCATATCCATGCCCCACTCTCTTGGCATTCAAAAGTAACGAGTCATACAGATTGCTATTATCGGGATTGTTCGATCCGCCGGCGTCAAGGAGTGACTCCCCAGCATGGAACATGAACGGGATGGAGATGTTGAGATCCTGACAGGTTGAGCTGAAAGCCAGGAGAAGGTCGGAGTAATGCCCAATGTGGAACTTCCGATCCTCAGCACCGACGAGGTCGAAGCCGCAGATTAGATTCGGGAAGGCTAGCTTGAGCCTGAGACAGTTCTGGAGTTCTTGTTGCATGAGGTCTCGGGAGATGCTACGGGGAGCGCTGTAGATGATTTTGAGCCCAAAGGGGAAAACGTCGTAGTTTGGAAGCTGTTCCCGTTTCCTGGAGATTTCTTCACAGACGATGTGCATCTGTTGGAAGTGATCAAGTTGGGTCTTTCCATCGTCGGACGTGATAGTCTTCTTGAAGAGCATGTCTCGCAATTCTGCGTACATTACCTTGTCAGAAATCATGCTGTCGATGGCATCTCCGACATAGGATCGATATGCACTTTCGTAGTTGGTGAGCCCCTTCAGCGCTCGAGTGCCCTGGTTGAAACACGCCCATACTGCATTGGTGGTTTTGCGATCACCATATGCTTGACTTATTGTGACAATCATCTTCTCGCATACCCAACGTTCGGCAAGGTCTAGCCCAAGACCCTCCTCGCGGATGCGGTCCTCGGGATCTGCATCTTGAAGTTGAAGGTCTTGAGGGAAGTGATTTCGAAAGTCAACAAAGTTCATCCAGCAATCGCTTCGAGGTTGCCGGGAGGCCCAGTCTGGTTCGTAATGTTGGGAGAAGATGTTCCCTCGCTCAGTCCGCCAGTCATGCGGCAGGACACTCAGTACTATCTCAGTCTCGACATGGCTAAAGTCTGAAGGCTGCAACAGCGGGCGGTTACTTCGGATGAACATGGTCTGCTGCACATTCGCGTTGCGGGCGTACATCAAAAGCTGTCCTGGTGGTAGGGCCGTGTTGAAGTGAAGGTGCAGATGAGCACCTTTGGGCATCTCTTTTGCAATCTGAAAGAGTCTGCTCTTCTCGATCCGCTCTCGATTGACCAAGAAGCGGCCGCCCATGTCGCGGGTGTTGGATTTGGGTACGGCCTCGCCTGCGATGTTGCCGTACAGCGATTCATCATTACGTTCGTGCTCTCTGATTTTGATGAGGATGTGACCTGCTTCAGTCTCTTTGGAAGAGGCGCTCGACCTCGCTTTCCAATCCCAAGCTGCTTTAAGCTCATTTGTCAGGAGCTGATCGCGGTTTTTCGCGTAAGTCTTGGACGCTTTCGATTGCTCGACATGCCGGGCAAAAGTTGCTTTCGCATTTTGTACCGGGTCCACGACGTTCTCCATTTTGTGATCGACGTCCGTGCCATCAATTGTGGTCCGCGTATGGAGCTTCCAATGGGCAAGCTGCCAAAGGATGGTTAGTGGTAAGCGAGAGGTGACGCCTGCGGCGTGATAGCAAGCTTCTGCGCTCGAGACCCCAAGACGATGGCAGGTCAGCGTTGCGTACCTTGTCCTTTACCAAGCCAATACACATCTGGTGTGGTAGTGATTGTGGGCAACTTTTGCTCCATCTACAGAAAGGCGTAATAGCAACTCTGCCGTAACGAAATGAGGAGCTCGAGTCACCGATCAGGGTGGTATTGTTGGATTGTTTACATGCATGTCGCGATCGCACGTGATGAACGCTACGCTACCAGCTTCCAGCTGGCGGCTTGTGATTCAATCCTGCAAGGTGCTGCGCCTCTTCCATCGCCAGTCACAATAGGCGCCTTCGGATGGCTTGCCGCATGTATGGATGGTAGCGTAGCAATGAGGTGCGTATCTCTCTGATCAAGCTCGGGCGTACGGAGAGACGGAATGCTATTTGAAAGGAAGTGGTTTTGGTGACAAGATCGCAGGAGAAAGCTCGTCCACCGACAACGTGAGGGAGGTGAGGTGCGTCCACGGCCGATCTCGGCAGACCCGGGCAAACGCCATCGATTCTTCCAGGTTCTCCCTCACGCAGGCTCCCAGCTCCGTTTGTTGAACCGTACGTAGCAACCAGCAGGAATCTCGCTTGTAAGGAGTTGGCCTTGTAGCAAGGACGACAGATGCCTTGATACCATAGCAGCAACACCCACAGTATTGGAGTGTTTTTTCATCTACCCACCCTTAGCCGCCGAGCGGCTGAGGGCTGAAGCGAAAAGTCCAGGGCGATCGCCCTGCCCGAGTTTGAGGTGCATGTAGAACTACAGACAGTACCACGAAAATCAACATGATCTGGAGGCGTCGACTCAGCCTCGTGTCGAAGCATCTCCAACAAAAGCGCCGTCCTTGCTCTCGTTCTCTTAGTTCGATATTAATAGCGTGCGGTGCACTGCCACCATGTCGAACAATAACGCTACTGGTGAGCAATTCTCCGGCCGATGTGGTCTTCAGACGACTGACAAGCCTGCTATACTATACAGTTGCTCTCCCTGGACACAGGAATTGGGACGTGTGGTGGTCGCCTGGTAACTTACGTGGACCGAGGCCTTGCGTTTTGGGCCCCTGATGTTCGACAGAAGTGCTGACTTCCCTTGTCCATCTTCAGAGAGCGGTTTCGACAACTTCCAGCTGGACATTGTCGGATTCCTTGCAGTATTGGGCGAAAGCTCTGTGAGTTCAGATGATGTTAGACCAGTATATGAATGAATACGCATTGACAGGTAAGTCCCTTGTAGGTCACGGCGAATGCGCAGGTGGCAGCGCTCTCAAGGCTCTTCTATCTCCCTCGTTTACTACCAGCACCCCAAGCGCTGCTTCGGACTTCTCGCCCTACGACTCTGATACCAAGAGAGGCGAAAGTTACAGGCGTTCACTCTGGTAACGTCAAGGATCACGTCCATCACGTCGCAAATGTACTACTGTGAGTAAGGACTGTCTGTCTCTAGAGCAACAATTGAATTGACCTTCGGCTGACGCGCAAATGAGCGGCGAGCCCATGGAGAAATACACCGTGCAGCACGTTACAATACAGAAGAAAGTTCGAAACCCTGACCATGTCCAGACCTCCATCAGCGACATTCTGTTTCGCGGGATATCGCGGAAAGCACGCGCATCGACCGATCAAACAGTGTTGCCATCTCCAGTCAAGGCCAAAGCCACCGGTCCTCTATTTTGGGTGACGATGATAGGCTTTTTTTCTGGAAGTTGTGATCTTGTTCGCATGCTCAATCATCTTTGGAGATGGGATGTCGCTCCTGGCCACCATCCTGCTCGGAGGGCTGTCTACTGTTGTTGGTGTCTGCAACAAATGGACGTTGGAATTGTCCAAACTGCCCGACAAGGCGGCCGCGACAGGCGCGGGGGATGCCGTGATTCGTTATCCCAATGGTAGCTATAAGGTTGGTCTCCTTTCGGGCGAGCCTCTTTGCACCCGCACTCCTCAGGACCTCAACTCTGACAAAGACTAACATTTCCCAGATTGTCAAATGTACCGAGGAGGTTGCAAGAGAGCTGTTCTTCGCTCCAGAAGAAATGTGACTACAACATCAAATCAGAGACTGTGTACCGCCTGCTATCACTGATCGGGACGGTCATGTTGATGCTAGGCGTCATAGCACTCGCCAATGCTAAGCTCCAGCTACAATTCGGATGGGTAAGCAGAAAGAGTAATCACCACTCAACATGACAATTACTGACATTTCTCCAGGCGGGCGCATTCATCATCATAAACATTGCGCACTGGGTCGCCGCCGCCCTTCCACAAAGCTCACATTGGGATCTCTCATGCTACAACTACGATATAGTCACCTACCCCGAGGAAGAAGAGCAATGTCCCCCAGCAGAAGAAGGCCAAAAGAGCCCAATAAGCAAATTGACACGCACGCTGCAGAAAATGCTCCAGGATAAGCCAGACCAAAAGCCAAAGTCAAATTTCACAATAGCCCTCTGGAAAGCCATCCTCCTCACGAAATCCATCGCATGGGTGCCGCTGAAAGAAGCCGCGCCTTCCACTGTCGTATGGGATGAGTGGCTTGTCGAAGCCGAGATCAAAGCGAAACAGCTCTGGAAGGAATTGCAACAAGAGGAGGACAACGAGAAGAAGAAATCGCCGTCGCCCCTTTTCCAACGGCCGAATCCTGATGACTGGGATGCAAAAGATGCGTGGAACGAACTGTACAAGAAGCATAATCCAAAGCCGCTATCGACTGCTCCTACACCAGCGCCTACAATTCAGGGCGTATGAAGAATGTTCATGGCGATCATGAAGTTGGTAATACATGCATATTTGCGATGTTTGGGCGATTTAGCGACTTGTGTTCAATATTCGATCTGGGCGATTTAGCGATTTGCAGTGGAAATTTTTATTGACGACTAGCGATTTGCCGTATAGTATGCCTTGAAACATTCATATCATCTACTTGTTGTGCAGTAGCACAGCAAGCCACCTGTACACATAAGCTGCCATCACTTTCTTTGGTTGCGGCTGGTAATGCGGTCATTCAGGTCATCCAGGTCGTCGTCGACGTCGACGTCAGACGGTGATTCCGAACCGCTTGAATGGTCATCAAGCTTGCGGTCCCGGTCGACCACGATGGGTGAGCGCTATTTCGCTGACGACGACTGCGGCGAGTGGGGTGAAACTGCTGAAGACCTGCCATTCCCGGTGGCTGTGCTGGTGTGTTGAGGAACGGCGGAGGCCTTTGACTTTGACTCGGTGAGCGGCTTGAATGGGGGTGGAGGCCTCTTGCTCTTGTCGTAGACACTGCGACCCTTCATCAGTGCGGCGAAGTCGGGAAGCTCTGGGTCGCTCGAGAGGTCGCCAGAGCCGTCATCTGTGGCGTCGATGAATGGGTTGACGACAGAGTCTTTTGGTTTTGCCGGTTGATTAAGGACGATAAGAGGGCTATAAGTTAAGGATCTAAGATGTATATATCTCCCGAAGCAGTAATTGCTAAAAGGGGGCTATAGGAAGAATGCATGCGGAGATTTATGCTACTATCGAGAACGATAAGAGGGCCCTAAGTTAAGGAACTAAGATGCATATCTCCTAAAGTAGTAATTGCTAAGAGGGGGCTATAAGAGGATTGTATATAAAGATTTATGCTACTATCGAGGATAATAAGAGGGCCGTTAGTTAAGGATCTAAGATGCATATCTCCCGAAGTAGTAATTGCTAAGAGGTGGCTATAGGAGGATTGCATGTAAAGATTCATGCTACTATCGAGGATAATAAGAGGGCCGTTAGTTAAGGATCCAAGATGCATACTGTACACATAAGCTGCCATCATTCTCGTCCCAAGTAGCAAGCATTTACTCGGGTCGACTTGGAAGCACTTTGAAGCGACATATCAGTACCCTTCCTTCGTCACGCATGCAGAGTTTCAACAGGTAGAATATCTTCATTGAAAAGTGAAATCATATCTAACAGCAGCGCTCTCGTTGCTGGACCAATCTGCTTCACCAGAGCAGCCCAACACAAAAGCGCCAATAAACACCCGTTCCAAGAACTCCATGGAAAAGCAAGAAGGAAACGTCTGCTTAATACACCCGCTGATTACCCCAGAACGCCATGCATGCCGTAAACAGAAACAAGCTGGTATCTCACACAGTCTCACAAGTCCAAATCCATGGACTCTCCAATCTCCTCACTCAGACCTCTAACATGTCTCGGGCCCGTCAATATACCTTTCCAAGAAGAGGATGATGGGGAGGAGAACGAGTTTGCATCATATTCGACGCTTTCGGCGTCGTCCTCCTCATCCTCGGCAATTGTTGCCGAGTAGTTGTTGTACCCTCTGCCCTCAACGAGATGGCTCCGAAGATCATCCAAATCCATAAAGGGCACTTCGACCTCGTCGTCGTCGTAGTCGATCTCATCGTCTTCATCATCTCCACAGWCGAAAGTCTCAATCTCTCGCTGTAGCAGATCGTTACTGAGCCAATAACTCGCGCGTTTGCTAGCGCCTTCATCGCCCAAACTGTAGGATATCTTCCGCTCTCCTGCAGGTTTCCGCATGTGGGATGGTTCGTACACTGGACTGTAGGAAATGACGCTGAAACCGCGAAGATAGATGTAGCAGACGCGCTTCTTTTCTTTGTTGAAAAAGAAGTAGTGTGTGCTCCATATCGCGCCTTCGTCACCATCAAAGGGGTCATCATCCGGTGCATAAGAGTACTTCTCGCAGGACCGAAGTCCCATCTCCTTGTCGATGAGTCTCCACATGTTTTGGTTCCAGATTTCGCTGCCGGTGCTGACACCCCCCGCCGGCGCCGAACTAGAAAGCGAGGGAGGGGAAARATAATTCATCGCAGCCGTTTGGCGAGGGCGCAAATTCTGCAACATACTGTCAATGTTGTTCATCATGCTCCTCAAACTGCGCTCTTTCCGGAAGTCCGAAGGCCGCAGCAGGTGCGAGAAGTCGTAGTCCGGATGCGATGCGTTCAGCGTGGCAATCAGATACGCAAACGTCCTTCTTGCAGTAATCTGGCTCAGCGGTCCAAAAGGCGACGCCCGTGAGAGATCAATCTCCGGTACCTCTACAGTACTGCCCCTGTGCCGGCCATGTCTATCATTACTCCTCCCATCATCGCTGGCGGTCCGGTATGGTGGACTTAACGAAGCAGACAGCCTGACCAATGATTCGTATTGTGATTCGAGGCCATTCTCGATGTTCCTGTACAGCCTCTTATCTCCGCCGGCGGCTTTCGTGGTGTAGATGTCGCATCCGCCGATAACGTGGCAATCTGGAGTCGAAAAGTTAAGGGCGTTCGTCACCGTGTCGATGTCGCGGAGTGGGAGATACTGTCGGTAGTTAGCGAGATGGTGACGTTGAGGATGGGGGAGATGCGGCGCATCGAGGCGACGGGCAATGGGCAGAGCGCCCTTTGATTGCCGCTGTGTCGCAAGACTCTCGAATGTATCTCATCAAGTCTGCGTGCTTACACTGCCTCGCTGCGTCGCGTCGCAGATATACAAACCTTCATCGCGTCACTCTGTTGCCCATCGGCTATCTATCCAATGCACCGCTGCTCGAGGACTCTTAGTTGGAAGCGCTGGATAAAGCGACGTATTGAGGGTGTCTGCAAAGTACCGCGGCGAGGAGGAAGAGGGAGCGGTGCGAGTGCTGACGTTGTTGCCGCAGCCGTTGTTGGCCTGTTGGATTGCGCCGAGATTGATGTAAGATGGCCTAATACTCCCCTCAAGCGGAAGCCGGTGTTGACTAGTCGCGTAGAGCGACTAGCAGGCGATGGTCCTAGACTGGGGTGACATGTTGATTTGTTTGTTGTGTCGTCGCGGGTGGTGCGGYGGTGGTGTTGTGACCGAACCAAGGGCCGCTTGAGGGAGGTGTCGTGGTCCCCTCTTTCTGTGAGCCAATCGAATCACGGGATTTTCTCACGCAACCGGCCTTGATCCTGCGGGCGCAACGCATAACGGCAACACGACCTGACCATATGACCATGCACTGCAATGAGCGACTGAGCATCGCGCRTGTCCCAGCTTGGTAAGGGAAAAGGTGTTAGTTTGGGAGGTATTAGGATGGTGGAGCAGTGTACCTTACCTTTGATGCGGGATTCGTGGCTGTCGTTCCATTGTCAGTGAAATGCAAGGCGAGCGAGTGCCGCGAGTGTCCTGGTGAGACCGGGAGCAACAGATATCGATGTTGGTCAGGGTTCAGTCATTTCATTAGCAGGCAAATGCGCCTGTCTTGTCGTGCTATACCTATCGCCGACAGGCTTTGTAACAACAGCACGGGGTATCTCGATCCTTCCAATTAGACGCCATCAACGCCCACAAATTGCGAATGAAAAAAGCACACTGGTTTTCCCCCGAAGACGCGCTTCAAAGTACTCGGCAGCTACAGAAGACCAGCGTTCTTGAGCTGGGTTTCGAGCTCTGCGCTCATCTCCGTGTTTGTCTGGGTGTGGATGGCAGGCGTCAGCGTGCTCATGAGCGATGGTGCGGCGTACAACAATGCGCGATACACATGAACATGATGCAATGCATTCAGCCGATCCTCGTGACTGCATCGTCCTCGACCTAGCAGGGCAAGGAATCAGCGGGTGGCGATACAAGATGTGACACACCGTGCGAGTGAAGAGAGGGGCCGAAGTGAAAGGCCAGGCGGCCGTGAAAGTCCGTATCCACTTACCTCCATTTCCTCGAGACTGTCCTGCGCGCCGATAACACGTAGCACGTTCTTCTTGCTACTCTCCTGCATCTCGCCCGCCAGAAGCAGTTCATCCAAGATGAAGTAGGCCTTTTGGAAGTTGAAGATGATGTCCAACTCGCACACGTTGCCGTAGTACTTGTCCATCTGCTCTACGTAGCGATGTACAATCTCGAGGGTGATGAGCTCATTGTCGGTATTGTCCGTCGCGGCGATGAAGAAGAGGGAAGCATAGCGACGGTAGACGACTTTGGTGTCTGGAAGGAGRGAGGGATCAGTCGGGACGCCGGCGCAGACAGGACGCATGCGCAGAGTGCATATTTACCACGATACTCTAAGAAGTTGCAGCTGCGTGTCCGGCGTGCGAGAACCAGCTGCGTCACGTCCTTGACAATCTTCGCCTTGTCCTTTGGGGACAGGGTGGTGAACCATTTGGCCAAGCGCTGAGCGGAGTGTGTTTTAGCAGATGAGCGAAGGAGTAAGATGCCGTGAGATGACACCTACGACCTTTCCCTGCCGCGAGAGCAGGATAATGTACTTGATGGCCATGCTGGCGGTATGGACCGTCGGAGGTGGTGGGCAGGCACAGAGGGCAAGTGTAACGTGCAAAACGACATAGTGTGCCCTTGCCAGAACTAGCGCCATGCCCCACCTGCTAGGTTGGTAAGAAGTCAAATCTCGCCCGGTGGCCGATGGAAAGTTTGCTCGCCCGCGTCTTAGGTATGAGGTGACCTTGCCATGGCATCATGAGAGCCCGCTTCGTAACCAGCTTCTCGCTCGACACATGCGTGCGCTTCTCGACTCCTTTGCACTTCCTCCATGACTTGCACTAAATTGATCCGGCAACGATAGCAACCGCCCCTCCCCCATCCCTCCCCGAATCCCTCTCCAACATCAAAAGTTCGGGATTGGTAATCATGAAACTGCTATTGTCCACATCCAACATCATGGGCGGCGGCTCGTCCATTCGCCGCTCACCCACGACCAAGTCCAACGCCGAGTTCATCTCTTCCCTGCAAGCCAACTTTGCCCAACACTCAGCCCCCGAGAGCGACGTGACGCCCACCAACGGCAATGGCACCGCAGAGCCAGCACAAGTCGACTACCGAACATGGACACGGCAGAAAGACGATGTACTCGAGATACCRACGTTGGACCTTGCAGAATCGGCACTGGCGGAAGAGCGTGAACAGTACGACATTACGGTGAAGCTATTCTATCTGCCCGGCGCGTCGAGAGACAACCGCGCAGCACAGACGAGAGAGGCGGTGGAGCTTGTCAAAAAAGCCTTGAACATGCCCTCGATCGATCTGTTGATCGTTTCCTTCCCTGGCATCTACTTTGATGAAGAGGAAGATTGTCCCGACAAGATCTCCACCCGAGGACCTGTCGAGGCTGACCCCGAACCGTTGAGTGGTCAGCTTGAAGCATGGCAAACGTTGGAAAGACTTCATGAGGAAGGGGTGGTGTTGAGGCTTGGGCTTGCGGAGTTTGGGAAGGAGCGCTTGCATTCCCTGCTTGAGCAGGTCAAGATCAAGCCAAGCGTGAACCAGATCAATCTGCGAGACTGCTGTTCGGTGCCCAAAGATCTGATGGCGTTGGCCAAGAGCAAGAGCGTGGAATTGCTGGTCCACAACGATTGCTCTAACGTCCTGCCGAGAGGAACTCTGAGGGAGCTCCTTGGGCCCGGCTCAACTGGTGCTGGCGTGCTCACTGAATCGTCCAAGACTGGCGATAAGCGTAAGAGCTTACACGGGGAGGAAGCCACCAACGGCGTTTCCCAGGGCAGTATGTCTGGAGAGGTGCATCCACAGTGGGTMATCAAATACACGGCCGTTGTGAGGAATCGAGGCGTCGTGGAGAGCAAGGGTTACTTCGCGATGGCAGAGTTGGAAAAGTGATATCCCGGGTTCATCCGCACCAACTGTGGTGGTGATTGAACACGTTGATCGTGTTTCGGACGAAATCTGGTGCTCAAACCTGGTRCTCGAGGCATCGAATCGATACCAATTTCTTTTGCTCATGCGCATGACAGCGAGGGTGGTGGCCAATAAGGTCATTCATGAACACTGCTCAAACATTAGGCGAAAGTCTCGATTTATACCCTCTACGTTGATTTGTATAGACGCCGTCCCTTGTGTTGAACTCTTCCATTTGCTCTCTCAATCATAGTCCCTGCCGATTTCCGCACCCTCAGCATCTACAACACCACGACTCTAGTTTCCAGAACTCCTTGCTGCGTGATCAGCTCCTTTCTGACGCTCTCCTCAACAGCTCGATCCACACCCAAGATCATCAATGCTTCATTCTCTCCGTTCTGACCACCATTCGCCACATCGGACCGGCCACCGACATCAATAGGCGCAACACTCATGAACCGAATGTTGACGCCCGCTTTACCCAGAATACCTCCCACCTTTCCAATCTTACCCGGCTCGTCATAGTTTCTCGCGATAAGTAGAGTGCCCTCCGGAACGAACGAGGTTTGAAAGTTGCCCAAGCGGGAGATGTACGGAGTATTGTTGGAGACAAAGCCAGATATGATGTGGTCCTCGGTCTTCTTCGCGCGAGACGCAGGCTCCGCGAAAGGATCAGGTCGTGGAGCGCGGCTGGCCGAGGGCGAGCGAGGGTCGACACGAGCTCGCAAAGTTACAGAGGCGGAATAGCCTTCCTGATCGACGTTCTCACGTGCGCGTGATTCGTTGACGAGGAGCCCACGTTCTTTGGCAATGAGTTCGGCGTTGACTAGGTTGATGTTGGTGTCTTGAGTGCTTGTGATGGGTTGGAGGAGACCTGGCGGGAAATCGATTAGTATTCGATGTGGAGTGGAGTCGAGGGGAGTCTATACCCTTGATGAGTGCTGCAAAGAGTGGCTTGGTTGTGTTGGCAGATGCAAGAGAGCCCTCGTATATCAAATCGAATGTTGTACGCAGTCGTTCAGTCGTGTTGGTCGGTCCGAAATGTTGCATATACAATGAGCCCATTCTCTCCAGCAAGGAGACGAAGGGCTGGAGAGTGCGGTATTCTTCTGGCATGATGATTGGTGCGTTGACTGCGCTCCTGCAATGCGATGGTCAAGTCAGTTATGAGGATATCTTGGAAACGTTGGTGATTGAAAGCTGCTCACCTCGGGAGCTGTCCAGACAAGATAGACAGGACCTGCTCGCATACATCGATTGAAACGTTTTCCTGAGCTTCGGCCGTAGATGCACCTGGTTCAGAACACATCAGTAAATATCCCAGCTGGCCCATCGCATGACTGCTTACCCAGATGAGGTGTTGCTACCACTTTCGGGTGAGCAATGAGCTGAGATGCAGCATCACCAGCTTGTGGTGGCTCACTGGTAAAGCTGCAAAGGTATGCGTGAGTCAGCTTGCATTTCCTGGGAGTCGAGAGCTTAGTACAAGGGGTTTCACTCACACATCGATACCTGCTCCAGCAATCGTACCCGCTTCCAATGCAGCAAGCAGTGCTGCTTCGTCAATAATGCCTCCTCTAGCCACATTGAGAACGCGAGCTGTAGGCTTCATAGTAGCCAACTCGGCAGTACTGATCAGCCCTTTAGTCGATGCGATCATAGGAGTGTGCAGAGTGAGGAAATCTGCACTCTTTAGCAGCTCTGCAAGAGTGGGTAGAAGCTCGACATTTGCTGCGGCAGCAAGGGTGGTATTCGCATAGGGGTCGTATCCTTTGATGTTCATTCCCAGCCCACCAGCGGCGCGTGCCACGGTCAATCCGACTGTGCAATCCATCAGTGTGTGTCAAACCTTCCGGCAACACCTGAGGCTTACCTTTACCAAGCCCAACGATCGCAAGTGTTCGGCCTGATTTAATGATCACATAGGTCAGCGAGTTCCTCCAAGAAAGTGAATACAAGGATGCGAAAACTTGTGTCCATATCAAAACAGTTGTCTTGGCCCCTGGAGATACCACGATTCCTCAATCGGTATAAAACTCGTCGAAGGGATGCATTCTGCCATATACTTTGCTCACCTTTGACTTCAACGCCAATCATCTTGCTACGCTCCCATTTACCAGACTTGATACTCACTGTAGCCTAGGAAAGAGCGGGATTAGCCCTTTCTTACATGGTCACCCAGATGTCTTCCACATACATGACCAATGTTCCTTGCCACAGCCATCAGCAACGCAATTGTATGTTCAGCGGCGGCATTGATGTTCCCTTGAGGACTGTTCACAACAATGATACCACTGTATAAAAAGGTGAGCCTGTTGCGTGTTGGATGAGCTTTATAAATGATCTTACAGCTTCGTTGCGGCCTGTAAGTCCACATTGTCGACGCCGACTCCAGCACGAGCAACGACTCGGAGCTTCTTGCCTGCAGCTAGCAATTCCGCCGTGACTTTTGTCTCTGAGCGGACGATGAGTGCATCATATTGGGGTATCAACTCAATCAATTCCTGTTCGCTCAAGCCTTTTCTCTCTTCAACTTCCAAAGATGTCTGTAGTAAACTGAGACCATCTGGAGAGATCTTCTCTGGAATGAGCACTTTTGGAGGCGGTGATGTCTTCGTCATATCGTGGGTGCCTATGAGGYGAGATGATGGTCTATGGTTGTTGTGGTATGGTTGCAAGAAGACTGAAATATCGACAGTGCCTCCGGGTTCGGAGCAGCATAGAGGCTTCTTGTAGCTCACCGCAGCTCATTCTCTTCAATGGCTCGGTACTCGGGCTGCGCTGGCCTTACCTTGATGCGTGAAAGGTTGAACCCTCTAACCCACACATCTTCGTGCTCCCCCGCGTCTCGAACTCAGCCCCACACACATCCCGTTTCCTCACATGTGCTAGTAAAAGTGGGTCGACCAGTTTTACACAGCAACGTACGAAAGCCAAGTGTGCAACCCTGGCTTTAGAAGACCGTTGCGCCTCCGACATCTGGCATTTTGAACCCTGTTTGCTCGAAATCTGCCCGTAAGATCGCGGCCAGAGCATCCATCTTGGTTCGCTGCAGTCGGAGCACGTTTGCGGCGACGCTGCTACCATCGTGCTCTGCTTTGACGGGGTTTGCCACGTCTGTGTGACCGTCACCTTGATGAGACCGTAGTTGGGAGCCGTCCACACCCTCTGCAGTAATCCTCCGTTCAAAGCCATTTCGTCTAGGGGGTACACCGCCTTCCAAGACCAAAAGGAGATGTTCCTGGACTCGCCGCATGATCACGTTGGCGTCCTCAGATTCAATGGTCAGGACATGGAGAGGGTTCTGCTCTGCGTCCTCGGCAATCTCTTCGTCGTACTCCCCCGTCAAGCGGCCAGCGGATCCTCGAGATTCGTGCTGCTGCCAGCAGATTGCGGCAATGGCAGCTTGTTTCCGCAGGTCGTTGATGTTTGTCGGTTGGCTGTATGCGAGGAGCGTGCCGTTTGGTGTGATGAGATACCACCGTCTGCAGAGTCGCTCGTCGCGGTTGTGCGACAGCAAATCACCGACGGCTTTGGTGCTGAGCATGTTTGCACTTCTGTACGCCGATGCTGGTGATGGGAATCTATGCGCGGTCTGCCTGCGCGTTCATCCCAGCTTTGTGTCTCTAGCTCAGGTAAGGTATCTTCGACCTTGATGCAACGTGATTATGTAGACGGATGGATTCGGTGTTTTGTTTGCCACAACGCCCAATGGTCCAACACGTCGTAAAAGGTCAAAGATAAGCAACAGGTGAGAGAACCTGAGGCATTGCATTCCTTCCCCTAAAGTTRTTGTCGGGCTCTTACCTAGGTTGACAAGGAGTCCCACGACTTGTAGAACTTGGTTTCTTGCTTCTCATGCACCACAACCCGGCGCGCGTCTGCTTCAAGTTGAGACAACTTGGCTTGCATCGGCCCAGCTCGTCTCCTGCCTGTCACAACTGGCATGCCCTCCCTCCATCACGCAAACCATCATCAATACTCGAGATTTTCGCGCACGCCTTGAGCGCTCTACTCCATTCTTTATCATGGCTAGAAAAACTAGGGGAACGCGGCCAGTAAAGGCCACGTAGAATGCAGCTCGCTTTAACTCCGGCCTATCCGTATAATCACAACCTAAAATCTTAGATATTTATTACATCTGGACATTTGGCCTAGTGGTTAGGGCGTGTTAGGATTGAGGAAATGCTAGGTAGAGGCCTGGTTTAAAACTTCGGACATTACAGGGGTTCTAGTTGCCGGAGAAGCCTAGTAGTCTCGTTTCCATTACGAGATYAGGGGTTCAATTCCCTTAGTGTTYAATCTTCTTTTTGTTCCTTTTTTAGGAATATTCTTTTTACTATAAAAAGGACTTTAGTCTTTTTTACTATTAGGAGGACGTATCTTACTTATAATATACCTGTTCCTTAACGGATTTACTTTAAAATTTGATATTAATAGTAACGTTAGTAATAAAGGAGGGTTATATACTAAATTCTATATATATTATAGATTAGTAATGTTTAATACTAATCCACCTTCTCGGCGAATAGGCTAGCGAYAGCGAGGTATATATTTAGTATATTCCGAGTAGGCGAGGTCCGTAGTAAGCATTCGACAAGACTCGTGTTAAAACTTAGAGTAAATCGGTCGAGAGACAGCTAAGTTCTAAATAAGG